TCCTCATTAAATAACGGATTTAACGGTGTCAATCATTAAATTGTACAAGTAATATTCGTAAAGTTATTAAAGATTGAAATAATAGGGTTTTATATAGGTTATTAGGGTGGCCAGGTCAATTGGGTGGCCAGGTCAAGTGGGAGATGCGTTATAGCTAATTATTAATAATATAATATTATTAAACCTTAAAAAGTAAAGGTTAAATAAAGTAAGTAAATATAGAAATAAGTTTAAAAAATTATATAAATAAAAAGGATTAAATATATAATATAATAAATTAGTAAAGGGAAATAATATATTAATAAAATAGGATAAAATACCTATAATATATTAAGGAAAATGGATAAAATTAAAGGAATATAAATAAAAAGAAAGAAATAAATTAATAGGAATTAAGCTTTTTAATACTTTAATAATATACTTTAAAAGGTTATTTTTTATAAAATATAGCGAATTAAGGTAATGCCTTTTTACTTTTTTAAGTAATTAAATATTATAAAATAGGTTTAAACCTTATTATTTTAAATATAAAGCAGTACAGCTATAGCTAATTATATATTAATAGGCTTAAAAAGTATAGTTTATAATAATAAAATTAAAGTATTTAAAATAACTTAACCAGTTATTATTAAACGCTTTAAAGGTTAATAAATTAATAGATAATTAATTAACCAACTTACTTAACTTAACCTAACCTAGCCTAGCCCCACTTACCCTTATAAATAATCTTATAATAACTTTATATTATAAAAGCTTACCTTTACCTTTAACTATTAATAATAATATATATTTTATAATTTATATTATAAAACTAACGCATCTCCCACTTAACCTGGCCACCCCAATAACCTATATAAAACCCCATTATTTCAATCTTTAATAACTTTACGAATATTAACCGTACGATTTAATAATTAGTACCTTTGAATCCGTTATTTAAAGGGGAATCCAAAGGTATTTTTTACTATTTTTTATAAAATTTATTAAGCGAGATATTAAGCAATACGCTAAAGGGGCGCTAAGCAAGGATTATTTTAGCGCTTACTTTAGCGTATTGCTTAATAACTCCGCGAATAAAAATCGTAAAAATTAGTAGCGGGTACCGTTGAATAGCCCTTCTTATTACGAATCTAATGGTATATTTTATTATTTTATACGATTGATATTCGTAAAGTTATTAAATTATCACGTGATTAATGCACCGACGTTTTTTGTATGGGCTGGTGGGGTGGCCAGGTCAATTGGGTGGCCAGGTCAAGTAGGAGATGCGTTAATATTTTTAAATTCCTTATAATTAATATTATTAATTTATATTAATTTTATTATAATATTAATAATTTTCAATAATTATAAGCTATAGGGAGGTTTATTAACCTATTTATTTTAAGCTTTAAGGTATTAAGCTATTATTTAAATATTTTAACTTAAAACCCTTAAGTATTTTATATAATATATATTATATTTAAGGGTATAAATTAACCATTTTTATATTTTTTAAACTTTTAGCTATTTATTAAGCTAACTTTTAAGTTATAAAGTTATCTATATAGCTTTTTTAAACTTAAAGTTATTTATATAGCTTCCTTTAAGCTTAAGTATAACTATCCTTATTATTATCCCTACTATTATTCCTATTATTACTTCCCTATATATTTTATTAACCTTATATTTAATTAATTAATAATATTATATATAATATAATTAATATTATAAAACTTAAATTTTTAAAATTAATATATTAAAGGTTATATATATATATAATTTTTATTAACTTTTAAAAGATTTATTATATATATTATATTTTACTTAAATTATTAATTCCTTATTTAATTATAATTATAATCATATAATTAACCCATTTTATTTATTAATAATACTATATATAATATAATTAATATTATAAAACTTAGATTTTTAAAATTAATTTATTAAAAGCTTTATATATATATAACTTTTATAAGTTTTTAAAAGATTTAATATATAAGTTAAATTTTTATTTAAGTTATTTATTTTTTACTTAATTATAATTATAATCCTATAATTACTTACCTTATTTATTAATAATATTACCCTTAATATAATTAATATTATAAAACCTGCATTTTTAAAATCAATATATTAAAGGCTATATATATATATAACTTTTATTAATTTTTAAAAAATTTTTTATTAATGTTAAATTTTTAATATAATAACTATTTTATTATATTATTTCTTTTAATATTATTCCTATTATTAGTTTAATAGCTATAATATTATTATATAATATTAAAAGCATTTTTTAAAGTTAAATATTTTATTACCTTTAAATAATTAAAACCTTTTTATATATATTTATTAATATTATAAAAGTAATAAATAATAAATTAAGCTATTTTAATTATTTATTTATAAAATATTAATTATATTATTTATATTATTAATATTTATTAATAATATTATTATTAATTATTAATTTTTAATACTTTACCTATTTTATAATATATATTTTTTTAATAATTAAAATAGGTTAATTTAAAAGTATATATTTCCTAAATGTATTTTTAAGGATTTTAATATCTTTTATATTATCTTAAAAGAATATTAACCCCTTTTTTATTTATAAAAACTTATCCTTTATTTTTAACTATTTAATAACCTATTTCTTTAAGCAATATATATATTTAATAAACTTTTTAATTAAGCTTTTACGGTTAATCTTTTACTTTAAGCAGTTTATATTAAAGCTAACTATAAACTATAGCTAATAATATTATATATAAAGGGAGCCCTTTACTATTAATATATTAATTATTAAAGGATTAATATTTATATAGTTTAACTTTTAATTAAGCCCGTTTAATTATTTAATAAAGTTTATATTAATAGTTATAAAGTAAAAGTATTTTATAATAAAGGTAAAGGTTTATAGCTTTATAAAAATTAATTTCTTTATATGTTTTATATTATCCTTATCTATATTAGGGATAAGGGGAGCAACCTTAATAAGGAAAAATAGTTATTTAATAGCCCGTTTACCAGCTTTAAATAACCTAATTATCTGGTTAAAGTTAAGGTTATTAATAAGAATAATTATTAAGCCTTTATTAATTAAGAAACTATATAACCTTAATTATACCTTTATAACTTTTATCTTTTATAATATTAATATATAATATATAATAATATCCAATTTAGAAATATTACCTGTTTAAGTATAAGGTATTTGTTAAATACCCCTTTTCCCCGTATTCCTAAGTATAATATAATGGTAGGTCCAGATATTAGTTAACATTATTATAAATGGATAGCTAATGCTATAGTTATTTATTTCCTAATATATAGCTTAAAAGAAGTTATATAATTTATATTAAATTATATATTAAAACTTAAGCTTAATTTTGCTTAATATTATAAGTTTATTTATAGCTTTAACCCTTTTACTTTTTAACCTTTAACCCTTCTTTATAATATTTCTATAAATATTATTATATAATTCCTTTAATTAAAATAAAAAAGTTTTATATTTCCCCTTTTATAACTTTTTATTAAAGATAAAGTTTTAAATATAAAATAGTTAAATTTAAAACTTTTTAATTATATTTTAATATAATATAGCTTTTTAAAAAATATTTACTATAGTTTTATTAAGCTATTTTAATATATATAGGATTTCTATAACTTAATTTATTAATAGAAGGTTTAATATATTATCTTTATTTATAATAATAACGTTTAACTTTCTATTTATATTATTTTTATTATAAGGTATTATATTTATAAATATTAGATTTATAAATATTAAGTTTATAAATATTAAGTTTAAAGGTATTAAATTTAAAGGTATTTAATTTAAACTTACCTTTAATATTATTACCCCCTTAATAACCTTTAAAATAAATAAAAAGTAGCCTTTTTTACTTTATAATATACTCTTTTAAAATATCATTTTATTATATACCTACTTATAAAGGATTATATATAAATAAAAATAATAGTAATAATATATAGCTATAGTTATAATAGGTTTAATATTTTATTAATAAATTTTAAATAAATATTTTATATTTTTATAGCTATATATATATATATAATATTTTATAAGTTATAAATTAAAATAGATTATTTAACGTTAATAGTTTAAATAAATAATATTTAAAATAAATATTATTTAAAGTAATAAAATAATAATTAATTTTATTTATTTAAAAACCTTTTATTATTAAATTTCTTTTATTATTAAACCTTTCTTTTTATTAAAAATATTCCTATATTTATTTAATATACCTTTTAATATTTATATTATATTTAAGTTTAAAGCCTTTATTAGTTTAAATGTTAAAAAGGTTTTATTTATTCTTAATATATTTAATATAATAAAATTTAAAATATAATTAAGGCTTATAAAGGGTAATAAAGTTAATATAGCTATATTTTTAACTTTAATTATATTTAATTAATATTTAAATAAGGATAATAATATTTAAAAAATATTAAAATATATATTTAAAGTAATAACTTTAAATAATTTATTTAAAATTTATATTATAAAATATTATATATTACCTTATATTAAAATAATAAAGGACCTTATAAAATAATATTTAAACGTAAATTTTTAATTATTCTTATTTTTATTTATAATTAAGCTAATTAAATAATATATATTTCCTAATATTAATTTTTTTTTAATAATAATAATAATAATAATAAAAGTAAAGGAAGTAGAAAAATACTTTAATATCCTATTATTATATTTATTATACTTATATTATTATAGTTAAAAAGGAAGCATAGGTTTAATAATAATGCTAAATAGGGTAAAAAAAGTAATTAAAATATTATTATACCTTTATACCTATAGAAATAGCGAAAAATATAATACTTAAAGCTTCGATAAAAAGTATTTAAGCTATTATAGCTAATTTAAAAAATCAATTAATATTAGTTATAAAAGTAATAATAGCTAGGATCTATTATATTAAGCTATAATATGGTTACTATAATAAGGTTAATTTAGACTTAACTTTACCTTTTAAAACAGCTCCTAAGATACACTCCTGCAACATGTCTTCAGAGCTGAGATCCTTCCAAAAATGGTAATTCAAGTATCCAGCGTGCTGTAAATGCTTGGCTGGCTCCGGAATCTTCGCCTCGGTGAGGGACATATCGTACTTTTGCGCCCATGAATAAGGCACTCTTGATTTTGATCCATGTGGGCTTCTTGACTTGGCTAAAACGATCTTCCGACATGACTCTCACGTTAGAATCTACAATATCTGGATAAAGGTTGACAATCGCAAACACACTGGCCTGCACATACGTCACAGCAGCCGTAGTTGAGACCCACGACCACGATGGGCCTCGCCATTCTTTAGGACGTCGGCCACTGCCACTTTGCACAGCCCATAGCATATCAACGAAAATGGTAAAATCCCATAAACCTGCGATGTACTGTTCCCCTTCGCGGTGTTCTGACATTTGTCTCGCCAGCCCTGATAGAGCAGGTAACGCATCTTTCTGGAAAGTCATTCTAAGGCCAGAGTACTCCTGTACGATTTGATGCCAGCGGTCCGCCATAGCAAAAGTGCCAGTTTTCGCAAGAGCTTTGGCGTGCTCAACCTTGGGGCGTTTGAAAGATTGTAGATAGATCTCCATGTAAGATTTAACATCCTCCCCGCACTCGCAAGCACTATGATGTGCGCACTCCCATGAGAGTTCGTTGTTATGGAAGTGAAGTAAACGTGGTGAGAGCAACCTCTCCTGGTATACCCAGGCACGATCGAGAAGGGGAAACTCATCGGCTTGGGCTGGACTCAAAATCAGACCTGCGCAGTGCGGCATCAGTTGTCGGAAGAACAATGTGAGCTCTTTATCTTCAGGACCTGACACAGTAATTTTGTGTGTCTGAAATTTGTCGCTTATCTTCGCGAAACAACCACCTTCGTGATTCGGTGACCGAGTAGCTGCAATAGTCAAATGGGCCAAATTGTATATTGTGGCCATCTTTGACGATTGCCTGGCCCAGTCTTCGTCGTCATCCTGGATGATGCACAGTGAATCTATCCACAAATATCGAAGACCGAGCTGACGAGCGACGGCGACCGCATCTTGGAAGGTAGGGCATAATTCATCCCAGCGTATCCTTTCCTTTCTCTCTTGCAAAGTCTCTTTCGTAGTCTTGATAGCCCTTGAACTGCCCCAGCAGTGGCTCAAGCATACGTAATGACAGCTCAGATTTTCAGTCTCAATGAGTTTGACGTCTTGGCTCTGGTCAAGCTTGGTATCAATCAAACGACTGGGAGCGGGTTGCTCTTCGCCGGTACCGCACTGACCATGCTGCTCAATACAGTTTCGCATCCATTCTTTTGCGTGCCCTATGGCAGATTCGGAGGATGTGTCGCCACTGGGTATCGACCTAACCGAAATAACTTTATTCTCCCAACCGTCATCATCTTCACCCTTGAATATCGAGATACCGTATCGGTTCGGTGGCTTCGCCGAAAATACCTTGGCCAGTCGATTTTCGAGCGCAATTTCGTTGATGAGTTCAACTTCGGGAACACATGCCCGGATCCCTTTACTAAGCAGGAGGCAGTACTTGCAGCCTTTTTCCGCACTCGCGTCCAACTCTGAGATTGATCTCTGGCGCCAGATAGCCTCTTTTGGACGATCACTCGCCAGGTCTTCACAAACGGTGCACTCCACAGTGCTGTATACTCGCTTATCCTCGGACTTCGGAAAATTCATCATGGCTTCGAGCGGGATAACCATGTACGACGCGTCTTCGTCACGCCACGTTCTAATGAGGCCTGGATCTTCGGTTCTATACTCTTCCATTGCCTCCTCGTCCACGGACATACTTGGGTTCGCCATTTTCTTATCTGATTAACACGATGTAAGGCGCTGTGTCATTTAAATCAGGTGAATTGTGAAAAATCAAGCGAAGTAGTCAAAGGCAAAAAGAGAGCACTGCATGGAACGTGAGGTCAATCCCTCAAAAATCGGCACTACGTCGCTAGAGCTGAAACAGCTGCTATTGGCCACCTACAAACCCCGCATGAAGACGAATTCTACCCAGATATTAACCTCGTTGAGCTTTCCCAACAGGTTAGCAGGCTTTTTGTGCACAGCATTTAGTGTTCCAAGATCTAATTAAGAGAAATAACAATCACCACCTTTTTATGTTTGTCAAGGCAATAGTGGCAAGATCTGGTGATGATTTTGACTTGGCTTCGCCCCAGTCTTGTGTTCTTGCCAAGCCTCAAATCTACCACCTGAACTGGGGCTACCAACGCTTAATACATTATGTACTAGACGGGATATATAGAAGTGATGCCATGGCTAAGCAAGGGAGAATATGCCTACATCCAGCAATGTAGGTAAACAAGTGTCTAATGGTCCTCAAACCAGATCAGTCAAAGGCATAAAGAGAGCTAACACCTCAAAAGCTTGCGCCACTCGGCGTGTGTGGCTTTGATAGGCATTCTCTCTCTATGTCACAATCATCTTGTTTGATACTTGTTGTTGCACGAGGGTCTCTGAAGCCTTCGTGGCTAAGCCGAGGCTACACCCAACGAGCCTCTTTGTCTGCAGCCCTGAGATCGCAAAACCTTGATAGCCAGACTATCGCTTGTTGGCTGTTTCGAATTCTTTCTGCGCGACTATATAACGATATTCTAATTATTCGCATGTAAACTCTTGGTACTACGTCCTGGCTCGGTCAAGCGCGGGCTTTGTTCAATCTTCTTCGTGATGATACGCCCATTTCTGTTTGAAGGGAGGAGATGAGATTTTTGAAGCTCCCTTTTAATGATTTGATAGGTTTATGTCGAAGCAAACAACTCGAAGGGGTCTTCTTAACTACGACCGGAACACATGTACCAATCATTCAATCAGCGCGCCAGGCAAAACTACAATATGGCAAATCCAAGACCACTTCCTTCAGTAGATGCACGGCGGCTTGAGACTCTGGGTGTCCGGAGGTGCTCCTCATCATCATCGGTCCTAATAAGGGCTACGAAAAGATACGAAACTGACACCCGTAACCACCATGCCTTGTCAGTCTCCTAGTATACGCTTCAGCACCTAACCTCCTTCTAATACGAAGACCTATCGCACAGCCATCTCCAGAATAGTACCGTTTAATCTAAAGAATACTTCAGAATAGGTGTGCCTTCTCACCATGAAACTCTTTGCACTAATTGGGCTCAAAGCTGCCTTATGCGGTGCGTTAGCGGTACCCGCGCCGGACTCCCGTCTAATGGAAGAACGAAGCAAGCTGCAGAGCTGCACGAACTTCTATCTTGACTGGAATGGGAAGGGATTGGCCTTTCTCCACGCAGAATGCTATGGCTACAATTACAGACATGGAGAATGGAACAAGGTCGACGCCGGTATAGATCTCAACAAGTACGTCTCATATCCTAAGCCATTCATTGCCAAACTGAATCAAAATCATAAATACAATCTGTTTCGTTGACCTGAAGTATTTGCAGATGCATGGCCAACGCGGATGGCAGCTTGCAGGATCGCGAGCACGGATTCTTCGCTTCAACCTGTCATAAACTGAGCGTCATTCAAGCTCCCGACCCCGACAGTCATGCAATTCTATTCTCTGCGACATGCGACGGTCCACCGCCTTTGGGTGGAACAATAAGTACCCGCGATCTAGGTACGTAAAAATTGTTGTAATCCGTGGATCATTTGGGTGCTTTTCACTTCATGACAACGGAACGTGCTGACACTGGGATTCATGTATAGGACATTTTATTACTGTTGATAATGGCACACTCACTTGCTTCAATCTACAGGAGCCATATTGCCCTGAATGTTGGCATGCCGAGTAAGGAGGCCAACTCTTCTACACCGGTGATAACTATGTTGTGGGGAATTGATGGAAGGGGGTATTTAGATTTCGACTAGGTGTTGAGAGAATTATCCTGCAAAAACCTGGGTGTTTAAGGCGAGCTTACAGCATTTTTGGCCACAAAATGTTTAGATGTCATCATTTTGGTTATTTTCCTATTGAATTGTCCCAAGGAAGGGCACAGAGGACTATTTTAGCAGGTTTCCACGCAACACCCACCGCAACCACTATTGACTCTTCACGAGGCTTGATTGCATGTCTTTCGCCTTTGCGGTCGTCATAATAATGACCACGTTCACAGAAAACCCCGCCCCATGAATTATGCCCCTTTATGTAGCTCTTTGTGTACGATTTTATGCCGCTATCTTTGAGAAAGCGTTCGTGATGCTCTGTTTCAGGTGTGCATCAGCTCCATCGTCTTGCTGAAGGCGATCTCAACTGCGCTCCTGAGTGCTGGCTGTATCTCATTAGCACAAACTCTGTATGAACAATATTTTTGGCCTTACCTTCTACACTTCCACGAATTCCCAGAGCGCAGCATCATCACTGGACGCCTGTTTGATAGGATGATGATCATTATCGAACCCTAAGTACATTAACATTGGCCATTCGACTGGTTGAAGATAGCAGCCTTGGTTTCCCTTGGGCATGACCACAAATTTGCACATGCCATCGACCGCAGCCACGCGGGCACTATATGTACCAAGATATTTGCCTGATCCCGTTTCGCGAAATCCAAGCCAGCCCGCTGCTTGAATACAAGTCCAATAGCGCCCACTCTGAGGATCGGACTCTCCTACCCTCAAGACTCCAAGCTTGAGGTGGAGAAATTTGCCTGACTCCTGGTGGCGGATGAAGTAGGTCTTTCCTGGAGAAGGTAGACAGAGATTGAAACTCTCCTGGGTACAGAAGCGGCTGCTGTCCGGCATATCCTCTCCGATTGTGTGAGTGGGAGTTGCGAGGGAGTTATCTGACGAAGCGGATTCACTGTCAGCTTTCTCATCGCGGGATGCCATATTGATGGAATCGATCGGGAGCTTAGCAGGTGCTCAAAGTATTGTCGTCAGCACGTGTATTTGCAGAAGAAGATGGCAGTGGTTGTAAACAATGCAGTAGCTGCGTTGGGAAGCAAGTGGTGAATGCAATGGATATAGGAATTAGCTGGAAGGAATGAGAAGAAGTGTGAAATCACACTCTCTATCCCTTTCTTGCCCCCCCGCAAGGTATAGAAGAACCATCTAGAACAAACCTGCCTTATGTCTCTTAGGTACTTACGTAGGTAGGTAGGTAGGTACCTATGTATAAACATTTAGCACGTGAGGGGGTTCACCGCTGTCAAACCAGAATGGATCCATGTCTACATATGAAACTGTTAACAGCCTGTAATCTTTTGGCTTGTTAGGAAATGACCTAGGACTAGGCAGTAGAAACAGGCATCGTCGGGAATGACATCAAATCAGTGGCCTCTGCTATGGGTCTCTCCTAGGGGCTAATAGATGGCAAGGTCCTCATTGTTGCACGAAATCCCGAACTGGTAAAGGAAAGCAAGAACATTCAGACTTCCCTTGACTGTATTACGCAGGTCTTTGTTGTCCCCCTGAATCCCTCACGCCCTCACTTCATTATTACCGTCCGAGTCTCCGATGTGCTTCCTCAATTCCACCGAGGCTCAATGTTAGGGTGATGGATGCTCTACCAATCCTTCACGCTTCCACGAATTCCCATAACGCGGCTTCGTCACTAGATGTGGTGTTTACTAGGCTGCGGCCGTCGCTGTCGATGCCTACCCACTTCAATGTTGGCCAACGGAGAGACTGAAGCTGACACCCTTCATTTCCTTTGGGCACCACAACAAAGTATTCCCACTGGTCGTGTTTTTTCATCGTGGCGCGAAAACCGTTCTTTCCATTGTGCCCCAGAACGTTGCCTGACACTGTTTCGCGGAATCCAAGCCAGCCATCTTTTTCAACGCATTTCCAGTAGCGCCCACTCTGTTGGTCAGGCTTCCTTACGTTCAAGTCTCCATTCTTGAGGCAGATCATCTTGCCCGACTCCCGGTGAAAGATCATGTAGGTTTTTCCGGGGGATGGCGCACGGAAATTGGTGCCCTCGCGGATGTCAAGTCGAGAGACGTAGGACATGTTATCCGCCTCTGCTGTATGGGTTGGAGTATACACCGTGCTAGAGTCGTCTGAAACAGCTGATTGACTGTACATTTTCTCTCCTTGGCTGATTCTGACTTCTTCCACAAGGCGCGAATCCATGTTGTGGTCAGGTGTTTGCATATCGGGGCCTAAGATTGGCGATGTTGTTTCGTATGAGTTCGTTTCCTGTATGTGTTTGAAGCTGGACGAGAGGCCCAAGAGCAGGTATCAAACAGATGAGGTGAGTACAGGCAAGCGGGGTACACCTGGAGCTCTTGTTGTGCAGTGCTTCGCCCCCGGGCTACCTTTATTACATGTGGCGGCTAGGTACATAATAAGTACATCTATGTAGAGAGCCTACTGTTGACACCTGCACGGAGCATCTACCTATGGTGTATTATCTGGATCTCGTGGCCTTTTGATCTCCGTGATGTTGTTCTTAGGCATCTATATAGGTACAAGCACTTACAGATGGGTCACTTCAAGCTTAGCTGCCTTTCTCATGGAAATAGCCAGTTAGGTATAGTATAGTCTTGGGTTGGTGGCCGGCCTTCTTTGTTTGACACGCACAGCTACCAACGATGAGGATAGCGGCATGCAACACTCCTCCATATCAATTCGCCAAAGGTTCAAGTTACTAAGATCTCATCATTGAATCGTGTGGCCATGGTCATAACGGCTATATCACCAAGATTGTATCTCGAAATCAATCATGTTTATTTTTTATTTTTTTTAATTTGCCTCGATGACTGGCTAGGACAATGCGACGGTGGTCCAGCCACCGCTTTATGACCAAAGTATCAGAGTAGAGTGTACAGTTGTCGCACAGCACCTCTAACATTATTGGCTACTGCCTTCGAGTTGTTTGCTCTCTCCAAAACCTCATATACTAACGTCGTTGGTCAATGCTGTAGAGAGAACAATACTAGCGGTAGGTAGCTGACTTCTCTCCTTTTACGGGTCAAGAAGACCAGGGAAAAGGGAAAATGTCCGGTTAAACCAGCTGCTATTCCCCCATGCAAGTTCCTCACATATAGTAATTGAAGCAGCATTTAGCCCTTATTAAGATAGCTCAGGTTAGTAAGGACATCAAGCTCATTAGGGTGTCATGTTGAATGGGAAATGGGTTTGATTGAGTCAGGACATACGATCATTCTCCTTTATGGTGGTGCAATTGGATTCGATGCACGGCAGGGAAATGTTGAAGAGCTGGTGGCCGTTATCGCATCGGCATTGGTAGTCCTTCGTGTCGCATCCGACTGCCTTGAGGCCGTCGTTGAGGCACCCTCTGCCGCAATCGGGAATTTTGCTATCCAGCCAGTCCAGCGACGGAGGGGGTGTAACGGGGGGCATAACGGCGGGCCTCGCGGCGGCTAGCGACGCGAAAAGGGGGAAGGCGAGAAGGGTGAGCTGCATCTTGGTGCCCGGTGAAAAGGAGTGAGATGTAAAATGTTTGGCTGGACTGTAGAATAGGTAGTGTGGTAGCTGCTCGATGGCTCTGGGCATAGAAGGAATGGCTTGAGACTGAGAGGGAGTAAGTGATAGTTTTTCATTCAAGGCCGCCATCTTTCTGGCGAAGTCCACAGGTTATATACTCATTGTCTGGACCTTGATCCGCGTCGATGATACCCATCTCATAGGTAGTAGGTATTCTCATTATGATAGGCACATATTCACCGTAAGGATATAGCAAAGGGAGACCATTATGACTGTAGTGGCAGTTGGAGATGTAGTTGCGCAAACGCTTTACGTATTGCTTGATTGGACGACGCAAGCTCGGCGTTTTTTGTGAAGATCTCGCTGGCTGAGCCGCGCACATTTTCTGCCGCAGCTCAACGGCGTCCAGAGCTATTCCCAGTCTGTGACTGGGCGTGTGTTGGAGCCTGCCTCATAGAATGCTACCGCCCAATTCACACAAGGTGAGCAATTGGTATCGCTATATGGATGGTGAAAACAGGCACGAAATGAATCTAACCATCTCTTTCGGCCTGCTGAGGGAGACTGCCCGGAGACCCTTCATTTCGATTGCTCTTCTTCTTTCACCTCTTCTCTCTTCTTCGGGATGACAGCTCCTGATAGGCTGAACAGCAGAAACGAATTGAAGCATTCCGTATCATCTATACATACATACAACTTTAGAACCGACCATGAAAGTGTTCAACGCCAGCACACGTGTCGATTTCCATCAGTACGGCAAGCTTTGAAAGCGAGCTGATGTTTCGAAGGATGATGCAATGAAACTGTTAGAAAGCTACTACGTCGAGGGCGCTACTCTGAGGGCGCGCATAAGCTTAACTCAGCACTAGGACTCACCTAACCAGAGCTAATCGCGTGGTTGAAGGAGCAGTCAGGCTTAAGAAAGTCCTGTCAGCACTAAACATGATGTTTGTTTGCCCAGTTATCACCGACTTTCCCCAAGGCAAGGGAGTAGTAGATAGGCGTCAATCAAACAAACAAAACTTGAGAAACAGTTACAGAAGGCAGAATCAGACGTTTCATGTACATCGGATTACGATAAATGTCGCCCAATGTCCGTGTTGAGCACTTCAAACCTAATGTACGAATAGCTTCACTACCAGAATCATTGCCAAGCTTACGAAATGCCTGGTCGCTCCATCTACTATCTAGCTTGCACTAATATCGGCTAGCCACTAAGAGCGGTAGCGATAAACCTATTGTTTATTTCCAAGGAACTAACCAGCTAGAATTACCTCATTTCGGTTGCAGATTGCAACATACATGTACAAAGTGCTCTTCTCGACGGAACTACAACAACTCAGCACATAACTACGTAGGCCACTTAGAATATAGGGCAGCACCTTCGGACGTTCCTTTCGTTTATTATTGCTGATTTGAGATTGTTGGAGAGGAAATATCTCTACACCTTCCCGCTCGGATCTACACGTACGGCCGAGCATAACCCACTGCACCCTGCACCTCGTCATACTGTATACTGTAACTCCCCTCAATGATGCTTTGCACAATTACGCAGTGCTAGAAATTGATGGTCCCCTAACCAATTTTAGCTTAGAAATCTGATCAGCCCTATGACCAAGCTACTGTATATCAGTGGTGGGCACCAACTTAGTGTAGGCTCATACAAACTTGGCTGACTCAATCAACCCCACAGCTTCACGCCCCCTGACGAGAAGAGACAAGTTGCTTCAAGAAAGCATAAATAGATGAACTGGGTCTCTTGAGTTACGACTGCATTGCTCAGCCTTCTAATTATCTATTTATTACCAGCTGTTGTTGACACTAAGTTAATTACGTTGACTCGGACGATAGCAACATGGCATCTACTCACACCTCTGCAGCTGCTAGTAGCACCATGCCGACTAAAACCCGCGATATCCATAACCACCACATGGATTCAACGGTATGGGACGACTGTATGTATCATCAACTCTAGCTACAGAGCGCTCGACGCTCCGAGATATATACATATATCAAACCCCTTTAACGTCCATTCTTTAATCAACGGCCTACCAGTGAAATTCCGACCTGACGATATCATAATCTCGACCTTTCCGAAGGCTGGCACGACAGTGAGTATGCTCAACATGTCCAATCGACCATTCGCCCTCTTGATACCCACATACGAAACTGAGTGCTCAACTGAGATGCGCACTGGCCTCCTCAAAAGCCACCAGCTCATTATATAATAATTAACTAATGCTGTTTCGTGCAGTGGACTCAGCAGATCACTTGCCAACTATTACACGCGGGAGACGAAAAGGTAGCACCAAATGCGCTATCGCCGTGGGTTGAGCTGCGCGTCGTACCACGCGCTCAGATGTTACAGATGCTCGAGGCCCAGGAAAGCCGGCGCTTCATGAAGACGCATCTCCCCATCGATGCCTTAGTCTTCAATCCTAAGGCGAAGTATATTTTCTGCGGGCGCAATGGGCGCGACTCGATGTGGAGCTGGCACAACCACCTATTTGCCGCGACAGATATGTTCTACCAGCTCTTCAACGACAACCCGGGTCGGGTCGGACCCGCACTGCGGCGGCCAAGTGACGATCCGCGGGACATGTTCATGCAACTTCTTCAAGATGAAATGGATCCCGAGCTTGGATGGCAGTTCTGGGGCCACATCCTTGGGTGGTGGGAGGTCAGGAGCCTGCCAAATGTGCTCCTGATCCACTACAACGATCTTAAGGCCGATTTGGATGGCGAGATGCGGCGGATAGCGAAGTTCCTCGAGATTCCCGAGATGTCGCCCGAGCAATGGAAGGCTGCGGTTGAGCACTGTACTTTCGACTGGAGTATGCTACCCCTGAAGTCATTTTCATCCTATTTTTAAACGCTGGTGGAGGCTATAATTGTCTGCAAGCACGTCTTGGGAGTATATATCTCTCAAAACCTTGCTCCCGTTTTACCTAAGAGAGTATATACTGACTCCAACGCACTATAGTGAAAGCTCATGCGGACCTTGCAGCGCCGCAGCAAGCAGAAATGGCCTGGAAAGAGGGTGCGGCGAGTTTCAGTTCGTATACCCCTTTTTTTGCTTGACTTCTAATGACCTGATAATGAGATCACCATGCTTCATAAGCTTGAGATGACTTTTTTTTCTTCGCTCACAGTATATCAAATGCTGATTTTTTAACCCCATAGTTCACAAAGGCACAAACGGTCGTTGGAAGGACATCTTGTCAGAAGATGACAACAGACGATACCTGGAACGAGCTAGGAAAGAACTCGGAGAAGAGTGCGCTCAGTGGCTCGAAAACGGCCGTCTTCAGGGAGCCGTAAAGCTCGATTAGACCGGCCAACTCAGACTGGTCTAGTTTAATAGCTGAATGAACTCATTCCAGTGATATCAAGGTGTCACGGAACGACATAAGGAGTGCAGTACCTATGCCACTACGCCACCAAAAGGTAACGACGAGTTATCAAGTCGAGGGCTTGACGTATCTGCACTCACTATATAGTACTGTACTGTGACACAAGGCGCTTCTCACTTGTCTTTTTTTTTTTTTTTTTTTTTTTGCGCGCGAGTCAATCCTGACACAGCCGAAACCCAAGCCTTTCCACCCTTGAAGCCCTGGTTTCAACCACCCAACACTCTTACGCTAGTAAATCATAATAATCCAAATAGCATTCACACTTCCCAAGGTTACTTCCATGTCTTATCGTATTGGTGGAGTCAACTGATGCCCATTTTGCCTATTACCATTGATGTTGCACTCGTGGAAATTTTGTTTCCATTTTTCATAGAAGGCAGGACCGTTCAGTGTACTCATATCGAATATCAGGTCCCCCAGGCCCATGTCACTCGGGAAGAGAATTCGCCAACAAGACTTCACATTCGGATATGCGTCGGCATCGTAAGGCAGTCCTGACGTTATTCCGTGTTTCCAATGTTCATGGATGTTAGATGTTTTCTTGTGGCAATCATCGCTTTGAGAGAGAGCATCATGATGGAAGCCTTGCTTTTCAGGCGCCCAAATGTTTTTGATCTTGGAGTATTCCCTCAATCAAGGGGAGGGTTAGACATCTCGTCGGTAAATTCCAGGGTCCCCGTTTCCCTCCTTCTGTGAGCAGGTGCTATCTGTAACTTGGACCACGGGAAGTCCACAGAGAACCCATAATTGGTAACATGTCATGGTTTATGTGAAAATTCTCGAGCTTCATGTTGAGGTAGATTTTCCCCACGAGTTTAAGTTGCCTATAAGGAGGCATTGACATTCTCATGCTGTCGGGAAAGATACCTACATCCAGCGTTACTGTGTAGGCCCTCATCGCCACATATCGTGCCAAGGAGCAGGCAGACATGAGAGAGGATATCAACGACCGCGTGGGCATTATCCTGTAAGTGCAATTAGGATAATTGCTGTCGAGTATCACAGGTCTGTGTCTCGCTTCTTCGTAGACAGCCCAGATCCATATCATCATTTGCAACACTTTGGGTAATCGACGTAACATATAAAAAGTTCTCTTCTGGAACGGCAAGCATTCCTCTGATGCATGTGGTTAGCACGCAAGCGCATCTACAATCGTAAAAGCGCGGCATTTTGTCGTCGCGAACGCTTTATGAGGCAGACAACCGACCCTGTGGTAAGTCCCCGCGAGAAAATAGGGTTTCCACAGAATGAGGCATGATTTACGCGGTAGAAAGAGGTCTTAGGTGTTAGATTCGCTTGTTCCTGCTGGAATATGTAGTGTCCGAATAAAGATAAGCTTAGGGTAACTCTTTAGGTATTTATTTCAATAAGATGGATACAGAGTCGTTCTCTTGAGGTTCAATACATGATAGGAAAGCTGTGGATAATATTCGTCAAGCCTGTTTGTCTAGGCATCAGACATGGCAGGTTTGAGAGGGATTGGGCGCGCCGTCCGAACATCTTAGAAGGAAGAGGACTGTTGGTGGATATCTGAGGAGGAGCTTGGGACGAAAAGTTCACAATAGGAAAGCGGTAAATGCACGTGAATGACCGTTTAACAAGACTCAAAGCAATGGCGAAGCGCACAGGGAGAGCGAAATAGGAATGTACGGGCCTAGCATGAACGAACCCGCAGATTCTTACAAAGAAAAGACCTTCATGTTCAAATTTTGCCTCTCATCTTGAAGTATTCCCTTAGCCTAACTGTGTAGCACCACGCAATGCTGTGTATTGAAAATCGTTCCAACAGATCAACAAGCCTGTAGGCTTTTAGTTGTCTGCCCCTATTGTCAAGCACTAGTGGTTCGATTCTATCTGATGCTTTCACCTAATGTTTTTTGTATTTACATACCCTATACAATATAAGAAAACTTACTAGCCAAGGGCCTGTGAATGGGATGTAAAGCAGTAACACTCATGATTTAGGCGGTGGGAATCCATCCAATTAAGCTAGCTAATCAAGTATTATACTCAAATACTTGCGCGGCGAGGTGCCATTGTCCTCCGGAGAGCCTTCTTAGCTTCTATTTCTTCTACTAAAGGTAACACACCCTGCTCCTTCAGACGCGCGAGGAAATCTTGTCCGTATTTGAAGCTCCTCTCGTAGATCTCATCAAACTTGCCAAAGTCCAATGTCCCATAATCATCAATAGGGGGACGCATATATATACATCCTGGCAGTGTCTTGGCTCTTTCAAGTGCATCAACGCTAGAGACATAGGCCAGTCGACCCTGTATCTCAGCTAGAGTTGGAGGGTTGGGTGTTGACGAGAGTGGGTTCCATCTGTTGAAGAATGCCCACATGCCTGAAAGCGTGTCTCCATAGCCTTGCGGCGTGTCATCGTCAAGAGAACCGACGTCGACCGCAAAAATAACATCCGCCCCTAGTGATTTCATGTGCGATACGGTCAAATTATCAATATAACCTCCATCCAGTAGCATGCTGCCCTCATCGCATAGCGGCGGCAACAACCCGGCCAAAGACATAGACGCACGAACATAGCGCCACGCATAACCGCTTGTGTGTATCTCGGCCCGACTCTTGCTTATGTTGGTGGTGTTGCAATAGAACTCGAGCCAAAAGTCTTCGATCTGATGTGAGCCAAACGTCTTGAAAATTCCTCGATTGAACTCATGACCCGTGGTATATGAGGCAGAGGGGTAGGTTAGGTCGAGGGCAAAACGCCACATGCTCGACATCCTCCCGGCAAATTTCTTGGCTAGGCCATACATGGGCACAATATCGGCATGGCGGGCATAAAGCCCTCCCATAAAAGCACCTATTGATGTGCCACCGATAATATCAATGGGAATTCCTGCTTCTTCAATAGCTTTGATTACGCCAATATGTGCAATGCCTCGGGCACCACCTCCACCAAGAACAAGACCAATAGACTTGCCACAGAGCCTTCGGGCTAGTCTCTGAAAATCACCTTTGAAGGCCGTATCGGGAGAATAGTATGGTCGTTGACGAATTCTTCGGGTGGTATACTTTTGTATTTCGGCTTGCAAGATCTGAACACGTTCTTTCAGTGTTGGGCCGCCTTTTTTAGCTGGAGCTGGCGGATGGACTGGCACGGCAGTTGCACCAAAAGACATTTGCATGTGATAGTGGCCACCATTGATCCAAACCCGATTTTTCAGCCAGGATCTAGTCAAACCCGGTTTAGAGTCACGATCGGCATGCAGGAGAACGAGAGATTTTCGAGCAGTTGATTTTGTCCCAAGCATGAATCTTTCATATTCGCCAATTTCAGGAGAGCTCTCTGCCAAACCTACTAGTAGAATACAATCTGCCTGAGTGATGCATGTTCGTGTCCAAGGAGCGGCAACACTTGTATCTATTCAGATCCTGTTAGCTCAACACCGTGACTTCGGGGGTAATGATGCTAGTGAAAGAGGTCTTGGATCAGGAAAAAATTAGAGTATTATTGTGCCTTCATCGACGGCGCTCTGGAAGAAATTGCTCATCATAACAAGAGGGGAAGGGGAGGACGGTGTGCAGAATCAAATGCTTACCAGCCACGTAAACTACTAGGCCATATTTTTCTTCTAAATCGGCAAGATATTGTGATAGTTTCAGCTTCCCCATCTTGTTAAAAGCATGCTTGCCTAGATGACTGAGAATTGCAGACTGATTAAGAGACGTAGCGTCATTCAAGTTACCAACTTGTGAGAGGGCATGCATGAGACGATTTCCAAATTCGACAACAGGAACTCCAGACCTGATAGGGAGGACAGCTACTGTTCGAATGTTGAGGGTTGATGAACTTTTGTTAATCGAAGTACCCGCTGTGGCGTCTGTTCTTGCATAGGTGCTGGGATTATCAACGATGTGCCGCATTCTCGACGCAATAATCTTTGAAATTTTTATAGTGATGTTGGGATGCTCTTGAGCAAGACTGTTGAAGAGAGTGCGCGGGAATTTGACGAGCTCCGTATCGCGTATTGCATGCAGCGTTCCGGAACGGGCTGACTCAGTCATGACTTCCAGCTCACCGACACTGTCACCTTGTCCAAACTCCGCCCGGACATTCATGCCACCGTCGCGCCTATCTTCCACTAGTCGTAGACGCCCATTGAGAACAAGATAGATAGCCTCACTCTCTTCATCCTTCTTAAAAATGACTTGACCTGCATCGACTTGAACCCACTCAAGGGCAAAATCGATATGAAGCAATAAGCGTGGAAGTAAGCTTGTTAATCGCTTCGCCATTGATAAAAGAACTATGGGGTACTTCTCGACAATCTTCTCGAGAGTCGTCCGTGGGATAAAACCAACATAGACATCAGTTTTGGCCACGACGTCAATAAACGACCGATATGATGACACCGTGCTAATATAACCTGCAATTCCACCGGGCTTGACCAAACCCACACGACGCCGGGCATGTGCTGATCCTTTATTATCGGTTCGAGGATTATGCGAGTCATCCGATAAGCCAAAGTTGGATGGGTTTCGAAGAGCTCTAGCAGGTGCATCGGCTTGATACATCGCATTGACCGAAGTTCTACTTGATGAGCTCAGAATTTCGCTGCCAGGGTCATCGGAGGGAACGCAGATATCAAGGAACCCGTCTATCACGTAGTATAATCCCGGGCTTCTTTCTCCTTGCTCAACAAGAACAGAACCTTGGTTGAAGAACACTATCTCAACCTCTTGTTTCATTTCCGAAGCCAGAGCTTGTACGCTTGGGGTTGCGTTCATTGAGAGTCCGCCAGATGTCATTGACTCAGAATCCCAATCTGTGGAACCCTCCAAAGCGGACATAAATCCAAAGGCGCTGTTATTATAAGTAGTCTTCTGCCTTCTAGCGTCAAACGTCACGAATCGGGGAGAGCCTTCAACGGATTCCTGGCCCCTTGACGATGTACCGCTAGCTTCCATGCCTAGGGTTTTAAACACGCACTCGAGAATGGAAAGACGGAAAAGATTATCTTCGTCAACAGATTCCCGAGGGTTAATAGATAATCGAGCCCGCTTTTGGGTCGCGAAGGGATTTACACTTCTTTGTGCTAAAGGGCTGTCCGCATCTGTTCCTAGGAGATCGGACGATTGCCAGGGCTGTGTCAAAGGGATCTCAAGCAACCCAGGAGAAATAACACCACCACTGCGAGCCATCTGGATATTAGCCAGGAGGTCACCAGGACTGGGGGTGTGTATTGAGCGTCTTTCTTGTGGAGAAATGATAGTGGATGCAACAACAGTCTGTGGCCGAGCCCGAGACATGGCCTGTAACGCAGCTTCTTTTCGCAAGCTCGTGGAAGATCTACGGCGATGTCCTGCGCTCGATGCATTATGCAAAGCAATCCCTTTGCCAAACTCCCCCTCACGTGCCCTCTCTCGTTCTTGGCTAAACTTCTCTTTGAGTCGTTCTAGCGCATCACCCCGAAGGATATTTGGCAACTGTGAAGTTGTAAACTTCATCATGCTTTTCTCCGTCTGAAGCACTTCGTTTGTCAACCCAAGATAATCGTAGGCCGTAGCGAGAGTAACACGCTGGAATCTAGACAGGATGACATGCACAATGTGTGCTGTCGCCTTAGGATATACTTTGATCAAGCGCCGGAAGGCGCTAGCCGGTATGATTGCAATAGTGGTGTCAATTGTCGCTCTCGCAATGATGTCTGGATGGACGGACGTGGGTATTCTCTTGGCAGAGGGGCGCTTAGGGCGCGGCGGCATAGGAGGCTCATCTAGTGAAATAGGAGGAATCCGTGGGAGAGAGGTCTCATGAGGAATTGGTCTGATGGTGTCCGCTTCATTTGCAGTGGATAGGCGGTCTAATTCTGTGTAGGCAGCGCCCGGCTGATCCAGAAACGGAGTGGTATTGTCGTGGGGAGTACTTGGGTCAGACGGCATCCGAGGTCTGGTGACCCGATTCATCAGAATAGGTTCCGGGGTTTCTTCTGACGGTACCTCGAGACGAACATCTTCTGTGAATAACGACATGATTGAGAATAGAGATGACATTGGATTCCCGTTTCGAACTTCCGTAAGAAGTTGGTACCGTTGTTGACCAGGCGCTGGGCTGTCCTCTTCCTCGCTAAATGAAGACTCTAATGACGAGCTCAGACCCACATTTGAAGTCGACATCAGACTGTGCTGCGAAGACTTCACGAATATTTCTACTAGGCCATCGACAACGAAGCAAAATCCTTTTTCATCTTCAAGGTTCAGGGTCTCGCCTGAGATAAGCTTTCGAGTTTGCATACTACGAGTGAGCTCATGGAATACCGGTCGTTCCAAGTAACCAAAGATTTTGATAGCATCAAGAAACTCATCCACGTAGTTGGACAGTCCAGCTTTGACACCTTCCTCATGGGTACCTGCGAAAGGATCCAACTCCGGTTCCTTGCGCTGAGGCTCAGGGGGGAGACGTGAATACATGTTGAGATATCGGTACCGCACAACCCACGTGACACCGGAGAACATGAGGAAGAGTATGAGGGCCCTGGAACTGGTGTCAGTAAACGAAGATTTGAGAGGGATAAAGGGGTTAAGTACAAGGTTGTAGCGTTCATTGTCACAGTCAGGCTTGTTGAGAAGAAAGTGAACAATAGCGTCGGCACAGATATGGTTGTGAGCTTCAAACTCCAATACAAAATCGACGAGAGAATGTGAAGTATGGATAGAAGAAGCCTCGCTATAATACCAAGCCACGACGATGTCTCAGTGTGCGCGACATGCTGTGTCCGAGCGAGTACAGACGCGGCTGTGGTGGTAGAACTCGCCATGACACTCGAAACAGCATCAGATAAGGCTGCAGAGCCACTAGCGAGAGCGGCAACCGTCATTTTCTTCTAGGGGAAACGACGAGTGTTGTTGTGAATCCTAGCATGCAAGGAAGACGTGGTGCGTCTCATCCTGCGGAATGGGGCCACGGCGCAGATTCGAGAGAGCGAGAAAGCTGGCTGAAGGTGGTCAGGCTGGTACAACTCGGTCCAGTGTGAATGAACCAAGAGCTGACGTTCCAGCAGCTTGTACATGGGGAGAAGAACATCTGGGGCCAATGCAAGTTGAACTCTCCAGGGAGAGTAATAAACCAAACCTAGTTGGCAGATGGCAGAAGGCAGAAGGCAGAAAGGACAGGATGAATAGCTCCGAGACATGAGCTCCCCAAGCTCGTTTACAAAAACAGAAACTTGTGACCTGCAGTGGGGGGGCTGTTGGTCGAAATTTCTTCCTCGGGCTTGTGAATTGATCCGCACCTGCGGCCCACAGCACTGTACCTACTTCCTTCCAGGGGTGCCGATTAAGTAAGTATATAGGTACCTAGATACCTACAGGTAGGTAGGTACCTAGGTAGCATGCTACAGTTACCAGCCACAGCTTAGTGCCACTAGCCTCGCTTGCTCAAAGGGCGATAGGATACCTATACCTGTAGGTAGGTACGTACCGATGCACAAGTCGGCCGTGGCTCAGGCACTAATTATCACTGAGGCTAGGTTAGCACGGTGCAAGGTGCTATCAATTTTTGGCGGGGTGTCACCCCACGTACATCCAGAAAGATTTCGAAAACTGTGTGACTCCCTCCACCTTTTATCACAACAACCCAGTAGCATTGCCGCAACCGCAAGTCTTGCACCATCGTAGCTTCGGCGCCACCTACGGCAAATTCGCCCTCATTCCAAAGATCCCGTCGTATGCGATATACTGCCCTGTGCCTGCCTTTACGATCTATTTACAACTGAACACCGCCGGCCACATTCGGCCACCATCTTCAATCCTCATCCCACAGCACGCCCCCTCAAATCGCCCAACATGTCGTTGACAAACTGCCGGTTCTATGAGGAGCCGTATCCGGAGATTGACAGCTTCGTTATGGTCAACGTGAAGCAGGTTCGTCGTCCGCGACGCATCGTGAATTAGAGGTGGTAGCGGGACTAACATTGCCTAGATCGCCGATATGGGTGCCTACGTCAAACTTCTCGAATACGATAACATCGATGGCATGATCTTGTTGTCCGAACTTTCGCGACGTCGAATTCGTAGTATCCAAAAACTGATTCGTGTTGGCCGCAATGAGGTTGTCGTTGTACTCAGAGTCGACAAGGAAAAAGGTCAGTGCGCTGAGTTCTTTCCATATCAATTAGCGCTGACCCCAGACTAGGATATATCGATCTTTCAAAGCGTCGAGTTGGCCCCGAAGACATCGTCAAGTGTGAGGAAAGATACAATAAGAGTAAGATGGTTCACTCCATCATGCGACACGTCGCCGAAAAAACCCAAACACCCATCCAGTCCCTCTATGAGAGTATAGCATGGCCGTTAATGAAAAAGTACGGACACACCATTGATGCTTTCAAATTCTCCATAACGTGAGTCTCCCACTCCTTCAGTTCTCATCAATCATGTTGCTGATCTGTGACGCAGAAACCCCGACGTATGGACCGAGATTACGTTTCCCAGCGATGCTGTCGCCGAGGAGCTCAAATCGTATATTGGAAAGCGATTAACTCCCCAGCCCACCAAAGTGCGAGCGGATATCGAGGTCACTTGCTTCGAGTATGAGGGAATCGACGCCGTCAAGACTGCTTTGCGGACAGCTGAGGCGCGCAACACTGAAGATAACCAAGTGAAAGTGCGGCTTGTATCACCGCCATTGTATGTCTTAACGAGTATGTGTCTCGACAAGAACGTTGGTATCACCCGACTGGAAGAGGCTATTGTGGAAATTCGTAACAGCATCACAAGCGCTGGTGGTCAGCTTGTTGTCAAGATGGAGCCCAAAGCCGTCACGGATTCGGATGATGCAGAGTTGCAGGCTCTGATGGAAAAGCGTGAGCGCGAAAATGCAGAGGTCAGCGGAGACGAGAGCGTCAGCGAGAGCGACGACAACATCCCCGAGACCGTGTAAACTGAATGAAGTTATGACTGGTCTCTCGCGTTTGGTACGGCTCATTAGAGGTCTGAGGAGTATCTAGGTCGTGGCATCTAGGTTGATCATTCGGAAATTAAAAGTTTCTAGCATGCAAATGGCATTCATCAGGGCATGGGAGGGGTTTGATTCCATAAGATTTCAGTCATGTATGTCGCATCGAACAGGGGCGAGCGGCTCTGCGGGCACCCTGGGACCAGTAGTGCGTTGTCCTCTCGATAGTAATGAACCGATTTACCTGACACTCTTATTCGACTGTGAACCAAATATGATCCTTTGCGCAATCTATCGGTATATCTCTTGGTTATATCCATGTGGTCGAAACAAGTTGGTTCGGTAGTAAATACTGTTTTAGCGCATACAAATGACAACGTTAGCATGGTAGATTTGGATGTGGGGCGTCAGAGCATAGAGTAGGTGGTGCAGGCAAGGCTATTTATCCAATATCCAATATCTACAAAGGTTGAATCTATCAGACATTTTATCATCCTCCCTGCGTTTCGCATTTCGATGCTTATTCCTGCTGTACTATTCCCCGGACACACGGCGTGCTGCACGTCTCTATCATATCGTCATGGTGTTCAGGCCAATATGGAGCAGGTATAAGCAGCAGCGCGCCAATCTCGGCCTATTCGGCTATTACATGTTCATGTTTGCGGCATCAGTTCCAGTTGTCATTTCATTCAACACTTTCGTTGTTGAACTCGCATGGATCAATGGCGCATCCATGTACCCGTTTCTGAACTCGGAAAAGGACCAAACTAGGCGCAGGGACGTTGTGCTCAATTTTAAATATAATGCGCAGTATGGCCTGCAGCGTGGCATGATTGTGACGTTTTGGTAGGGCTCCTAGTCTCATGAACCTCGGAAAATACTAATACTTACACTCGCAGGAACCCATTGAAACCTGAAGCTATGACTGTCAAAAGAATTGTTGGCCTGCCGGGCGACGTGATCCAAGCTCGCAATCCATATCCTGTTCAGACGGTCATCATTCCGCCTGGGCATATCTGGGTCGAGGGCGACGGTGGCGTGCGCGACAGTATGGACAGCAATTACTACGGACCGATTGCGACGGGGTTGGTTATTGGGAAAGTTACACATCTACTGTGGCCGCTTCACAGAGCTGGGCGCGTTCGGTGGTGGGAGCACGCAGACAAGATCCGGAATCAAACATGAATTGAACTGCTTATTTTCAGCATAGGGCATTGCAGTTTTGTATTATTTCCCCCCCTTTACACTCTCAAGGCGAAATATCTGGCAAAATCGGGCCTAATCGGGCCTACGAGAAAACACAATTGCCAAGCTATGAGAATTGCATGTAATGAGTACTTAGGTTCTGAATGTTATGCTATTAGGTGTTGCATATTCAATTTTCCACGGTGGCGGATATGGATCAAGCTTCTGGACTCCAGGTACACACAAAACTCGACTCATTTACACCTGTGTATCTATTGCATCCTTGGGTCTAGTTGAGCACCGGAAAGCCGAAGGTGAGTCGCAGAGAGGGCTAAATGCATCTAAAGTACCGTAGTACCGGCACAGGTACCAAGCGATAAGCGCGCACGTGCCACAGCCTGCAGCTGGATCCACGCTAAATACGTCAGTCGCGCTAGGACTTTTTCTACAGAAAATTCCCATATCTTGGTTGAGGACCCTAGAGAAGGGTCTCTCGCAGTCCGCCGAAGAGGAGATTGACCCCTCCAAAGAACCCAATTACTTTCCTTTCGCGTGCGAACACGAGAAGCACACTGCCTTTCCTGTGTGTGTGAGGCGGCGCCCCATATTGCCCGCCGTGTCCAAGGATGGACTTACAGCGCAAACAATTAGCACCTCGGAATTCAGATCACTACCACAATCACATTGTATAGAGACAATGACCTTTAGCGATGGCGAAGGGGAAAGGCGCCCCCCTTACACTTATGTTAGTCATGCGAACTTCGGAAAATGCCCTACGTTCAGCTTACCAACCCCGACGTTTAGTCTATGCTTGCCGGAGGTCTCGGGGGGACAACCGGCGATATGCTTATGCACTCGCTTGATACCGTCAAAACACGACAACAAGGAGACCCTCATTTCCCCCCGAAGTACACATCATTAGGATCCTCTTATTACAAAATATGGCGCCAGGAGGGCATAAGACGAGGATTATACGGAGGTTGGCTACCAGCCATGATGGGCTCCTTTCCGGGAACAGTCCTTTTCTTCGGTACTTACGAGTGGAGTAAACGACATATGTTGGATTATGGAGTGCAAGCCCATGTCTCTTATCTCACAGCTGGTTTGTGGTCCCCCCTCTTGGGTGGCTGAATTATTTAAGGCTGATATTCTGCAAGGGTTCATTGGTGATCTAGCAGCATCCATTGTTTACGTTCCGTCGGAGGTACTCAAGACTCGCCTTCAGCTTCAGGGGCGCTTCAATAATCCTTATTTCAAATCTGGCTACAATTATAAGGGGACATTCGATGCGGCAAGGACGATTATTCGAACAGAGGGCTTCTCTGAGTTATTCTCCGGATACAAAGCAACGCTCTATCGAGATCTCCCCTTCTCCGCTTTCCAATTTATGTTTTACGAACAGTTTCAGCATTGGGCTCGAGAGTGGAAAGACAGCCATGATATTGGTGTTCGCTTAGAACTTTTGACAGGAGCCGCGGGCGGAGGCTTGGCTGGCGTCTTAACATGTCCTCTGGATGTTGTGAAAACTCGTCTGCAAACCCAAATCGATCCCGTGCCAGTACCGCACAAGCCGAAAGATCGTATTAAGACCGAATCCAACCCTGTTATCAAGGAATCGCCGGCGAAGCAACCAAGAGCCCCCTCTTCTGCTAATTCTCAAATACGTCCAATCTCAACATCCTCGCCATCGACGTCATTACCACGGCCGGGTGCCATTCCTCTAGACGAAGATTCTATTTTCAGGGGCCTTAGACTCATCTATAAAACGGAAGGGATTGGCGGATGGTTTAGAGGCGTTGGACCACGTTTTGTCTGGACTAGCGTTCAGAGTGGCTGCATGCTTTTCTTGTACCAGACCATTTTACGACAACTAGAAACGTGGCGTCCGGTCGAACGCCAAGAGATGTCTCAATAACCCTGGGGTCGGGGTTGAGGGCCTCGCTATTTTCAGGTGGTTGGCATGTCTCGTGTATACAAACTGAGCATTTACAAGGCGTTGGGTTGGGGTGCCATAGACAAAGACGAACGATTAGAAATCATGTACCTTAGTAGATATATCAAACTCCTCCAAGATATTGTAAACTTCGAAGATAGAAAGCTCCAAGAAAGCTCCAAGCCAGCCAAGGAATTCTTCCTAGGTAATCAAGCAATAGTTCTTCAACGATGTCTGCACATCTTATATATACTGGGTAGGTACTTAGGTACTTAGCCCCTCCAGAGCATGGCCAAGAGGCATGGCATGATTAAAGTGGGGGATAAGCTAGATACTGTAGGTACCGTATGGTTCTTGTGATTGGGCCAATTGACGACCTCTCACCAACCACCAAACCTCGACCTGAAGCTTCAACGATAATCGTATCCCCATGTTACGGCACATCTCTTGGGCACGATAAAGAATTTCCTCGTCGGCTATGGCTAATTGGAGCGGGAGAATATGTCACCACCGCTGCCCCTTCCCTCAAAGGCGGCTGTTCGTGCCCTACGCAGCATTGCCCTAGGAACGTCGTGTGCGATCGGCGCGATACTCGAAGACCGAAGACGGCGAATAAGTACACTGAAGACAGCAGTTGCGAACAAAGAAAAGCTCAAGTCATCGAGACACTATCATCAATACAGCCTAGAGCAACCAGAGCAACCGTTATGGTCGCTAGACGATGCTTCCTTGGTCGGCCCGAGCATGCAATGGTCCGAATTGGAGAGCTATAGGTCTGGGAAGCATTACAAAGTCGAGACAACCGACCTAGAAGATGCAGTTACTGGCGGTATTGAAACTCGAGACCCGGTACATGATGAAAACATCGGAGGATATATACAACTACCTCAGCCGACACCATCACCGTCATTGCCGCCGCCGCCTGCTTCTCAACAACTATTTCCCCCGAACCGTCGGCCTCAGTACTCAGTGGCTCGCCAGTCAACACATGATAACCTGGTCTGTAGTGCGGTGCGTGCTTCTTCGCCGAGTCCAACAAGTGAAGTACAGAAGGACCGAAACGACCCCTTGCCATCGATCGAGAATCTTTTGGTGCGCCCAGATAGTGGTAAACTGGATCGAGCTGTTTCGTTATTCTTATTGAGTTATCCCAAATTCGCCTCTGGCCCTCAACGCGATGCGTGGCTAGCGCTTTCAGTCCGTCTTTCACAGGAATGTGAATCATGGAATCGATGGGAAGATTCCAGCCGGCTGTTAGCTGTTGTCATCAAGCTCGACTCGCTAACGGAAGCCCAATATTTGGCCTACAATCCGGGACCAATCATAGAATTCCTTCTTCGTCCCTCGGACCCTGATACACTATGTTCTGAGAAAAACGTAGATTCAGCAGCCGAAATATTTCTAGCGGAGCTTAAAGACAGGCAAGTAAGATGCGAGGTACATATGGAACGCATCGGCTGGCTTCTGTTACATGAATTACTATCATCTCGTCATTTTACTCTCGCCATACGCGTCTACTGGAGAATTCTTCGTTGGGCAGAGAACACGGAGCAGTGTGCAAGTTTAGCCATTCAGACGTTTCATCAGCACAATAACCACAAGGCAGTGATCAAGATCTTCTTGCTTCATTACTCACGCTTGGAGCCCGTAATGGAATCCTTTGACAAAACTATGGACTACGTCCTAAAATCCGTCGAAGGCTTGGAAGGATTAAGCGCGGACTCGATAGTGAATGCTTTGGTGGAAATGAAATGTTCCAGACCGGGAAAGCTCCAATCTCGATGGATAGTGCAGTTGCTGCGTGCTTACTGGACTCGCAGTAAGAATATTGCCAGCTCACAAAAGGTATTTGAAGATGCAGTCTCCCTTGGACTCTTGGACAAAGTGGATACCCCAGAAGTCGTATATCGCAGCATGGTGGAGATTGCAGTCCAAGCAGGAGATGCAGAGGTGGCACATTGGTATGCCGACAAAGTTATACATGACCACCCCAATATAAAGCACGAGATCACTCTTAAATTAGTAGTGCTGAAAGCAATGGCGGGCGACTGGAATGGGGTGTTGTCAACTTTCCAAGAAGCACGAGCCAGCCAATCGATTCAGCCAGATTCTTACGACAGCGCCTTTACAGTCGTACTGAAGATATTTGCTGAGTCAAACTCAGCTAGTGATACCCAGGAGTTCGTCATGCTCTTTGTCCGAGATATGGGTGTTCGATTCCACCCCCATACGGTCACACTTGTGGCTAAAAGGTATGGGCAAACTCGTGATATGAAAGGGTTGTTGGCGTGGCTAGAACTTTGCAGCCAACATGGCTTTGCTTTAGATGCCGGTTTCTCCAACTCAGTTTTACATAGTTGCTGGGCGAAATGGGAGATGAGCTTTCCAGAATTGCGAATGGTATATGCAAAAATCAAAGCTCTCAACCCACGTAGCAATGATGAGGTGACGCGGAGGATTATGAGTCAAGCAGCTCATCGTTCAGGTAAAGGATTTGCTAATGTCCGGCCCGGGAAGATGATTACGGTCAACAAATTGGCATACATTGGGAGATGGTCAAATCAGCGCAATGTTTTAGAAGCTATGAATCAGGAGTTGATGGATAGCAAGCCTACAACAGCGGTTAGCATATACAAGCGTGCCAGACGCTCCGGCATGCCCTTTTCTAGCCACTGTCTTAGGCTCGCCGTCTTAGCAGCACTCCAAGCAAAGAACCTTGGCGCCGGCCCTGCTCTCTCTTTGATTCAAGATGCACATGCTCAGGGCCATGAGGTGGAGCCTGCCGTGGCTGTCTTCCTTAAGCAACAAATCGGCGCATTTTTTGGCAGCCCCGAGGACGTGATTATTCACATGCGAAACCTCATCAGCGGCTTCGAATCGGCGCAGATAGCCATTGCTCCTGCTGTGCTCACTCACATGGCAACCACGTGTGTCAAGATCGGTCAGCCCGAGAAAGCTATAGCACTATGCCATATGGCTAAGAACAGGACTGGGTCATCGCATCTATGCTTTTCCCGACAAAGCTTCAAAGCGCTTGCAAGTGCTTACTTCGAGTTACTAGATATTGTAGGGATGAGCACTCTCATAGACGACCTGTGCAAGAGCGAGTTTTCGGCTGACAAGTCGGTCTTGTTACATCTCAAGTCGATCCGCAGGCTGGCGAACAAGCTAGACGAGAGCCATGCCAAGGCAGCGCTTTTAAAAGTGATAGAGGATGGAGTCCAGCGTCTCACTCAGTCGCGGGCTGAGATTCGCTCACAAGGAAAGCTGATATCACACAGAACCTTGGAGATAATAGATGATGCAGTTAATGACCTGCAGGCGCAGCAAGCGGGGAAGAAGACTGCGACACAAAGCTGTACAGTTGCATATCAGGCTGAGGAAATTCCGCCGCCGGGGATTGTACAGCACGAGGTAGCTGTAGGATAAGCATAGAGCGAACGATTTTATATACAAGGCATCAAACATGGATATACGGATACATAGCATAGATACCACGAGAAGGCGCTCATGTTGCAACAATAGCTATTAAAAAAATTAAAAAAAAACTCATGAATCAATTGTTAAGCATTGGCTATGATTTATTCCTCAGTTACTGTGCATATTTATGCCATCACCTGAACGTTTTAGCCACCTAAAAAGCGTCTGTGCTGATATCACAACGCTCACGTACGGAGGTTACTTTTGATGATACAGACATTTCTATTCATTGCTTTGTCTCTTCCATACGAGTTAATATTTCTATGCTGATTCAGAATATCTACCAACAGGGATTCAAAAGGGGTTGCCTCGTTTCCTACCTACCCAGGCGCAGGCGTTTTAGTGTACCGGTACTTGGGTACAACTACAGGGTCTAGCCATACCTACCTGGGTCTGCCTGGCTAGGCTGGGCGTAGGGGGCTAAACAGCCTAGCCGATCCGCTGTCAGCTCCTTTGGCTCTTATTCGTATAGCGTCCGCTTTGATTGGCGGATGGCGCAGAAGAGCCGGGACTTGGCATCAGAATCGCCAGGTTAAAATTCAGAATGTTGGGTAGCGTCAAAGTCACCAACCGTTACAGTATCGATTCAGGGCCCTTTGGGACTGTTGTTAAGACTGTCTCTCTCATCGGCGGCCCATTGTCGAAGATTAGCTGCTGCTCATTGCCACGGTCATGGTTCGACATATCGTTCCATCATGACCTGACGGACACCGAGATAGATCATAACTATTTCTTTCCCATTGTCACGTCCCTTACCGCCTCTTCACTTCCTGTCTACACTTCCTGTCTACACTTCCTGTCTCCAGTTCCACCTTTAGCCTCTCTATTCTTAATAATAAGCTTCGCTGTCACTGAGTGTTACCGTTGCGAGCTGTCCAACACTCTCTCCTCCCATTGCTCCACCCATCCTGCTAGTCACATAGCCTCCTAGCCGCCTCCATCGAATTTATACATATCCAATCGAACGATTCGTCGCGCAGAACCATTCTTAATGAGTCAAACAACGAGCACCTCGATTTCGACCCTCCAAGAGGACCTCGCCACTCGACGGTCCACATACCATGAGGCCGAGGTCGTGGTAGTGGGCGCGGGCGTCTTTGGATGCGCCGTTGCCAACGCCCTTGCAAACCAGGGACGCAGCGTCATCCTCCTAGAGAGGTGGATGAAGGAACCCAACCGCATAGTTGGCGAATTGTTACAGCCCGGTGGTTACAAGTCGCTGGAGAGGCTAGGTCTAGAACACTGCGTTGAGGAGATCGATGCGGTAACAAATGTCGGTATGGACGTGATATGGTACGGCAAGGATATGTGCATGAAGTACCCGTATCCCAACGAAGGGAAGCGCGCAGCCTTCCGGTTGTCGGAACTACCGGTGAACAACAAGGGCAGCGCATCCAAAGCCACTATCGGAAAGGCAAAGCAGGAGGAGGAAGACCCCCGTAGGCCCAAAGGCCGAAGTTTCCATCACGGTCGCTTCATATCGCAATTGCGGAAAACATGCATGAAGAACCCCAACATCACCATATTTGAGACCGAAGCTATAGCCACCGTTAAGGGCGACAGTTCAAACGAGATTCTGGGGGTTCAAACACTGACCGTGAATCCCAAGACGGGACAGAAAGAACCGGATTGTTTCTTCGGCCAATTGACTATCATCGCCGACGGCTACGCCTCCAGATTTCGTAAAGAGTATATCGGCCGCGCACCGATAGTTCGCAGCAAGTTCTACGCGCTCGAGCTAATTGATTGCGTGCTCCCACACTCCGGCTACGGACACGTTGTCATTGGCGGGAAGACCTTATGCCTGTTATACCAAATCGGGACCCATGAGACCCGTGCACTCGTCAATGTGCCCGAAAAATTGCCAGAGGCAGCGCCAGCAGCAGGTGGTGTACGCGGCTATTTGAAGAACGTCGTGCTTCCACAACTCCCTGAATGTATCCAGCCTTCATTCCGCGCAGCGCTCGAAAAGGATGACAAGATCCCCACCAGTATGCCAAACAGCTGGCTGCCGCCCACGAAGCAGGGCACACACCCAGGTCTAGTGCTCCTGGGCGATGCGATGAACATGCGGCATCCGCTAACGGGCGGCGGCATGACGGTGGCGCTCAATGACGCCATAATCCTTTCAGAGGAACTCTCGCCGGAAAAGGTGCCTGACCTAGGTAACTATGTCGCCGTGCGCCAGGCGATGGCGGCGCTGCACTCACGCCGTAAACACCTGACCTCTATCATAAATGTGCTCGCCCAGGCGCTATACAGCCTCTTCGCGGCTGAAGACAAGAACCTCGCCAAGCTACAGCGCGGGTGCTTCGCATATTTCGAGATGGGGTGGTCCGCAGATCCTATGGGCTTCCTTGGCGGTCTCATTCAGCGACCCCTATTGCTCGGGTACCACTTCTTCTCCGTGGCCTTCGTAGCCATCTGGCTCGACTGGAAGGATACGGGGCTCTGGAAGGTGCCCTTATTGCTGTGGAACGCCATCAGCATTCTCTGGACCGCCAGCGTCGTCTTCCTCCCCGTTATGATGCAAGAATTGCTCTGGTAGACAAATATTACAGCGAACAAAATAGGGAGACAATGAGCAGGCGGTAGATGACCCATACTGGGTCATTCACAATGTACACTATTAGGTAATACGTAATAATTCATGCTCCAGCTGAAAGACGAGTCTTGACTTGGTCAAGCTAGCAGATCATATCCCCCTGCCCTAGGGAGAGGGTGGTATCAAATGAATGAGATAGGGATGGGATGAGCCGAAGAAGACATAATGAGTTATGTAGACCTTTATATACGCTTCAAATGATAATAACAATGTTTACGCAGTCTCGTCAATTATTTTCGCTCGAGGTCATGTCTAACCACGACTGCGTTCAAGCATGATTTAGTCCCCCTGGGGACTGTTGATGTAAACGAAGCTAGGAAGGTATTATTAGTAAGGTCGTCATCATTATCTTCTTTATTTACTTCATTGTTTCCGAAAGATCTGATATCGTGATCTTTTGATGCAGGGATGATGAAGAAAAGTCAAAATGGGTAGCTATTAGTTGAGGAATCCTGAGCCGGCGAATCATCCTGCTATACCATACTTCATAGCGAGAGATGCCAGCACACTTCGTTCACCATGTTTCAGTCAGGCAAGATATCGGAATCGGTACAAGACAAAGTAACGCAACGCTATGTTTATTTTAGGGGGTATATAGAACACAACGCGTATGGCGGCAGATTGGGAATGCAAATAAATATACAGGGGGAAAACAAGACGCCCATTCGATTCCCGATTCTACTATAGGTACTGGGAGGGCTAAAACGCAGCCTATGTCAGACGTCTCCTATACACGCCCATCATCCAGCTTGCGCGTAGCACGGCGAGACCCACCGCCATCTTGATACTGTCTTGAATGACATTCAGCTTGCTTCCATCGACCTCGTGCCAATCTATAGGGACCTCTGCGACCTTAATGCCGGGGGAGCTGCCAATAACAGCGCCGTCTGACCCGAGCACCGGCACGGCGGGCGCCGACTCGGCCAACATGAGCATCTCGATGTCGAAGATCCACCCTTCGGCGTGCATGTAAGGAACGATGTGGGGGAGGGCGGCGCGAGAGAACAGCTTGAATCCGCACTGCGTGTCGCGAATGCGACTTGTCGCCGGCGGCGTCAAGATTGTGAGGACGAGATGGAATGAGCGCATCAGGAAGTTCCGGAGCGCCGATCGCTTCACCACCGCTTCGCTGCCCACGAGGTGGCCACGGCTACCTATGGCAAGGCCTCGGTACGCCCCGTCTACTACCTCCTCGCAACCCTCCACCAGCTTGCCCAGATCACTGAACCTAGAAGCTCCATCCGCGTCGGCAAACAGGGCGTATGCGCCCCGTACGTGGCGTAGTCCATGCGTTACTCCCCCACCCTTGCCGCGATTCTTCTCGAGCGTCACGATGCGCAGAACGTCGTGCAAGTCGTGCTCGCGCGCGAACTGTAACGCCACATCTACCGTCTTGTCACTGCTTCCGTCGTTTACAATGAGGATTTCATAGCCGGAGAGATCCTCGCGTGGCGTGTTCTGAGCATGAGGATGGCGACGAGGCGTAGCTGGGCGAGATGACGGCTTCTTAGCGCCGCTGTCTGGCCTCAGGTGGGTGGCGCGGCCATATGTTGCATCAAGATATTCGACCGCTTCCTCCAGGGTAGGCAGAATCCGTTTCTCTTCGTTGTAAGCTGGGAAGACAACGCTTACCAGCACCTCAGCCGGCTCAATGGCTCCGGTGTCAGGTACGAAGGCCGCAGCAGGATCGCTCCCTTTTCGCTCTAATTGCTCGCTTTGGCGGCGTTCGGCCAGCCAGCGGTCATGCCAGCATGGCAATTGCCTTCGGACGGTTTCTTTGCTCTTAGGGGTGGTGGTGATGTAGGTTTTCTCGGAGGGCAACACAGCTCGGGGTTTAGGTGCAATGAGGTGGAGTAGGACGAAGAGCTGAGAAAATGTTAGCAGATCAATGAGGTCTTTCATAATGCCTTAAATTCCATGATTCTCGTACTCCATAAAAGGCCGCTGTAAGCAGCACGCCCGCTCCTAAGAGAAGGTGCATCCAACTCTCACTGACGGTCTTGAGGAGAGAATCCATATTTGGCGCAAGTTCAGGTCAAAAAGAGCGGTTGCCCCCGGCGAGATATTCGCCGAGATAGGCGAAAGATCGCGAATGGTGGTAGAATAGCTTTCTGTCACATAAAAATAGTAGTAAAATATGTACCTGGGTAGGTAAATGTCGGGAGAACCGAGTTTCCTAGAGCGCGGTGTCTTAGGTAGATTCAATGTTGAATTAGAGAGCAGAGCTCTAAAAAGCCACGTTGAAGTTGACGAATCAACTGCGGTAATCGTAATGCCAGAATGGTTGCAGGGTCTACCCCTAGCTTAGCGTCCCTAGTGTGCCTACCAGGTACCTAATCGTGCCTATTTATAGCGCGGGGCCGTCCATGACACAGCGCCAAGAACGCTGTATGTACCCCGCGAATTTGAGGCTTTGGCATGGGTACCTACTGTGAGGCAGTTAGCCACCCCACACACCTACTATTACCTACCTGTACTATGTAGAGTGTTTCTAGAGATCGTATTCTTTCTCAAACCGGCCCAATTGCTTGACATTAAAGTCTTCGGGTAATACTTCCAAGCCCTGAATCTCTGGATTAAGAGAGGTAGTGATATAGAGGGTATGTATCATTGCCGGGCAGATAATAGTATAATTCAAAGCTCATTCATCCAGCGACGCCGAAGATAGTTAAAACCCTGTCTATAGATCGAGTGACAAGCCCACGAGCACCGAAGTGTAGATGAAGACTAGATAGTGTTACGGTATTCCGGTACTTCGGTAAGATCAAGGTTATGAAAACCATGCATATACTGTTTCCGTGTGTATAGTTGCAGCTAGACAGATTCGCGTTGTGGGTGAAGCTTGGAAACAGATATGCTCAACTGTTAAAAGTTTACACCAAAGGTAGCGGTGTATAATGTCTAAAATAAGATGAGAATCATGTTAACTTATCGAAAAGCAGTGCTGCACGGAATAGGAAGAAAATTAACTTGAAATTTCTCAAATCAGGCTTAAGGGAGTAAAAGAGAGACATGACGAAAACACCCAACTCTGGTACCTCGGTTTTAGCAATCGCTATACGGGAGATTTTCGGCAATTATGAAGTGTATCGAACCAGTCCATGTTTCGCCACCAAATACAAAGATATTCTGCAATATACAGGTCTCATTTCCAATACGGGCGAGTCGTGACTATCAGTATCCATATTGTGAAGAGCTGTGGTGGCGGTGTAGCGAAGAAAACGATAATGAGTGCTTCGAAGACGGAAATGAAATGTAGCCTCTTTTCCCATGCTTTCAACCCAACAGCAGGGGCGTAGTATATGAACTTATCCCACAGTGACGGGTTCGTAAACACTTCCCACCGTCTAAGTCGGCCGTCAAGTGGGTTAAGGCCCCAGTGTTCACGATCCCGCCAATGGCGCAGATTTTGAAGCTCCCCTAAACGATGTTTCCAGAACGGCAGCAACTCGCCGTTAGTATCGTATGGGTTGGACGCGCAGAATTTCCGCCAGCACTGGATCACCTTCTGCGCTGCGTCTTTGTCCACACTGAAATATTCTCGGTGACTCTTTGGACACTGGCAGGAGAAATTGTACCTGAGATCCTGCAAGTGCATTTGCACTAACTTCTCGGCCCTCCTGAATAAAATAAAAGGCATAGCCTTAGGGTCTAGGTGCGGCTCTATCGACTTATGCCTGCACGTGGACTTGATGTCGTCCAATCTTTCCTTCTCCAACCTCTCTGTGCTGCCAATCTTCAAGATTGTGCGATCCGGCTCACTCATGGGTACCACCGACCATAGGTAAACGGTGCCGATCTTATTTTCTCTCATATATTTCTTTTCCTTAGCCCCCAAGGCCGATTTGAGTTTCTTCATAATCTCTTCGTCAATTTTCTGCGGCAGATCTTTGGGTAAGATGTTTCGTCCGGTGGAAATTTTAGCGGGCGCTGATGCAGGGTTTCGAGGCAGGGGTCGACTGGGAGGTTGCTGTGGCGTCGAGGGCAGTGATTGAAGACTGGGACTTCTCTGGAATGGGTTTGAGTAACTTCTCCTCGGCGAAGGAACAATGGATCTATGACGAGACTCATTGACTTGTTTGGGGTGGTCCTCTTCATTTACGTGGCTTCGATGACTGTCCGTACGTTTCGGCGTATCTGGCCGAGATCGCCCCTTCTTAGCATAATGTGATAGACGTCGACTTGGGGTTGGGGTAGAAGGAGGCTTCTGCTTCCAAGATGGTATTCTGGTAATTGTTGGGGTTGCGAGGGGAGTCGACGGGTTCCTAGGAGTTGACGGGGTCGTCATGTCCAACATTTCATCTACGTCGGTCTTCAAGTTTGCTTTCATATTCGCTCTCATCCACGTGGCATAAACAAGTCTTTGACAAGAAAGCTATATAATCAAATGTGTTTTCACTATGAAAGTTATCCTTGTTATATATACCTAAGTCTAATGGCAATCCATAGAGCGATGGTTGTGGTGTATTGTCCATCCGCCCAGAAATGGAAAGTGAACACTCGCCCAACATACACAGTCGTAAGAGAAAAGCAGCCGCAGCAACGTGAAACCAACAACAGGCAAAACTCCAAGGGTATATCCGTGGCTTTGCAGCAATTCAGCCTTGAGCTCTCCCGTGATACACTTACAACGAACAGCAGAATCGTTACCAGGGCTCTCTACAGGGTTGTGACTAAGAGTAACAGGGGTGAGTTACCACGCCGCCCAGGTGCAAATGGAGTAATTGATTGCTTATAAGGTCAACTGCAAAGAAGTCTGCTGTCTAATAAATTAGCATCCTTATAAAGCGATATCACTAACTGAGTCGTTGGCGGAGCTTCTTGAGCTTTTCTTGAACGCGCAGGTCGTAGGATTCGCGCTCATGCAGGTCATGATGCCTCCTGCTTAAGCGCCGGGTGACTTAGAGGCCGCCTTTGAAAGCCTAGGTTGAAACACAAGAAATGTGAATGTCAGCACTTCTCACAAGCTCACGAACATGTACTCTGGCTGAGTGGTGTACAGGCATCGGAGTGATTATACCCAGCAACTTCAGACCGAGCTGGAGTATGACACTCCAATGCCAATTAAGCCTAGCATACCATTCAGCATATGCCAGCGTCATAGAATGATCCTCTAACTTTAGACATAAGTATGTAACATGCTAGATACCCCTTATGTACCTGGATATTGTAGATAGTGGTTCATTCATTAACCTACCTACCTACTCACTGACACGAGGTGATTGTGTGTTGGCGGTGAGAGATTCTGCCGGTTGAGTAGATACCTTCTGGGCTGTCTATAAAATCTTTTTTTCGCCCCCACCCTCCTTCTATTCTTCTTTCTCCTTTCTACAGCGGCGGCGGGCGCGGCCCTTCGGGACACGCGGGTTGTGTTGCCTGTTGATCAAAAACAATGGACAGCTGCTGATGGCTCCGGCCGTTGGCACATCTCGAGAGATGACAGCATAATTTTTGATATCCATTCTCTCTCATCTTTTCATTGAGCTCCCTGCCTGTGGCAGGGACTTGAAGAAGAGGCTCTGTCCCATTTCGAGGTCGTATCTGTGCTAGAAGTGTTAACTTAGGTACGGTCTAAATATTAGGCCTACCTATCAGACATAGGCACAAGTAAAGACTCATGTCTTCATTTCATCTGAAATATTCTGCCAAGCAGGTATCTGAAATGCCTCATCTCCGCTCAGAGCTATCTACGTGTCCTACCTTATATGAGCTGGTGAGTCTAGAACCCCTAGGCAGTAAAACGTAAAGGATTGCAGTATACAGCTAACCACATCTTGATGCTTCCTATCAAAGCACAAAAAGCTGCCTTGCCCGTGAAGTGCAGCGTGAGGGCTGAAATCAGCTGACATCGGCTTCCAATCAATACCAAGCCGCCTTGGTAGCAGCCGATGCAGCAGCCAAAACCAAGCCGACGTATGGGTATACATGCACTCGTGTAGCTACTAACCTTCTTTTGTTCGAAGCTGTCATCAGGTATTATAGTTTTAAATGATCCAAGTAGACTACTGACTATTGATGGTATCACAGATCCAGTTTCGGTGTTCCACAAGCTCCTCACCGGTCTCATCACATCAGAATAATAGCAGCAAGACGCGTCTACCTACTTCAACCACTTTTTTTTTTCTCTCTCGATAAATACGACACTAGCCGTGAACCGCCATGCCACATACCAACGGTCGACACCCCCATTTCGGTAGAATAAACGCCTCTTGGACATCACTCCTGATGCATTACCAAGGACTACCCTGTGGTGATGCTGCGAGCCCACATCTGACGCGAACCACTCCGCCATTTCCCGCCGTGTAACAATAGTAGACGAGATCGGTTTCCATCTTGAAGCTGAAAGCTGCGCCATAAACGGCGATCGTTAACCCGGCAGTTCCGACTGGCACAACAGACGCGCTGTAATCAAAAGAAGCGTGCAGAAAGCGTGCATATCCGATGCAACAAGCGCAACGGTCAGCGAATTGTTAAGGCAGGCTACCAGTGAGCTTAATCTCCTAGGTTACCAACTATCGGATACTATGTTGTCGATCAACGGGAATCTCAATTTGCGAACCGCGTTACCGACATTGGATTAGCTGTGCAGAGGCGCGTGGGCCTGGTGACTGGTGTTGAGCTCCGTGACTGGCTAGATGGCCGTGTAGCTGAAAAAGAGGCGCCTGTGCCAAGCGCCCTCCGAAGACTTTCGATAGCTCGCCCTCGTTTATAGCCTCAAGTGACCTCACGATGCGTTGGATGATCGTCTCTTGCAAGGATGAAATCGTGACAGTGGAGGTGACGAGAGAGGAGGCACCTCGTATAGATGACTATAAAGACGATGGGTATGCCAGAGATTTTCGACGATTGGGCAGGTCGGCAGTTACATTGGATATAGGTAGTTTGCTCTAATGGGTTCCTATACTGCTCGCCGCAGCCTATGGCTGCGTTTTCTCGCCGTTATCCAGGTCTTTTTCTCCCTGGTGCATGCCCAATACTCATGGGCAACGTCCATTTCTCGCTCAGGATGGACAGTCTCAGCAGATAGTTCCCAGCCGGGGAACGAGGCTGCCAAAGCCATCGACGGCGATAGCAGCACATTTTGGCACTCAGCCTACTCGCCGACCATTGCCCCTCTACCACATTACTTTCAGGTGGATATGAAGAAGAGTTATGTTATCAATGGCATCTCATACCAGCCGCGGCAAGATGGTAGTTCCAATGGCAATATTGGCCAGCACACAGTCACCGTGAGCAACGATGGCACTACGTGGAGTAGTCCGGTGCAGTATGGCACATATCTCAATGACAAGACCACCAAGACCACCTTCTTCTCGAGCACCACAGCCCGTTATGTCCGCATTACTGCGCAAACAGAGGCTCAAGGTGCCAATAATCCGTGGTCAAGCATCGCAGACCTGAATGTCTTCAGTCCAGACGTCAACCTCAACCCTTCCACGTTCAAGCCGCCTCCTACTAGCCTAGGAAAATGGGAATCAACCCTAGTGTTGCCCATTGTCCCCGTCGCTGGTGCACTATCTGCCGAGGGGCACCTAATTTTCGTGAGTTGCCTTGGGTTCTGCTTGTTTCTTCAACCCATCGTTTCTGATCGTTGACTGTATATTGCAGTGGAGTGCATATCGACCAGACCTCTTCGGTGGCGGTACAGGTCAAACATTGACCGCCTTATGGACTCCTGGATCTCAAACCGTGACGCAGCATACTGTTTCAGAGACTCGCCGTAAGTGCTAAGCATCGAGATCCACAACCCGTGCGGCAGCACTTGGAAGGTGATATCCCTTGAGTAAGCGAGCTAATAGAGTTGAAGACGATATGTTCTGCCCGGGAATATCCCTAGACGCGGATGGCAACATCGTCGTAACAGGTGGCAACGACAGCAAGAACACAAGCACGTACCACCCCTCCAGCTCAGGCTGGGAGAGCGCAGCACAGATGGTGATCGCGCGCGGTTACCAGTCGAGCGCGACGCTAAGCGATGGCTCGATATTCACCATCGGCGGGTCATGGAGCGGTGGTATTGGCGGTAAGGTCGGCGAGATCTACTCGCCAGCTACCGACAAATGGACAAAGCTTCCAGGCTGCGATGTGGCACCGATGCTCACAAATGATAACCAGGGCGTCTACCGCTCTGACAACCACGCCTGGCTCTTCGCGTACAAGAGCAACTCCGTGTTCCAGGCTGGCCCGAGCAAGAAAATGAACTGGTACTATGTCAGTGGTAATGGATCATACAAGCCTGCTGGAACGCGTGCTGCGGACGGAGATTCCAGTAAGTCTTTCTCTTTCCCCTTCTAGATTCGGCCCTCGAGTGGATATATTGGGGCTATTATCACATGACAACAACTTCTTACAATCCGGGATCATGCTTCAAAGTCCGCTAACCAACCTGTTCTCATAGTGTGTGGCGTAGCTGTAATGTTCGACGCAGCGAAGGGTATGATTCTCTCCGCCGGCGGATCTCCATCATATCAGGACTCCAATGCAACTCCCAACGCGCATCTCATCGAGTTAGGCAATGTAGGTGCGATCCCGACCGTTACTAAGCTGCCCAGCATGAAGTACGCTCGTGCGTTTCACAACAGCGCTGTCCTTCCCGACGGCACAGTGCTCGTGATCGGCGGGCAATCGTACCCTGTCCCGTTCACAGATACGACACCCGTATTCCCAGCAGAGCTCTTCGATCCGAGAACGAAGACATGGCGCACGCTGGCCTCGATCGCCGTGCCGCGCACGTATCACAGTGTGGCCCTCCTGCTGCCCGACGCCACGGTCGTCGCAGGTGGTGGGGGCCTCTGTGGCACAGGCTGTCGGGAGAACCATTTCGATATGCAAGTATTTTCGCCGCCGTATCTGTTTAAAGCGGACGGCACGCGTGCTACCCGGCCCGTGATTAGCTCCGTGTCGGCGACGAAGGTCACGCCTGGCACTTCGCTGACTATTACAACGGCGCAGAGCGTCGCATCCTTCTCGCTTGTGAGGTATGGTTCCGCGACGCACTCTGTGAACACGGACCAACGACGCGTGCCTCTCACGCCTGTGAGTGTGGCAGGGCGTCAGTATACTGTTAAGCTTCCCTCGGAGCCAGGCATCTTAACCCCGGGGTACTGGATGTTGTTCGCTCTTAATTCGGCGGGCGTGCCGAGCGTGGCGACTACAATCAGAGTCTCTCTTAACTGAGGTCATTCGGGCTACGAGAGGCAATTCCTATGGTGCCAAATACTTGCTGGGTTTATTCCTGAGAGTATTGAGGGTTAAAGCTAATGCTAATGCAGACAAATGAACCTATGAATAAACGATAGTTGTTGATGAAGAAATCCCTGTCCGTAAAAGAGTGCAAGTGTAATCCGTGTCCCTTATAACGCGTGCATGTGGGTGCAGTTCCGTCTAATTCCTTTTCCTGGTCCCGCCTGCGACGGCCCTTCCCGGGCGATCCTGGTTCCTGCGCAATTTTCCCGACCAGCTTTTAGTGAGGATTTTGGGAGCATGCGGAGCAGCTACCAGCATCAGCCTGCGATTGCTCGGGGGGCTGGGATCCAAGCCGTTTCATGACAGCATTCAAGCATTCCTCCGGACCACGAGTCGCGTCGACAACGATGAGCACGTCATCGTTATCAGGACGACTCGTTTCCATCCATTTCTTGAGAATCACAGCCCCGTCTTCGCCTGCTCCTCCGAAACTACTGACGGAATCTGGAAGCGGCTCATGTTCGCCGGTGTCTTGGTTTTGCAATGGCTCTCTGGTGTGCAATCTGCTAGCTAGCAGATCCTTGTCGTCAACCTTACATTCGACATACCAGTATGAATAGCCATACCGCGCCGCCAGCGCTGTGCCACGCGTCAAGACTTCCTCGTAATTACAAACGCTGTCGACGACGACGCTGCGACCTTGCTGAATAATGTCGTCAGCTAGCGCCCAGTCTAGGCGGTATGTCAGTCTCGCCGAGTCTAGGAACGAGAAGCTAGAGTCGAGGAAGAAGTCCTTGATAAGATCGTGGTTGATCACGACGCCATCAATCGAGCGCGCGAGAAGCCGTGCCAGTGTGCTTTTCCCCGACCCTGGCGGCCCGGACATCTGGATAATCAACTTGCGGGACGGGTTCTCCATGGTGGTTTGATGGAGTAGAAAGACAATCGCCTGTTATGAGTGCAGAAGTGTTGTACGACGTTTCTTTTCGCTCCAAATCGAGTACGGTTTGAATCGGATGAGTGTCTTGTCTTATTCTCCCTTTCAATTTCACAACGTCAGTCATTATTATAAAGAGCGACGAGACAGACACGTGATAGGCGAGCATCTATCGCCGTCCCCAGTGTTTTTTTTTCTGTTCGGATCACGTCGTTGTGAGAATATAAAGATGAAGACGTGGTAGAGACAACTGAAATGAAGTAGGTATGTACGTAGGTGTCACACACACGTACGCACCCATGCACACACACCACCACTATGTAGAAATTCCACAGCCTGTATACTGTGTAGATAGATGGGACAGACGGGGATCCCTCTTCTACTTCTTCTGTTAACCTACAGAAGTCGCGTCGTTGTCAACAATCCACTACGCTCAAGACACGAGCACTTACTTGGACAGGAAGGAAAAGTGTTTTTACATAGTCACAAGCATTTGGCCATTTTCTTCGTTTTCTTCTCGTGATATGCAGGGCAGTGCAAAGCCGTTCGGATCTTCGTGCGAAGTTTCGCTCTCCTCCTCGGTATTTTCGCGTGCGATGACATTTCACTGCAACGTTTGATCTGTTCGTCGTGGATGGTGGTATACGTAGCTATATATGAGTCCTTGGATGTGACGTGTCCCTTTTTTTTTTCTGGTTCTGTCTCTATTCTCACCGTGCACGGCGTTCCATGCCAAGATTTGGCAAAAGAAAAATAACAACCATACCGAAACATACAGTACCGTATCTACAGTGGGAACGAAGAAAGGGGGGAGTACACAGGGTAGACACAAGGGGTTTTTAAAATAAAATAACGGGGCGTTTTCCTGTATCTTGATGTACCATTCCAAGCTATTTTCTGGGACCCCAATCGGTTCGCATGCGACGTAGTAGCTGGTAAACCGGCTGAAGTGCATAGTCGAGATTCAACTGCAGGTAGGTATGCGAATCTGGCACGATAAGACAGAAAAGCATCATCATCCAGTAGCAGATATCGATACCAAACGCGATGCCTGCATCAAATACGGTGGGTGAGTATCTGCATGAAACTACAAGTCATAAGCTGTATCTATCCTGATATCAGCGTAGCATCTTCGAGTCTACGGAAGCAGGTGCTGAGACATGTGTGTGAATGTGTGTGAAAAGGGTCCGATTACGTCTCCTGATGTTGCCAACAGGTCGAACCCACGGTACCTCTGGGCCACCGTATCACCAAAACTCCTTTCTAGGTTCAGAACGAGGGTGACACAGCAGGAGAGAGTGTAGAGTCATCCGGGTCTTACTCGACGGAAGAGCACACTTTAGAGGTGCAATAAGGCAGCCTTGTCGTGGGGGTTCATTGATAAGAAACGGTGCCGCGGATCGCCGACGCTACACGTCACATTGACAGTTGCAATACAAGGTAGGAGAAACGCTGGGTTTGTGACTCTTTTCGTAACCCGTTTATTATGCCTTACAGCTAAATCTGCAAGTCGCGCGGTGATGTGTGTGCGTATAGAGCAGTACCAGTTTTCAGGTATAACAACCGATTTGATTATACCATTCGATTGTTGCCTGATTTTACCTCGCTCGGGATAGAAGGCGGAACTGTACGGTTCTCGCTGCTTATAGTACAGTGTTCCCCGCATGTGCTCAGCCATGATGGATGGATGGGAAGGATGTCATCGCTGCGAGGGTCATTGCTCAACTACCTCCCCCTATGTACGATTTGTCGAAGTCTTATGATCACAGAGCAGCATGCAATATAATACAGTACTAAGTATGTGTTGGGTGGTATTGCCAGGGACTGCGCAAATGGCGTGGCTGCAAGGTCCCTGGAAATAGCTTCAGCTGCTCATGAACAGGCCGGGGACCCCTTGCTTGGGGGAGCCTGGGGGATTCGCGCAGGGACGGGGTTTCATTCCGCTCCGGCAGCTAGGCTTCTGGTCATCGCTGAGACACCGCTCGCCGCCTCTCGAGATACCGGTAGTGCAGGCCTAGCCAGACCCAAATGACTTCACTCGAATCGACAGAGTCATGCCGGTAAAACATAGAACTCGACTGACGATCGCGGCGCGCTACACGGCAACGTTTCGCAATAGGTATAGGTACTTAGGTATCACAGCATCCTCTCAGGTCTTGCTTCTAGAGTGTAGAGTGAAGAAGGGTTTACAATGGCAGATAATTTCTTAGACATGAACCAACTTCCAGCCATAATCATTTGATCAGGCAAACCCGTAGATAAATAACATGCCAGATCTCAAGCGCTCATCTGTACTTACAGTTACAACGGCGACTAGGTATACGTACCCTGTGAAGAATTTTGAATTGGTTGAAATGACGTGTCCAGATCTCGTCCCAAAGAACCCTTCAACCCCAGAATAAGAAAGTGATTTAATTAATCTGATGGCAGGTACGGTGGGAGTGGCTATATTACCCCTCATAGTGGATTCCTTTAGTAGACTAGAACTTCTACTTTACAACATTAATATAATCCTTTGGCAATCCTTATACTTATTAATTGGTGAGAGTTGCAGGATTCGAACCTGCGCGGTTTCCTACTGCGGTTAAATAGCGGTTGAGTTAAAATGTCGTTTTCTCCCGTTGAATTGGAAGAATCCCCTACCCCTTCGTACGGGCATGGTTTGTAGCATATAGCTCGCCGTTTTCCCCTTGACCGAAAAGAATCCCGTTAATACCTAATAATGAAGAAATCTTCGTCGTAAGAAGAATCTCCGACCGTATAGCTTAAGTAAACGGCTCGCTTTTCCTTTTCCCTTCTATCGTAAAAAAAAAGACCTAAATCCCCTTTATTTTTAAATTTACTATAGTTGATTACGGTCTACGAACGAAATTATCGGATTGAAATTACTATGCGATGTCCAACAATCTACGTACATACCGGTACCTTTATTATATTATGTTTTTATCTTTTATGATGAGACCTTTATGTGTGTGTTTTTTTAGGGCCGGATGGGGGTCGGGTAAGGAATCCGTTGGTGGAAAGATTAAAGTGATGGAATACTCGTACGAATAGCTAAAGATGAAGGAATCTTATAATAATTGACGATCTGGTTTCGCCTTCGCGGTGCTTATGGCGAGGGAGTCTGGCCGAATGATGGCAGGTACGGTGGGAGTGGCTATATTACCCCTCACAGTGGATTCCTTCAGTAGACTAGAACTTCTACTCTACAATATCAATACAATCCTTTGGCAATCCCTACACTTATCAAATCCGGATTTAATCATACGAGCTGACAGTTAGTCAGCTCTCTGATAGCGGCAACTGGGAATCTGTATCCGACATTAGATACCTAGTACCCTATTCACACACTGCCTCGCTTGTGGCGCTTTGCCTCAGCACACTACTTACAGTACATGAACACACCACCAGCTGATCAGAAAAAGCTTATTTCCTACTCGCGAAGAGCGGAGGCGGGGTTTAGTAAAAGAGGTGGATTTGGCCTGGACAGAGCTGATTAATTGATAAAGTTGATTGGAACCATTGCTCTCTTTTGCGCGACTAGGTGCCTTCTTGTGGCATACCTAGGCCGAGCCTCACGTCTTTCCAGCAAAGAGCCTCAAGATCAGATTGATAATCTATACGTTAAGAAGCAACAATCTAGTATACCGGTACTGTACATTCCCATACAAAATATGATCTGATTCCTAAATATAATGTGTCTACTGATGGCGCCTTATTATGATTACTCAGGTAATGATCAGCCATCGCGCTCGGCACTAGCCGGCTGGGCTGATCTACGCTAAAGGTCTACCTACTCAAGTAATGAACCATCGATGGATGGGCGGTCATCTCGACCGTAATGCGCCAATTCAACCAGCTCGCCGGGGGAATTCACACAAATCTGGACATAAGGCCGGACGGGCACACGAACCACGTGCTCGAAGACCCATTGCCACTCCTCTTGTCGTCCGTTCATCGTGCAGTCGAGGCTCCATTGGGAGATTCGATTAGGGAAGTTATTCGTTAGCGTAGCCGAATTGGTGATCTAGAACGGGACTTCTCGTCCTAGAATAGCTAGTCTCTGTCGCTACATTGTCTGTATCCCAATCTGGCGCTGATCTGGACGCCCAATACCAATGCTGTTCTGGGCTGGGCTGAGCTGAGCTGGGCTGAGCAAGGGGTTAAACCTCCCGTGGAACTATTTCCACGACTAGTCGATCCAATCTGCCCACGCGTCCATGCCCATTAAGCACCTCTCTCTAATATGTATACGTGACCCCATTATATGTACGCGCGCACGGAACTTTAGACCAAATGCAGTAACGCTCTATGCTGTGGTGGCAAGACGAGCTTTCTTAGTATAGCTGTAAATTCAGGGTATCTGGGTATGTACAGAGTATGTACTTCCTACATAGTATCAGTTTCATCAGCTCCCATATTCATTCTTCCACAACAAGGGCTTTTAGGGGAAAGTCCCTGTTTAAAGAAGGAGCCCTCTTTGAACTATTTGCTGTACCATGCGTATATACAGTTGTCAATGCCAAATGATCGAAATATGCTTCAAAAGAATGTTTATTTGCTCAGAGTGCGGGGACAAGGCAAGGTTGCTATGATGGCGCGGTGAGGCTAGTATCGATGACGAAAGGTAGAAATGCTGCTGGAATCTTGGGAAGTATATTTCAGAGAATAACGTCTATGAAATATTAGAAGAGATGTGCTAGATGCGGAACTGCGCATATTGCAACACCTATGAGGTTCAAGTTGCCGTGATAGAATTCCGGCGACCAAAGAAGGACCAACGAGACTTTGTATTAGTGTCCCCGTTCTGTGTGCGACTGCTCGGAGGTCGGTCCTTGCTGAGTCTCCTGCCTCTGCCGCGTTGGGGTTTCGATGTAGTATGAGGGTCATAGATATGATAGGGCGATGTAGATTCAAGTTGGTTAAGCTGATATACCATACTTTCGGTTTGCGCGCGAGTAGGCTTCGTGAATGACACTGGAGCCATGGGAACCTTGTTAGCACTTATGGATCGCTCGCTATCGCTTGACTGATGAGGCCGTGACTTGGAAAGTCGTCTTCCCCTGGTAGAAGGAGCTTGTGATTGGGATCTTTCGCTAGGCTCGTTGGAAGACAGTCGAATAGTGTCGCTGGATCCTCGACGAAACCCGCCAAAAAAAGCTTTACGCGGATGTACCGCAGGCGCAGTCCCATCACTAGCCAAACTTTGAAGAGACTGTGACCTTAAGGTTACCAAACCTTCAGTGGTCGATGGGGGCGGTGTTGAGTCGGCAGACGTGGGAGCTGTCGAGATTGCCATCCCAATCGACGTGACAGATGAAGCAGCTGAAGACGGCGTGTGGCCGTAAACCTTACCCGATGGAGCTAGGCCAGAGGACGTGGACATGTCTAGACTATCGGCACGGCGACCTGCCGGACGAGGTGCTGAGAAGTAAGTACTCCTAGCGGGTGGCGGATAATAATTGCGATCATTAGAATTGGCACGCGATTCGGACAATTTTCGCGCATGGGCAGGGTGGAGGCGATGAAGACGTTCACCATTGCTAGAACTATCGCTCGAAGGCCGAGGGACCGGCTCAGGAATAAACTGATTGCTCTTCATAACATGCTGTCTCATCTCCTTCTCGTCCTCAGACCTGCTTAGTTTCTCCACGTTCATACTGACAGCTACACCGATATCGACATTTACAGGCGCTGCTGCTCTGCTATTAGTCATCTCAGAGAGGCTCCGAGGCGTGAACTAAATACCTCTACTAGACAATGGGCTGGTCCGGCCTGAGGACATCACTGGACTGGCCGTACCACTGGCACCGATGGCAAATGCCGGTACCATCTCCTTCCCCTTCCCCTTATAATCCCTTGGGATGGCGAAATAGTCTACTCCTTCCCCCACCTCTGGTGTGCTAGCCATTCTCTCACGCCACAAGCTTGGTACACTACTATAGCTATAGTTCTTAGGAAGTGGGACAACTGGAGTTGCGTAGACCGAAGGATACGAAACATTAGACAAGGAGCTTCCAACACGCGGCAACCCGCTGTGGCTCGAACCACTGGCTGCCATGGCAGTTCTCCTCCGGTTCTGCTCCCTAATCTTGGATCTGTCGTCCTGTTTCCAGGAAGCCGGGGCAGTGGCTATGGCATCGGTGGCCGCATGTGTCGGCACATGTCTATAAGGAAGCTTAACAGCTTCCGTCTTGTCTTTGTCGGCCTGCTTGGCGCTGTGCTCCTTGGCCTGGGCCCGCCCACGCTTGATTATCGAGAAGACAGACATTATTATGTGTATAAATTACGACGATGTAGGAGTGGGCTTCCGCAAACACCAGAATTTTCTGGTGGCGAATCCTCCCGGTAACAGTGTCTCGCCCCAGGTCAAATTTGACAGCTGGCGGGCGAGATGAACCGAGGGGAAGGAGCTAGAAAACGTCCCACACTTGATCGACCTGGTTATCTCAGGCGATGTGGTGTAGATATATGGCGCAATAAAGGCGTGTGAGCCTGATATCGCAGTGTTCAAGATGTTTGATGGTGTAGTTGTCAAGTGAACGACAAGCAAAGTCGGAATATCGAAGTGGTCGAGGCTCGAGTATGGTTGGTGACGACGTAGTAAACGCAGACAAGAAAATGAACGCCTGTAATGCTTGATGTATGCAGGATACCGGTATGCTTAAAGAAAGGTAAAGTAGGTAAAGCAGATATTGCGACAAGGGTCGGATCAGCGAAAGATGGCAAGGACCGGGATGTTTGCTCTGTCGGGTTCGTGGTTTGGTTGTAGTTATAGTTGTGGTTGTGGTTATGGTTCTGGATCTGGTTAGGGGTGTGGTGGTGATCGTGGTTAAGAAACGTCGAGAGGGACGGGTTTCATGTAAACTGCCAGGAAACTGCCCGGTGTTTTATGTGGCAGCAGCGTAGCAAGGCTTAGGTAGACGATGGTACGAAGTAGAGAGCCTGGAAAACTGGCGGGCAGATAGAGACCCTGGCTAGCGTCATGCGCTAATGGCGCCCGCTATCATTACCTTAATTGGGACTAGGGGATGGAAGAGGGGGGGTCAGGCCTGCTAGGGTGATGGATTGAGCCGAAGTTCAGGTCTTAATGGGGTACTTAGTAGGGGCCTACATGTACATAGGTAGCAGTAGCTTCAGTGGCGGAAGTAGGCTCGGTAGGTTAGGTTAGGTACCTTAGGTACTCGGCCCCGAGGCTGACTTCCAATGGTTATCTTGGGGCGCACCGTCTGTCTTCTGGGCTTTTGGACTTCGGCTACTCTGGGCGCTAGTTGGTCCAGATGTAGATACCTAGCAGAGAGCTATGTCCCAGGTATCTTGGGAGTCGTTCTGGTTTTTGCTCGAAAAGTGCGGCTGATGTCGCGCAGATTAGAGAGATTCCCCTCCCAGACCTGCTATGTACCTAGGTAACTACATGGGTTGCCGACAAAGCCGTGTCCACGACTTGCCTACACGTGCTGACTTAGACCAAGACGACCCGCGACCAGCCGGTATGAGGTTACTTAGGTAGGTACCGTAGCATTGGGTCTGATTGGGCTACCGACTACTCCATACTGTAGTAGCTTACGAAGTAGAAGAAAAAAAAAACTCTGTATCTGGTAGGTTCACGTACCTATGTATGTAGGTATGTACATAGGTCTAACCTGGTATATACCCAATGGATCAGATATAAGTACCTACGTGTAAATCTAAGCCAACTAGGTATAGGTAATGGGGGCCAAGCAGATAGCCAGAACCACGGAAATTCTCATAAAAAGCAAACCCAAGAACAGATTAGAGATGATACCGGTAGCACGTTTCTGCCCGTTGTTATGGCGAGTTATGGTATCTTAACGTCAGCCTCTGAGTCGGTCTGCATATAACGCCGTAGCGGACATGAAGCTAGAAGGCATGGCGTGAAGTTTCAAATGGCCCACTCCAGGTCGAGACAGATTAAAAACCAGATCGTAAAATGTGCGCGTATAAGTAAGTACATGGCCATGTAGTACCTAGATTGAGGATTTAGGTAGTGTAAGCTGCATGCCTAGATCTCGTATTCCCTCCCCCTCTGAATACCATGGTATTTAGTCGTGGGTAGTGTCGAGAGCAATAGGGCCCTGATGCCTGTCCTGTCCTCGAGTAAAGCTGCACTCCCGCATGACACGAACCGAATTGCACCGCACCTGGAGTACAGGTAGCAGGGGCATGGTAAGTACTATATGTATCCAGGGTTCTGCCCAGAACGTGTTTGGTGTCAGGTGGCTTGGTTACCTATCAACGGCTGTTCCAGGTTCTATGCAGCTACCTATTTGTGGTCTGTCTAAGTCCGTGTTTGTGAATAAAGCCTATCTTTCAAGGCTACCTACATAGAAGAAGAGAAGAAGAGAAAGAGAGAGAGAAAAAAAAAAAACCAGCTGGACTAAGAGGCGAACGCCGTTAGAATCATGACTCCATGCGACTCTACTGTTAGCTACACACTAGACCTGCACACTAGGTAACTGGGTACTACCTATGTAAGTAGGTAGGTAGTGGAAATTCTGCTCCGACTCGGTCCTCTGTTCCCGTATTTACATAGTACTTACAGGTCCATTACGCAATATAGGTAGGGAAAGAAAATACTAGTTGAGGTATATTGCTGGGTCAGTTCGCGATCAATTGTCCTCGTCCTTGTCAGTCAGTGTAGATAGATTGGTCGCGTTCACGCCTCTTCTATAAATGACTGGCGTAGAGGAGTGTACAGTAGATGCAGCTACATACTATCCGCTGGTCAAGGAGCTGAAATACTATCATGACTTTACATATACTTTACTACTATGTACGTTGTATGTATGTATGTGCACGTGTAGATGCAGATGGCTGACACCAAGGTTGATTGGATTGGATGTGCCCCTTGTTCCTTGAATTCAGCGACGAACTAGGGCGTCCCAGACTCATGGGTCGACAAGGGAGCGGTCAAACCTTGCCTACTTAACACCCACTAGGTTAGTTACTACAACCAGGGAGACTAGATCTAACAGTCCTTATCTGTATGTATTCCTTGCTTCCTTAACACGCGGCGCCAAACCTGGACAATTCGATCTTGATAATAGGAATATCTAGGTAGTATCGACATTAGACCTGATGAGCTGACTCGACTACGGCATGAGATCCGGTGTGCTGCAGACCATGGTCATCGACAGGCTTTCGGCAAGGGGTAGATGGCTGAGTAGACTCTCTAACCATCATCATATTTATAGAAACCCCCTATCAGCCCGAGCATCCCACGACGCTACACTACCTACTTATTCAATTGGGGTTGGATTTTGCTATCTGCTCTGCATGTCAGAGTCGCGGTGTACTAAGTAAGATAAGTAGGTATGCACAAGTCAGTCCTCCGATGCAAGTGCCCGTTAGCCCTGCCAGCTAACTTGGAGTATCTAGCCTACCTCAGCTAAACCTACATTCACAATCAATGCCCGGCCAAGTGGCCCCGGCGGCCTAGAATCAACCAGCTAGAGTGTGTCTCTGAGTGTTGTTATCGATGCCAGCTAGGTCCGAATCCTCGGGATTGCCGGTACCGTACCACAAGCCGGTGGCTGACGCTTCACATGGGACTTCTTTCAATCTTGATGAGTTAGGCTGCCTCTCTGCTGATAACCGGCACTACTACGATGGGCTGGCTTCCGACGAGCCCGCTACCGGTAGTAGTTGCTGTGTGGCAGACCAACGCACAAACTACCGGCACGTCTACTATGTATTATCTACACTATCAGAAGTTCAGCTCACTCCCAATCATCGTCTCCACATACAGCATAGCTATGCTTACGTAGTATGCAATACGGCAATACGATGAACATCTTATTGGCCAGCCAGGTCTGCGACGGCCGTCTACACATCTTCGCAAAGTTCCGCCGAACTTGGTGTGGCGGGCGCGGCGGCAAGCATACCTATCTGCTTTTACACATGTCGCAAACATGCAGCAGTCTTACATGCGATCCAGTGCTTATGTCTTCGTCAACGATACCAACATGTAAAGCATGCGAGAAGATAAGCGCGAAGAATGACTAATGTGGCATCCAATTAGATTCCTGTTTTATCCGACGAGGGGGCTGGGATGAAGATTTCAGGGCTGCAGGTCCAGCAGTAAAGATGCAGATTCAATCATTTCTCATACTACCCAGCGGTAAAATGGCTTGCTGTCATTCACTTCGAAATGATCGGCGTTAATGACGTGGACAAGAGCCGCAATATACCACAACCTATCGTTATCAGTCGCCTTTCTACAATGCAACGCAACCCCCACCAAACCCAAAGTTGAGAATCTCTGGATGGGCTAGGCAGCGATCTTCATACAGATACTGCTCTCGATTCTGTTGCAGTGGCGGTCAATCCGATTGCAGCTTGAAACACTTGCATACATTAGTCTCATTTTCTCCCTAAGGTATGTTGTGTGAACGACAACCGAACGATGTTTTGGCGGAATACTCGATGTGACATATTCACATGAATCTATCACACTATATCTTAAAAATTTTGATAAAAGTAAGCTACGTCAGTCTTTCGACAGTATGCATCACGCTGCGCAACAATCTTCTTATTACGGTGGCGGGAACGCGCAAATATGACAGCTCACCGGCTGTTCAGAACTGTGCGCTCTTCACCCAGCTTCACTCTCATGATCAACTCTACAGTATACAAACATCAGTTTGGCGGGGAGCTTATTTTGTGTTCCGTCCCTTTCTTTCTCCTCATCATCGCCTGTCTAGGTAGAATTATGGATCGACGTATCTATCTATACACCCAGCCAGTAATACTACTCGCATCACCTAATCTAACCCCCTCCCTCGAGTGAACCGATACACTGCTTGATACCTCATCTACCCACCGGTTTCCTTTCCTTAATATCTAGGCAGTATCATTGCTTTTCCTGTGTGTCCTAGTTCTCGTCTGTAAAGGAGGGCACATACAGGCACAAACCCACAAGAGTACAGATAGTCTTATCTTTGAACGCGTCGCATTTAATATTAATAAACATTCAAATTATTACAAAGGATACTTGCAGCCTTCGCGCAGTGTTTGGCTTGCTTATCTATGCCATGGAATGCCGTCGAAGGAGGCTCAAACCTACAAGAAATGTAATTGAAAGCATATTGGCTAGATAGGAAGCCACTGTCTTCTTGGGATTTAAGGGACAACCCAGGAGAACCAGTTATATTAAGCCGCTATCCTAGAGTTGTTGAATATCAGTCACTCAGCTGTGACTAATTATCACGGAGTACAGTTACATAGGCCCTATGAATAGCTATATTAGACTTCTTAATTAAATAAAGGGGTGCTAGAACTCCCGTCTCTCCCCTACGAGTTCGAAGGTTCATTAATTAATGGATTATCGACCCTCGTCACGGAACGAGAACAGGAGTGTAGTACTAAACCGCTAGGCTATTGCAAAAGATAGAAACGACGATATTAGGTCGAGATCCTGCGCGCCTACACTCACCATATGGTGCTGTCACAACCCCTACACTACCCTTCTACCAACTTAGTTGACTACGTTAGCCTTCTACTCGCTCCAGAGCACTCAAATTTGACACTCATCTCAACCAGAATACGAAAAAAATTATTAGCCTGCCGTAATTAGACATCACTGTCAAAAATCTGAAGGACAGAGGCTTTCGCATGTTAATCGGTCAAGTACGTCACAAGCTTCATCCATGAGGAAAACGACAATTATAAGCTCAAAACAAAGAGTGGTATTATGAACCAGTTATAAGTTGCCTCGTTGATGGTAGGTATAAGACGGCTCATCTCCCCCAGTCTCACATATCTCTCGGTATTTATCACTGGGCATTGTGGTTAATTCAGGGTTGGGCCACCGTTGCCACTTGAGGACGATGGGTTGTTTTGAAATGCCTAGTGAAAAACGCTTGCGAGTACGAAAAATCTCATTCTATCCTCCTACTGGGATGAACACACATATTAAAATGGCTAGAAGGCCACTGAAGGACGAAATTACAATTACAATTGAATGACACCAGAAGCACTTTGGAGGGGCTGGATATAAACTGTTTCTATGTCTAGATATGTACACCAGCTGGCAGCGTCTCCTTATGAGGCATAAACAGGTCACAGTATTGAAACTCGGGAATTGACAAGTTTGAACTCTTCTATGTACATTTGAACTTCCTTGTCACGATGTCATGATCCTAGGGCTACGGATGAAGAGACTCGCGGTATATAGCCTTAGCCTAGCCACGAAGGCTTCAACGGCCTTCGTGCAACAACAGTTATCAGTATAGTCGCTCATGGTTGCAGCTCTCACAGTCCTACCTGTCTATGTCCGACCTCCACTCTATAAAATAGACTAAGCTACTTCGCTCGTCAGCTCCGCCGCTGAGCTCCAGGCCTCGCGGCCGTGACCTTCTAGAGAGAGTACTGATGCATAAGAGCGTTGAGCAAGGGGTTTGCGGACGAGTGCGCCCCTAACCTACATCATAGTTGCCAAGATTGATAGGCTATCAGCAGAATTTGACTTCCATTCGGGTATTGAGATTTTCACACTACTCCAGCTTGCTCGTGCTAGGGCGTGGAATCACCTATTGTAAATTTATGTATTGTAACAGATTAGCTACAACTTAATATATCCGTAATGAAAAGGGCAAGCTGAGATTGCAACGGTAACAAGGGATCTAACTTTCAGCTACATGTAGATTTACTGTATGATTACAGTCGTCTGCGCTTGATCTACGAAATCCACAATAGAATCTTCTACCGAAGATCCCCTTGAGAGTAAACTCGGGTATCCGAGTGTTCTGGGTCAAGCCATAGGCAGTACTTCCCGCCTGTTTGGGCCCGTATCCCTTTGGCTTCCACGAAACCTCCGTATACATGCCAAGAAATTGATTAAGCAATCAGAGCTCTGAATATTTTTTGAACTTGTATTTCATTTGAACTGATTTATAACTACGAATCATTATATCAGTTTTCGAGTATCTTTCATATGAGATATAGGGATAGCCAAGGATAAAGCATGTGAGTAAAACTGGAGACAGCAATGTATCGGAGGCTTCGTGGAAGCCAAAGGGATACTATGATTGATGTCGTAAAATGAAGTCAGCCGCGTGCTTCTTAGCTAGGACATACGTATGTAACAGAAAGTTGTCGTTTACATGGTCATATCAACATCAGCTTTATTTCATTCGGATTCAATTCAATTTGACCTATCAACATACTGAATATTTCGAGGCCCCGACTCCTAGCGGGGACAAGATGGAATTAGGTATTTTGTATTAGCAAGATCAGGCTCGGATGTTAATTATTCATGTTGCATTCCGGAAATTTTCAATGATTTCACTTAAGAAGCAATTCTATTGATCGCCTAGAAAGTATTCTCAATTATATATATAGAACAGTGGAATGACGTGCTCTTCAATACTCTGAAGTCTCACTCTGAAACATAGATAGCCAGACTAGCTCCAGGTTTCAATAGGGACAAGAACGCATTCTTGCTAGTCTCACTCTTGAAGCAATGACGACTATCCGCCATACCGACATAATCATAATACGAGTAAGCGCATGTCTCACTTTCTCACTTCGGATCTTATACCACTAGTGTCAACGCAGATGAACTGAGTTAGTATACGTTTTCCAAGGAAGCTCATTGAAAGTGCTACTACGTCCAAACATGCGCCAGTGGGTATATGATACATGTATCGACAAATTGATTGCATGAACTGCCTCGACCCACACAGCTCCTTACCTAATTAATAATATGACCTTAAGGGTTATTTATGATCTTCGAAACCAATGATCACAACATAGATGAAACATGCGACCCCGGGTACTCGTGTCAATATAAAGTCGAAGGGTTAATTAAGCACAGGGCACGTGCCAGGCCGGGATGATGTGCATTACCGACGCTATCTAAGATCTCCAAGACCGCGCAGCGGCTATTTATCGGGGCAGTGGGAATCTTGTGCGCTAAATGGGAGAGACAAGTTCGCGGATACCAGCCGCTACCTATTTTCGGCGTAAGACAGGCTCAGACGTCAGTAGTACTATGTACATCTTAGATATGCCTACTATAAATGTGATAGACAATTACGGTGCTACCTGTGTTTGTTTGCTTCTTATCTTGCGAGGTAGGTATCATTGCAGATGGATAGGCATGATGATGATGATGCTTTTTTATTTTTTATTTTTTAAATCATGTCTGGAGTGCATCGACTGGAGGTGGTCCGTGTGTTGATTGTTTCACGCAAGTCCAACTGTTTTTGGCATGCCCATCAGCTGTTATCTCAACAATCCCCACGTCCATCATGTGGACGTTCCCTGATCATGGACCTAGGTAAGTACCTAGGTATACCTATACCTATCATGATATACTGTAGGTAGCTTGTCACCACCTGTTGCTGATGTCTGGGTATCTATAGTGTATGCATGCTAGATCGCTCGCGCTATTGCGATGAGTGAAAGTAGGCAGGGATTGTTACTTCACCATCTTCATGGTCGAGCATTATAAGTAATTGCGCGTTTCTATCCGTTTGCCGTATTTTGATTGTGCCTGTTGTACATCATTCAATGTGATAGTCGAGTATACACATGCATGTACCAATGGGGTATGGTACCTACGTCACTTATCCCACAAAATCTAACCGCCTCGGCTTCCTCAATTCTCTCCCTTTGAAGGGAAAGTCTGGGAAAGGGTGCTTTCAAGATAGATATACTTTACTATGGAAGTGTAAAAGTACTATGTATGTAGATTGTAGGTACGATCCTTCTGACCCTACCGAGACCAAGCCTGCTTGGCTCAACTCTAGCAGCGTGGCTCTGAGCGTGGTTAGGTCGTCCAGTGAACCTTGGAGCAAGTAGGTACTCCGTATAGAGGTAGCTAGTACAAGTGCCAGATAATGGACCCTGCTACACCCGGACACAGGTTGTTGGCTGAGTCGCCGTCACTGCCACGGTGCCACGCCTACCCTACCCCTACATAAGCTAGCGATGTAGGTACCCAGTACTTACCCTCTGTATGTAGCTAGAGTACCAAGTAAGTACATAAGTAGGGAAAGTATGAGGTAGGGACTTGCTTTAGGTACCTAGGTACTCGGTAGCCTGGCATCGAAGCGTCGGCACAGAACAGCACAGCACAGCACAGCACAGCACATCATACTATAAGCAAGCAAGCACGGACCCCAGTCCACTAGAGCCCCGGCGCCCGGCTGGCGGTTTAGAGGCTTGCCGCCTGCCCAGGCCTACCTAGGTAGTTCTAGTTCATCGCAACCCAAACGACCTTGTCGGGGCTTTTCGCCCTGTTCCCTCTCTCACACTCGCATCATCCACCACCATCTCCCATCTGTCGCGCCTCCAGCCCTCCACCGCCCTCCCGCGACACACGAGCCACGAGCCACATGTTCCTTCGTCTGCTACTTCCCGTGTACTGCCGTAACGTTTCTCCTGCATCGAATGCCTTACTAACCCTCGGCCTGCAATTGAGGCGCTGCCCTGCCCGCCGCGGTTCCCGATACCCGCCCGCGTTGATCTCGTGCACCGCACACCTCCATCTCGCTCCCTCGGCTCTGTCTGGCCTGCGTGATCCATCATTTCCCGATCCCGCTGCCCCGTTCCGCCGTCGCATCATCGCCTTGATCGCTGTGCAGGCCCCTCCTCTAGCCTCGTCCTCCCACCCCGTTATCTACTCGGCACGACAACCCCCCGCGGTCGCACTGTTTGTTGTCGTGTGTGCGCGCGCCCGGCCGACTAGCGCGCCGACCTCGACGAAACGTGGCGGCCCTCACTCTCCTCAGTCATTCCGATACTGAGCTCTCCCTCCAGCAGCACCTTGATCTTGCGCCCGAACTTCTGCAATACAATCGTCTTGGGGAGGTGGACTCCGACTACCCGTTGACGATGGCGGCACAGCCTGTGCCTCATCCGTCGACGGATCGGAGGCGAGTCAAGGTCTATGAGCTTCGTAACAACGACTGGTTCGATCGCGGCACCGGCTTCTGTACAGCCACCTTCAATTCTGTAAGCCCTCTCGCACCATTTTCGTATGTCCCGTCGTATGCTCCGTGTCCTCGTACTAATCACTTTGATTATTTGCGCAGTCCGAAGATGGCCATCCACAAGATGCACAAGTGATCGTTGAGTCTGAAGACCACCCTGACCGCACCCTATTGAAAACTCGCATCTGCAAGGAAGATGGGTTTCACAAGCAACAAGGTTCGCCATTAATTGTTTACCACACGCCCTCTCTGGCAGTGTACTGATTTAAAGCTGCTGTAGAAACTCTTATTGTCTGGACTGAGCCTACCAACGGTGTCGACATGGCACTAAGCTTCCAGGAGGCTGAAGGCTGCGCTATAATTTGGTGAGTAGATAGCATACTAGCCTCTACTACGGTTGAAGATGAGATCGCTGACTAGCATTATAGGAAGTTCATTAATAGCATACAGCAACAGTACAACCCCTCAAATAACCAAGGTAAACGCTATCGCATGCAGCCTTTCTTCAGCTGAATCTGAAGTTAATCTCCTCACAGATGATAGTCTGTCAGATGATCTCGCCATGGACATGACCAACCCGATCCATCTTCCAGAGGTATCGATGGCCAACCTCGCCGACATCGAGTCACAGATGCGCATGATGAGTAGTTCGGTTAATGGCCGAGACGCTCTCACCAAATATGTCATTGCCGAAAATTACATCCATAAACTCATACCTATTGTATCCGATGCCGAGGATCTCGAAAGCCTTGCCGACTTGCACCGTCTCTGTAATATTATGAAAATTATCATTCTCCTCAACGATACGGCGATTATAGAACACGCTGTATCGGATGCATGTGTGATTGGTGTTGTGGGCGCCTTAGAATACGATCCAGATTTTCCTAGCCACAAGGCCAATCACCGCCAATGGTTACAGGGTGAAGGCCGATTTCGGGAGGTTGTGCGCATTGAGGATGGTGAAATCCTCAAAAAGATTCACCAGACTTATCGGTTGCAATATCTGAAGGACGTGGTGCTTGCTCGCATATTGGATGATAATACCTTCTCGGTACTCAATTCGCTGATTTTCTTCAATCAGGTGGATATAGTAACGCATGTACAAGCTAACTCAGCCTTCTTGCACGAGCTATTCACTATTTTCAAACCCGATCAAGACTCGAACCGAAAAAAGGAGGCTGTCCTTTTTATTCAACAATGCTGCGCCATCGCCAAGAACCTTCAACCCCCGGCCCGACAGACACTTTACAATAACTTCATCGCTCATGGTCTACTTACCGTCATTCATTTCGGTCTCACACACAGTGACGTATCGGTTCGCGTTGGTGGAACAGATATCCTTGTGTCTATGATTGATCATGATCCTCAGATGATTCGCCAGTTGATATATCGTCAAATAAGCGACAAACAAGCTCCTTTAACCGACACTCTCATCGATCTCTTACTTGTGGAGACCGATTTGGGCGTCAAATCACAAATCTCGGATACTCTCAAGATACTTCTTGACCAAGGACCCCCTATACAGGCTGAAGCTTTTGCGAAGGCCAATGGGGAGTATGCCGCCCGAGCTAGATTAGCCCCTGCTCCAGATCCTCAACAAGACCAATTCCTGAACCTCTTCTATGAGAATTCTGCCGTCAAGCTTTTCCAGCCTTTGATCGCATTGCAAGACCGCACTACTATGGAGTTCACCAATGTTGAAGCGTCTGCCTTCAGCTATCTAGTCGAGATCTTATGTTTCTTCATCAGGCAACATCAGCATCGTAGCAAATTTTTTGTTTTGACTAATAATATTGTCCCGCGAATTACCCAGCTATTGCAGTCTTCAGAAAAGTTTTTGAAACTTGGTCAGACAGTTCATCCCGTATCTTCCGTGGCGATTTGCTAATTTTGTTTAGTTGCTGTCCGTTTCCTTCGCCAACTGGTTGGCTCGCAAGATGAGTTTTACATCAAGCACTTGTCGGAGAAAAGAGTTCTTGAGCCAGTACTTGACCTACTCATTCAGACGATGCCCCGTGATAACTTAATAAGTTCTGCATGTTTGGAACTCTTTGAGCATATTAAGAAGGAAATGATCAAAGAGCTTATAAAGCATATGGTGGAAAACTACCGGGAAAAGCTGCAGTGTCTCTCATATATGGAGCTTTTCAGGACAATGATCGTTAGGTACGATCAGACTTCTGGATTCACGGCTGACAACGATTACTTTATGGAGCGTGAAGAGGGTACTTCTCGTGACCCTAGGCGCAACCGGCCGCCCCCGCACAGGAATCCCATGGAGCACTTGACAATGGATGAGGCCCAAGAGGAATACTGGAATACATCGGATGACGAAGAGGACCTACAAGTGAAGCCTAGTGAGCACATATTGTCCACGAATGGCGAATCACACAGTTCCAAGCTCTTAGTTGATTACGCATCGGATGAAGAACCGGACGAGAATATCGAGGCGGGAGCAATCTCTGGCGACGAGGACAAGCTAGAAGAACGGACCCGGAACGCCGATGATAATCCGATGGTGGCTGTGCCACCACCGGAACGAGTATCCGAGAAACGGCGCCGTGAAGAGGACGAAGAAGATGACCTCGGTAAAATGGTGCAGCATAAACGTCGGAACAGTACATCAGCGGGGTCGAATGCATCAACTGGTACTCCAAATCCGCTGCTGCGAAGAAAAAGGACGCCAACTGGCGTTCGAGATTCTGGTGGGGGCCCCAAGAAGATTGCCATTAGTTTATCAGCTGCGACAAAATCGGGAATGTTGGAGGGTGATGACTGAAGTATCAGCGCAATTTATCGGGCACGTTTACATGCATGCCATAACGAATAGGGCTCGTCAATAGCCAAATAATGACGGGGTACGAGGGTCGGCGTTCGGACGGGGTAGGAACCATTCTACCATGGCCTTTTGAAAGGATAGAATCTGAGTTCGCTAGGAACCATGGCAATAGGTCTTGAGCCACAAAGGGAAAAAAAGGATTGGCCGCCTGCGAAACTCCTAGCGGACTTTCTGACGTCTAAGACTCCGTCTAGAGTACAGCAAGCCGCTTCAACTGCAGAGATTGAATTAGGCAATTGGTGTCACCTGTACTATTAGAAAACCATCGACACTCGAACTTGTTGGCCTAAGGAGAAGCCCATCAATGTGATAGCCGATCATACAATGAAAACATGTAAAAGACTATTTCCCTTTGGCTTGTATCTGTGACTGACTAGAGAGCATCGCTCCGCGCCCTGCAAAGTTACGTTATTATCTCCCCTGTCTCTCTTCTCTTATTGGAAAAGTTAACTATCACGCCAACCAAAGGTGTCACACACAATATCTTGACAACACGTATACATGGCAATCAAACATGGGTTCAAAAAATTGAGATTTCGGATCACGGCTTCTGGGATTTCTGGGATTTCTGTCGTCGGCAAGCCAAGATAGCGCATGTCGGCTTTTTTTTTGGTGGGGGTTTGACAGGAACTCCGAAGCCCCGGAGTAATTTATGTTCGAGGTGCAGAAGAGCACGCGGGGGTGAACTGCAGGGAGCCATAGATTAGTCAGGCGGGCAATAGATGAACCATTGTGGCGCCAGAGCTGTTTCTTGTTTCCTACCGCTTATTGCAGTGTCAAACAATTCAGCATCATCATTTTCGTTCTCTGTTCTCTGTTCTCGCAGTTGGCTGGGTGCCGACCCCAAAGATTTACGCACTGACTTATCGGACTGAATGCTAGGATTGTGATCTGGAGGCAAGCTTGATCGAGTCTGTGTGTACAAGTGAGACTGGGAACAACCACGAGCACCATCACAATGTCTCGGTCTCTCACTCTGAAGAAAATTGATGGCAAGCCTGGCGAGGTGTACTATCCGTAAGTGTAGTTCTCTATTTTGTATACGTTTCCCCCAGACTTTGCGCCTCCTCTCCGTTGCATGAGTTCGTATCTTAGTTGCGGGGAAGAGTGGACTGTCTTCTTTAGCGGGATCGAGCTTATGAACTTAGTGGTATATGACTGTACTCACCTTCTTTCAAGCCTCCAACTCAACAACAACCCCAAGCCCGTCGCAGGGCCGGGCGAGCTGCTCGTCCGCCTCCACGCTGCGGCCCTTAATCACAGAGATCACTTCCAGCGCCAGCATTTGTACCCGGCCATCTCATTCGAGCACCCGCTTCTCGCCGATGGCTGCGGCGTCGTCGAGGCCGCGGGTCCGAATGCCTCATCTTCCATCATCGGTAAACGTGTGATACTAACGCCGTCCCGCGGCTGGGATTCCGCGCCTGAAGGACCCGAAGACGCATTCTTCACTATCGGCGCACACACGGGGACGGACTGCGGCACGGCGCAGGACTACGTCGTCATCCCTGAGGCCGAAGTCGAGCTCGCGCCCGAGTATCTCAGCACCGCTGAGGCAGCGGCTTTACCACTGGTCGGCCTCACGGCCTGGCGCGCCTTCGTGACGAAGAGCGGCAACGCTCTTCCGGGACGGAATATCCTCATCACAGGTATCGGGGGTGGCGTCGCGCTCTCAGCGCTGCAGTTCGCCGTCGCCGTGGGGTGTAATGTGTACGTTACTTCTGGGTCGCCCGCGAAGCTCGAGCGCGCGATGGAGATGGGGGCGAAAGGCGGGGTGTCGTATCGCGATGGCGACTGGAACAAGAAGCTCACTGCGCTGCTGCCGAGCGACAGGCCGTATCTGGATGCCGTTATCGATGGTGCGGGGGGCGATATCATGGCGCGCGTGACACGGCTGCTGAAGCCGGGTGGTATTGTCTCGACGTATGGGATGACGGTCGGGCCAAAGATGGATTGGCTCATGTCCGCCGTCATGCGCAACATCGAGCTCCGCGGGTCTACGATGGGATCGCGCAAGGAGTTCGCGGAAATGGTGGCCTTTGTGAAGAAGCATCAGATTCGCCCTATCGTGAGCCGGGTTGTGAAGGGCTTGGATAACATGTCCGAGATCGAGGGCTTGTATGAGGATATTCGCGAGGGGCGACAGTTTGGGAAATTGATCATTGAGATTGTTCCCGATGAGAAGGGGGGTGCAAAGTTGTAGATCAGGAGAAATACCCTCACTGCTTAGGATGGTATAGGAGGAGGCAGCAGATTTCTTTCCGGTTCTGCGATACATTCATTCTCTCTTTAGAATGGGTAGGAGGGCTAAACTCTCTTACTTTGGGGATATGGTATGATACATTTGTTTGGCGGCTTCCCCAATTCAGCGTCGCCTTGAGAGGATATACTGCAAACCTAGATATCTACCTAGACAATACGATATAAATACAAAGATCTACACAAGCACGACTCATACATAGACAATCCCGATGTCGAATTCTACGTTGAAAGGTATGGTCTCCTCTCCACCACAACTTCTCCAAATCTTCGAACGAGCGTACCAGCACAATCAGGTAGCCCACTTGATAAACCGATAGAACTGAAGATAAACGTCGGATTTTCGGTTTAGAGGGTATGAAGGTTCTCTCTACTTCCGTATCCTCTTTTACTTAAACAGCTTATGATATATATATATATATATATATATATATATAGGTGGTAGAGTATTAATATTCGGTTGAAATTCCAATCTGCCTCATGCGGGCGTTTCCACACATGGATCAGTTATATAATAAAGCGCGCTTCAAGTACTTAGGGTAGGTCCTGAGATAATCATAGTAAATATTTAAGAAGTGTGGTGTAACTATGGATATGAAGCACCTTCAGAAGGGGCCACAGTCTTGTCGGTTGAGTCTTCTTTCTTATATTCGATTGATCAACTACCGTCAAAACTGTTGAGTATGACTGGGGCTGTGAGGGGCAACAGTAGTGGATTTACTGGCCAGCTTCATTTGTGGAGCACTGTGGAATATAGTAATTCTAACCAAAAGGGAGTGAGATAAATATTATATTCACGATTCAATTCTCTTAGTTATAGAATAAGAAAAAGCAATTGATGATAAACAGATGATTAAGCATAAAGAGGAGTGAAAGAAGGGAAGGAGGAGAAAAAAAAAACATTTTGAAAAGAAAAAGTTGAGCGACATGTGCAGGATTTGAACCTACGCGACCGAAGTCATGAGATGGCTTAATTCATAGTTGAATTCAAGTCTCACCCATTAACCACTCTGGCAACATGCCTCATTTGGGATTTCTGTTTCCATCTGAAAACATGGGTTCAGAAAAATCATTAAGAAGTTACGACTGCTATGTGAATACACTGGACCCAAATACCTAGTCGAGGACGAGATACCTACTATGGATAAACTTACTACCTATATCTAGCGGTTTGATAGGAATGCCTGAAATTCACGGCTGCATGATGTCAAGAAGCCTTTCGGGAAAGCTCAGCAAGGGTGGCGCTTCTTCGCTCCAACAAGGATCGTAACCTATTGCTACGTTTACAACAATGTTTGCTCTACAAATTTGTCCCGGAGGCAAGCGAGCAAACAACACAAACCCTACTCAGCCTGCCAGATATCGCCGACCACAGGAACCTGGCACGTTATGGCAGCGTTTCAGAAGCCCTTGTCTTCACGACCGGCAACATTAGACGAAGGGCCTACTACGTATGTACGTAATCTAAGTGCACCCATAGCCCAGAGGCGGTAGGGCGGGATCAGACTTGCGCAGCCGGTGACCCAATAAATGCGCTTACGAAGTAGGGAAGTACCTGTGAGGCTGTGAGCTTGTTCGATCGCCGAGCGCGACCCCCCCACTGCCCGGGCTTAGTGTTGGTCGCCGTCCTTGCATCTTCGCCGTCGTCCGCGTGGGATCTCGCCGAACAATATACGCTAGCTAACCTAACAAATCCTTTAATATCACGAAACAAACAGAAATGCGATAATGCACTTGGAGTTAGGATCCCGATTACTCAGAATGGTACAAAGGGAGAGAGGGGAGGGGGAGGGGCTCTGTTTCTTCTAGGGGCTTGCTTTTTCTGCATATTGATCCCCGGACCAGGCATCCCACATTATTATTATCATGGAACGTGTTCTGTTTGGTGGAGAGAGGTAGTATTACCTTACACACCTTGACGCAAGAAGATCATGCTACCGAACGTTGTACCAGAACCAAGAAACGTGAATTCCGCCGTTCTTGTATGCGGGTGGATTTGTGCGTGCCAATATTGATTACAAGCTTCCACGACGCCCCCACGACGCCGTTTGGCTTGCGGCGGCGTTCGCCACGGGTGGGATACGGGTAACCGGTAGGGCTTTGGCGCCCCGGTCTTGAGAGACAATGTGTTTCACTCCCCGAAAGAGCGAGAAGCTGGGATCCCTTCTAGAACGATTCTTACTATATAACACGCACATATAGTTCCAAGAGCATCACGCGGTTTGGTGGTGTAGGCATATTGGAACTTGCGATATGGCCAAGCTTCTTATGCGTGACTAAACGTGGCTGGACGCGATTGACACCGGATATTACAGCTGGCTTAGTGGCTTATGAGACAATGCTAATGGCTCAACCAGAATTGATGCGTGCCAGTCGCATCATTTTTGTTTGATCGTGGTCTTAATCACGTTCCTTTTAGATTAGGTAATGAGTAAGGGAGTATGATGAAAGGACACGGCGTTCAGAGAGGATTCCCCCTCGAATCCCGTCTATAGCTTTAGCCTCGTCTGCTGACGTATACATCTGTCATTAAGCTCTCGAGTATTCCCTTCCCCGAAGCCAAGAGTGGCTACGTCGACAAGACACCGGCCTACTACTTACTTATCTACATGTATGTGATTGGGAATTGAAAAAAAAAAAAAAAAAAAAAACAGCGTCCTCGGGGAGGAGACGGAGGGACGGGGATGAAGTCGGCGACCCTCCTTTTATTTAGCACACACACTAGCAAGCATCCCAGCAAAGAAAGCCGGCAGCTACAGAGAACAAATCCCATCTGACTCGAGTATTAATTAGTCCCGCGTCCTAGGATTTCTGTCAACGCTGTAGTTCCTTCGAACTATTAGCCTAGTCCAGGATCTCGTAAACCCAAGGGAGCGACGCTTGGCCTGAAGGATCTAAACTTGCTTAATTACCCTCAATCATCGTTCGGCATTTCGCGATGTGGATCCCGCCATGAGGAAGCAGGAGGCATAAGACCCGTCTCCGTAAATCCTCCTGCTCTTTGACTGACATGGTCCCGCGGCTCCGGGTTGACTTCTCCCGTGGGTGAACCCTGATAGACTTAATAAGTCCTTACCCACTCGTTCGTCAGCGAACGGGGTGCTTTTAGTCCCCGACTTCTCTTACGATCATCCGAACAAGGCATAGGGGCAAAAAGGAGACAAGTGTTGCCGATTTAGGGTATAAGTGGCGAGTAGTGTGACGGGACAAAGGCGAGGAAGTGAAGAGGGATAGATCGTGATCCGACTCTTCTCTCCGGCAAAAATAACGACCGACAGAAGCCAGCAAACCAAAATTGAAGCGATAGGGAAAAGAAATATCCTCGAAAACAAACTTTGTTCCGATGTTCGACTCTCTGCTCTCAGGTGCCTCCTTTGGCGCTGCGCTGGCCGCGAGTGGCATGTACGAACCGACCGTTATCCTCTCCCAGATGAAACTTGAGAACTGGCATAGTGAGCTACTCCTCGATATTATTCCTCCTCCTATTATAGGAACTTCGCGGGTGGCATTAGGGTTTCCCTTGCGGCTCGAGATACGCTCTTGAACGCCTCCCTCTCCGAATCTTGGACAGCTCATTTAAAAAAAAAAAATGGCTGACTTAGTACCTTCCCAGTGGTGCAGACATTCTTGACGGCGTCGGCGGCGAGCACGTAAGTTATGACCAACTTCATGTGACAAATACCTTTTCTTGGTACATCGTCAAACCTTGTATCTATGAACCATTCTATTAACCACTCTAAACAATAGATTCGTGGTCACACTATGCCAGAAACTGGGCTACATCCACGTCAGTCCTCGTAGCTACTCGTCCTTGGGTCTCTTCGGCCCTCTCGACGGCAATATTATAGGAGGGTACCTTCTCGGCGTCGGCATGACTCTGACTGGCTCGTGTCCCGGGACCGTATTTGCGCAGGTTGGCGCAGGCGTGCGCTCCGGTCTTTATGTCCTAGGCGGCTCAGTGCTTGGTGGCATCATTTGGTCCGGATTCCTTCGTTCCGCACTCAGACCCAAAGATCGAGTTCCGCCCCCGAAACCTGAGAATTTGACCATCCATGGAGCCCTTGGAGTAAGCCAGGCCGTGGCTTTCGTGGGTGTCGAGGCGATTTTCGCAGGCGCTGTGACGGCGATATCGTCCCTAGGGCTGGTGAAAACACGAGGCCTGGTTAATCCCATACTTGGTGGCTTGGCGATAGCTGGTGCGCAGCTCTTTTCTGCTCTGATTAGGAGGACACTTCTGGGGACATCCGCTTCGTTTGAAGAACTTGGGGATTACGCATCTTGGTTGATTCGAGGACGTGGCGATGGCAAGCCCAAGGCTTACAACTCTATGGCTGTTGTTACTGGTATGGTGATAGGGGCTCTGGGAGTTTCTCTAACGAGCCGTATCCCCCAAATACCGTTCCCAGAGGCTCATGTTGGAACCATGAGGCTCATTTTTGGAGGCATCTTACTCACTATAGGCTCGAGAATGGGAGGAGGCTGTACGTCAGGTCACGGAATCACGGGTATTTCGCTGCTTTCCGTCTCAAGCTTCGTCTCTATTGCTGCTATGTTTGCTGGCGCATTAAGTACCGCCGCACTGATTTGAGAAGATAAACGACTCTTGAATAACGAATATTAATTGAATTTGCCTACTTCACCCAATGAAATCATAGTCGCGCTATCAAGAAGGTTGAAATTGGGACTAGCTACCCATTGCCTTATGCTGCCTCTTGTTTCGAGTCAAGGATCACACAAGTCAGCGAGATCAGGGGTTCCCAAAGATCTCCTACAGATTCGCAGCGGTGCTTTCAACTCATTGGTGAGAGAGACGGGAAAAGCGCAAGGCTCTACCTAAACCTATGAAGGGCCTCCAAAAGGGGGAAATGCGTCTAAGTCTTCGGCGACCCACGAAACCATAGACTAACTCAAGCAAAACCACCCGAAACTAAGCAAACGTATCAAGGGAGTCAATCTATTAGAAACGGACTCGGAGTCGGGCTCCACTGTTCTGGAAATATCGGGGCTGGCGTCGCCATCTGCGCCGGATCCGACGGAGGGACTTGCTGCCGTATGCAATGCAATGCACATATTTTGGTTAAGGCACGCGTATTGGATACATGTGTATGCACATGTATATTTATTTATATACTACGAGCTAGATTCTCAACTTCGAATGCGGCAGTGCTCATAAAATCACTTGCGCGTATTCGGATAACGGCTCAGCTGGTCTGCCGTCCGCTTACTGCGCAGCAGTAGCAAATGTATCCAAGTTACCAAGCCATGCAAGACATTGAATAAGCCAAAATAAGCGCGGCAGACGAGCCGACTAGCCAATCGCCGACTTTCGAAGCTTATCTCAGTGACCAACTAACTCTCCAATGAGAATACGCACGCGAGATTCCGAGGACACATCGTCTGCAGACGTGAATGTAGATGTTGGGATGAACTATATGTCGAGAAGGGACTGCAATATTACTATTGCGGCGATGTCATGCATTGTCAATGTCCATGACAAACCCGCATCCGCAATACCGAATCTTTCCCCCTCTCTCCTGTCCCGTCTCAAACCTTCTCTCCTCTCACTTCCTCGCCGAACCCTTGACAGCAGTGACCTCGATCTCAAGCTTCATCTCCTCCTTCATGAGCCCAGCCGAGATCATCGTAGCCGCAGGCCGTGCATTGCCAAACCACTTCCTCGTGACAGGCCAAATTTTCGGAAACGCCTCGCGCTCGGGAACCGTGTACGTGACGCGGACGACGTCCTCTATACTCGAATCCGCCTCAGCGAGCGCCGACGCCACGTTTACCAGACACTGCTCTGCCTGCTCGACGATGTCGGGGGATATAGCGCCGGTCTTATAATCATACCTATGCACGACAACCATCAACTCAAAACTCTCAGTTTCCCGAGTCAATCCAAGACGGGGTAGTTGTAATTTTCATTTAGCTGCTTGAGGTACACGTACCCGGTACATCCAGAGACAAATATAAAATCGCCCGTGACGACGGCGCGTGAGTATCCGATCTGCTCCTCGAAGGCTGAGCCGGAGCTATTTATTACATACGCTGGAGTTAGTAATTGCTAGACAGGGAAGGGAGTCGATGCCATTGAGAGCCGAAACTTGCCTTGCCTAAAGGGCAAATAAATAAATGACTCCAGAAGAGAACTAACCTGATGAGCGTGCGAGCTTTAGGCGACTGAGCGGATGGCTCAGACATTTTGACAAACTAAGCAATAAAACGTGGAAACGTTTCAACGCGGGGAGAAGGAGGACCTCTAGGAAATATAAAAAGTACTGTCGTTGGTATTTATATGAGCTGTTGGGACTGAGAGATAGCGTTGAGTAATGAGGACAGTACTTGTCTCCGTAATTCGGAGCTAGTTTGTGTCTGAAATACAAGAATACGTAGTTGGGGCGGTGAGTCACGAACTTCTGATGCTGTCTAGATGCTTGGCAATTGATTGCGACTAAAAGGAGGGTGAAGAGATATCTTGATTCACTACTAGGCTTCTTGATTAGGAAGAGCGTGATAAATAGAGAAATATAGGAGCTCGTAATTATGATATATACTTCCAGTTGATTGTGCCCCCATCAATGATCTTCAAGCTAAATTTGTACAGTTAAGCGATAGGCAGTCGAATGCGGACTACTAACGCCCGTTCTACAGACACAAGTCTCCCGGCGAGATTTGCTAGATCTGATATGCCGTCCATAAAATGCTAGCGATGGCCTCGATCCTGTCATGCTCGTTGCTCGAACAGCGACGAAGATCCAACCAAAATGAAACGAAGAAAAGCAACAGCCAAACTCGAAACTAGTAGTTTAGCTCTCCACCACCTGCCCCCGGGGCTTGGTCTAAGTCCTCATAACTCTTGAGGCTGCGTCCCTGAACAGCTTCACGGGGCCCAACGGCGGCGCCGCCAGAGGCACCGTCACCCCATCGACCAGGACCCCCTCTACCGCGGCCAGCACCAGCACCATCTTGACCCCAACGTCCCTGCTGTTGGCGTCTGTCGTATGGTCCAGTTCGGTTGTGAAAACGGCCCGGTCCACCAGGTCCGTTGCGACGAATTGGCCCGCCACCACGTTCATCACCTGCGTTCCAACCTGGCGCTTGCATAGCGTTGCCAGCAAAGAGAGGCATCCCTGTCATGTTGGGGAATCCCGGGAATGCTGCCATCATGTTGTTCATAGTAAAATTTTGTAGATTAAACCCTCTAGGGGTGCCCTGCTGACTCTGCCCGCTAGCCGGTGGGAAATGCCCATTGCTGTTTGCATCAGTCTTTGATGGTGCAATATGTGCAGGATCTAGAACATATGCATTGATAAGATCAAACTAGAATGACCGTTAGCGCATCTTTATGAAGTTATTCACGAGAACCGCTTACCTCTTGTCTCATATTCTCAAGCCATTCTCCATGTCGCTTTTCAACGTGCTTCTTCCAGAAATGCTCTTCTTTGAAGAGCTTGGAACAATCAGGAACCTTGCATCGAAATTTGTGCTCGTCTTCTTGTTTAACGAACTTTGTCAGCTCGTCACTCAATGCATCCTCTGTCGCCTTGCCCCCAAGTTTTCGAACGTCAACCAATTCTGGTTCCAAGATCTGCTGGATCTTGTCTTCAAAGGTTTTCACCCATTTGTACGCTCGCTCCAACTGCTGTTCAGTTTTCGAGGAGGCGTTGCGGAATTTGCGGTCGGGCTCAGGTGCCTCACCCTCTTCTTCGTCCTTGGCTTCGTTGCGTTTCTTAGATGGGAAAGGGTCGCCATTTGCGCTAGCCCGAGCCACGTTCTTGGCTGCGGAGGAGAGAGTGCTTCTTGGGCGACGAAGGTGTCCACCCGGACATTTTCGAGTAAGCTCATGAATAGAATCGCTTTCAAAAACGCAAAAGAAGCAAAAGTTAAAGACCCGGCGCAGATACTCAATTGTCAGGTCCAGTTGCTTCTTCTTGGTAAGGAGGTCTTCGTCGTCAACCTCATCGTCGACAATGCCTTCCTCGTCGGACTCACCCATCTCGCCCTCTTCCCCTTCATCCATTTCGGCATCAAAATCTAGATTACGATCTTTCTTCACCTTCTTTGCTGGAGTAGCAGGAGCGGCTACTTGAAGACGACCAGCATTCCTGAGAGAGTCTACTCGCTCCTCAATCCTCAGATTAGCATTGACGTCGGAACCAAAATCATTTTCAAACTTGTCGACCAGTCTTTTAGCAAGGCTCAGGTCTTTTTCGATTCGTTCAGGTGCAGAAAAAAGATCCCAGAGTGCCTTTTTACGAGGATTGTTAGGGGGATTGTGGACGCCGACATGACAAACAAAGTCTCCCCTGACTTCATCCTTGACCGTCTTGCCATTGACTGCCTCAAGAGCCTTCTCAGCAGTGGAGACGGGCGCAGGTGACTTGGCATCTATGTCTCCTTCCTCATCCTTGGGGTCTGGACGATCAAGAGGGGCAACTGTGTCGGGAGCAGGATGCAGCATAACCCATCCCATACGGTGGTATCTTTTGCTGGGGTTCGGATCACTAAGCGATAGCCACTTGAAACCACCTTCGCCCTCGCCAAGATGCTCTTTACAAAAGGCCTCTAGATTCTGGCGACTAACGTGAGGCGCTATGGTTTTGATCAGGAGTGTTGGCTGATAGAGACTCTCATCACGTAAATCGTTCGCTGTAACAGGCACCAAGTCCCCAACGCCAAGAACTTCATTCGCCGCGGTTGCTTCACCTTCTTCTTTCTCCACGATGCCTCCAGCACCATTACTCTCGCTCTTTGGAAGGCCTTCGAGAGAAAACTCATCAAACGTGCCTGACTCTAGATCTTGTTCCCATTGATTGTATGCGCCACGCCGGAATTCATTGACTTGAGCGCGCAGAGGATCACGAGCTTCAGGGACATATTTCTCTCGAAACCATTGTTCCTTCTTATGTTCTGAAACGAAACTCCGCGCCATTTTAGCCTGGAGATCTTCCCTGTACACATCATAGGCAGCTTGAATTTTTGCCTTCTCTTTGTCGCGATCCTCCTGAGTCTCACGTCCACGGGGACGTTCAGGTTCCCGTCTCCGTCCGGTACGTGCACGCTCCTTTTCTTCCTTGATCTTTTCATTGGTCCGCCACCACTCGCCGAAATATGAGAACCCAACCTGAAAAGGAAGTTTAACAGGATCCATTAATGGGTTAGAGGTTAGAGGAGGAGCGGGGTTGCTGTTCGAGCCAGGAACATAACGGTCTATATTAGCAGGAGGCGAGTTGATACGGCGGCGGTCGTCGCGATCGCGGGCGCTCGGATGCTCATCTCTCCCGCGGCCCCGAGGCTCGTATCTATCGACAGCTTGAGGAGAACGAGAGCGGCGGCGAGAGCGGTCGTAGCCTGCCAAGGTCAGTTTCTACGCAAGACTCAAGTGATTGGCTACAAATCGCCGATTAGGTAACAATTGATACAATGATTCAAGCGCTAGGCTTCCAAATCAATAGCAGGAAGTCAGAAAATTTTATGGAGCGTACCGGGTGAACGTCCTCGATAAAAACTGTCGCGAGATTCATCTTTTGCTCTATCTTCTCGTGCACTCCAAGTGCGATCGTTGGGTGACCTTGCTGAGCCATCGCGATAGGAATATGAATCCATCTCGGGTGTTCGTATGCTGGAGGAGCGGTGGATGGACAGGTTCAAATTATATAATACATCGAGAGATGGGCTGTATTTAAATGATCAGATTGATTGCGCGCAGGCGAAGGGTCGTGGCGGTCGTCAGATCACTTCGATTGGGTACGCGGGTGTCAGATGCCTGTTGTTTGGCGAAGCGCTTGGCGTTAGAGGAATCATTCTGAAAAGCATGTGAGGGAGCATGACAACAAGTATGGTGAGGGTACGATGGCAAATAATGATGGAGTTAAAGCGACCAGTGGATGGACGCGCTTGGAACAAGCAGAAAGTAAGTAGATTTTGGCGACTAGTGGCTAGAGCAAAGGCCCTGCAACAAGCAAACAACAAGCCGTGGCAATAAAGAGAAGAAGGTGCCAAGTTTGTCAATGGTTTGTAGAAGCCGTAGTGGGAAGCGAAGCACATATGGAGGAGGAGGAGGAGGAGGAGGAGGAGGAGAGGAGCAACGAGCCACAAGTAGAAGAAGGATATTCCAAAAGGTGCAGGGCTGATGAGGTTCAGGATGATTATGAGGCTGACAATGACAATGAGAGATTTGAGGCTGATCTAGATGATGGTGATGGGGGAGAGCGAACCGAAGGGCCAAGGGGAAGGGTGAGAAAAAGGATAGACGAACTAGGCGGGTCGGCAATGTAGACAAGACAAGTTGAATGATGTGTATCACGCCTGCGAGCGTCAGAGCAGATATGCCGAGAAGATCTACTGTGACGACGACGAGGTGTGCTGAAGCAGCTTGTTTTGATGGGAAAGGAAGACAAAGGCTGGAGGTCAGCAGTTGCGCAAGGTGTAGCCCATGCCATCCATCCTTCCATCCACCCATCCACCCATCGTGAGCGAGCCCAGCCACAGTGAAAGAGTGTCCACAACCAAGTACCTAGGTACCTACCTAGGTAGGTTAGTACTAGTAAGTACTAGTAGGTATGTACAGTACAGGCTGGAAGCAGCCAATCGGAACAGGTCAAATGTGGGATTTGTTGGATACATGTGGAGGCTGGAGCTCTAGACCGCGACATTATGTGCTACCGAGGTACCTAGTGTATGGACTATGTATCATGTCGGGATCGTGACCTACCTACCAGCTGGTATACATACCTACCTAGTATTTGATTGATTGATTGACTATTTTATAATGACATGGCGTTGTTATCTACCTGTATTGCCTGTCGAGCCTGTGTCTCTCATAAATTTCCTTGTCATGGGTAAAGACGTTACCGATTGAGTGTACCTAGGTAGGTAGGTGGTAAGTAGGTACATGGTTACTGACAGCGCGGTTGAATGCAGGTACCGCGTGCCCTGGGTTGGGCTAGTACGGTCAAAGGCTTAGCCCCTGTAGGCATCTCGATCAGAGGAAAGGAGCAACTAGGTAGGTATCTTGTTTACTTGACCTTGATTGCCCTCAATTCCCTACATAGCAAGCAGACCAAGACAATCATCGAAATTGCCCCAGCATGATACTTTATATATGCCGGACTCGGTAATTTCAGCACAGCCTCTCTTTCTCGCACCTTCCAACGAATGATACCGCGTTTGGCGAATTGTTACACGCGCTGAACAGTTTGTGCTCCTGCATCTATGGATCCTAGTTACACGCCCAATACCAACGAGGAATACAATTCGTATTGAACGCGAGGCTATTCAGCCTTCGCTTATATGAGACATATTGACGGCTTTCGGAGGATATGGAGTGGAGGGAATCTGTGTACAGATTATTACATATAGCTTCAACTATCTCTTAACTTTAACCCTCGTTTTACAGAGCAACGTAAACACGGATATCTTCCCTTGTAGCGAGTAAGAGCGTACTACGGACACACCGCCATATCCTCTTTGATAAGAAAGGGTACAACGCAGCAATGCACACACAGAACACCCTTTCGTAAACAATAAGAAGCATGGAAGAGGTGTATTGTACAGACAGATGACAGATGCTACCTAGGTAGCTTGCCACCTTTGATATACACGAAAAACCCTCTCCGGGTTTCCCCCCCTTTCCCTTCTTCTTCTTCTTCTGCTGCTGCTGCTGTCTCTTAATCCCCGAAAATTAGTTGTTCGAAGCAGAACAGAAGGAACTGTACCGTTTCAACTCAGCTGTTTAGCTAAGATCGATGTTTGGACAAAGACGTGCAACCCCCCCACTGGCATTCCAAATACGATCGACCCTCTACGTCATCACTGCCCAGATCTAGCTCCACCACAGATCAGCTCATCTTCTTACCGCTTCACAGCAAGTGACACTCATGGAATTCATTCGAGAAACTTCCCAATTAGCAACATCTCAAAGCCCCAATTGACATTCGACACGGCACAATGACGACCTACATACCCAAGATAACCACGATACCCTACGATGTGTTTGCCAGCCCGTCAGCCTCCATCCTCCTCCCCATCGCGCTGGGCACGGCCGTAGGCTACAGCTCAAGGCGTAAGTTTACCTATGAAGACCTAATACAAGTTCTCGTCAGTCACACCACACACAACTAACAACACCGCAGCGCAGCAGACTAAAGAAACCTACAATGCGATGAAGCAGCCGCCCCTGCGGCCACCGCCCTACGTCTTCGGCCCAGCCTGGACAACGCTCTACGGACTAATGGGCTACGCCGCCCATCGTGCGGTAATGCGCGCCTCCTCGCCACTGTTCTCATCTCCGCTGGGGATTTCCGCCGATAGTCTACAAACATTGTACTCGGCACAACTCGGTCTTAACTTGGTCTGGATGCCGTTGTTCTTTGGGCTGCGTCGTCCCGCGCTGGCTTTCGCGAACATAGTGTCCCTCGTCGGCATAAACGGGTATCTAACGTACTTGTACTTTAACGTCGATGAGGTAGCTGGTTGGTGCATGGTTCCTTACTTGGCTTGGCTCGGTTTCGCTACATACCTGAATGCTGGAGTGGGGTACTTAAATCGCTGGGACATCTCGGAGTCGACGCTTGCTACAAGGAAGGCGCTCGGCAAAGACCAGTAAAAGATGGCGGTTAATGATAATTGACGGTGGTTTGGATAGGCCCTAGAGCCTCGCATATAGATATGTATACTCATACCCAACCAATAGCGATGCCATGTATTGATCCATCTCAAAACAATCGACGAAATGCGCCCCAACGCCGTGCACGCTCACTAAATGTCGCGATACCATCTATCTAGATCTATTCTGAAGAATATTACCCTGATAGCGGCAGATACCGCTTCAGACCGTCAAAAACCATAAATATGAAGGCGGAGCTAGGGGCTGAGCGTAGCACCGTGATGCCGCATCCCCGGTAGAACCCACGGAGACCAGTGTGGTTCCATAAAGACCTGACCTCCTGCATGAAGGACCGATTCTGTCTGCTTCCACCGACCGGCGCGGTTTGCATGCGGCTCTTGATAGTGTCCGCAGGAAAGAACAAAAAGTTGTAGGACATGCCAGCGGATGCACCCGCTACGGCTTGTTGCCACAGAGGCAGCGCCTCTGTAGCGAGTGCATCCCTCTCTAATTGAGAAGTAGCTGATCGGTTGTTCATGAGGTAGAACATCTTGGTAGTTGTTTCCTTCGCGCCAAACCAAGCCGCGGAGCCACCTGACTCTCGCAGAAAGGTGCCCATTTGGCCACGCCAGAAGCCTCTGATTCCTTCGTGCTTGTAGACATCACGGATGACCGAAGTAACGCTAGGCACCTTGGGTGTTACACCATCTGCACTAGCTGGCACCTGGACCTTGCACTTGACGAGCTCAATCGGCGTAAGCACGACAGACGTGAAAGCACCTGCGAAGGCGCCTGTGAACCACAATGCTGGTAGGGGAAGAATTAGGTCGCGCGAACAATATCCAGAAGCATATACGGCTTCGCGCCCTATGCGCTCAAAAAAGAAGAGGCTGCTAGTCTCGGCAGCGGCACCGAAGAGGGGCGCGCTGATTCCACGATATAGCCCAAGGACACCGTCGGCTTTGATGGATTGTCGGAAACAGTCGAGGGGACCAGTGTAGCGAGGAGGAAGATGGTCAGGTTGGGATTGCAGCCTAACCTTGACCGTGTCGAATGGGTATTCTATATACTTGCCCACGATACCTGCAGTCTGCAAACTATGAGTGAATGGCTCGACGGGTAGAGACTGACAGAACGTGACTTACAGATCCATACGCCAGGTCTTCTATGGTCTCCATCACAGCGGACTTCGCTTGGGCCGTCGATGGCGAGGGAAGTACAACGGGAGAGGCTGCCTCTTTTGTCGCCATGATAGCTACCTATGGTGCCCAAATTGGAACGCACTTGAAATGGTTGTGAAAGAAGAGTTGCAAACGGTGTCGCCAGTAGGCCTGCCGGGCTTGGATGAGGGATAATCTTGCGCAACGGCAGGCGATGGCGACAGGTTCGGGCGTGAGTTGCTATAACATATTATTCCAGTTGGAGAATCGGGTTGACGGGAGTTTTGTGATAGGTGGGCCGATAATGTTGTTGGTTTTGAATTTTGGTGGAGGAAAGAGAGTTCGGGAGGGCCTGGACACGCGATCTAGCGGCGTTGGCAGCCAGTCACCGCCAATCATCGACTAAGTGGATGCGCATGACGCAGCGATAGGGCCGCGCGGGACATGAGAAACAGGAGCAGGCGCTGCGTCGAGCGGAACGGATTAGATTGGATTGTGAACTGGGTGGTGAGCTGCTAGTTAGCAGCGCCCGAGACGCGCCGGACACGATAATCTCGAAACGTCCCGGTTTATGCTCGGTGAATTGGAGTGCATGTGCGGAATGCGGAATGGAGGATGTGACTGCGACAGGAAATTTCTTCGAAAGCGGAGCGATGTTGCTAGGGTGCGCCCGCTAAGATGGGCTTCAGTGGAGAATGGCTTCGCAAGGGCGCTGACGAAGTGGGGCTAGTGAGCGGTGACAAGAAGAAGAAAAAGATTATCTTATCAGATCATCAGTACTTGGGTACAAGCTCTGAACGGCAAGGCGAGGAGCTCTCACCTGTTGCCAGCTGGGATAGAGGGGTACGACTCATTTCATTTCTAGGTTGAAATTGCATCTTCGTTGAGGGTCTCGTGGGGACATAGCCGACTTGCAGTGTTTTCCTCCTAAACACTGTCATTTGTTCTCGGGTCATCGTACTTAGCTCCATATCTATTCGGATTTACAAGTTATCTAGCTTCTTGTCTTGCCCCAATTTTCATCTCTACCTGGTCACTTGCGGTAGGTAAGCCTGTATCCACAAAATGGCAAAAGACAAGAAAGGCAAGTCGGACTCGAAGAAGCAGAAGCTCGCCGAGAAGAAACAGAAGCAGGAGAAGAAGGCGCAAAAGAAAGAGAAGTCAAAGACTGCGAAGCTAGACGGTAGCGATGCCGAGGATGTGGATCTAGATGCTGTCTTGGCCGAATACAAGAAGCAGCAAGAGCTGTTTCTCAAGGTGACCGAGACTGTCCTTGATGCCCCTCCCAAACCCCGTTCCTCTGCCACTTTCCTCGCCTCCCCCTCAAATAGCAACCAACTTTTGTTGTTTGGCGGTGAAACATGGAATGGAGCTATTGCCAATTTTTTCAACGACCTCAATATCTACTATACAGATAGAGATGAATGGCATTGCGTGACATCTCCTAATGCCCCTCTTCCAAGATCCGGCCATGCCTGGTGCAGGGGAGGCAACCAGAAAGACTCCGTGTTCCTTTTTGGGGGTGAATTTAGTAGGTTCGTAACACGGCCCTTTGGAATAAATCCAAGTAGCAGTAGCATGTATACTGATATTGTACCACGACAGCCCGAAACAGGGCACATTCTATCATTATAACGACTTTTGGCGTCTTGAGCCTAGTACGAGAGAGTGGACGCGCATAGATGTCAAGGGGAAGACGCCGCCTTCTAGGAGCGGACATCGTATGACATATTACAAGAATTATATTATCCTATTCGGAGGTAAGAAATGCAAAGGTAGCCCTGTGACTATTCTCCAGGCAAACTAATCTCGGGCTCAAGGCTTTCAGGATACTTCAAATCAAACGAAGTATTTGAATGATCTCTGGCTGTTTGATACCCAAGTATGTTGGCGCTCTGACCGGTGGTGGGAACATTCATCTGCTAACATTTGATGAGAATTACTTCTGGTTCAGCCCGACACTGCCAGCGGCGCAGTTAAAGCCTGATGCAAGGTCGTCTTTCACATTCCTTCCCCACGAGCAAGGCGCCGTTCTGTTCGGCGGCTACTCTAGAGTGAAAGCAACCGTCACCGCCAATAAGTCAGCGAAGGGAGCTTCACAGGGACAGAAGAACATCCTGAAGCCCTTGGTGCACCAGGATTGCTTCTACTTGCGTATTAACCAGCCACCGCCGGATTCGCCACCTAATACGCCTCCTACCGTGAGATGGGAGAAGCGAAAGAAGCCAGCTAACACACCTAACCCTCCTCGGGCTGGTGCAACTATGGCATTTCACCGTGGCCGTGGGTTGCTATTCGGCGGTGTTCATGACGTTGAACAGAGCGAGGAGGGTATTGATAGCGAATTCTTCAACCAGCTTTATACTTGGAATATTGAGAGAAATCGATTTTTCCCGATGATGCTTCGAAAGCCAAGAAATCAGAAGAAAGTAGCACCCGCGGAGCAAAGAGTTGGTCGGCGTGGCAGGGCCCAGGCCAATGAGGAAGAGCTATTGAAACAGCTTGCCGCATTACAAGCTGGAACATCTTTAGAGGACGCCGATGAGATGGAGATTGATCTCAAGAATGAAGAAGAAGAGGAACCTGCCAAACCTGTTCGAGAGATGCCTGTATCCATGGAATACCCGTCGCCCAGATTCAATGCCCTGCTAGCTGTGCAGGAAGACATGTTGTACATCTACGGTGGGACTTTCGAGGCAAAGGACCGAGAGTATACTTTCGATGATCTGCATGCTATTGACCTTGGCAAAATGGATGGCTGCAAAGAGATTTTCAAGAGGGAGGACGAGACTTGGGTGGTAAGTGAACCCTGTTACTCGGCTTGCGATACGATGCCTCGGAATTGTAAATCTACTAACACGATATCCATTAGGGATCCGACGACGAAGATGATGAGGAAGACGAAGATGAGGATGAGGACGACGAAGAGGGCGAAGATGAAGAGGGTGACGCTGATGAAGAACCGGAGAAACTGGTGTCGCCTAGCAAACGTAAGGATAAGCAGGCGGATGAGGTTACAAGTATAGATACGACATCAGTCGCCGATTCGACGCCAGCGGACGAAGACACGAGCGAAACCGATACTGCAGCGACTTCGGTTGATGATGGACTCCCGCACCCCCGAGTATGTTTTCATGCTTTCTCATTCGTCCGTTTACTTATATCTAATCTCTTATAGCCTTTCGAATCACGCCGCGAGTTCTTTGTTAGAACTTCAGCCGAATGGCAAGAGATCTTGATGACCAACCTGAGATGGAAGAATATTCAACCAGAGTCTCTGACCATAAAAGAGATTAAGAGCAAGGCATTCGAGCTCAGTGAAGAAAAATGGTGGGATTGCAGAGAAGAGATCACCGCCCTTGAAGATGAACAAGAAGCTGCTGGTATTGGCGAGGTCGTATCTCTGAATGATAGAGGTGACTCTGGGGCTGGCGGTGCTGGGCGAAGGCGTTGATGAAGACATATCTTGTATCTCGTCAATAAATACTACTCCTCGAAACTCGAGATTAACCAGATAAAGCATCTGGTGCCACTGGAAACTGCTCGGCTTTAGTCCGCCCGCGAAGCCTGGTTCCGGTATCACCGGCCACATGGTAAGTCACCATAAACATCAAGTACTAATTATACCGGCCTTAATTCAAAGTCTTTCTTATTTGAGTACCTGGTCAAGGGATATCAAGTCCATATATCGTAAACAAATTGCTTAGGTAGCCGTGGTTTAGGTTTTCAGCGTCAGGGTACATTTATTGAGGCTTAATGCCGTGGTGCACGTTACATATAGATGATCTAGTTGATCTAGTTGACATCGCCACCTCATAATTACGTTTAGGTGGTATGAGATCGAGGAGAACAGGAGCATTTTCAATGAGATCGCCCGTCATGGAATGGAAACCAAGAAGCTGACCGAGTGATTGAAGAACCAGATACAACACGTCTCACCTAACTGGAAGGAAAACCTTAGGGGAGGCGACCCCACTGTGGTACAGGGGAGTTCTTAGCTGACTGACTGCTGTAAATGATGCCTAGCTCGCCGGAGTAATACCTAAGCACGAACACCAGAGACAACGATGACCTTCTACCACAAGCAGACGCGACAACTACATTTCCATCTCGTCACCATAACCAGAGCCGCTGACTCTTTAACAGAAGCCGCACAGACGACTCGTGTGCCATCTCAAAAGAACAAAAGACGATGCCGCTGGGCTTCGAGCGACTGAACGCGAGAAAGTCCCAGCCAAATGACCACATCAATTTCATTAAGCCCTTAAAGGGCGGCGATGAACCCATCGCGCAAGATTTCTTAGAGCGTATCGCTGCACAATGCGGTAAGTGTTGCTAACCAGTCGGTTCTCTGCCAAGAAGTCCTACCATCATACTGAATGCGGCAGTCCCCGTCATGCGAGAGCATCATATCTATGTGATGTCACTTGAAGAGTACGAGCCAAATAGGGAATTCGTCGGCCGTAATTTCAATGCAGGCGAAGTGATACAGCTAGTCCTTAAGTCCCCATCAACAGGACGCTGGCTCCCCTTTGAATACGTACAGATGGTCATGATGCACGAGCAAGTATGCCCTCTGCACATGGGGGACACATTTTAACAAGTAGATAACAGACTCGCACACTGCAAGCAGATGAATCATTCCAAAGCTTTCTGGGCTGTCAGAAACAAGTACGCAGATCAGATGAGAGGCCTCTGGTCCCGCGAATACACGGGCGAAGGACTATGGGGGCGGGGCACATTACTCAAATCAGGGGAGTTCGAATCGAACACTATTCTTGCTGACGATGCCTTACCCGAGCACTTGTGTGGTGGAACGTATCGCTCTCGGGGAAGAAAACGAAGGCCCAAAAAACAGCTGTCCTATCAAGAGCAAAAGGAACGGCGTATCCTGAAGAAGTTCGGAGCCAACGGCGTTGCGCTCGGTGAGGACGAGGAGATCAAAACGGAATTAGAAAAGGGCAAAAGGCCGAAAGGGAAGCCAAGAGTTGCAGGTAGCAGGCGAGGTCGTGAGTTAAGGGCCGCTGCTGCCCTCGCCCGGTTCGACCAACAGAACAAGGTCGATAAGATGAAAGAAGAAGAGGCGGGTATCGAAGACGACGAGGCAGCTAGTGACTCCATGTCTGACTTTGATGCTGATGATAAGGGCTCAAGCATTGTCGACAAAGAAGGAAGACGCCTGATCAAGGTATGCGAGGACGAAAATCCGGCGGACGGCGACGCGCAAAACGAAATGCGCGAGCTAGCTTCGGCATCACGCATTAAGCGGGAAAGATCGCGGTCGCCCGCATTTGTGAAATCAGAGATAGATGAAGTCCCACTTCAAGCAATCCAGTTGAGGCCGGCTACTAGCAGATACGAGTCGTTTGGGAGTTCGACCAACACACCAGTTCCACTGAAGCCGCGGGTAGAGAGGAAGCCTGCTTCTGGGGAGTGTCCCATCTGTTCGTTCGCAAATGCCCCCGACTCCATGATTTGCGATGTATGTTCTCACGTGTTAGCGCCTAGTAAGGTGTCTTTCTGGAGATGTAAGAGCAAATCATGCCAGGGGAGCGTGTATTTAAATCCAGGGGACTCTGGTATATGTGGAGTTTGTGGTGATCACAAAGGAGTCTTGAAATGAGAACGAGTGAGCTTCCATATAACAGTTCGGGGAATAATTGTTTGGCATATGTCCTATTCATTTCGTTCTCTTGTACAAATTAAGGCATATAATTGAATCCCTTTGTACAAATATCGCTAAGAAAACGACGACTTACAATGAATGTTCCGAACTGGCCTCCTCTCGCAATATCTATTGACAATAATGAGATGTTAATTCCTCCTTAATTGAGATTATGGCGGTATCACAGCGGTCCTAGCGGTCAAGACCTTGTAGGAAGCTATTCTGTTTAAGATATTGTTATACAGGCGTTGGCTCCGGATGCTTTACTCACTTCTAGAATTTGAACACCTTCATTCTTGAATCCTTCGCGTAATGATAAAATATTTGTATATCTCGTTCCACTATGCATGACAGCAGATGTCCGAAAGCCCCTCTTCTCGCGGTGGCCCAGTGAAGTCCAACATTTCAATAAGGGGTTTGCGGTGCAGAACATGGAATACGTTACCGAGAAATGCCTAGCTTCCCACGATTATCACCTCTGCAGAAGGTATACGGGTACATTCGAGATGGATATCAAGAAGGGCCTTGTAACAAAAATCAAATTCATTCCGTGCACTGATAAGAGGTTTGAAAGTCACGAGCATCTCTCTTGCGTATGTTGAAGAGTTTGTGAAGGATAATCTACTTCTGCGATTGGAGATAGATATAAGCCAATAATTCCAAGGCACCGATCACAAGTATTGTTTGTGGAACAGGTAAGCCACTGCGCCGATTCAGTACAGGCAAGCAGAGTAGTACATAGGACCTATGTAAAGACGAATAGTCAGGACGAATCGTACTGCTCCCCATTCCTTCCACCAAACGCAACCTCCACAGCCCAATTAATTCGCGAGCATCTCTTGACATCAAAGGCTCATTACTGTTCGAATAACTACTCACAGATGTCGCGCATGATCACCACGGCAGAGAAATACGGGTTTTCCGGGCGCGGGGGAGTAGACTGGTCTACGTACGCAGCCTACCGCCCCGTCTACCCGCCTTCTTTCTTCCAGCGAATATACGCGTACCACAGCGCGAAGCCCCAAGCAGCCTGGTCCCAGGCCCACGACGTCGGGTCCGGGGCCGGGATCGTGGCTGCCGGCCTTGCGGGCAGGTTCGACCGCGTGGTCATGTCAGATCCGAACGATGGATACGCAGCGCTCGGGCACAAAATCCTAGTCGACGAGCTGGGGATCCCGGCGGCAAAGCTCGTGTTCCTGCAGGAGGGCGCGGAGAAGAGCTCTATTGCGTCGGACTCTGTAGACCTAGTCACCGCCTGCAAGATGCTCCACTGGACCGACACAGTTCTCGCCGTGGACGAATTCCACCGCCAGCTCAAGGTTGGCGGGACTGTCGTGATCACATACTACTCACGGCCGCGGATCGTGGGGAACGCGGCTGCGCAGCAAGCCTGGCGAGACATCTTCGGCGCTTTCGCAGAGAAGATCGGGGCGATGGGCGCGCTTTACGACCGGGGGCTGAGGATCGTCAACTCCGGGCTGGAAAGCGTCGAGCTGCCCGAGGCGAAGTGGAGGGGGGTGAAGCGGATTTATATCAACACGGGAGGAAGTGTGGAGCCATTCGCACTCGACGATCGGACGGCTGAGAGCAAGGTTGGAGAAGGCGACGAGAAGATATGGGAAGAAGACGACAAAGATTGGATGGATGTCAAAGGCATCGATTGGTTCAAGCCCTATTTTGCTACGTGGACTCCTCAGATCCCTGATGCGGAGATCCAGTGCCTTTGGGACAAGCTAGAGGTTGCCTTGAGCGGTCAGAATGTTAGGGTCGAAACACCAGTTGTGCTGATCTTTGGTACTAAAGCGTAATGTGTTTTAGATGTCGTCCGGGCCACATTCCTGAGTTGTTCTCGAGCTAGGCATGGTAACGACTTTTATATAACTTCTACGGAATCTGATTATTCTCATCTCTGTTTTTTTTCCCTCGATATATATTCGATGGAAATAACGAGCCTGCGATTCTAATTGGAAATACCTACGTCATAAGTCCCTTCTAAACTGAAGCTCTGAAACACGATAGCTCCTTAAGGTTACCTTTCACACACACATGAATAAGTCACTATAGCACCAGGCATGCTGTCACTATAATGGGGGAAAATTATGGAGAGCCTTCCATTTAAATACTAAAATATAAATTATCTTAAATTGAGAGTAGATATACGCGTACATAACATAGAGTTGGACTAACCAAGGTTTTTGCAGAGCTTTTATGGATCAATGAAAAGCTAGCCCAGTTTTACAGAGTTCGAGTGCATCTGAGAAAACTTCTAGGTCTAATGAATGCCTATTATTATAGCAGGTAAGTACGAAGCAGGTGAAACATGGCGGACTGCTGGAATAGTAGATCCAAAAGGAACTCGTAGCTGAGGCTACAATGATATGACTTACGAAATCAGATCGATTATCATCGGTGACATTCACACAGGAGGATGAGCTACATGTCTCGTTGAGTTTACCTACAACATGCAGCGGAAGAGCCTAATTGGTGCAATTGAGTTTGTTGGGAGAATGGACGCACGTAAGTGTTTGAGTCCAAGTAGAAGATTCCGCTTCCCTGCGACTCCAAGTCTCTCGTCATCAATATATATCACTATTTCAATTTCAATTAAAAAAAGCATTATGTTTTTCTAGGCTAAAATCATCTTTTCTTCAAGCTCTCCATTTGAATCTTTACAATGCTCACTGCCACTTTTACCGTTCTTGCCGTCCACCTGCTCCTCGCTGCTGGGATCCAGGGCAAAGTAACTATGCGCCTTTACCAAGATAATAACTGCGAGACGCTTGTGCCTGGTACTGGAAATACTAGTGTCGAGGCTAATAGCTGCGACACTAATGTCCGAACCGGATGGTCTTCGGCCAAGATCATCAAGGGTAACTACGGCACTGTGACATTCTACAGCCACAATAACTGCGCTCCAAGCCAACCAAACCACGGATACGAAGCTGTTAGCTCCGACTGCCTGAAAGACTTTGGCTTCGTAGCCAATGCCGTTGGCTTTCTTGCCCAATATTCCAGGGTTTCCGGACAATCAGGTATGGAGAGGCTGTTTTACCTAAACAAAGTACATATTGCTGACTAAGGCTTGCTCTATCAGGCTGATTGTGAAAGGCAGCTACACTTGTTATACAGCCAACCTTATCCTCTCAAGATGTTTTTTTTAAAAGTAGAAGTTTCATCCATTTTGTTAGTTTCATTATGCCGGGGTGTCTGGTCATAGCTTATATTATAATGTAAGCATTTTACGCATATATAACTTCTCTGATTTACATTAACAAATATATAATAGAATACAACTAAACCCGACTTTTCTCCGATTCTATATAAAACATCCTCTTTTTATACCTTACTCCTATCCTTAGCATTTATCTACACGTTCATCTCCCATTGCTACCTGAGCATGTGACAAATTCGAAGTACGGGCGGAAACCATGTGAAGAGAGCTCTCTACGGTCTCAGTTGATACAATGTAATGAGGACATGTCTCGATACCCATGGACCTCAACATCTTTAAGAAGCTTGACGCATCTTTCGTATATGATACGTCGGATCTTCGCTATCTAGTCAGAGGCTGTTCTATTGGCCGGCTATTTCCAGAACACTGGTACAAAGCTCGGGAATAATTAGTTGCAACTTTAAGTATTTAGGCAGCCAAATAATAACGATTTCAATAGGTTAGGATCTTCCATGTGGGCCAGTGTTGAGTCCATTGTCACAGTTAGGGCCTCCAAGACCCTGTGCACACAGTAACATCCATTGTTTGCTATGTAACTCATCTGAGAGCTATGGATGTCGCCTCAGAATCAAGCGTCTGGGACACCGTAGATTTGGAGCTACTAAAACGTCATGGATATAAGATTGCCGACCGGCGATAGAAGCCATAACCCAGAAGTACTTCGCACAAAAATAAGACAGACCTAACTAAGCCACAATTTCCCTGTAATGTTCCGACTAGATACACCCAGCTGGGAGTCCTAAGATAGGCCTAATGGGGTGAGAGTTGGAAGGAGTTACTGGTGTAGTCCTTAAGTGAGGCTAAGAAACTTAGATTAATCTCTGGGCATAGAACTTAAAACGCAAATCCGGAACCGTAGATAAGCCCTAATATGTTGCTGACAGCAACCGTAAGGGGGCGAGGGGGTAATCACATTGTTTCTTCTCGTCCTTCTCATATTTTCTCTATCTTTTCACAGCTAACGAGTGCCCGAAGTCCCGATCCGAGTACGATAATTATCAAGCTGAAGAGACATCAGAACCGACAGGCGAAGCGAATGAGAAACCATGCCAAAATTTCTCCCAAACTCATTCAAAACGCGACGCATTGTTAAATTTGTATTGATATTCTTCGCTGCCATCCTTATTATCCACGTAATCTTCAGCGTTTACAACTTCGCCAACCTTTTTGCCTTTTTCAAACCTCACTCCGGTGTTCAGATCACGCAACAAGAAATCCTCGATGCCTTCGCTACAAGCAAGAATGAGAGCGTCCCGGTGATCCCGAAAATACTGCATCAGGTCTTTCATAACTGGACTGACCCCGAAAGCACTTCCCTAGACTTGCCAAGTGATTGGGAAGCCGCACGTCAATCCTGTATAGCCCTAAACCCAGACTGGGAGTACAAGCTATGGACAGCTAAAACGTCACGGGCCTTTATCGAGGACGAGTTCCCCTGGTTCCTTAAGTCGTACGATAGCTACGAATACCATATCCAGCGAGTCGACGTGATCCGGTACTTTGCGCTGCGGCATTTTGGTGGTATTTACATAGATCTTGACAACGTGTGTCTATTATCCAACTTTTCATCATGTTCTGTTCGCCGGTTGACCATATTGAGTAGGGTTGCAAACTAAACCTCGACCCTATTACCTACTTACCTGCATTCACCACCTTCGGAGGGCACGGAACGCTAAGCAATAACATCATTGGTGGCCAACCCAATCACCCTTTATTCTACCTCATCACCGAGTCTCTCATTTCGTGGAACTGGAATTGGGTTCTCCCTTATGTGACCGTTAGCTATGCTAGCGGTCAATGGTATTTCACCGCGATATGGGAGAAGTACCATGGGCTAATCGAAACCGTCGATAATAAGTGGAAGCCACTTCATTTTATTTCTATGGATATGCGTCTCGGCGCCCCTGAGCCGTATCTATTCTGGAATCAACAACATGGTGGAACTTGGGATAACTGGGATAGTGCTTGGTTTGGCTGGCTTGGGAATAACATATGGTTTGTTATTGAAGTGTGTGCTACGGGCATAATAGTTTTGATCCTGCTAATCATTGGTTGTGTCTGTTGTTGCAGGTGGAGTAGAAGAAGAAGAAAGACAGCCACAGTTGCGTATACGAGACTCGAGGCTGATGATACTGTTTGATGGCAAATAGATAAGTAATAGAATTTAATAATCTAATATGATTAATAAACAACTTCTACTAGTTTATTAATTCTTGCTCCATTTGCTTATTGCTAGAATGTTTTGCCTGTGTGGTTGCCTTTGATGTCCCCTCCCCCCTTTCCAATCTCTCTCTAGAACTACACAAGCTTATATTCTCCTTTGTGAGGAATATTAAAGACTTCATTTCCCTTAGTTGCATCAATCAGTACTTCTTAACGATAGGCAGTAAATGCTTGACGGATTACTACACATTGTATATCAGGCAATGGGCTGGTACGGTTGTGGTCTGTGTAGATCATGATGTTAAACACTAGCCACATCAGGTTCATCTTTGGCCAAAATACTCGAGGTTCTTTACCTGAAAACGATTGATTTATTGGATCACTGGAAATATTCCAGCGATGAATCTGTCATTCGTAATGAGTCGTTTACTCTGGAATATCGCACTTATCCAACTGTGTCTATGATAAAGGAGCCTGATAGTTGGCTTAGTAGTGTTATATATTCCTCGAACTGTACCTGTGTTCAATCAGGCTGCTACCCGCATACAAGCCAAACATATAGTACACCTTACGCTTCGGCTGTACAAAAGGCCATTATAGACTATTTAAAATCTTTAAATGTATACAAGCAATATTGGAAAATAAGGTTATATCAACTTCGATTTATTAAACAAAATAATAAAACCTAGGTAGTTAGGGTTAGTAAACTAGTTATATATAGAGGCAAGCCAAGCTACTTAGGCTAAGAAGGAATTGGTTGGTAAAGGACTCCTATAGCCCTAGTTGATCAATATAATCTGAATAGCTTTAATTCCAAGCCCAGTAGCCTGTCTTTGTTATAGAGGCATGTCTCTATATGAGACCACACTTCAGGGTCACACACGGATCAGTAGCAGATTCTCCGCAATTCACCCACGAAACAACTAGTCCATTCTGATGGTACTCATCTGTATAGAGACCATCGCCCGTTGTTATTTTATCCCACTCTATTGCCAGCTCCCGTTGGACTCGGCGTTGGGCTCTGGGTCCAGGTCGCTGTTGGAGTCTCCGGCGGTATCCATTCATCATCGGCGCACACAACGTAGCCCAAGCAGGTGGCAGTTAAGCCAGCCTCGCCGCAAAAGCCGGTACACAACGAGCTATCTACCGGCGGATCCTTGTTTCTTGCCACGCATCCCGGCGGGCCAGTTAAAACGCAGTCTTGACAAAAAGAGCAGTCGATGCCTACGGGGTTCCAGAAGTGTAGCGTCCAGCAAGCATAGACGCAGTTGTTGCATCCGGGCCGGCATTCCATTGGGAATGGCGACTGTGCTATTGTCGCTGAAGGAAGGACAGCGAGAATAAGGGGGGAAAGGAGGGCTGGAATGTACATCTCTTGTTTGATATAGCTGATTTCGCCGGAGGTAGAGAGACACAAAGTTAACTCTTGTTAACGATCTAAAGTTGGTGCTGGTGAATGGATTTATACAGAATTATAGGTGCCAGGCTAATCAATTTATTTGCCTGCTATGGATATATACATTTAACCGCAGTGGTGGCCACCGTACCGGCCTATGCTGAGCACGTGTCCGGACTCCTGACAAAGTATGCCTACTAATGCTTTGACTTGGTAGCGACTAGTCGGCGCTTCATATTAAACTGTATATTCCTATGCGGCAGGCCGGGCTCAACGATCATAGCGTCGTAAGAGGCTCGGTGGCTCGGCTGATGGTGTATATGAGGCCAAGGTAGCGGCAGGTACAAAAACTTGGGAGTATTTTGGTATCATGTTTAAGAAAGATGTGAGTCGGATAGCACTTCTCACCATGGCTCCGAGGCGATCGGCCAAGCATGTATTCATTTGTAACAGAGTCAATATCTTTTCTGTCGTCCTTGGTCCATCTCAGTTGCGGAAACAACAGTTGCCACGGGCCTGGCCGCTCCTGTAGTATGCTATGCTGGTGCTGATTGTCATTCATAACCAAGACACGCGCTTTTCCGTGGTCAAACTTGGGCCGGCGGTTTGGTGCGTATCATGGCTGGGGAAGTGTTGGTGATGATGGTGATGATGGTGTTGATGGTGATCATGGGTGTGGGTGGGTAGAGGTACTTAGGTAAGTAAGATAATGGTTGATAATCCCACTAACGCTGCAACTAAGCTCGCGGGATCTAGCAGAGCGGGGTCTGGCGCTACTCAGTATCCATGTACTGTACTTACTTACCGCTTATTTAGTACCTCTTGGTCATGTACCTAGTGCGGGATCAAAGCTTGTATTGACGATCCCCAGGAATTGATTGTACGACGAGCTAGGAGTTAGGTCAAGTACTAGGTATAAATTGAAGAACCATGACGGGCGTGGGCGGATCAGGGCAGATCGGAGCTTATACGCTACCTACCTAAGTAAGTAGCATAGTATGTACTACATCCTCAACAGTGCGGCTGCAGTAGTCGGCAGTAGCCCCGAGGATTTCAAATCCAGCATAAATACTTACCTAGGTACCTGGGGATGGATGCACTTAAGTAAGTAACATTGGAAATAAGTACTTGGAGAGAGAGAGAGAGAGAGCAAGGTTGGTGGGCTGGTCTGCGGAATGCCTACTTGAGTAATTGAGTAATTTTCTGGCACGGCACGGTCCATCCCCATCCTTAACTGCCCTAGCTCACACCCCTACCTGGCGTCTACCTGGTATTACACAGTTAGGTAGGTACGGTAGGTAAATAGGATGCCTGTTATAAGTGGCAGGACCTGCTAGTATTCTGGCATAGCTACTTGAGTATCTTTCTGCCGAGTCGCATGCTCCGGTCTCATATTAACTACCTGTATTTCTACCCAGATAACGTTGGACAGTCAGTCAGTCAGCCAGTCTGTCTGTCTCTAGGCACGACAAGCCAAGCACAGAAATATCCCGGCAATGGATAAAGCGGCGCCGACCATGGGCCGTGATACAAACCTCGTCGAATGGGATGGCACCGACGACCCCGAAAACCCCCAGAACTGGCCCGTGGCCAAGAAATGGCTCATCACCACCATCCTCTCTACCCTGACCTTCTGTGTTACCTTCGCCAGCAGTGTCTTCAGCTCCGCCACCGATGCCGCCGCCCACGAGTTCCATGTTAGCCACGAGGTCATGGTGCTCGGCTCCAGTCTCTTTGTCCTGGGCTTTGCTCTCGGTCCTAGCGTCTGGGGCCCTCTGTCCGAGCTGTACGGCCGCAAGGCGCCCTTGTTCGTCGGCTTCTTCGTGTCCGCCATCTTCCAGATCCCCGTCGCCGTCGCCCAAAATACCGAGACCGTCCTCGTATGTCGTTTTCTGGCTGGCGTCTTCGGCTCCTCTCCCATTGCCGTCGTCGGCGGCGCACTGGCTGACATCTGGGACAACGTCGAGCGAGGCGTCGCCGTTTGCTCCTTCGCTGGCGCCACCTTCGTCGGGCCCTTGGCCGCTCCCATCGCTGGGAGCTTCATCACGGAATCCTATCTGGGCTGGAGATGGGTCGAGTGGCTGACGCTCATCATCATGCTCTTCTTCGGCATCGTCGCCGTCATTTTTGTCCCTGAGACGTCCGGGCCCTTGCTTTTGTCACGACGCGCCAAGAAAATTCGCTTCGAAACTAAGAACTGGGCCGTTCATGCTGCCTACGATGAGCAGCAAGTCGATCTTAAAGCCATTGTGGTCAAGTATCTAGCTCGTCCTTTGAAGATGTTGGTCCTGGAACCAATCTTGCTACTTCTGACCATGTAAGTAGATAATCTCCCGTCCTTGTTTCAACTGTGATTGACTCCCTGGCGAACTACAAGTTACTTGGCTTTTGTCTACGGTATCCTTTATTTGTTCTTCTTCTCTTACCCCATTGCCTTCCATACCAAGCGTGGATGGTCCGCGGGTCTTTCTTCGCTACCTTTCATCAGCATCATCATCGGCATCATATTCGGTGCCTCCTTTATCGTGTGGTACACGGTGACTCGTTATACTGCCCTGCAGAAAAAGTACGGCCGCGTATCACCCGAGGAACGTCTCCCCCCAATGATCGTTGGTGGTATTCTGCTACCAATAGGACTCTTCCTGTTCGCCTGGACGAGCGACAAGCACATTATCTGGGTTCCCCAGGTAATTGCAGGTATTCCAACTGGCGCAGGGGTCCTTATCATCTTCATTCAGGGCTTCAATTACATTATTGACGTCTACCTCATGTATGCTAACAGCGCACTGGCGGGCAACGCCCTTATCAGATCCCTTCTGGGCGCAGTATTTCCCCTGTTTGCTGGCGCTTTGTACGGTCGCTTAGGAGTTCCTTGGGCGACTAGCCTCCTCGGATTCATTTCAGTTGCCTTGGTTCCCGTGCCGATTACATTCTGGTTCTATGGCAAGAGAATCAGGGAGTGGTCACGCATGAGCTTGAACAAGGACTAGATACTGTGTCATGCTGACAAGCATCACATGTGGAAGCATCATTTTAGACAGTGCGGGTTCCTAGCATGCAACTTCCGTCAACGAAGCCATCTCAAAGTATTTTGCATAACGAGCGAATACGTATGTAGTGTTTATGTTTAGAATGCATATATTTGTTAGAAATGCCGAGCCGCTCAGGGTACTCAACGCAGCATGATCATCCAATGGATGGTTACACAGTACCAAGTTTCAGAAGCTACGGCAGATAAGCGACAATACACCGGATAGGAGTTACAGTCTTGATACTTGTTAGTATGTGAACTACCCAAGTATAAGTTTAACCAAGGTATAGATCCGAGATGTCTTATCACACCCGACTGCCTTTTCTGATACCATCAGCTCCCAAGCGTAGCCCCCGGCCGCCTCCTAATCGCCAACTGAGCAAACGGGTCTGCATAGAAACTAGCGCCAGTGACGCGATGCTTGACCTCGACACCCTCGGGCAACTTGAAATCATACTTCATCAGAATATGCGCAAGAGCGACCTTGAGCTCGCTCGCGGCGAAAAATCGCCCCGGACACGCGTGCTTGCCGTGGCCGAAGCCCAGATGCCGCTCGCTCGTGCTGACGAGCAGCGCCTCGTGGGGCGTGATCACAGCGTCGCCACCGCCCTGCCCTGCCTCGCGCATGCGCAGAAACCGGTACCCATCCCACGTGTCGGGCGACGCGTAAGTCTCGGCGTCCCACATCTTGTACGATGACACAGCCATCTTAGTGCCCTTTGTCAGATACGTGCCGTCGGACAGGGTGAGGGGCTTCGTGGCAACGCGACGCATCGAGACTACGCAATCAACGTTAGCTCGGAATGAGCCGCACCGACGAGCTGGCCTTCAGGAGACGCAGTCAAGATTATAAGTAAGAAGTGAATAGAATGTCGAGAAAATAAGTAACGTACCGAGGCCGATTGGCTTGAGTCTCAAACTCTCCTTGATCACGCTATCCATAAGCTTCATATCACCCAGCCCTTTCTTCAGTAACTGGCCGTCCTTGACCACACTCCTGATCTCCTCTCTAAGCGGCTCGATGATGTCCGGGTTGCGCGCAATGTCCAGCATGGTGACAGTCAGTAGGTCGCTCGTGGTATGTATGGCCACTGTGCTAAGGAACAGCTGCACGATCTCAGGGTCGTACGGGCGACCCTTCTCGATGGCAGTCTGCTCGAACCATTCAATGGCGTCGTAGTAGTCGACGGGCGGCTTGCCTTGATCCCGGTGACGCTCCTTCTCCCGCCGGCGCTTTTCGAGCACCGGCCGGATGATGTCGCCGGCCTGCTTGACCTCGGCGCGTAACCCTTTGGCCTCGGGCAAAAACCAGTGCACTAGGCGTCGGAATGGGCCCGGGACCTGTCGCAGCTGCTCTGCGGCGCGCATGAGGTCTACCGTATAATTGACGGTTATCTTGAGCCATTCCTCGTTGCGGCAGAGCTCCTCGCCAAGGAATATGCGGGATGATAATCGCGCCACGAAAGGCAGGTTGATGTTTTTGACGTTCTCTATGTGCCAGTCTAATTTTTTGATATCGCCAGCAGTTGTCAGCTCAGTCAATAATCAACAGGGAAGAGAATAACTAGGGGAAGCTTTTTTGGTTCATTTTTCTTTTCATCGTCGTTACCTTCGTTCTCAGTGTAGATATCATGGAGTGCAAACTCGGCTTCTTCAGATAGGGGTTCAGTCATTCTAGCTATAATATTATCAAGAGCACACGTTGATTAGCTTTTCTCATCTAATATACCCAAGGGCAACGAAACGCACCCAGACTAGTCAAATATTTTTGTATCACGACGATTCCTATGTCATTATCGAACATGCCCTCCCGCGTCGGTTCGAAGCCGGGCAGGTTACTGAAAAACAGCTACAAGTTTACAACACAATTCATCAGCCACAACTTGCTTATAACATCAAACCTCACTTCGAGCAGCACCGAGGCTTTTGGGTATCTATGCGTACATGCGCCATGAACTCGACGAAGCTCAAATCGGGATTATTTCTGATCTCATTTGCGAATCTGGGGGGCAGCACCGTCGTCATGCCCACGTCGGCGGCCATCATGTTGAACGGCCGGCCGGGGAACTGGCGCAGCCCGGCCTCGATGATGCGCTTCGCGTGGACGAGCCATTCCTTGCGCACGCGGCTGGTCGAGAACTCGAAGGTTCTGTTCGGGTTGACGAGCGGCAGGCGCGTGGCCTTGCGCACGCTCAAGAGATAGACGAGTAGAACGACCGCCACCGTCCCCACGGAGGCGGCAAGGAGGTTCCGGTCTGCGAAGGCGTCTATTCGGACTCCTAGCCAGGAGTATGGCTGGTCAACGGTGGAATTCATGACGACTAATGATTTGTGAGGATCGCGACAAAGTCGACTGAGCGTTTACTTCCTGAATAGTTCCCCAGGCAAGCTATGGTCCTCTTTGACTTAGGCGAGTGAGCTATCTGAAGAGAGACCATCGAAAGCCAGATGACTGGCTGCCTATGGGTCTTGCTCGCTCGTCACGGCTTTCTCCTTTCTGTATCCGAATTTCGTATCAATGAACTGCTAGCCCGCGTGTCCGTGAGCCTCATCACCCGCTGCGAGCAACCGCAGTTGATTTGGGTTTGTATACAGTGCAAGTTGCATGTACTCCGTGTGATACAGCTATGAGACGCGAAGCTTTGCTCCCATCCTTCATTGATCAGTGCTGCGCAGCTATCATAGATCCACTGCCCGACCATACGAAGAGCGCTGTTCACTATGGAAATACGACTTACACCATATTACTACCTGCTGTAAATAGAATGCATATGCACGATAAGAAGATGGACACCGGGGGCACTATTGGCCCGACCCTTCTGATCTATATCTATGATGTGCGTGAAACTAGGCTAACGATGTGGCCAGATTTTCTATGCATTGATAATTACCAATATTAGTCGTACCATGGAGCAAATAGTACTGTTAGCTTATTAATTAGTTATGAAATCTAATCGAACTAATTATTCTATTACATAACTGAAGATAGTTAAGTTATTACTTTATATAAAATTAATCCTTTTAATAAATAAAGATAGTTAATTAAAGTAGTTAAGTTAAATATAAATATCTTAAAAGAGGTTAATATAGTTATTAATAAAGTTTTACTAAAGTTAAGCATATGTGGTTTATTTGCGTACTAGCTACTACCCCTGCTATGTAGATATATGGATGATAATTCATTAACATATCACTAGCTCCTATACGGGCAGTGGATCTCCTCGTAACAAAGTTACGGCATTTACTCGGCCGACAAGGATCGTTAAGTGGTCTGAGAAAATGAAATCAAAAACGCGAGACTATTAACAATGTAGAAGCTATCCTAATGATCTATATCTTGAGCAAGCATTGCTATCTCAACGAATCATCATGATTAATTGAAAATAACATGAAACCATAGCCCATCTATTGGCCATCGGTCAAATGGATGTAGGTATACCGTTATAACTCGCCCCCTATACCGAGCCCATTACATCCCATCAGATAGATCATGGAACTTTTCCGGCCATGGGAGCCAGGGGCATTATCTCAAAGGGCTGCCGAATCAACGCGTCAGCTTCATTGTGGCGCAGTAGTTCTGCAAGTCCGGGGTTCTGTTGGTGTCTGGCCCGAGCGGCTTTATCTTGATATCTGCGCAAGTGTAGAATGTGCGTCAGCGCGGATCCTGGAGATCCCCCATTCCCCACTAAGGATATATATTGTGTATTTGCTTACTTCTCCCAGACTACGAGAACCGGCGAGTTTGGGTCCTTGGTACATTCGTGGACCGCGTAGACTAACGTGCCGGGTTCATTGGCTCTAACATACTCCGCAATGTCCTTCATGAGCGTTTTGACCTTGAGATAAGTAAACAGTTATGCATTGTCAGCTGACGGCGTTGAGATAAGGGACATAGCGTTACGAGGAATGTGGTAACGGCCGTACGTACCAGCTCCCATTTTTCAGGTCGGGGATATATGAAGACCGATTGGAAGATTTCTTCCGAGTTCGTCATTTCGGCACAATCTTCTTAACCCGTTCGAATCCACATTCGATGCGATATATGCCTGCTGCTGCGTGTTATATCTCCGCGGTTGGATATGGACAGCCACGAAACTCGAAGGCGCGCTGTGGGGAGACCTGCATAAATGGAGAGATGAGGGGGCAATAATAGGCTGTCCAGTTCTTCGACAGTAGTAGTAGTAGTTGAGTCGGCTATATATTTAATCCACTTTCCGTGGCATGAACCGCATGGGACGACTTCTACTTTCAATAGTGTCGAGTGTTATCAAGTCATCTGTTTAAAACCCCCTCACGCAATGCAGACCCACTCTGGTATAATTCTCACCTCGGTCATATCGGCCCTTTTGACGGCGTTCGTCTCGTACGTTGCGTACCAATGTCTCCTCTCCCCCCTGGCTAGCTTCCCCGGCCCGTTCCCTGCCAAGATTAACAAGCTTTGGCGTGCATATGCGACATACAGGGGTCGATGGCACTCTGACATCGTGAGGTTGCATCAGCGCTATGGGCCTGTTGTAAGGATAGGTCCAAATGAGCTGTGAGTTTGAACATCTGGTGTGACAAAACGTGCGTTGCAAAAGCTTACCACCATTGTTACTGCAACAGAAGTATAGGAGACCCGGAGGCTTTTCTCCAGATATATCGTAAGCAGACCTTATCATCCGAAACGATCTGGGGTTCTCCCTGTCGCATGACCTGACACTCACGTGGGTATGTTGTGCGGCTCTAGGCATTAGTGGGCCCTTTTCTAAGTCGGCCTCTTACTCCGTCGTCCAAGGATCGCGACCATTTGACCTAGCTGGCGAGCGCAATGAGAAGGTCCACGCGGCACAACGAAGGCTCGTTGCGAGACCCTACTCGATGGAATCAACACTGCGTCTAGAGCCACAAATTGACGAGCTCGTACGTATACTTTTGGGTAAGCTTGATGCGGTAGCCACGTCATCCACACAACAGGTCATCGATCTTGGGCATTGGCTGCAGCTATTCGCCTTCGATGCCATCGGCACAGTGTCCTTTACAAAGCCGTATGGATTCCTCGCATCGGGGTCGGACAATGGGATGTTTCCACGTCTCGAGCAAACTATGCACAGCGCGTCGTGGCTTATGCACGCCAGTTGGTTCTTCCGGCTGCATCAGAAAGCTATGCCGTGGCTGGGTAACTGGCTGGCTGTGAATGATAGAAATGGTTACTTCTTCCAATTTGCCCAGCGTGAGGTGCAGGCTCGGAAAGATCAGGGAGGTAGTGATCTTGACATCGTCGGCCAGTTGTTTCAAGCACAACAGGCGAAAGCAGAATTGTAGGTGCCAAAGATCGAAGCTTAGGAAATTCACGTCGGCTTTGCCTTTTCGCCTAGTCCATGACACTGACTGGAGCCGTCTGATCACATAGGAACGACCTTAGCATTTCGTACATGATGACATCAAACGTTTTTGCAGGATCTGATACAACGTCTATCGCGTTGCGGGCAATATTCCTAAGCCTCATTCGGCATCCGCATGTCCTGGAAAAGCTCCGCTCGGAGCTCAAGGATAATCTCAACAACTTCCCTGGAAAAATAGTTAATGCCGCAGAGGCTGATTCCTGTCAGTATCTACAGGCAGTCATCTACGAAGGGTTAAGAGTGTTCAGTCCGGCCGGGTTCATGCTCGACAGGGATGTACCGGCGGAAGGCATGGTGATTGGCGGTCGCCGAGTTCCTGGAGGTGTAAGTGTTATCTCCACTAAGTGCGAGCCGATGTGTCATCCACGAAGCAAGATATTGATGACTCATTGTGTACACAGACAGTTGTGGGCACCAGCCCTTGGGTCATCCATCGTTGCGTGGAGGTCTGGGGTGGAGACGCCGAGGAGTTCCGGCCTGAGCGGTGGATTGAGGCAGAGAACCCCGGTCATTTGAGTGCGTGGCAATCCGTTGACGTGCTGGCCATTGCCGAGACTGACCAGGTATCTCCCTCGTGGCTAGAACGTTTCTTCTTCGCTTTTGGTGGGGGCACTCGAACCTGCATCGGACGCAGTGAGTGACAAATCCTTGGCGGCGGTTCGCTCTCTCTCGATGCCGAGTTAGAAGTTATAACCATGCACGCGTGATGGGGTACGACGGAGCTGACATTAGTCCGACACAGACATTAGTTGGCTGGAGATTGAGAAGCTGGTGTCGACGCTTGTGATGCGCTACGACTTCGAGCTTGCGTCGGATGCCATGATATCCGAGTACTGCGGGTGAGTGGCTGGTGCGAAACTGGGATCCGAAGAATCCGATCTTCCACGTCGAGAGTGCACATGCTGATGTCGCGAGACCGCAGAGCGCTTGTCTTCCTCAAAGACCTACGCGTCACGGTATGTCGCCGCGAAGCATGAGGGCTGTTCAAGTTTCAATGCGTAGGTTGGCCTGGTCCTGGCTGGTTCTGCACCGTCTTATCAGGTCTTATCAGGTCTTATCAGGTCTTATCACGGGGCCGAGCGCGGTTGCCCCATTGGCCAGCCCTACGCGGGACATGCAGTAGGTAGGTAGTAGCGGGACGGGTAGGTGCCGAATTGCGCGATCCGCTGCTCCGTGCACGTCCCCCCTGAAGAGCATCAGTTAGACGAGTTAGAGTGCGCACTGGATACGTAGTCTAGAGGATACGTAGTCCAGAGGATACAGTGGGGATACTGGGCATCTGTAGCGGGCGAGGCGTGTTGGCTACTGTGGTCCTTCTCTTTTGGCTTACTTACTTCCATACCTATCTCCAGGTACATGGGTACCTCAATACCTACTTAACCTAAGTACCGGTACATCCTATCATACCAATGTTGATACAACTTCGCTATCTGCCTACCTACCTACCTACTGTAGGTAGGTACATCGGTAGTTTGTGTACTGAATGGTCTGATCAAACTAATAGAACTAAGTGAGAAAGTGAGATCCGCAGTCAGATCTGTTCAGATAACCTTCTCTCTTATCTGCTATGACAACCCCTAGGTACATATGTACATATATCTACTACCTACCTAGGTACCTAGTACATTAGGTACCTACATACATAAGTATGCAGGTAGGTATATACTGCCGAAAGCCGTCGGCAGAGCCCGAGCAAGCTATTCGTAGGTAAGCTAGAGTGCCAAGGGATTCTACTTAGGTATAGGTACCTAGAACAATACGACGTTCGGCTAATTACCTACATAGTACTACCTAGGTATGTACCTAGCTGTGGAGACACAAGGATCGTGGGTCTTACTTAGACGAAGGCTACCTTAGCCTGTCAGAAAACACCCGGGATAGGTACGTGTAGGTCAAGTTTACGCGGCATCAAACTGCGTATGCATTTTTTGTTGGCGTCTAATCCAGGAATACAGTGGATAGAGCAGTAAAGTAGGCTGGTAGAGCTCAGGTGAAAACAGACGTTGAATTCAAAGTAGAAGGGCATGGTCCGCATTGAACGTGCGTGCAACTAAGTAAGTCAGAACGGAAGATCTAACCAAACCACCACCTACGTCACAGACTTCATCTTGACCCATAGCCGGTGCTTCTCCCAGAAAGTGTAGCTGATCTGCTTCTCCCAGCCCCGCGATGCCTCCATGAGCTCGAGGTCAAAGTGCCACGCCACCTTACCCAAGATCAAGCGCACCTCGTGGTTGGCGAGCTGCTGCCCGAGACAGTTCCGCGGGCCATACGAGAACGGCTTCAGCGCCTCCTTGCGGTCGCGCGCGTATTTGTCCGGGTTTTCGCCCGTCCAACGCTCCGGCGCGAACACCCGCGGCTCCACCCAGTTGCTGCTGGCGTTGAACGACGCGAACATGGGCATGCTCACGCAGAGCCCGCCTGGGATGTGCTTACCCTCGAGCACAGCCCCGCCCTCAGGCACCATCCGCGTGTGGTTCGCTGGAGACGGTGGGTACATACGGAGCGTCTCCTCTACGACGCCGAGGAGGTACGCGCACTGCGACAGTCGAAGCAGAGTCATATCCTCCTCCTTGGCGAATGTCGTGCGTATCTCCCGTTTCAGTTTGGCGTATACCTCTGGATTCAGGGCTAGGAAGTAAATGGCACCGGACAAAAGCGTAGCCGTCGTCTCGCTGCCGCCAATAGTTAGCAGCGAGGCGTGTTCCGACAGTGTGCCGAATTCCATCTTCTCATCTTTTCGCAGCTCGACTAATTTCTGGAGAAAGTCCATATGCTCTGGATTATGACCGAGGCGGGTGTGGACTTTTTGCTGTAGGACTGAAGTTAGGACTTGACTTATCATTCAGACAAACGCGTATATGAGCTAGAATCGAGCTTACATCAACAAGGTCTCTGTGAGTCTTGGTACGGCGGTATATTGAGTCAGGAATGAACATCCACTTGTACAGTTTGTCAAAAGGGTAGGGGAGCTGGCGGGCGGACTGGCCAAGGGTCATCAGGCCGGCAATCGCCAGACTACAATCAATCCACTCGTGCAGCTTGGATTCTCCCAGGCAATTAAAGTCTTCTCCGTATGCTGAGTTTGCACAATGGTGAGTCTCAGCTCGCTTAGCCAATATCAGAATGACGGTGACTTACCGAGATAACCAATGATGTCAAAGGTAAGATACTGGTAAATGAAGGTGTCAGCTACGTAGCACGCTGAATGCCATAGAATGATTACTTTAAGTTGAGGAACTTACGTTAAACCAGTCAACAATGTCCACCGGCTTCTTACCGTTATCGCCTGCGTCCTTGACGCGAGCAATAAATTTATCAACAAAGCGGTGCAGAATCCACTCGTTTTTCTTCAGAGAGATCTCAGAGAACGGCGGCGAAAGAATTTTTCGAAAGTATGTGTGCTCGGCATCGTTTCCCGTCAAGATGGTGACAGTTGGTTTGACCGTATCGTGGTAGCGTGGATCTTTGATCATCTCAACTTTCCCAGCTGGGCTGGTACGGTAACCGTAGATCTGCTTCCAGTTCTGGGGGTCGATGAAGGAAATTTCATCGGGTGTGATCCGGACAGTATCGCCGTACTTTTCATGAAGAGCAAGAAGATCTTGTGCTATGGTGCCTCTACCCAGCGCCCGAGAGTACCATAGGGTTGAGGCCCTTGATATCAGAGGGCCGGGGTAGTCTCGTAAAGGGTGCAAGAATAGATTGTAAAACCCATGACTGAGATGATAGATCGCCCACTGAGCATCAATGTCAATATGGAAATTTCATCTGAGTCCGTAGATGATAATATATTTTACTCACTCCTATCACGAATAGAATTGGAACAACATAGAGCAGCGTGTTGTGGTTCGCAACCACTCCGGCGAGCTGGATAGCCATCTTTGCAGCAGCTATTCTTCCTGAATTGAGAACGGCTTGAAGTGGGAACGGAAAAGTGAACGGGGATGAAAGGCAGGGGGAATAAACATAGAGAACAGTGGATGACTGAGAGCAACCCGGCCCCTACATAGCAAACCCCGGAAACCTGGGAAACCCACCATCATTGTTGTTCGGGGGCCGAATTCCGCATGTGAAAACCCTGGGAAACTATCACGCAGGGAGCACTGTGTACTTCAGAACCTTACTAGGATAGGATAGATCATACTGTTACAGGCTGGCGGGTTGAGTTTTCACGCTTCATAAAATGCTTGATAAGCGCAAATTACGACGTCAATATCTTGATAACAAAAAATATTAATTATGAATATTAAGAGTATTAACTTACTATCTTTATATAAATTTAAAATATACCTATTAGGTTAAATTTAAAGCTTAATATATATACTGATGTATATACTAATTATGAAACCCTGACCCAGTTCAAGGGTGGCATTACTGTGGCCTAAGCTACCGTAAGATTGATGCTAGGATAGTACTGCCAGGATATAACAGTGCCTTATTACGTGGGTAGTATATATGCAGCAACGAACGCCTTCGATTAGTTACATATGTATGACGTATAAGAGTTTCGGATAGTTGGAGTATAGAAGCTACTGTGGGTTTTCCTTTCTGTTCTCTATGAATAATCTTGTATTCACCCACCTACGGCTATGTGGGAGTCTATGCGTATCTCTAGCCTTGGTGGGGATTTTTCATGCATATTTGTCACAGTACCATATATGGTAAGTGTAGGCGGTCATGTTCCCGACCTGATAACGTCGTTTTTAAGGTTTTATAGTTTAATACTGCACTCCTGCTACATAATTATATCTACCAGGATTTGTTAGGGTCAAAAGTCTAGAGTCATTTAATGAAAATTACACAATTTTCAATGTTGCGGTAAAGGTATGACGTAATAACGATAATAAATATTCAGTCATTGCGGGGGGCTTTCGATGTACTTTGCTTCCATGTCTCATTAGGCGAACTGCTTTGATACGGTCATAATTTATACAAGCTACTTTCTTTACATGTTCATCACATAGCAGTAGAATATCTTGAAGGTAAATATGGATCAGCATGATTTATAATGATTATGTGAATGCTAAATCCGTATGTTACTTTGAGAGAGGAAGAGGGGAGATCCACATGTCGTATCTTCGCCAGTATGATACTGAACTAAAGACAAAGATAGGACGTAAACCGCAAACGCTAATCTCGCATTGAAAACTGGTCCTACCTACCCACTCAGTCTTTCTTGAATCGCTTGCTGTCCCCGCGGACCTTTACACGGATCCCCTGACTAGAAGGGGAAGCCTCGCCCAGGAAACAGTCCCTTGAATAGGCAACATCTCGTTCCCAGGTAGTGTCAAAGAGTTCAAGGTCGAAGCGACACATAATAGTAGCCAATGACATGTACATCTCAATATAGGCAAATCTGTTTAGATGTAAGCGCTATCTACTTGGCCAGTTCATGTCGTCAAGAGGGGGCTGCACTTACTCTACGCCAATGCACATCCTTGTACCCTTGCCAAAAGGTACGTACATTCTCTTTTGTTGCTCAGTAGGATTGAACCACCTCTCCGGTTTGAACTTCATAGCCTCTGGGAATATTTCATCGTTGTGAAGAATGTCACTATGAGTCATACTAACAGGCGTCTACATTTTTGTATATTATTAGTATGTCCCTTTCGAACTGATACTGTTCATGGCCAGAGTAAGGCGATCTTACCCCTGCAGGGATCAACCAGTCTTTGTAAAACAAATCTTGGTTTAGGACAAGTGGGAGTCGAGATGTAGTTGCTGCCCTTAATCGTAGCGACTCTCGTACTGATGCGGCCTGTCATGATGTGTTAGCATTGCTTGGGTACGAGCGATTCTCTTACTGACAAGCCAAGGTAGAGTTTCCAGAATCTTGACATCGGGTACTTGGTTGGAGTCGCCTGCTGCCTCAATAATCTCTTGCTTAACTTTAATCAGGACATCCGGGTTTTGAAGTAAGTGGAAAATGGTGTGGGCTAAAAGCCTTGACCCCGTTTCGCCTCCCGCGAAGAGTACCGTCAGACCTTCCTGGTACAAACGAAGCGGTGTTTTCTCAATAGAGGGGAGGTTACTTTGATCGATAGAGTGGAATATTGTCTCCGGTTTAACATCCTCTTTGCCTGACTTCATGTCCTGGGAGTTTCGGTCCTTAATGTAAGATGAAACGATATCGGCCATAAGCTATGGCAGTTAGGGATGGCTGTGAATCAATAGTCGATGGGAGATGACCGATGACTGACCTTATGCGCCCCCAATAGTCCTGCTAGGTCAGGCTGGATCTGCTTAAGTATGGGCTGCAGTATCCAGGTTGGGAGCGTTAGTAACCTTGCGTTAAGCCACGGAAATTGTTTAGAGAAGGGCGTTGCTTGAGCCACGGCTTCCATTGAATGCCTCCAACTTTTGGCAGCTTCGGGGTTGTTTTGGTATCCAGCTTGAATGTTGAACATGTAGTGATAGATAACATCGGTTGTATAGGCTAAAAACGTTGTCTGCATGTCTATTGGCTCGTCCGTGCCGCATTTTGATTCAAAAATTTGGGCCAACTTTTCGATGTGTCCATGTATCAGACTTTGCGCACTTGCAACAGCGCGTTTCGAGAACATCCGTGAGTTGGCCATGCGACGCTGTTTATGGGCGTGGTGGTCCACTGTGCCGTGTGCTGTGAAACATTCACTCAGCGCACATTTCTTTTCACTAGGAAGTAGTAACATTGCGGCCGATAGGGCCTACGATGAGAATATGAATAGGAATGAGTTTTCCTAGCGACTTACTGCCAAATGGTAGCCCCGCCATCTCTGTAGAAGGGGGATATTTGTGCCGGACAGTCGGGTTTGGAGCATAAAGAGTGTCGAAGAATGCAGGATCGCGAATGTGAATTTCATGAGGATTAGGCCGAACAATAGGCCCTAATGCTGTGTCAGCTACTAGAAGCATTTGCAACCTCAAGCCATTTCTCGTGACACTTACCGTACTTGTCGTGCATCTCGCTCAACTTGTAAAAGAACTGCCCGCCAGGGCTCTTTACTACATCATAGTAAAACTCGTACCACTTCGTACTTGCAGCGAGCTTGGGACCAGGGAACTTGGCTAAAGGGTGAAGATAAAGGCGGTATACGACCAGAAAACAGCCATACAAGATAGCAAGAATGGGCAACGCCAACCACCATGATACTTGCACCAACAATGCGGACCTTTCAAGACTTAACATATTAGCCATTGTGATTGGGCAATGACTATAGTTTAGTACACAACGGTGATGTACTATCTGAGGGAGGTACCCAATGCCAGGACTATAAAAAAGGGTTCCGAAGAAGATAGGGCAGTAGGATATAGCACGGAGGATATTTGTGAGAACTAGGTAAGGAGGAAAAGATATCGCAATTAGGTCTAAGTACGAACGCCCTCACTATCACTTGGTAAACTTCGAAACACACAAGACAGTCGTCTACTCAAATCTTTGCGTATCGGTCGCGCTATCGAAGCCCCTGGATGACAGGATAGATTCCGAGGCCAGGATCGCTCGGTCTGTTCTTGGTGCCACCATGAAGTGTACCTAGCTGTACTGTGTAGATACATAACTGGCATCGGCCTCTGTCGCTTCTTCGCTCTTAAGCGGGGCTCCCGGAGTTAGCAAGGCTTGTTGTGCAAGGGTGGTTTGGACCGATGGTCTCCAGAAAAAAGGGAGTCAAAGCTAAGATTTCACATCCCCAAATGCGATTAATCCTTTAATTCTCTACTAGCAAGCTACTTATTAAATAGCCTTTAATAAGAAAATAATAAAATAAATTATTAGTTCCAAGGTTTATATACATATATATATGTGTGTGTGTATAAATTCGAATCCTTTAATAAATATCTCTTTTAATTATTTACTGGCTCTCCTATTTCATTTGGCTAAGTATTAGTCGGTTACTCCAGTTGTAGAGGGTTGGTGGTTGGGTGGGGTGTAAAATTTGTGTTTAGACCTCTTCTGACCCGAACTTATCACAATAATTGTTGATAAACTATACGAATGATTTATAATGATTCACCATAATTACTGTGTATCAAGTGTCTAGACCGACCGAGACTACAGCATGCAGATCTATCTTTGAGGGTATACTGTTTGCGAAGTTGTGGGGTTGGCCACTGGACCACGCAACTGTTAGTCCATGTTCAGTCATGGTATTGCCGCAAAGCATCGTGAGATTTTATGCAGGCTCTCCAATCATTGATACAGCCCTTCGAGACCCTATGCAGAGTCCAATAAATGCGTTGTTTTATGCCTGCCACTATCTTCTCCTGTATGGATACGCTGTATGCACGTTTCGGTTAATGCAGGTGATAACATGGAAAGACCGTGTGAAGGAACCTGTAGACACTGAGCATTGTGGGCGAAAATACATCAAGTAGGTGTTGATGGGCACGCGTGGCAGTGCTTTCTCAAACTCGGCCGATAGCATTGCTGAGAGGGGAAAGGAAAGGGTGTGCGGACTCATTTCACTAATCAGTAACTAGGAGACGCACCTTGGATCATTTAAAAGAGTGACTCTGTCTATAAGTATTGACTTCGACAGTTCTACTTCACCGCACAATTATCCCATCCAACTCTAACATTTACGGGTTAAGCAGCTCGTTGTTCTTAAAATGTCTCCAGCAACCCTACTCTCAAGACCTGTGGATGATCCACGACCTAAAGATGACCCCAGAATCGGACTATCATCTAAGCTTCTAGCAAAGCCTTACTATCTACCCAACCTACAGGGGCCCTATAAGCACTGGCCTGAGTATGTCTTCATAGCACATGCTTCTACTGTCTAAACCTTTAGTCTCTGAATAGCATGGATAAATGCTAACGTGAAACACAAACAGCAAGGTCAACCCGAATTACTATCATCTGAAAGTGGCCCTTGATGCCCGTATCAAGGAGTAGGTCTAAGCACACATAAACAAAGGATATTCGGAACACTTTCTGACTTAGAATGTTGTCCGCGAATATAGGCTGTATCCTCCTGCAAGAGCAGTGGCCCTGATTAAGGGTGATTATGGCCTCCTGTCATCATTATGGTGGCCTCGTGCTAGCCTGGACAGACTTCGAACTTGCACATTCTGGTTCCTCTGGCTCTTCACCTGGGACGATGAAATTGACCAGTCTACTTCGGAACTATTCATCAACCTCCCCAATGCCAACCAGTTCAGAGACGAGTCGTACCACTTCGTGCGCTATGCCCTTGGTGTTGGGAACGAAGAGACTGACAAGTGGGATTTTGATAACAACAAGCCCAACCGACCTCTGATCCGAAGTTTGGACGTCATCGGTGCAGAGCTTCAGAAGGTGTACAACAAAGGTAAGCAAATATATGTGATACCCTTACTGTTGCCGTTGGTGGACAAATGATTCTTTGGAAGAATACTGGAGCCTCGGTCCAAACAATTGTGACAAATATTTGTTCTATATTCACACCCTCGTACAACGCCGAACTAAAATATCTCTAGACCAGATTATGGTTTTCGTGGACGAGATTTACTACTACATGGACTGCCAGCAACGCGAACAGGGCCGAAAGCTGACCGGCGTCATTCCCACTCCTGAGCAATACTGGGAGACCCGACTTGGAACAAGCGCCGTCACCTCCATGCTTGCATTAAATGAGTATGACTTGATCCCCCTTGCCTTTTCCCAACGACATTGCTAAACTAGGGGCTATAGATTTGCCGATGGGCAGAATATCCCCCGCTGGATCATGACCCACAGCAAGATGATGGACATCTGGCGCGAGGTCAACCTGAACATGTCCCTGTCGAATGACATGATTTCGCTAAAGAAGGAGATCAAGCACGGCGATATCGACAGTATCGTCCCGGTGTTGGTCTACAACAAGGGATTCACCGTCCAAGAAGCCATCGCGGTTCGTATACGCATGAATGCTAGCCAAGCTCCCAAACATGATCGTCTCTAACTAGACCAATAATTCTTAGGATACTTGCCATGAGCTCCAGAAAAACATTGATCGTCACGACGAGTCAGCTCGGGACTTGCTGGCGATTGTTAAGGAGAAGCAGCCGGATGTCTTGGCCGATGTCGAGTATTACATCGAGGGGTGCCGGCACAACCAGACGGCCAATCTTCTTTGGAGGTTTGTTGACTTCGTCTTGCTTGACTTACCGTTCGAGTATATGCTAACACTAATTACACCAACAGTCTTGTGACTACTCGCTACGGCCTTGGGGACGTTCCCCGCGATGAGGACGGAGGCATGACCATCCAGGTAGTGTAGGGAAGCTGTTTGCTCGAATTTCGGAAGAGCTCGTAACAATGGCTCGCGGATAGTATGGGACATGAAGAGAAATGAAGATTGACAGCTCCTTGATCTAGAATTGGTAACATGGCAGATTACGTAGTTCGAATATTATTCCATATGACATGAACTATCTAAGCAACTGTTGAGACTTATGTAATTGTGCCACGGCCCCTCCTGCGTAGAATCGATTACAAGGCCATCGATGTCGATGAACTGGTCACAGGCGGCCGTTGCATAATCCGCTCTGTTTGGCTATGGACAGAGAATTCGGAGGTATAGGACATGGTCGGAATGCGCCGAGCGATAAACCCCACGACCGGGCACGGCCACCACCTGTTCGGCCGAGGCCACCTCAGCTTTATGTAGTTGTTGCTTCTTGAGGAGATTAGATACATGGCAGCATGACTTGACTGATATCGTGACGCATCTTTCTCAGGAACAACCTCGTGTCATAGACGTCAGTTTCCTTTGCACACACACCTAGCCCTGAGGCGAGTAAAAACAATGGTAGCCGAGAGTCTGACGCTCATCACATCACGTCACCCCACTCATTCCTCTGCAGTTATGTACCTACATACTGTCCAGGTGGCTATGTAGATGATAACCCACCCTCCCAGTCGATGGTTGCCTTTTCGGCATTGGAAGCGAAGGTGGCCCAAGATCTACACACCTACATACACCCGAGATACCTACATGCGTACCTACATGCACGTAACATCAATATCTCCGGGCCCCTCCTCTCCCTTCTTGACTCGGCCTGTCCCGCGATTCCCGCCCGGCCGCTTTGGCGTGGCATGACTGCCCACCTTACTTAACCCCCCCCCCTCCTCCTTCCTCATCACAACTTTGAGGCTTTTGAACCCCGCCACCTTCACGCTTATCATTACCTCCCCTACCCTTCGCAATCTCCTCAATCCCCTTCCTGGTGCCAACAGAAGTCTCTTATTCTCTTGCCCTTTCTCTTTTCAATCAAGACTGTCCCCAATCCTCACTGCCCAACGCAATATTCCCAACTCCTTCGCATCTTCTCGTTCATCTAACTAGAGCACGCAATGGCCGTCAAGGTGGGCATCAACGGCTTTGGCCGCATCGGCCGCATCGTTCTTCGCAATGCTGTGAACCACCCCGATATCGAGGTCGTTCACGTCAATGACCCTTTCATCGAAACCCACTACGCCGTGTATATGTTCAAGTATGACAGCGTCCACGGTACCTTTGACGGCACCGTCGAGGTCGCCGAGGACGGCAAGGGTCTGACCATCAACGGGAAGCTCATTAAATTCACGCAAGAGCGTGACCCCGCATCCATCCCTTGGAGCGAGTCTGGAGCTGAATACATCGTTGAGTCCGCCGGTGTCTTCACCACCACCGACAAGGCCAAGGCCCATCTCCAGGGTGGTGCCAAGAAAGTCATCATCTCTGCCCCATCCTCCGACGCCCCCATGTACGTGATGGGCGTCAACGAAGATAAGTACGATGGGAAAGCCGACGTCATCTCCAATGCTTCGTGCACCACCAACTGTCTCGCTACCCTAGCCAAGGTGATTGATTACCCTACGAGCTATCCAATAATCGTGGGTCGTGTCCAACTAATAGCAGTCTGCTTAGGTCGTCCATGATAAGTACACCATCATCGAAGGCCTCATGACTACAATCCACGCCTATACTGCCACGCAGAAGACTGTTGATGGCCCATCCTCCAAGGACTGGCGCGGTGGACGTGCTGCTGCCACCAACATTATCCCCAGCAGCACCGGCGCTGCCAAGGCCGTCGGCAAAGTCATTCCTGATCTCCAGGGCAAGCTTACTGGCCTTTCTATGCGCGTTCCTACTGTCAACGTATCAGTAGTCGACCTTACCTGTCGAATTGAGAAAGGTGCTTCGTACAGCGACATCAAGGCCACTATCAAAGAAGCTTCTGAAGGTCCCCTCAAAGGTGACATCTCCCTGATAACTCTGTCACAGTACCCAGCATACTAACCAAACACCCATCAGGCATTCTCGGTTATACTGAAGACGACGTTGTTTCCCGCGATCTCACTAGCAACACGAACTCGGCTGTGTTTGACGCCAAGGCCGGAATTTCCCTCAACGACAACTTCGTCAAGTTGGTTGCTTGGTACGACAATGAGTATGCCTATAGCCGACGTGTGTTGGACCTGGTCGCCTATGTCGCCAAGGCGGATGCCGGCAAATAGAATGCCTATCATTTCTAATTGGTATGTCGTGGACTTGGTTTGGACAGGTTCGTGAATTCACTGGGTAATAATTAGATGAAACTAAAGAAGAAAAAAGAAAACCGTTTGTAATTAGCACGCCCTTCTCGTGTGGCATGACTATATTTTAAAGAATGTCGATGAGGAGCCCTAGTCTAATAATTGCATCTAAAGTCACAGTTGGGATATAATGTTTCGTTCTGGGATTTGGCCTGTTCCAGACCCAGCTTTTGCAATTATATACGAGGTACATGAAATTAATCATGCATATCTAATTAGTAGTTTGCAATGGTGACTGATTTATTACCACAGGCGCGATGATGGCGACACTGCCTGTCTATCTTGCATCAGGACATGCTTATTGAAATCTATAATACTATGGTCCATGACACCTTGGAACTCGATTGTTCTCGCAACGCATGCTCCAGTAAGTCGATATCTACAATTTAAGAAATTATTCTTAAAGAATATGATGTACATGTTCCTATAGACAATCCTTTTGGTACATTACCCTTAAGGTACGCTACCTCCCCGGACAGTAGAAGCAGCATCATCTTGGGCTTGTTCTCCAGGGGGTGCCGAAGCAGCAGCGATGCCCCCGCCTTGTTGAGGCATATTTCGTGGCGGAGGTGGAGGCGGGTCGAATATAACATCCTGAACCCATTGACGTATATAAGCATCTGTCTCGCCCTGAAACCGTTTCGAGATGCCCCTCTTTGCCTGCTGCACAAGCGTCCGCGGCTGAGGACGATATCTTGGTTCGTGAGCGAGGCATTTAGCGACAGTCTCTCTAAGTTCGCGGTCAACTCTGTCGTATTGGCGCTCTGTGAGGATGCCGATGCAGTAGTGATTTGGCATCTGGGTCTGTGGCACGCGTGACAGTTGGAAAGGAAGGGACACTGGGACTTCGTATCCTGTGATGAGTTGCCACATGGTCTGCGAGAATTAATAAAAGTCAGATATGCCGGACGACGGAGACCCGGAAGGCGGGCTTACTAGAGCTATCCCCCACACGTTTGTATGGGAGCCGTAGTTTCCAGCGACCGGCTGTTCGGAAAGCTCAGGGCCATGTTCCCTTATTAACCCGTCATCCGGCCTTTTCACATAATCCCAGTCGGCTCCGAATTGTTCCTATGACGAGAGTGGTCTTAGTATGCCATATCAAACTGCCGTATTTTAGGGCCGCTGGGACTCACGGGTGCGTAATAACCCATTTTGTTTCGCATTCTTAAATTTCTATAATACTGACTATGATATCTCATGAGATTTCACCAAAGCATTGGATTGTTATAAATTGTGAGAAGGCTCAACGGACTCACTTGCTTTTATTTGGCTTCACCGGATCCGCGAGCCCGAAATCCGCCAGCTGTTTTACAAACCATTAGTTAGTTCTCGACACGTCGACTTGCTCTCCGGTCGATTTTTCGCGGTAAACCACGTACCTTGAGTCTTGGAACGAGTAGGTGCTCATTATCTCTTGCGCCGGCATCCAGACCTCCCACCAAAACTGTTTGATTCTCAGTCAAATCTGCGAGAAGAGGTTTTTCTTTGACAAGCCGCGATTTCGGTAATATCACTCACTATTTTTAGGGTCAATGTCGAAATGCACAATGCGTTTGACAGCCCATCGCCGTCTTGGGGCCGGTTCTTGCTCGAATAGGTCATCACCTACTCGCTTGCCCGTTGTTGTCATATCGTAGTCAGGCAATCCATCGGGTCTCAAGATGGGGTGGTCTTCATGTCGGCCTGGGTGAAATTTACGGGGTGGATATCTGCATATTGGTATGCGTCAATTCAATGCCTAATGTATGCCTTATATATTCGGCAAGAAGATCTAGTACAAATAGGGTTGTAAGAACGTACTGCATGCCTAGACAGGCTTGGGTTACTAGAAATATTGTCAGTCACATTAATATCATCGAGCTAATTGTAACTTACGGCAAAGCCAAAACCCCCACAGCACTATATCATCAGGAATCAGCGATTCTGAAGTCAAGCTTGTATCGATTCAGACACCCTTTGCTTACCTCGATTCGGAATAATCGTTCCTTGTTGATTGACCCTAAACACAATGTGATGATTCGATCAGCTTAGATTTCAACCAATATTACAGCTTAGGAGAAACGAAAAGCCAAAACTAAGCAGCTCTCCATTGAAGCATCCAGGCCTCACCTCGCAAGAAGTGTTTCGAGGTCACCGTTCTCGACGAACTCCAGTAGCAAAAAGTCTTTACGGTTGACCTGTAATGCGGGATCCGCATATGGGTCGTCCCTGTACGTTTCTCTATCATATTCCAAATCTTCCAACCTGCTATTTCGCTTAACCCATTCTTTATGTCTTCTCGCAAGCACAAATGGATTCATAGCAGCCCGCTTCTGTCTTCTTGTTTTGGTCGCATTGATTTTGACTTTCTGAGTCGGTTCGTCGCCATAAGACTCGTCTCCGCTGTCACTTTCCGACTCACTCGTATCCTCCCAACGGCGGGTTGGTATGACGTGTGGCTCTAGGGGCGGAAAGTTGATCCTGTCTCGTGGTATAACCTGGATAAAATGCGCGCCACGATTGAAAATCTGATATAAAGCACCGCCTTAGCGTGTATCAAGTTGCGACGCATGAGAATTATCAATAGATAACCTACTTCTGTGATCTTCTCTTCTGTATATATCTCGGGCGCGTCCCAGCCATGCAGCGACAACTTCATAACCAACGTGAAAACCGGGGTGGACTCATCTCTCCTATAGTGGCATTTGATTACAACTCCATTCCCACCATATCCCAAGGCTTTGACCAGCGCTAAGCGCGGGGAGGCTTCAGAGAAGTACGTGCGGGCCGAGTTAAATACCTTCCTTGCTTCTCGAAAACTCTTTCGTCCTTTGCCTCGCCTCGGCTCTGGCCCATGGAGATTGGGATTTCCGCGTGCTCTCAAAACGGGCACTCTTTTAGGGGGCCTTGATAGAGGGGGTTCGCGCCTGACTCGGCCGGGTCGCGGTAGTTGACGGTTCACTACCATCTCAGGAGTTAGCAGGGACTACCAAGTATGGTTCAGCGTGGAATGAGGCGCAACTCACCCCATAGATGTCGAAAATTCCGTAACGTATTTCGTCCTAGATGGTGGGTTGGCCAATTCTTTCGCCGATACATTTGAAAAAACCACCCATCGCTGCGAAGTGTTCTTTCCCAGAAGCTTTCCGGGGTCGCCATATCTTCTGTATATACTTCAACCTAGGCAGTCTTTCTCGTGGGTATAGGAGCATAGCTGACTTCACCATTGCTTATTGTACCTGGGCAGTTGTACAGTGGGAGTATCATGCTACGAAGACAAAGGATCTTGATGTTTTCACAGCCGTGGCCACGAAGTTACATACCAGAACTAAAGCAGTAAACAATGTAATTTTAATAGTTGTTCTTTGTCCACTTCTGTCGCATGCATCGATTTATTTTTGCCAATTTCTATTATCACGATACAAGAGCTGGCTTTCGTTGTATATATACAGGATACTAACTACCTTCTAGCCTCAGCGCTGCTTTGATAAGCCATTCTCTAGATAAAGTTGCATCGTGTCTCAGGCGCCCTTCTCCGTCTCCTTATAGTTAGATACACGAAAGAAATTCCGCCTACCTATATGATGATAACGCTTGAATATCCTCATGATAGAGTATAGCAAAGCAACGCAGTATGGTTTTGGGTGAACTGGAAAAAGAGAGAAAAACAAAGTATCAGCTATTAAATAGCATATCTCTCGATCATCAAAGTATTTTCTTGTATGTTTTTTTGTGCATTGGGATATTATATGTGTGATTGTGTGTGGTAAAGATATTCTAGGCCTGTCAAAACACGGACTAGACTTTGCTTGAATGACAGCAGGTAAGCCGAGTACCAACAATGATTATAATCATCATTGAGATGCTCGGCCTTCTTATTTCGACAGAGTTGAGAGTGTGACAGGATTGTGGCACAGGGGCAGCTATCTTTAACCACTTTGCGAGTTGCCAGATGTGGCCTGATCAGGTTTAGGGGGCCAAGGTCTTCTGTACTATGTACTCTGTAAGAGCTCCTCAGAGGGTCCTGCGTGTTTCAAGTTGAGGCGTCTCAGTTTTAATACAGGGTGTGCACGTAGCTTAATGAGTGAAAAGCCACCTATCATGTCATGTGAAGAACACAGTTCCCATATTCTTCCCCACGCCCGGCCCAATTTAGACACACCCCTCCGTCTCAACCTCCTCCCGTTTCCGGCGCTAGCCCCCCGTGATACTTAGTCCTCCGTGTTTCACATTTAACTTCGCCCGGTTCTACCTGCCAGATACCTGCCATCGTTTGCCTACCTAGGTAGGTAGCCATGTAGAGTTGAGGTAAGCAAACTGGGAGGAGATCTCGCGAGAAAATCATCATTGCGAGCTTCCGAAAACGTAGCTTCGCGCCGACCTTCTCAAGATCGTCTTCTCCCTTCTGTAGATCGCGAAACCACCCTTGACTGTATAAGTATAGACATCGAGATTACTAGTAGTACAACTCATGGCTATATACAGGAAGGTATGCATATACGGGCCATACTGCCTTAAGTACAAGCAGGTAATCGCCCGAGGCTCCATATGATAACGGCTGTCTGTGCCATGTTGGTCTGACCCTGCCAAGGACGCGGGTGAAACTCGTCTTCGCAAGATGATTCAGCAACTTTTTGCAACCGATATCTCTACTACGTAGTGTGGCTCTCGTTTGTTCGATCTGTCCCGAAATAACATGACTGCCTGTTTGGGGATCCTTGCCCGTGGATCTTCAAGGATCTCCAATACACGTCTGAGGTGAGTTCGTGCTTCCCCAATCGCATTCGCCGCCGGTGGTGGTGGTGCCAACAAGCAATCTGCAAGCGACCTCTTCGTGTAGTACGGCTCAATTGTGTGTATACACTTCACAGGCACGAAACAGGTAGCACTGTAGTGTTCGGTGGTAAATCCAGGTTACATCCGCATCGTCACACTCTCTTATCATATGCTATGCAGGGCCGTTCATCGTGTACAACTGGCGAGACTGGTATCGTAGAATACACGCAAATGAACACCATGTCCTACTTGCTACATCAGATACCGGTACCTCCTACCTACGCACCCATCTCGACATAAAATGCCAAGGTTTACACCTTGCTCCTCCCACCCTTCCCCGGTCCATGGCCCCCGGTCGAACTACTTACACTACAGTAGTACACTAGAGCTCGTCTCATACTAATAAGTACACTTGGCACCCACCTGATTTGGGGCTCGCGACTGCCTTTCTTAACCATCATCTTCCGTTGCATCTGGATATCACGTCGCTGTGTCGTTGGCCTCCTCTTCTTTTCCCCCTCTTTCCCTTCCCCTTCACTTCTCTTCTCCAGCTGCCGGTTACAGTCGTTTCCTTCCTTTCTTTTCGAACGCCATCAGACTCGACGTCTGTCACTTTCTTTCCGGCCCCGGTGTCATTCTTTCTTTCTCTCGGTTTGCCGTGCCTTTTCCAGAACTTTCATTTGCACCTTGTCGCCCTTTCTAGACACGAAACGACATATAAAGGTACCAGGCTCGAAGCATACAAGATCGGATCACAATGCACTACTCTGCCATTTTTCTGCTCGCTAGCGCTGTCTGCTCCTTTGCATCGCCTGTCTGGCCACGATACACTGTTGACAACGAACACTTTGAGGTCCTCGCTCTTCGAGCAACAACCCAAGTGAACCCAGCAGCCGTCAGTGACGTGACCTGCATTGACCCCAACCTGTAAGTCTTCCATACCTTCCGTTCCTACTCCCTTTCGGCCAGTATTCATCACGGTTTTCGTGCCAATGCATATCTTCCCGCCTGCTAATATCGGCCCAGTAAAATCGTCTTCCATGATCAAAATGTAGCCGAACTGGGCATCTGCGGAGGAATCGCTGGCTCCATCACAAAGTGCGGTGGCTCACCAGAGCGTACAGTCGGTCAGTCTGGAAGCGCAAAATTCACACTTACCACCGCCACGAGCGGTGCCACGATCAACATCAGCAAGGGTCGTTGGGAACAATGTATTCGTGCAGCCCGCGCCATCTGCCCAACTGGAAGCATGAGCGGGAGGTGCACTGGCGGCGCTTCATCAGGAGATGTCAACTTTACCCTCGAGTCGCCATAAAGCGTTTGAGATAGAAGTCTGTCATCAGCCGTTATTCAATTACTACTCGACTCAGCGGTGCTGAAGCAGAACAACATCTCCTTTCTGGAACTGGAGCAGGCAATCAAAAAAACCTTTCATAATTCGATTCGTACATGCGAGCATGTGGGTGGAAGATACCTACCCTTAGGGAACGGGAAAGCTAGAGAACAACCATCATTCGGCGTTCACGGGCCTTGTCTTATGAGATGCGATATACCAGACCCCGGAGATCAATGAACAAGAAGACAAACTGTATATTTGCTCTTGCTCTTTGCTGTACATATGCTGTAAAAATACCTATAAACCCCCTGTGTGGAATGAATGAACTCTTTCCAGCTACAGTTGAGACAGAAAAACTGAACCCATTATCAAGAATGAAATTTGATGCAAACGCCTTTTTAGTTCTTGTAGGTATATGGGTATCTTCCGTGTGATAACTCCGTGTCTTGCTTGCTGTTTCCAATGCCATCTATGTATGCCGAATTGAAGTACTGATGCTTTTTGATTTTATGGCGAACACCAAAGATTCGCCCCCAACTCATCAAATGAAAATGCCACAACGCCCGCCTTGCAGTGCCCTAGCAAGAAGCTCCTCTACCTCACAGTCTACCGCTATGTTAACTTCCTTCCGCGAATCTTACCGATTTACTGCCCTACAGCCCATATCGAGTAATGCATTCCTCGCGGTGCGTCTCCAGACACTCGAGCGCGCACACCCGCGTCCCGCACTTCATGCACCGCACACGGCCCCAGTACCCGCACACAGCGCAGAACACGCGCGTCGGGTACCGCTGCTGCTGCCCGCCTTCGCCGTCCCCGGACGGCCAGGACCCTCGCGCCTCGAGGTAGCTCAGCGGTGGCGCGGCCAGGAGGGCGCGCAGCTCGTCGTCGCTTGGGAGGGGTGGGAGACGCGAGGCGAGGAGTGGATTGGCGTCTTCGGGGTGCGAAGGGTGTGGCGGATATGACGCCAAGATCGCGCTTTTCTGCACTCCGGATTGGGGATCAGACGGGTCGATCATTTCTACGTCTTCGGAATCTTTGTTTTGCTTTTGCTGTTGCTGTGACTGTGACTGTTTCGCGCCGGACTTCTTGGACGATGACGGTCCCACGGAAGCGGAAGCTTGTCTCTGCCCTGTGCGGGCACCGGCCGTATCGTTGGCTTTTGCATTGCCGGTTGGATTCGTCTCAGCCTGCTGCACCTGCAGCGCTATGTAGTCGTCGAGGTGGTTCGCGAAGGTCTTTTGCGATTGTAATATCCGCCGCACGTTCGGCGTGTACTTCTTCCCACCTGTCCGCGCGATCCCATTCTTTACGGGGATCGCGATGTGCACGTCGCGCGCGTTGTCGCGGTCGAGGATCTCGATCTCCCTGCGCGCTTTCGTCTCCTGCCGCACGTTGGCATCGGCAAGACTGAGGTTGGCGGCGCCGCTGGCTGCTGCGCGGGACCGCTTGCGGTTCGATGGTGCGGCGGCGCTAGGGAGCTGTAGTTGTTGTCGGTCTGGCACGTAGGCCCAGCCTGGTGCGCTGGTTGTTCTTGTGGTGGCGATCTCTATTACGCCGAAGTTGTTCATGGTAACTCGTAATATGAATTTCTACTGCAACGGTGATTTGTTGGTGGTGGTGATGTTTTAGCTCAAGGTTAATGCATATTGTAGGGATGAGTTCCCTGATGGGATACCTACATACATTAGGTAAGTATCTATGCACGTAACTTATGTACCTAAAAACTTAAGGCACAAAACCCTAAGTAAGCCAGTGGAAAACCCCCTGCATAGCAGGTCTGCAGCACTCTACCTACCTAGGTAGGTACCTACGCAGTTACTGGAGAAGGCAGAGCTAACAAGGTGGGGTAGGAGTTGAGGCTCATTCCCCCCTTGATAGATGCGTTCACCCATCCTCCGTGCACGTAGCCGAGCGACACGGAAGGGAAATGACCAGGTATCAACTGGTAGAAGACAGTAAGTATCATGGTAGGACGACTCTTCGTATTGGCAAGGTAGTTTTGATTCAGTTGGTGCACAGTTGGTGGCATCGACCGCCATCCAACAAGTCAAGAGGAGTTGGTTCGAATCGGACGGCTGCCGAGAATCCTTCTGATATTGTCCCCCCCTCTCTCCATTTTCTCCCTCTTTTGCCTTATTTGTCTTTGACAGATTGTATCGCCTATCTTCCCTCAGTGTCTTGAGTTATAATAGCAACGTAATTTGGAATATAAGTAGCGTGAGTGCGGGAGGGATTCAGCATTGCTTATAGCATGGTCTTGTTATCCCGCACTGAGCGAGAGGACATCATGCTCTTAACCACCATCATAGAATACACAATGTCAAGCGCTGGTGTTTTTAAGTATTAGCAGATGGCTATCTAATTTATGTACGAGGTTTGATTAAGCATGGTAAAAGACCGTTAGTGCTGCGTCTAGGTAAAGGTTGTAGTCATTCCCGTCATCCATCATCCTCGCATAAAGTACGCCATGTTTCCATCAAGCTGACATAATAGAAACATCACGCCTAATGTACATATGGGTTAGACAGCTTCTTGAGCACCAGCCTCTTCATTCTCTGATCTCTCTGCTGCAGCCTCCCAGTCCTCCTCTACTGGTTCCCCTATTTTCTTCTTCGACTCTTTCTTGAGCGCCACAAATTTGCTACGAAGGGGTACGGAAGCAGGAGCAGTCACAGTTTTTGGTCGAGCTGCAGCCTTACCAACCACAGCACTCCATCCTCCGCTGCCGGCTTGGACACGCCCTTCCTCTCGCCGGAGCACATTCAGGGACTCGTCGACGGAGCAGAGGGAAACATTGTCCGCGAGTTTTAAGCGTCGAACTGTTTGTTGTAGGGTTAGCTTTAGAGCAGTGAGTGCGGCCTCGAGGGTTTGCGTGGTCCAGGTTCCTGAACCTTTTATGACGATCTCTTCGGACGGCAAAAAGCTCGTGTGGAACGTGACGGTAGGGTGAGCTGAGTAGTCCTTTCTTAGCGCAGCATTCAGTTCTTCAATGGTCAGACCGAATTGGGGATTTGTCAAGAGAAGTGCATTATAAGGGATGACGGTGGCGTCATTAGCTAGCGTGGACTGTTGTGTAGTCGGATCTTGACTGGCGCGGATCTTGGCGCACTGCGCCAGCGTCTTCATTGGGGCGGAGACGAAGCGAGGTGTCTTGAATAGACAGACGTGACGATGAGGTTCTGGATCGCTGCTTTCGCTGTCGAGACCGAAATCTTCAGCCAGTGAATGCATGAAGGCGCGTTGGTGGGATTTCATAGGCTTAAATCTTAACCGTTTCTCGCCCCTGTCCCCCGCAAACACTCGAAACTCCCGCTCGTAGACCTGTGCCCATTGCGGATTTTCTCGGTAGAACTTCAGGGTCGTGTCCGAGTATGGCACATGATCGTCTGTATGCGACTGAGGGTCGATGTTAAGTGCATTAGCTAGACGCGCATTCCGCTGTAAACGAAGGCACTCGTCGTCGCATTTCAATGATGAACGCTGAGGCGAAGGTTGAGCCTTGGTAGCTAGACATTTGACCTCCTGTTTCCTGTGTTGGCATTCACAGGTCACGAATGTTTTGGCTTGGCAAGGCCTATCTTCTTTACATGCTGGGTTTTCATGTTAGCTCGTGTGCGGTATATTAAGATGGATGGTAGCTTACGATAAGGAGCGTGGCATTGTTCAGTATCGAGGTGGCCACAGCTACGTGTCTTGCCACATAGCTGTTGGCAATGAGACCCCGAAATGCCTTCATCTTCACAAGCGCCCGAGCGATGGCACAGCTTATTACAGGAGTGAGTCCTAAATTATGATTAGCCAGAGTTTCCTCAGTTGAATTCGAAATGTAGACGTACCCGCACTTTAACTTCTTGCCACATGGAAGGCCACATCTCGGCTCATCAAACCAACAGGGTTGGTTCTTGAGCATCTTCTTGCCGCAAATGCACCGTTTCTCGACCAAGAACGGACATTTGGGGCAGTCTATATCATCCGGATGACAGTTATGCGTGACCTGTTAAAGTATATTAGCATACAATATAATGTTCGTGGGGAATGGAAAAGCCGGTAGCTGGATATGGAGGTAACAGCTCACACACTTGCTTACCTGAGGGTGGCCACAAGGCCGAGGCCGCGTACAGTCGAAGCGACATTCCGGCACTCTTGTGCCGCAAGGTTGGGGCGGCTGCAAGACAGTTCTTCCACAGTTACAGCTGATTTCCTCAAATATTGCTTCTAAGCATGAAGGACAAGGGCCGCGATGGCACATTTGTTGGCAGCGATGCTTTCCACATTTCAGTTCCCTGCCGCATGCGCGGATACAGATATGCTCTGCCTCAAATTCTTCGTTTGAAGCAGCTGAACTCTTGTTACGCCGCTTTAGTGCTAAGCGCTCAATTGCTCGCTTTTCTGCCGGGCAACACCGTGCACCATGCTCATGTCTCCCACAGTTGAGCTGAATTCGACAGATCTTTTCGCATAGTGGATGACACGACTCTCTTTCGTTGCAGGTCACGCTTGTTTTCGTGCGACGGCAGCGACAATCAAGTTCTATCTCTTGCTCGCACGCCGAGCAGGGTCCACTATGGCAAGCATCCTGGCAGAGATGTCCGCACTCCAGACGCTTATTGCAAGCCTTGTCACAAGTTGGTATAGGATCTGAACAGGACTCACGGGGCGTGGTTATATCGGAAATCGGCGTCTTGCCGCAAGGGCAGTGGGTGATGACATCGGGGGAGAATGGACAATGAGTCTGGGCCTCGTCTTGTGTATGGCAGGCTCTCTGACAGCTGTGCTTGGCACAATCGAATGGCCTCCCACAAATATTATTACACTTAAATGCGCCAACAAACCAGGTCCCTGGCTCTTCTTTTTCAGCTCCAGTTGCGCCATCTCCTTTCTGTATCGGGTCATAATCATATGACTCTAATTTGTCTCCAAGAGTATCGCAGGGTATATTCTTGGATTCTTTCCCGCAGTAACAGCGGGATGCGACTGGAACTTCGCAGCTTCCACATAAGCCAGAATGGCATTTTCTTTGACACTCATGTTCCCCGCAAGGAAGTAGGTCACCGCATCGTTCGTGACAGCTCCAGCCCTTCGTGTAATCAGTCTCGCCACATCGCTTAGTAGACACATTCTTCCCGCAGAAACATGACTGACTCGGGCCCATCAGGAGGCATGGGGGACAGGGTCCTGCGTGACACTCTAATGGGCACGGGTGAGGGCAAGTCCCTCTTGGTTTGGAGCAGGTTTGGCTGCAGCCATGAGGGGTTAAACCGGCTACTGATTTGGGATTGATCTCTTTGCCACACCAGCAATGGTACACACCAGGTTCGTCGTTCATAGTCGAGTTACATCCAGGGCATCTCCAGGCTTGCTGATGAGGTTGCTGTTCGTCTTGTTCAGGAGGCTTAGTCCTATTGGTAAACCACTTCTTGACGCATGACATGTGAGTGGCAGTCCAGCAGATTGAACAAGACCATATACGTGAGTTGCGTAGTACTTCATTGGTACATATGACACATTCGTATTGTCCATTATTGATATCTTCGTGGATCCTCGTAGGAAGATCCGGAGCATTGGATTTAGACAATCGGCGAGCCGGCTTGGGAGGGGCACTCTCTGCCGACTTGGTACTATGACTTAGTCAGTTTCCGCGCACAGATGAGTGCCAGTTAGATTGAATATATACCTCGGTTGCACAAACGGCTGACCAGGGACAAAGACTGCGGCGCCCGCGTCCAAGCCGGTAGAAGCCTCGCCGTTTTGGTCTTCGGTTTCTGGTCCCGTCGTAAGGTGGCCACCAAATGCTCGGTTCGCTGCGATGGTAGTTCTCTGGCCACTAGCAGCGACACCGCGACCCCTTCTCGAGCCTCTAGCTTCCCTGCGACCTCTTCCACGTGGAGCGCCACCATCCTGGGTAGCATGTGAAGACGGCTGACCAGCAGCGGGTGCAGACGCTGAAGCCGGCGTAGACGTTTCTTGTCGCTCATCTCCGCGCTCTGTAGGTCGGGAGTTTCTCTGGCGATCCCCTCGACCACCCCGACCAGCCCGGCCCCTAGACGCCCGTCCACCTCGAGCGCGCTGCCCTCGACTTCTCAACGGTTCATGAGACCCCACCTCGAGGGCCACGTCGTTTGCCATTGAAACCCAGATTTGCAATTGAGTCCGGCACGGCCAAGGAATGATGGGCGAATGAGTTGTATGCCTGCGAAAATTGTGATTTTGCAAACCCACTTTAGGTAGTGAGCTGACAATGTGCGCTTTTTGAAATACAGCGGCTTCGAATGGGGAAAAATGAGACAGAGAAATTCGCTAAAGCGGAAAAAAAAAAAATGAAGGCTCGAGAGAATGACTTGCTACAGCAAGAGGCGAATGGAAAATTTCAGGGCCGAATCAACAGATATCTCACATGTATCGTTATATCTACCTCCTCACCTTCTGTCGAGGTGGCGGTTGTGGGTCGAGACTCCAGTCATATGCGAGGCTATCTGATTGGATGAGTCACAGACAAGCGTTGAGACATTATGATTCATGCTGAACTACAAACAACAGCCTTGCGAATGAATTGCGGTCATTGTGGCAGTGTTGTCATTCTGCCAAAAAGTGCTTCACGCGAAATCTCTTACATATAATCATCTTACGACATGGTCTTATCAATCCGCTAGAGCACATTCCGAGGCATTTAGTCGCCATCATAAATGCCGAAGCCCTCTGGGAAAACACCACAGCCAGATCTGGTGATAAGAGCTAGAGATAGGTAGATGATAGGCTGGCACATAGGCACCTACTTACTATGTGCATGAGCGGTGATTGAACAGATGACAGATGAAAGATGAGTATCATCGCAAAGAAATTCAACATTCATCGCTACATTACCTAAGTACCATAGGTATTCTGAAAAGTGTGCTTGGATGATCCTCCAGATTGGGTTTGTTACTATGTAGGTAAGTGCATGACAGCCACCACTGTCCAAATTAGATAAGTACCTAGGCGGTATAATATGCCACTAGGGTATAAAAGAATAGCAGGTTGGTTAGGGTCTCGGCCCCTAACCTCTTCACCGAAACCTTCAATTCTAGCTGGCTACAGCACTCGCTGGTCAAGATATTCAATAAAGCATATTGGCTACGGCCACCTCACTCTCTCACAGTAGGTATTCAATTATGTGGCTTATAAGTTATCTGTATGGTCCCGACACATAGACGACGCATAGACGGGGGCTGGCATCCCCTGCCTCTTATTCTTGCCAAAACTTGAAAGGAGTGAATTCAATCCGGACTTCGTGCACTTGAGACTTGAGTACAACTCTGGCTGGAAGGCTCAAACTTGACTTTCAGAGTGGATCTCATCTCGCTGCAGTAGGTACTGTGCATCTAGCGAAGGAGAAGCCAGCAAGACAACTCAACTGCAAGCTTCTGCCCTGGTAAGCTTCATTCGGAGACCTCGACCTCTATGGTCACTAGCGGCTAAGATTATTGTCTGTGCGAGCATCTCTATGGCAATACTTTCCGGTAGCGTTACCTTAGCCAGTCTATAAGCCTCGCAGTGTTAAGATGCTTACGCGAAGCTACTTTGCATGCCTGTAGGATAATAGGATATAGTAGGTAGAATCAAATAATTCTCCACCCATATAGGCAGGCAGGGGCAGCGACTAGATCTGCTATTTACTTTCGGCTCTATCTCCGAGTAGAGAAACGGAAGGGTGACCGAGCTATGCAATAGATAGCCAAGGGCCTGGATACTATCACTAGGTATAGTCACTAGATCACTAACTACAGAGTGGCGACGAGCTATATGTAACACACTATCGCTACCTTCAGGAGTATTAGGATATCAATCTTTGAGAAGAATCGTCCGATACGCTGTGGCAGAGCCAAGCCCAGAAGTCATCTCGATAGGAGTCCAGGCCCAATACTACATCACTCCTAGTGGGCATCTGAGGTTCACGTTCAAAGGCATGTTCACATTCATACTCAGCCCTAGAGATAGTCGCGACATCGGCGAAGTCCTAGTCCTACTACATACAGAGCCAAAACATCACACTTGCCACATTTATAGGCAACGGCCGACACTCTATTGTTTACCGCAGGTGGTCTCGAACGACCTGGAGCCAGATTGGAAGATGTAGCTGAGCCCTACGAATTATGAAAGCGTCGTTAACCCGACGACAGCGTTTCTGTGCCATAGAGCGGGCATATAATGCTTTTGGCCACAACACCCTCAAGGCCTCCGGAGATTATGCCCGTGTGAGCGGGGTACCTTGCCTTGAGCAGGCCTTGAGTCTTGCAGCTGTTAGCCTCATTCAGGCTGCTTACGAATGCAGTACGCATAGGTATTCCCTACGAGAAGTTTGCTGGCAATACACTGCAGTCGTTCACACGCGTCTGGGGGCGCTGACCCAAAAAAAACCATTATCAGCACAAGCGGCGCCGAATCGACCTACCTATTTTACACGTAGTCCTGCAAGGCTTGGCGACAATTGCTTGGGCGTTTCGGCATCCTGAGACTCGCCCCGTGCAACAACGATCACAACACCTAACAGAAAACCCGCTATCTATCTACTTATTGATATTAGATACCAGCAAATCGGAATATGTTCCCATGTAGTACTCGCCTCGCGAACGACTTTAGACTTGGTAGATAGTACGGTTGGCCCACTCTCATATTAACATATTCAAAGCCACGACAGGTCAGATGAAAGCTGTTATACAAGCATCATACCCGTCTCGAGGCCCAGACTCTTGCTTCAATTCCTGGTGCCTACCCAAATCGACCTTATCAGAGGAAACAAGTTAGCATGCATTCGAGTCGAGGCTCTAATGCGGCTGATGACCGCCACTACTAGTCAAATCCGCAATCGCTACCCATATCAGCCAGACCTGCGTGTACTACCGGTATGTATTACCTGGGTTTTCTCGTGCGGCTAATTGCCCCGCTGCAACGAATGTCAGAGATGTGATGGATAGATCTCTTGTCAGAGCTGCATGTGAATATTGACCGTGGCAACTTCACATCCCACGTTCCTATCAAATACTACCTAGGCTAGCATGGACTCCCTTGCTCATACGCAATTGCGTACTAAGAAGAGAGAGTCATGCGACAAGCCTAGAATGGCAACGACACCAAAGCCACTCACTTCCGGTTAAGGACCGTTCTGACCGTCCATCTCCATCAGGTGTGCTGTCCATGCAATCGACTTTCCTCCGATCGCCATCCCCACTTCCCCAGATGCCAAGCCAGCTGGCGTTTGGTGATCTTGGTGAGATCGGATTTCTCAAACAGATCACCCAATGAGAGATATCTTCAGGGTCCTTGGCAACAAGAGAAGGGACTAGCGATGCTGCGTCTCGAACAGTCGAGCGTTGATGGCATCTCTTTGTGCATAGGCATATCTGCAAGGAACGGGGCGTTGAGGTGTGTTGTAACCGCACCTTTACCACCTTGGCCACCTTGACCACTCGACCACCTAACCTAGGTATGCCATCTACACGTGGGGCGGTGCGGGGTTCCTATACATCCAGCTGGACACTGCCCTCGAGTCCTGTAGGCGTGCTGAGCTGAAGAAAAAAAACATATCGCGCGTCAAGTTATTGGTGTGGCCAGATGCTAGTCTAGTGTTGTCAGATCTGGTGCGGGGTTCGACATCGAGTCAAAACATAACTGAGCTAGCTGTACGTAGTAGGTGTTTGTATATACTATGTATACTATGTACGGTCAGGGCTGATGGGAGAAATGGCATCTCGACAAATCCATTTTGATCTCCTACCAATAGCTGTTCAATGCTGTATTTCGAACCTGGACTCGATAATGCCCGAATACGGAAACGGAAACGCCCGAGAATAGAACGTCGAAACCAGGCAAGCAGGTGGTATCGCAGATACATACTCTATGTCTAGAATTGCTCACCCTCATCCGAAGGGTGTGTCATCCGAGCAATCGGACGACCAGCGTCGAACGTTTACGCCACAGTGATATGGCTTCTGTTACGGTCCAGACGCCCGAGACAGCTTTGTAGTACGGTACCTACATTCCAAGTACTTAAGCATATGTCTTGGTCTATGATACTCAGGTACATAGGTAAGCATTCAGATAACGTGTGGGTCGGCTCCTAGGTAAGTATGTACTTACGCTCCCTGTTGACAGCTATCTTGTCGCTTGGCTACTCTGCACTACACTACACGTGTACTACGTATGATAAACACAGCAGACTTAAGTAACGAAGCAATGTCGATACTCGCCACCGCCAACATCACGCTTTTCCTGCTAACCTATGTTACTTAGTACATGTAAGTACTATGTAGTGGATTTTCCCGTTGGGAACTACATACTCTATGTAGGTAGGTACACGATGTCTATTCAAAGCCTAGGGAAGCGAGGTCTCTCTCTCTCTCTCTCTCTCTCTCTCTTTATTTTTATTTTTTTTATTTTTTTTATTAAACAACCTCGCTGAGCGACTAGTCTTTAACCGAGGCATCGGTAATATGCAACTGCTTACATCCTGCCACTTTACTGCCACCTAGTTATGTATGTCGCAGAAGAAGGCTCTCCAAATCGGCCCGGTCCACGGCATCTGTCAAAAGATTTTTCGTCTGAACGGGTTGAACGGAGACTTCTTACATACATAGTACAAACAGCCCAACAGCTAGCACACATGGGGGTTAGTGGAGCTCGTATGCCTGCTAGGCTCTCCATACATACTCTCAGGCTAGCACAAGGATCCGCAGCAAGGGGGTTCTTGTCTTCGGCCAGGGGTGCCGGTTCAATACCGAGAGAGACATGGCGAACATGGCAATCGTAGTATACCGTACTACGTAGTAAAGTAGAGGGAGTTCGTGGTAAGCCATCATCTGCGCCTTTTGTACTACCTTCCCCTAGTGTAATCAACCCCCATCTTTTTGCTCCATCTGTGTCCTGAGTCCTGACCGCCATGATGCCCGATTGTGTTACTCTCTTGTCAGTATACTAAGTAGGTAGGTATAGGACTCGGACAATATCTATACCTACACTCACAGTATGTTCAGCTGCTGCCTGCCTATCGTGGCGAGATCCCGCTGCCACTCCTCACGAGCATCGTCAAAAGGCGCATCATCCCTACCTCCTTGGCTTCCCCCAATGCTGGCGAGCCAGGGTACCCCACGATCTGCCCCTCACACAAACTGCTGAGCGGTACGTTTTCGTTTTCAAACAACAGGTCATACACATATCAACCTGGTCAAGCCACGACATAACTCGCTATATACTGTAGTTACAGTACATCTATTCAAGAACTACCTAGCGGGCTACACAGTTTACAGACTCGCTCGACACCGACGGGTGACAAGGAATCGAGGTATCAATGTGGCTTGCAGCAGGTCAGACACCTTACTTCATATCGCATCAGGTCATTGATTAAGGGTGGGCTAATTACGATGAGGACGCTGTGCGGCTGAAACCATCAGACCACGATACCCACAGCAAACACTCCCTTAGCGACCTCGAATTTCTAGATGTGTAGGTATCACATGTGTGCGTGGGGGATGCCTACCTATCTGTCTGCTGCTGCTGCTTGACTATGCTTACACCAACAATAGGTATCCTACCAGTAGACAGAGCGCCGAGCACTTGGTAAACTAAGTACTAGGCTCTTGGTGTTGGCATGAATGCTTTAACCCAAATGTAGTCGCTCAGCTGGTTTCCCATACCCACTCAGGAAATACACTACTTTGAGCCGGGTAAACGCTAGATATCAACTCCACAGGAATTTGGCATGTCTACTAGGTATACGCACAAAACCACAGTTATAGCTACATGTAGAGGAACTGATCGGGGTCATATGCCTTGGGGTTGAGACTGTACAGCCACATGGTCAGGCGTGCATAGCTGTAATGTAATGTAGAGTAGTATTGTATAGTCTTGCAGCGCAGGGGTATGTTTATACATGTATGTGGTTGTCAAAAGAAACCCTTGTTGCCATGCTACACTGCAGCAGAAACTAAGGGTCTTCACCCCCTTGCCCCCCTGTCTCCTATCCTAGTGTATGTGTGTCGTCTCGTATCGGTTCTTTCTCGATTTTTAGCCCCCCCAGGGCTGTCCAATCGCAGATTCGGCCCCAAATAATGTGTGCCGGGTTTATTATGGCTTCCTATATGCTGATACGCCTGCGCTAAGCAACCTCCCGCCAAAGCTCCTACCGTGTTGCCCACCTGGCCCACGGTCCCTGACGAGGTAGGTAGTGTACTATGCGTAAGTATGTACACCAAACGGTGGAAGGAGTGGGCAATGCCAAATGATCAGAATGATCAGGATGCTTCTTGCAGCGGCCGCTACCGACTAGAATCCCTAGTCGTGGCGGCGTCTTGGCGTTCTGCAAAACATGCCAACTACCCCTATTGAGATACCTAGTCTACGTAGTACTAGGTAGAATGAACAGATTCAGTCGTAAACCGCTTCCATCTCATAGTACTGGGTGCTATAGGAGCGTGGGCCAGCTGGACGTGGTTTTCTCACTTCATATCTTCAGGACAGCAGTGCTCGGCCGACCTTCCTTGCCGCTTGACTGCGGCTAGAACGAGACCCCGGTCAGCGTACATCGTGAAGTGGGTTAGCTGCGCGGTTGTAACTTGTAAGCTGATCGCATCTAAGTACCTAGGCGTTATTTTAATCTATGACGAAGGGTGGGCTGCATACCCAGTGTCGAATATTAAATGACTGCTTCTCCCCCAGGCTCTGTCTTCACATTCCCTCGCCAGCGTTCAAGACACCTCACGGGTCTTATGTAGAGCATCCGTGAGTCTCATATAATTACTTTGCTCTATATCAATCTTGTGCCCTTGTCTCTTCGTTCCCCGTCCCTATCGATCCGGATTTTGCTTTTTCTCTTCACTGAGATCCTAGTTGAGCCGCCCTCCGGCGAATATCGTCCAAGATGAGGCTTACACGGGCTGGTTCGGCCCTGCCGCTCGCCGGCCTCCTATCCCTTGCCTTGGCCGCACCATCTCAGCCAGCTACAATGGGCAATTATGTCTGGTATGGCTGTCAGACAGAGGCTACTGGTGCCCGCGCTCTGACCGCCTTCTTCTACGCCGATGATGCCATGACATTGAGCTCGTGCCAAAAATTCTGCAGTGGTAAAGGGACAACCTATTTCGGCGCCGAATATGGCCGCGAATGCTTCTGCGGCAATTCCTTCTCAAAGGGATCCGTCAGAGCTCCTGCATCTGACTGCAGCATGCCTTGTGCTGGCGACGCAACACTGGCCTGTGGAAATGGCGATCGTCTGTCTGTCTATGCCGTCAATGGCACCAATCCCCAATCTGCTGCTCCGACAACCACTACTACGGCTCTTGCTGTTCCAGCAGCTACTTTCCCGGCCGGATGGACTTCCCAGGGTTGCTGGCAGGATGGACCCAATGGCCGTATCATGCCTACATACCAGGCACAAGACAGTGATACACTAACCCCCCAGAGCTGCGCTGCGCTTTGTAACGGCATGGGTTACACCATCTCAGGAACTGAATACTTCAAGCAGTGCTTCTGCAGCAACGCCATCTACAATGGAGGCGTCAAGAGCACCGATGATAGCAAATGCAACACTCCCTGCAGCGGAGATAGCTCAGTCAACTGTGGTGGTCCAGGTTACCTGACCATCTATTCCAAGGGAACGCCTACAACTTTCCAGCCACCCGTCCCGCAAAGAAGTGGTTTAAACGGAACCTGGACGTACCAAGGTTGCTACAGTGATAACGTCAACAACAAGCGTGCTCTCCCGTGGCAACTCAACCAGCCCGGCGTTATGACGGCCACCACTTGCTTGTACCAGTGTGCGAAATTTGGATATGCTGCTGCTGGACTTGAATACGGCCAGGAGTGCTACTGTGGTGACCCAGGAGATATGACCAACGCAGGATCTACGAAGCAGGCTGAGGGCGACTGCAACATTGTCTGCGCTGGAAACGCGTCGTCTATCTGCGGTGGTGGCTCTAGACTCAGCACGTACTTCTGGACCGGATCAAAGCCTCTCTATGTCTTCGGCTACCCTCAGGGCAACAATGCGGGTACCTACTCGAATCTAGTTGGCGGTGTCGTCACTCCTCTGATGACAATGCAGTCGGTCACTGGTAAGGTCACATTCCTCGAGAAATGGGGAACCGGCCCCCCCAACAGCACTGGAGCTTATGAGCTCGATCTCAGCCAAACCGACAACTTCTCTCGTGCCTGGAGGACTATGCACCTCAAGACTGATGTGTTCTGCTCTGCCGGTGTCATTCTCCCTGATAAGGCTGGTCGACAGCTGACTGTCGGTGGATGGTCTCTTGACTCGACCTACGGTGTCCGTCTCTACACACCTGATGGCTCACCAGGCGTTCCAGGAAAGAACGACTGGGAAGAGAACGTGAATGTCCTCAAGCTCCAAAGAGGTCGATGGTACCCTTCTGCTATGGTCATGACTAACGGATCCGTCCTAGTCATTGGTGGTGAGATTGGCTCCAACGATAGGGCCGAGCCTACTCTTGAGCTTTTACCCAACGCTGGTCCCTACAAGTACCTGGACTGGTTAGCCCGTACTGACCCTAACAACTTGTATCCCTTCCTCGCTGTTCTCCCTGGTGGTGGCATCTTCGTCGGCTATTGGAACGAGGCCAGGATTCTCGACGAGGTGACTTTCGAGACTACCAAGGTCTTGCCTAACATGCCTGGATCTGTGATCAACCCCCTATCTGGCCGTACCTATCCTCTTGAGGGTGCCTCTGTGTTGCTGCCTCAGATCGCCCCTTATACTGACCCTCTCGGAATCCTCATGTGCGGTGGATCTACCGAAGGCGGTGGTGAGGCTCTCGATAACTGCGTCAGCCTCTATCCCGAAGCTGCCAACCCCACCTGGACTCTGGAGCGCATGCCTTCCAAGCGTGTTATGCCCTGCATGGCTCCTCTCCCTGACGGCACATATCTGATCGCCAACGGCGCCAAGCAGGGTGTTGCCGGATTTGGCCTCGCCGACGACCCCAACTACAACGCCGTCCTCTATGACCCGTTCAAACCCGTCAACCAGCGCATGTCTATCATGGCCAACACCTCTGTCGCCCGCCTCTACCACAGCGAGGCCATCACTCTCCTCGACGGCCGTGTCCTCATCACCGGCTCTGACCCTCAGGACGGCAAACATCCCCAGGAGATCCGCGTCGAAGTATTCACGCCACCATACCTGTACAGCAGCAAGCCCCGTCCGTCATTCACCGTCGCCAACAAGGACTGGACATACGGCCAGACCATCTCCGTCACCCTTGGCGCTGCTGCTGCAGGCAATATGCAGGCCTCGCTCCTCGGTTCCGTGTCCAGCACCCACGGCAACTCGATGGGTGCCCGCACCCTGATGCCTGCGGTCTCGTGCAACGGAAGGACGTGCACGGTGACGGCCCCCCCGAACAAGTACATCTGCCCGCCGGGTTGGTACCAGTTCTACATCCTGCAGGACGGCATCCCAGCCGTCGGTGTGTACGTCCGTATCGGTGGCGACCCGGGCAGGATCGGCAACTGGCCCCCTGGAAACGACTTCACCCGCCCTGGTATTTGAGGGACCTTTCCCCTGTCTCTTTGCCAGTTATTTTTCACGGCCTCATTTCCCCCCCTCCGACCGTAAAGTTTAATATTTAGTATCTAAATATCTAGTTCTTTTTCGGCATCATGACTCATATGGTATCGCGCCAATGCGCTCGCCCTCTGGGGACTCGCTCCCAACAACTCGCAGCATGTTTTGGAGTTCACTTCTTTCTCCCAGACCTGCGCCCATTTGTCAGGACAACAGCAGTCCCCAAGGGTCCGTCTATGGCATATCTGGGTTTCGTCTTCATACGAAAGATGATGCATCAGATATTGCCTTTTTTGGTTTTTCTCAGCGATGAATATGACATGATGCTATGTATGTATGTTATGTTATGAACTGGTTCAGATGGGGTTTCTATTTCCCGGCGACACAAGTCTAGATATCTCCGAAGCAATAAGAGGAGGGTTTGATATTGGGTTCTCGGAAAGATGGAATCTCTGGTCCGGTTACGACTTCCTTTTATACTAGACTTTTACATGAATTGACGGCATTTACCTTGGAAACTGGTTCTCCTACTAATTGAACTGTGTATCCGTCAGCATCAGGTGTCGTTTTTACTAAAGCCACAACAATGTGCTGTTACGACTTATGAAACAAGGTCCGGTTTATGCAAGATGAGCTGCACCGTTTTAATGTGAGCATGATGAACCGAGGTCAAGGCGATGGCGGCGACTACTCAGGTTTCATAGGTGTTTACCATCATCTACACTGCCTGAACACTGTGCGCATGATTGTTCATTGGGGTGGTTATAACCCGAAATGAAAGACTTGCTATCATGAACATTCGCATCATCTATGAAAGTAACGCCAATCTCAGATTCTAGATAGTATTTCATAAGAATAGGTTGTGAAGTGAGCGGCGGATTACAAATCCACGTAACACCACAACTGCTCACTCGGATCACCGTATACTAAATACTTATGTCGTGCGGGCATGCAGACTAGTACGTCGTTCCATAAGCACGTATCTCTAGTTGCCTGTCTGTTAATGTGTTTATACAAGAAGGCAGCCTGAGCCATCACTATGTAGGTAACCAGCAGGTATTCTTGGAATCGCCTGCTGAAATATTTTATTCAAGCTTGAGTTCTCTCTGAACCAAAGAAAAGTCAGTTTTGACGGACTTTGTTTCCAGTAGGGCTGGAAAGTTATGATGATCTCCTTCAAGATGCCGCACAAGTAGACATTGACTCGCTTGTTCATTAAACTGCTGAAATTCTCGTGGCCGTTTGTTTGTTGAGTTTTACCTGTGTTGCTGTGCAATCTGCACAATTTTAATTTACAATAGCGTGGCGCAAGTTGTTAAGAGAAGAACTACAATATTAACCAGAATCTTAGAAGCTATCTCCAAAATAGGAAATGAAAGAGCCTTTCGCCAGGTGCTCTTGGCTTAGATGAATCCAAAGCCTCGATCATCCGGAATGCATATCAGCCTGTTGTGAGTCTTACCTGATGTCATAGTCTTAGAATTAACTATCAATTGTGACAGCATATAGTGCTAGAGCTAAAGGAGTCGGTGAGCGAGCATGAGCTACTATGATTCATTATCTTTCATTGCCTCAAATAGGTCTTCAGCACTTTAGTCCAATGTGGATTCGTCAGGACTGGACCTGCCTGTCTCTTTTCTCCGACATAAATCAAACATGATACCCAAAGAGGCTATAATGGGACTCAAATTAGAGTTAAGATTAAAGAAGACCCATAATATAATGGATGAGTTGAGTAGGCTTTATACCACGCCAAATAAACTAATGCGAGGCGGGAGTACGTTATTCTAGTTCGCGGTCTGCGTGAAAATCTGGATGGAGTTTCACACAACTAATTCGATAACAGTTGATTTCTCCGTCTTCTCCTCCGTTGACCGCAGGACAGAAGAGGACTCTGTGAAATTTGATTTCTCTTCGGGAAGCATTCCATCTTTACCGAATCCTCTTCAACACGACGAACGTATACACAGTATATTACAGAGGATTTGGTGGGACTGGGTTACCAGCTTTGGGGAGATATTGATAGAGCCAACGGCAGGCCATATTTGGATTCGTCACTCTCTTGACATGTTTAGCCATCGAGGCTTGGAACAGATTTAAAACGAACCCCTGAAAGAACACACTCTATGGATTCCAAAGCGTTCCAGTGTCGTCAACCCTGGGTCACACGGGTATATGCTGACCCCTACCGACACGGATGTATGCATCCCAAGGCGTTCCAATGTCGTCACCAATAACCATACTAGGCAGAATCTTGCAGATAAATACCGCTCCGTGGTATCTTAGTACTTCTGCCAGAAATCTCTGTTAAAACGAGCTGCGATAGGATCGAAACCGGGAGTCATCAGCGCTTCGGAACTCGCACAGAAATGTCGACTGATGTTATCTAAGAAGATTTCGCCTACCGCACTTCAGCCAACCAGATCGGTCTCGGAATCATGCAATGTGGGTGCGGCGCAACGATCCAACTGTGAATGCGGCAGCGGTGAAAGCACCAAAGCTACTGAGACAGCTAGGTTGAGAGAATAATACCTGAGCCTCATCGAATCTCAGTTCGGCGATGTGATGGTCACATACCTCAAATAGGCTCATTGTCACGTTGACTGGTGCAGTGCTCTATTCCCAAGCCACGACATGTCTCAAACATACTTGGCCTAATACCTGGAAGCTAACTTTATTGACGCTACAGACATGCTTCAACCAATAAATACATGACCCCCTGGGAGTATCCTACAAGGTAAGCAACTGTCATTCTCCGACCAAAATGTCTTCTTTAGGCGCGTTGTGGCTAACATACTATAGCTCATTCTTAGTATTTTGATATGAAGATATTTTTTGAGCTTCACACAGACCAGAAACTACTTGTCACTGTTCACGGGAAAAAGCAGGTAATTATATATGTAGCGCACAGCTTTCTTGGATGAGTGTGTTATATTTAGAAAATCATCTGGAAAGCAACGAACTGGTGGTAGTCAACTTAATACACCTTTCGGAATACTGGAGGATACCTCATCTCTTCGGGCACAATCTACAGCTGAAACTCAATCCGCAAAGCCTGCGCATCAATCAGGATCCACGAGGCAGTCTCCTTTGTCATGTTTGGACAAGGGAAACTGCAGTCCGGCCCAAGGGCTCAAGAGAGCGGGCGAGGGGTCTAACTTACCATCACATCGTGACACGAACCAGACCCCTTCGCGAGAGAAAAGGCAACAATAGGTAATAACCAGAAACCATTAGTAAACTAGTCCTTGCTAGTAAAGCTGTGTGAGATATCTCGCCATATACCGCCCACCTTAGTTATGATGTCTACTTAATCAGGTGCTTCTGAGAATGGCTCCTGGAAGTATCTTGTCATTCGCCTTTGTTCGACGTGGAAAGTTTTGGGCATACGCGCCGGAATATTGCAGTAACTGCCACGAGAACAAGAATTGTAGTAAGTACCGCCGTATCTTCTACTAATTTGTAGCGGTCCCTTTATCATTGGGCAGATGCAGAATTATCTGTACCTTTCAAGTGTTTTCATCAACCTCGTATGCATCGCCTCAGCCCAGTTTATCAAATAAATGGCGAGAAGCGCGGAAGAAAGAGACCGCACCGGGACGGATTGCTCAGAGGTCTTCCTTGTTATCTACCAGGAGTTTGCCATAGTGCGGCTGATAGCGCAATACCACGAGTGCGTGCTGTAATCCCGGTACCTTCGTGGGCCGGCGTCTGAGGTGTATTGACAATCATAGTTGGCTTCAGCTAAACGCATCAAGCTTTATTAGAGGTATGGGATTCCCTCGTTTCCAGAAGTTGCAAAGATCATGACATGGGCTGATCGGCTGTTTCGACGGGGTTTATTTTATCGGTTGCAGGGATATACGCAACCATCGCCTTGCTAGCACCTTCGACACAATACTGAACAATATCAATCTTGACACCATCGGGAACTAACTTAGCAATCTGTCGAAGGTCGCTGGTACGAGGTAGATAGAGCGCATGGTCCATGATCTTGTAAGCTTCGTGTAATGCGGCTAAGTTGTACGGCTCCATCGTAGTCAAGTCGAAAATCTCATCAGTTCGATAGCCCGGACCACCCCAAGGCGGCGATGCGAAAATGGCCGTGGTGGCGATGTCGACCTGGAGGTCGTCCCCTAACTGATCAGGGGACTTGGTCAGCAGCTCTAGAAACTTGAAGCTGTCGCCTAGGATCCAGGTTATTCTGTCAGCAACACCGTAGATCGCGGCGTTGTTCTGTGCACACGCTAGGGTTGCGTCATCTACTTCGATGGCTATCACCTTTTCAAAACGTGGTGTGAAACCATCTTCCTCGGTAGCCATTGCCAGACTGATGGCATTACCACCAACTCCAGCGAACATGTCGATAATGGTGCGCGTATCTGCACTTATGAACCCAACAAGATCATACACTAGATGTCTAGGCAAGGTCAGCATAAGCATGTTAGGAAGGGGGTGGCTTGACAGCGTAGACTACTAACATGGCAACTGGCTCTGGGGTCACGCCATACCATGCGTCCTCGGTCATATAGATGCCATCATCATAATACGGGAAGATTGTGTATCGCTGTTGCCAATACCTAAAGACTGTGGGTTAGCAGCCATGACGACGACGAAGATAAATGCGTGACTGGATATTCCTCACTTTTGTAAGTCCCATGGCACCTCGCCTAGATGAGTCCAATGGTGGCACTTATCCGTCAATGGGAGACTCTTGACACTCTGCATCCTTAATCAACACGAACCCTGTTCGAATACGACGTTGTCGAGAACAGAGATGAAGTAAGGATTGGATCTGCAAAATTTTAGACCCGAAAGCTTCATATAAAGTAACATAGTTAACGTAAGTAGAAATGGCTGTTATGAAAATGAATAAGGCTGCAGCACTTAGCCATACCTAGGTACCTTGCTAGCTTGGAGCTTAGGTAGTGGGTAGGTAATTTTTAGCGACATTAGGTAGGGGCAATCCCCTGTATAAGCACTACCTTCAGCGTACATTTCCCTACAGGGGACGTTGAAGCTAGGTACCTAGCCAGTAAGGCTGAGCTTTGAAACCGACTACTTGTCTTACTTCGAGTGGCTTCATTTGTACTTACATTATCACGAGCGCACATGCCGAGCTGAGAGCCAAACAATTCTCATCCACCTTTGACACGGCAAACGAGCGAAACTACACATCGAATCATGTTTAACGCTCTCAATCGCTATCTATCGCGCCTCGACGGCGACCCACGACAACAACAGAAGGAGAGCCAGGGCTATGGATTTCAAGTGCTACGGAATACGAATCTAGAATTGGGCATAGAACCATGGTTTGACTTCATAGTTGGGATCAACGGACGCATGATTGTACGGAGAAAGCCCCAAGAAACATTAAAGACCCATCCTGACAAGGGTTTGGCATAGGATAATCCAGACCCGCGACTCTTCGCCCAAGAAGTACGCAACTGCGCCGGCGGCACCGTTGCCCTTGGATTATGGAGCGCAAAGGTAAGAGGTCGATGAAAGAGGCGCTGTGTAATTAAGCTTAAGGGGGTTGGAGCTAACGCCGGAATTCTCTCCAGGGCCAACGCATCAGAGCATTGCACATCCCCGTGCCCCAAACGGGTTCCTTAGGCCTCTCCCTACAGTGGGCTTCACTGTCCCTTGCCTCGACAATATGGCATGTCCTCGACGTGCCCGCCAACTCGCCGGCTGATGTAGCGGGTCTCTTACCCTACAGTGACTATATCCTCGGGACGCCAGATGGAATTCTGTACGGGGAAAGCGGGTTAGGCGACATTGTGGACCATTTTATCGGTCGGCCGCTGCGTCTATGGGTCTACAACAACGAATACAACGTGACGAGGGAACTAGAGATCGTGCCGTCGCGGGAATGGGGTGGCGAGGGCGCCCTGGGCTGCGTGTTGGGGTTCGGCGCATTACACCGTCTTCCCGCACCGCTCGATGAGCCTGTCTCCGCACCTGGCGAGACTATGTTTGACGGCATGGATGGAAACTATGGTGCTGGGGAACAGTTCACGACATTGGCCCCGCCACCAAATGAACCCTCAGGTTACCTGCCCTCATCTGATAACACATTCATACCTGCGGGAGGAGACGCGGGTGCAGAGGCGCAAGGAGCTGGATTCCTTGTACCCGCACAGATGGTCAGCCCGCCACCGCCTGCGGGAGGTACTAGTGCACCGCCACGGGGTAAGAAGAAAGACAGGCGTGCGCACGGTCATAGTCCAGGTAAACTGGACGACTATTTCGCGGAAGAAGAGAAGAAGAGCAAAGCGCTCGATGGTAATATTTCAGCGAGCAAGACGCCTCCACCTCCCCCGCCAAAAGCAAGCGGCGGGCCACCGAAGAGCTCGGGGCCGCCGCCTACGAAGGCAGAAGAAGCACCAGAGAACAATGCCCCTGAGGGTGAGGAATAGATAGGCTTGTACGATCAAGCCAAGAATATATCATCATATTGAGCCTTTAAATTTACAAGAAAAGATATCCATGAGATGCAATAGGAATAAAAACGAAGCCCCCCTAGTAAGGCTTTACTTTAGTCTCAATTTTTGGAAAAGTCATCGCTTGCTTAGCTATATATATGTCGAAACAAGCACTGGCGCATCTGTGAGCATTTTCTACCATTGCATTTTGAACCAATATTCCATCGTACATGCATATACCCATCCTTTTGCGCCGTATTTGTATTGTGATTTGTGTTGTTATTGTTGCTGCTCAGTTTATGAAGTTGATACAGAAGAAATGCAAGATCAAGCTGCCGACGACATAATCTGCAAATGCCCTGCGTAGAAAACACCCAATGTCAGCAGGAAGCTCCTCACTAAAGCTTAGATGGCTGCAACGAACCTCTCTGGTGATACTGATGGAAATTCGGACTTATTGGCTTCGGTAGTTTGCATGCGCAAGGACGCTATGGTATCTGGTTAGCGGCACATCTCCCCATGTCCCTTTCCAACCGCGGGGGTTGGGCTTTATTTGCGAGACGGCTGACACGAGATTAAGGCACACGTACCTGTGAGAACGAACTGTCCGACGGTAGCAGAGAAGCCCGAGAGGAAAGCGTTGAAGGGCTATAGTTTCAGCACGGGTTAGCACGATCCAGTAGCGCCCCATTTTCACAAAGCAAATCTCATATCCATATATTCCGCTGCGCTTTCTTCGTTCTTCTAGTTTCCTTGATTTCTTGAGGTAGAAGACTTGCAAAGGACGTACATAGTTTCCTGCCAAGATACAGTAGACGAATTGGAGACCGCCGACGATGACGAGGAAAGCCATGAAGGCATCGATCAGCATTGTGCGCTGCGGCGTTGTCTTCTGATAGTGCTGGAAGATGTTGCCAGCAATCTTGTCGATCTGGCTGGCGGATGCGCCTGTGGCTGTCGTGGGCTTCTTGGGAGCCATTGCGACCGTGACGGATTGTTCAAAGAGTCGATTTCCGGTCGCAAATGAATATCTCGTCAGGAGTGGTGGGAACAGTCACTTGGGGTTAGCAGAATGTTGAATTGATCCTACGGTGAGGTGCTGTCTGCTCAACCTGCACAATCAAATACCTGGTAAGATGGACAGATGAATGGGACACGAAAGCTACAATCCAGATTGGGAGAGAGTGACGAATCAGAGGAGAGGACCCCTGCCCGAAGCTACCTAGGTACTATCCATTGAACGTGGCTAGTGCACCAGAGCTTCAGCCACAATTTTCCAATACCTAGGTAAGTACCTTTTGAACACAAGACCGCTGGTCAGCGTCATTAGGGAGCTCCGCTCTCCCTCGGCCTTTGCACAATGTGATTCCGAATCAGCCTTGCGTCTTGAACTCGCTGAAATAAGCTGAAGTAACGATTACCATTCGAGCTACTGCGAATCCATTGTTGATTTGCTCTTCCTTTGAGAATCGTAGTTGATTCTAATTCAATTCCACATCAATATGGTAAGTAGCTACGACTGCATGATTATACAAGCAAGCTAAGCGTTGCTCCTAGTCGCTAGAGAACATAGCCTACGTGCTTGGTGCCTTGACGGCGGGTGGCGGTTCAATCGGTTACGCTCGAACCGGCTCCGTGCCCTCCATTGCTGCGGGCCTCACAGTTGGGCTTTTATGTACGTTCTGCAGAACGCGCCAGGAGAAAGCAATGATAACTGATCTCGATATCCAGATGGCCTCGGTGGTTACCGCCTACAAACGCGCCAACCCTACGGAGTCGAGCTTGCTCTGCTTGCCTCGGTCGTTCTTGGCGGCTCCTCGATTCCCCGAGCGATCCGCCTTCGTAAACCAGTCCCGGTGGTCCTCAGTCTGATTTCTACGTTCGGTCTCCTCACATACGGCAACGCCTTCCGCAAGACGTTGTAAAAGGGTGGAGGCATTGGGAATAGTGGAACGGTCGCGGCAGAGCGAAGTGGCTGTCGCATACGAACAATCCCGCGCATAATGTAGAATCGTTTTTCCAGATTGGAAACCTGCTGAAATAGATATCAAATCAAACAAATTATCGACTCCTTATGAATGGTGAATTGTCTGTCCCTTGATCCGCGATGAACAGCCGCACCCAGTAACCCCGTTAAACGCCTTGCTGTGTCCCAGCGCAATGCATGACATCTTATACATTTATCGTACAACGAATCGAAGTATTGAAATCCCGCTTTTTCGGCGCTCGCAAAGGGATCGTTCATGAATTCTCGTCGATTTCAGCCCACACCTTCTTGACCTTCTCGCGCTTGACCTTGGCGGCTTCCCGGTTCACAGCTGTGCGCTTCAATCGCTCGGCCCGTAGGCACAAGGTGACCTGATGTTTCGCATCATTACACATGCCCATCGACTTCCACAAGAAACCCCGAGCGTGGCATTCCTCAAGTGCAGTCATGATTTCTTCGCATGCTGGATTAATATGTTTAGGTTAGCTAACAGCGAGGAGAAAAAGGCCTATGTAGCCTCAAACAGCAAAGAGCATACCTATGTTGTCTTTTGTATGCAAGTGAGGGTGCATCTTGACTCATAAGCTCCGCCCTCGACGGAAATGAGCGTCGCTGGTGAGGTCGAATGTTTTCGCGGGCAAAGTTTGGGAAAGGGTTCGTCCCAGGTTCTAGCCTGTTTCTTTGGTTAGCAGAAAGCATGGGCCACATTTTCTCCCCCCACTACCACCCCTCCAGTCGACTCCATCAGGGCTCATTGGCTGGTATCCCGCATGCTCGTCAAAAGCGCATCTCATTCTCATAAATTGATATCGCGTCCAAGGATTTCTCCTCTTCCTTCAAATCAGTGGCACTGAGCCAAACGCCCCTTGCCATAAACAATCATAGTATAAAATAAGACCCCCATGGCGTCTAAAGGGATTCCCGCCAAGAAGCAGCAAGGTGAGTGCCCAGTGAATCACGGCGTACAACCAACGCTAACCCAAACTCAAGAGTTGCAGGCGACATATTCAAACTACAAGAATACTCTTCAACAACTGGCGCAAAAGATCGGTGACGTTGAGCAAGAGGCCGAAGAGCACAAGTTAGTGACGTCTTCCACAGCAGCCGTCTACCCACCATTGCTTTACCGGCTCGCTTGGTCTGAAGGATTTTGGTCCCTAGCGTGGAGCTTGATGGATGTCATGAAGCTCACCGCCTTGTTGACCGAGCTCACCGCTTCCGAGATCTAATGTTAATGTGCTTACACTACGGTTCTTAGGCTTGTCCTCGAGACTCTAGAGCCATTGTCAGATGATCGCAAGTGTTTCCGAATGATCAATGGCGTCTTGGTGGAGAGGACCGTCAAGGATGTTGTTCCGGCCCTGAAGACGAATGCCGAAGGCTTGAAAAAAGTCCTCGATGATCTAGTCAAGCAATACAAGACGAAACAAGATGACTTAGAAAAGTGGAAGGTGGGTTATTGGATTTCATTCATTCTCAACGCCGATTTGGACGGTCGACTTACACGAAAGCCAACCCTCTGAATGTGGTATCATCAAGCTAAGATGTTGCCTCTACAGAAAAAGAACAATATTCAGGTCGTTCAGTCCTAGAATGAAATGGCGGCTAGAGCACTGGTTATGAAACTAAGTGTAGAAACACGGCTATACCATCATTTGGAAATCACAATGTGGCTGCGGTTTCGGGTCTGGAGGATGTTGGTGATACCGACACAAGTAGATATCGCAGTGACCACGATCAGCGCATGCCATATCGCCCGTGCATAACGGCAGGGATCGACGGGTTCGACGTAGACTATATTGGAGCATGGCTGAAGAGGAGCTCGCGTAATCCTGATATCACGACTATCCCCGAGAGGGCCGTGTGTTGGTGTGTTGTACAGCTGCGGTCGCAAGCAGTGGAGTAGCGTCGAGGGCGCCTCGGTGCCCAACGACAGATTTGTCGTCAAAGCTGTTAGTATGCGGATTTGGAGGCGGCGCCGATTGAGGGCCGGCCGCGGCCGAGGGCGGCTCTCTTTAACTGGTTGAGAATTAACCATCGAGTAAGGCGGCTTACATCGGCGTCTAGCTTCCACGTTTCTAATTTACTTCCATGACACCCAGCCCGGCCGTTTCTTCAAATATTGCATGTACAGTCCGATTGAAAAGTCTTGTGGCCGAGTAGATGGGATGCGGATGACATAGCTACCACACCAAATCCTCATAGATAGGTAGTGATTCTATTCCCTGCTCGCAACTAGTCCGCCGATTTTTAGACAAAACCCCCCCACGACCAGGATCAAGAGTAGTGTTCGCTGGCTCAAATTGTCGTAATGAAACCACGAGAAATACTCTAGAGTCACACCCCTCTTTTTCCTATATACATGTATCATGAAACGAAGTTTTATGACCGCTTGAACCTTCTAATCTAGGCATCAGCTCCGTAAGCGGGGCAGCCCAGCCTGATGTAAGAAGACAATGTGACGCATTGTCAGAACTGTTCAACTCTCCCGATAGTACATACGTGAATGAGTACGATCCCTGGTTTGATGCCTTAAGGCATAACCCGAACCCATTATTGGATTGATCTCCCAGTATGGGGCTTTATGTGATGTAAAGACCGATTAGCTACCTATCTAAGAGGAAACTCCAGAGAATACGTTTGCGAATGTGACTTTCCTTCGGACGATTGGGCACCGTCAAGCAACGCCATGCAGGTCCGTGGGACAAGACTTAGGTCGCATACCCCATGCAGCAGTAGTGTATACTACCTACATGACATGGTGATGGTCAGACAAAGGGCACCGGGTATCCATGCTCCTGGACTGGGCAGGGTGTTTGCAAGACCTGGACTGGAGTAGGTATTGGTCTTGCGTCAAGTACCGGTAGACACGCCATGCGCGAAGGTGACAGGGTAATGCCCACGGGGCTCAACGTTGGAAATGTCGACAATGTGGTGAACACCCGGGTTCCGTAGTCGCCCACTGGACTCGCTTGTCGTGAAGCCAGATCGGATAATGCTTGGGATTGGACAGAAAATCGAGTGTCGGTGCCAATCAAAATTATGAGCTGATGCTTGAATTTTCGATTGGTCCATAATTCGCAGGTCGGATACCTACCTGTGCTCATCAACGACGGGTGTAACGGATGCATGTGTCTCTTGTCCAGTTCCTGTAGGGTTGCATGTAGCTCTTCCATACTGGCCAGGGAGGACTACATCAGTCAGTCTATTACCACGAGAGAGTTACGTGCCTAGTCGAAGGCTCGCGCTCCCAATCCTGGAATCATAGTATAATGTACATAACTCACAGCTGCTATCCGACGCTTGGGTGTCATCGGTCTTACACCGCCGAATGGATCTAGATTTTATCCCTTTTATCTTTGTGTTGTAGCAGTGAGACATGGTTAATTTACTGGATGCATGACAAGGCAACGTTGACCTGTGCAACCTAGCTGATAGCATCATGCACACATGCCTGGGACGCGGAGAGAGCTTACTATAGAGCGCAAATGAGTAGTAGCACCTTTGTTGCGGATAAATTGCTGTTGAGAGCGGGAATCAGTAGAGATATAGGCACTTGTTATCTGTAGGGCTGGAGGCGGATGGGCAAGTCTGGGCAAGGGATTCAGATTGGTATATAACTCATAACTCGTGCCAGGAACTCTGACGAGGTGCGAAAGAATCAGCGTAAGTAGTACCATAGGTAGTAAGTAAGGATGCAAATACCTATAATAAGACTAGGATACCTGTCCATGTAGAGCTCTACTTGAAGGACACTACATTGCTGGAGTAGTAGTAGCAAGTAGCTGGATACAAGTCACGCGCCCATGCCACGGTAGTATTCTCCATGAAACTTCGTCCTCTGTCCTCCCACAGCGCGTACAATTTGGTTCAAAATACAACGACTTGAACCACACGAGCCCATCCTCGAGTTGGTTCCATGAACCAGCATATGGTTAGTACGATCGATCGACTGGCTGGCCCCTCGAACTACACTATACACACCTGCACATCACACCTCCTTAGTTATGTATGTAGAGACATGGAGGCATGGAGACAGAGAGACAGAGAGACATACCTAGGTAGCAGGGAACAGCACACAGGATAACACAGCATACCTAGAAGAAACCTGAGCAGACATGAGGTAGAGAGAACTCGGGAACGCCACCGTCCGTCTACCTCCCTCCACGTACGAAGTACATTACTACCTAGGTATACCAACTTCTATTCCCCACCCTACCGCCGGCTTTTCCACGCCTGCGTGTTTCTGTGTTGAATGAATATCCGAGCCTGGAGATGCAGACCTACATATCGCAGGCCCCTGACTTACAATTTACATTAGATACCTCCCTCGCTACGTCAGGTATTAGATTAGGTAGGTGTCGACCATCTATCTACCTATCTATCTACCTACATACTTCGCCGCCTCCCTGCAGTACGGTACCTCTAACGTAAAGTGAGATCCTCGCGTGGCTACTGCTATTATTATCATTATTATTATTACTATCATTATCATTAACTACCATTATTATTATTGTTATTATTATTATTATCATTAGGTACCTCTACCGACCTGTTTTCCGCTTCTAGGTACTTGCACGCACTGCGCGCACCCCACGCGCGTACACATCACCACCCATCCCTCATCGCCAGCATCATCATCTGTCCATCTATCCATCCACCTATCCATCCATCCAGCCATCCATAGATCCAAAGATCCAAAGCTTCTAGATCCGACAGCGAACCCCGCCAGAGCTACCATAGCTGCCAGAAAGCGAGTTAGGTCGCGTAGTTTCATGCGTCATTGCACCCATCTCACCTTGTCGTCTTGCGACCCGATCTCCCTGCGCGGCCATCCTCCCTGCATCCCGCTTCCGGACCAAGGAGCCTGCGCTTGTCCACCACATTGGCTAGAGCCGTCCCAAGTTCGGTAAGCCAAGTCTTTACGTTCCCAAGCCGCGGGCATCCCTTCCATCCCTCCCCTACCTCGTCATTCGACGTTGGGCATGATTGGCGCACAGGTCAGCGACGGCGCGCTCTGGATGCGAAACTGCAGCCCTTGCAGTGCTGATGCCAGTCTCCAGCCAACCGTCACAGTCAATGTCCGTCCCCGGCTACCCGTGCCATCTCACGTCCCTTCGCGCACGTGTAGGCAAGGCCGCTGACAAGTCTGCCATCATTCCACAATCCCGCCTTACTCTGTGTAACTAACTGCGAGGCCTTCCGATTTCAGAACCTCGCTTGCTGGAACCCGGCACTCAACAAAGATACAACGTACTATCTACCTGTCGGACTTAGAAGAAGAAGAAGAAGAAGAAGAAGAAGAAGAAGAAGAAGCGTTGTCGCGCTGCCCGTAGCTAAGTGGCTATCGTCGGATTGTTAGATCGTCACGCAGGTGTTCGAGGATCTGTCGCCCCGGTTTACATTACTTACATTAAAGATATACCGCCACAGGCGCCCGCCTTGGCTGACTACCTACCTACCTACCTACCTACTTACGAAGTAGAGGCACACAAGTACTGGTACCGTGGCCGCTAGCCAGCCCGCAACAAGCTTGTCCGCCATCCATCGCGCCCTCGACTCTTCCAGCGTACCGTGCTAAGCAAGGGAGTGTTCGAAGAATCCCATCTACAACTGCGGCTATAGTATCCTCGTACTTATATTTGCACTATTATACCTAGCTCCATCTTATAGTATTAGACGGTACGCAGTAGAACATCGGGTCTGGCACAGTAATAGCGCGACCCTCGGCGTCGTCACAAAGACGCGCCCCGCCCCCCTCCTTCTCCCCCCCCCAAAGTCCCCAAGTCCCAAGTCCCAAGTCCCACATCCCAGACGTCCGCCCCAGCACTATTAGGTACCCAAATCTACCCGTGCCATCCCACACAACCTTCAAGTACCCAGATCCATCAGCACAACACCACCCATTCACATTCGTTCTCGTGTGGTCTGGCAGACGATCGTATAGACACACGTCTGCAGACTGCCCCAAGCCCAACCCCCCTCCGAGACCACCCCCCCGGGCACTACCGCGCATCTCTGCACACTCCTCCCTCATCTACCCCCCCAGATTCCGTCATAGCCTGAACTGGCGACAGGGCTCACTTGACAGCATTCTCGACCGAAGTGTAGGCAGCCCACAGCTTAGATCCGCGCGACAGGGCAGGATTGACGCAGCTTTCTGCAGCTAAGCCGCGCTCACTTTGCAAGCCCTACCATTTGCGACGTGTCAGAGGCAAGGACACATCACCTCTCGCCTTGTAACAAGCGTGCGAGCTGGCAATTCACGAAAATTTTTATCATAAGCTAGCACCCGCTGCAGGTAGCCAAATATGTCGGATTCCCCCCAATCTCCTCCCAAGGACGTCGAGCCAGGTGTACAATCACCCGACGATGAAGCACAAATGAACGACCCTCAGGACCCACACGCCGCCGGGCTCGCCTATGAGTTCGAAGTGAAAGAGCAAGATAGGTGGTTGCCCATAGCCAATGGTGAGTTGAGACCCTCATCAACCTCTGCCTCTGATTTGGTGCGTCTCGAGTCTGTATCTGGGTCCTGTCTGCACGCTTCGACTCCAAACCCAGGCCCATGAGTGGGATCGCTTCCTGCGGAGCTTGTGGCCGGCTTCAGCAATTGGTGCTCCATGCCTTTAGCTTCAGACAGACGATAGGCGCGCATGATCCTAGCTACCGTCATGTCTCACGATTCGCCGGAGCCGTTGCCAGAAGCGCGAAGCGCTTCCAAAGCCCACAAGTACGATGTATACGATGCTAACATACGCAATTTCGCGCCAGTTGCTCGAATCATGAAGCTAGCATTACCAGAAAATGCCAAGATAGCAAAGGAGGCCAAAGAGTGCATGCAAGAGTGTGTTAGTGAATTTATATCATTTATCACGAGTGAAGGTGAGTTTCCCTGAGCAACGCCTATTCCCGTCAGGTTGGGCTGATAAGACGCAGCCTCCGAAAAATGCCACCAAGAGAAGAGGAAAACTGTCAATGGCGAGGACATCCTGTTTGCCATGACCTCACTAGGATTTGAAAACTACGCCGAGGCGCTGAAGATCTATTTGACGAAATACAGAGAGGTAATGCTTCCACTATCCTACCTCCAGTGATTGCGAGATTGATAAGTCCTATCTTCTCTGCGGTAGTTATCATTTTCTGACTGAACTGGTTAATAGTCTCAGTCCAACCGGGGCGATAGCCAACAAAACAGGCCCGGTAGCCAGGGCTATGGAGCAAACGCGGCTAGCGGATCAAACGCTGTCGGCTCTACAGGCTTTCAGGGCGGAGACGCCTCCGGCGGCATCGCCGAGTCGGGCGAGAGCTATATGTACGCTCAAGGTGGGCATAATGGAGCAGCAGGCGAGCCCGCGACATATTGAACGGTTCGGATTTGATTTCGCAATTTGGCTTCCGCGTAAGGGTGCGGTGGTTTCCAGGCACCTTATACTCCATCTTCTTCGAGTATGTATAAATAAGGCATTCTGCGTTCCAGGCGCCGTCTTCTTGTGCGAGGAAAGCTGCCTTTGTTTGCTCGAGGACTGGAGTTCGGTAGCCGTGTTTGTATATGTATATGAAAGGCCGGCACGGATGCCGAGGAAGAAAAGAAAGGGGACAAAAGCAACGAGTCCCTCGTTTTCATCTTCGATAGATCCTCATCGGGTGTTTCTCACACTTGGTCGTTGCGCACTCGGGATCGCTCCTGAGGCCAGGCATCGACAGTTATTTCGACAGTCACCATAGCTTCAAATTGTAGGAGACACGGCCCTATTGTTGAAGCCTAGCTATGTACACAAACAATACCCCGAAGTCTATGCTTTTCGCAGGTGTGGATAACCGCAAATACAATTTGGTGATGTCTAGGGAATGAGCTGACTATAGCGACTGGTGTGTATGCATTCATTTAACAAGCCCGTTCAAGGCAGATATAGCTGTAGTTTTTAACACGAACTTTGCATAAATGTTATGTATTCTACCTAAGTTGACTTGGTTTAGCCTTGCTCTCTTTGGGTTATCCTTCATCCCTCCCTATTCCTTCGTGATCAATGTTCAGTAACTACCAACGACTGTCTCTTGTTCTCCCATTCAAACGCTCTCTATTCCGCTCATTCATTCATTCATTCATTCATGTGTACCTGGGCATCTACCCAAGTGATGAAGCATATCACAGACGGAGGCTAGGCAGCGCTACAGCTCTAGATCAGTGGCTAAGGCATCGTCATGTGCCTAAACTCGCCCGCATTGTACATGCTGTACAATGTACAGAGTGCCCAGCCAATCAGATGCTTGGCGTTTGCCCCGCCATTAGACACCTCGAGGACCCCCGATTAAAAAAACAATTTTGTGCAGAAGCCTTCTTTCTACGCCCATGTACTGATATAGTATTCTACATCCCTCAGTCTCAACAGCATCGATTCTGCATTTCTTCCCATTTGAAAGGCAAGACAACTGGTTCTACATAGACCGCGTTTCTTCACAGTCGGCGAGCTGGTAACAGACTCGATATGGGACGGTCCTAGTGACCAGACACATCCTTCAGCCTTACACTACATTCTGGATAGTCTGGATCGCCCGGCGACATTCTGAAACGCCACAGCACTACTGGTTTCATTACAGCCTTCCGCGTTCCTGTTGTCGTATACTCGCTGATGTCACCCTCCGCCTTGACAACCGTGCAGCTTGCACGGGTTCCTACCGGCCACTCTCTGAAACCTATCCTCAAATCTTCCTCCTCAATCCTCGGTATCAGACGCTCAAGGGATGACGCCGGCCTCGATGACCACGACGACGGCGAAGGCGATGATGCGAGCAGTATGGATGGACCCCACAGCCCGCAGAGAAAGCGTGCGCGCGTAGAGTTCGACCTGGAGAATATCGAAGTACACGAAGTTGGCGCTCGGTCTGTGGAAGAAATAAGGAGAGAGATTCGAGATGCCTTAGATCACCACGCCCAGGGCCATGATGAAGACTATGATGTCTTGAAGCAGACATTGCAAGGAAAGTCAGCGCTGTATCACGACAACGGAGACGAAGACGAAGACGATGCTCCCGATCCAGTTGCAATGGCAAAGCAGCGCCAAGAGCTCAAGGGCTATTTCATTGCCCTCACGGCCTTCGCACCCCGCCTTGGAAGATCGTGTGATGGCCTGATCAGGAATGTTCTCCAGTGCCAGTGGCTCGGCCGGGATGACCAGTTTGCTAAGATCTATATTCATTTCCTTGCCGCTTTAGTCAGCGCTCAAGGGCCTCGTCTCACCCAGGTTCTCTCTATGATTGCAGAGAAATTCTCCAGTTCTCGGCCTTCGGAATGGGCTGTTGAAGGCTGGTCTCCGGTTCCGCGTGAAGTCGCACAAGAGAGGCTTCACGTAGCTCTCCGCTATATTCTGAGCCTATTCCCAGCTGCTGAGTCTGTGCTCGAGCCCATCTTGGCTAGCAAATATCCTTTCCATGAAGAACCGAAACGAACTCACTTGGCCTACGTTGATAATCTCCTCCGGCTTCGTCAATATAGTCCTGGGCTTAGACACGATATAATGGACCTCATCATCAGTCGGCTTGTCAAAATTGATGTGGAGATGCAAATGGATCTCGACGACATGGATGACAAGCTCACAGCTATGGTTGGCATGGCTTTGAAGTCCGCCCAGGAACACGATGATCAAGACGAGGACTCTGACGACAGTGACAATGAATCAGTCTCTAGCGCAGAGTCCGAAGACGAAGAATACAATCGCGTCAAGACAGCCAAAGAGAACATTGAGAAGATGGATGCAATTTTGGATACCCTGTTTGACCTCTACACTCCCATGTTTGCAGATCCTCACTCCCAGGGAGCTATGGATGTGTTTGAAGACTTATTGGCTGAATTCTCAAATCTCATCCTTCCCACTATCAAGTCGCGGCATACTCAATTCCTCATATTTCACTTCGGCCAACAATCAGATAGGCTCATCGATGCGTTCTGCGGCACCTGTATCAACATAGCTTTCGAATCTCAACGCCCCCTTGTATTACGACAGTCGGCTTGTGCATACCTTGCCAGTTTTGTTGCTAGAGGCGCACACGTTCCAGGCCACATCGTTGTTAATATTTTCGAAGTGCTTGGCTACCATTTAGACGAAATGCGCGCTGTTTATGAAACATCGTGTCGGGGCCCTGATGTGCGTCGGTACGCGCCATTTTATGCACTAATGCAAGCGTTAATGTACGTCTTCTGCTTCAGGTGGCAGGATCTTATAAGATCTACCCCGGATGATGTTGATCGGGAAGAACCACTGTCGTATTTAGACCAGGACATCGAGTGGGTGCCAGAAATAAAGGACATCATGAGGCGTAATATCTACTCGGTGCTTAATCCTATGAAGGTGTGTTCTCCCGTCATCGTGGACCAGTTCGCCAAGCTTGCGCATCACTTCCGGTTCATGTACGTCTATCCTCTCATTGAATCGAATAAGCGACTTCGGCTCTCCCAATTCTCTGCTGGTGCCTACTCAAACGGTGGCGGGTTACGAGACTTAGCCTTCGATGTGAATGACGAGAGTTGGCAACAGCTTGGTTCTTATTTCCCATTCGATCCTTACCAGTTACCGAAGAGTAAGCGTTGGGTTGATGATGATTACCTGCCATGGCGACCTATTCCCGGCCTAAACCCAGAGTATGAGGATGACAGCGACGAAGAAGAACTGGACGAGGATGAAGAAATAGATGAAGACACAGCGACTGAGGAGGGCATAGGAGAACATGATTAGCACATTTTGTCATGATATATGATGCATTGGGTGGTGTTTTACAGGCGTTTTGTGGAAATGGCTGGCTAGCTACTAGGATTTGCTTGGAGTTGGGGATGTAACGAAAACGATTGACCATGTTTTGACGAAGCACACTGGTCTGGTTTCTCTGTACTGAGTTCTATGTAAAACCCGATTGTTGGTCTACAAAAGTCAGCGTATGTGAATTCTTGCGTCTTCTTTAAGTGCGCCACAGTTCGAATTTCCTAGTGTCATGCACCTACGAATCAGCGTCGATAGGTATCTTCGCATTACATTGGCCCGCTGTGCCCCAGCTGTGGTTTAACATTCCTCCAATTTTGTATTATTTTTTTTCCGGCGTGACTCTTCTATGCAATTATTACATACCTAGCAGTCACTTCCGTAAAAGTGGCCAGGCTTCAGTCAATCCATGCATGACCCGGCGTTCATTATCTAGAGCTTACGTCATCTTCAAAAGATTCCATCTAGGCTGACAACAGTTTCAGTTAGAGTTCACATACAGGGTTTCTTTGAGCACAACATTGAAAAATAAACTTTTGAGCTGTCTCGGCAATTGAAATCATAACAGTCAATTGAATAACTCAGATTACAGCGAGGATAGATAATAGGTTTCAAGCAAAAAGTGATTATAATGTCTGATCCACAGCCTGACTTGGCAAGGTGAGCAGATCGGAGCGTCTTATATTTTCCCCCCTCTTTTTCATGATGTCGGAGGCTGTGAGTTGCTTGATGAAGACTTTTCAACGAGCTGCAAGGACCAAAGCCTAATCCTTCTCACTAGATGTAACTTGCTAACTCCCTATTTCGAACTAGACCATCGTTTTCTGGGTATTGGAAACGCTCTAAAGACCAACAAGCGGCCTCGAATCTCACCTTCGTCTCGAGCAAACTAGGTCAACCATCAGGTACAATTTTTAACTATCTTCAATAAACCCTCAGTACGTATCGATCAGCTATGGCTGAAGGGAAGGGATAAAGCAAATTGAAGACGTGCCACCGGGGCCTATCACTGGGCATTATAGCTGTGTACCTAGTTGGATATCAAATCGGGTTTTCCTAATACCACTCTTTTCGAACGAATGGAGACTAATATCCCCCCTTTATCTAAGACAAAGGCGAAAATGATCCTCAGACGGAACCTCAAAGTGAGGCCAAGGCCAAAGCGCGCCGACAACAGGTCAGGAATGCTCAGCGCCAGCATCGCCAGCGAAAGGCAAACTACACCAAGCAGCTCGAGAAGGACGTTACGAAACTGCGCGACGATATCGCTCGCGTCGAGGAGGAGCTTGAGGCTCTGAGACGTCAGAACGGTGTCGTGAAGTCTCAACTTGCTGGTCGGGAAAATGCTGCCGGGGCTGTTGACGTGGCTCCATCGACGAACATCATGGTGAACAACATGGCGTTTTCAACGTCCCTCGCGCCGAACTATACCGTCTCTCTCGACATGTCTGAGGACCTGGGCACCCCGACGTACCAGATCAGCCGCCCCTCGTCTTCATTGCCCGACACGACGAGCAGTAGCCTGGCTAAGTATTCGCATGCGACCGAAACCGTGAGTGGCACCACTCCCGCGTCAACGGTGGGCACGAGTGTGGAGGACGTTGCGGCCATGGAGTCGACGTTGTCGGAGGACCAGATCGATCGGGTGATTAATTTCATTCTAGCGTACGCATCTCCTTTTCTTATGACTCTTCTCTTTCACACTACCTCTCGCGCACCCCCCCCCCCCCCCCCCCGGTACCCATCACATCTGCTTTCCCAGATACACAACGTACCGCATCGTACCCAAAGAAAGGAGAAAAACAAAAGAAAAAAGCTGGAGGGACAACTCCTGACACTACGTATTGAGAACGCCAATCTGACCCCGACATCTAGACTGGAGCATTGCTGCTGGAATCACATTCCACAAACCTGCTTCGAGCACCACCACCACCACCACCATCACGACTCCCCACAAGAGCCGCCACATCCCGAAGAGATGTGCATGAACAAAGGCCTAAACGGCCACACTCTCATGGCCACGACCCTCGCGCTGCAAAGCGCGCCAAACACCGTCTTCGAGCACATGAGCGAATCCCCATCCGCTCACCCATCACCAACAGCCGCAGGAGACCACCAACTAGCCTGGTCCACGCGCGCCCTCACCTTGACAAACCTGCGCCGTCTAGCGCGCACGCTCAATCCATCCGACTCCGAGCTGGCGCCGGTGCAAGCCTGGTTCGAGCTCGCGTCGCTGTACGGCGTAGACACCGCGACCAACGCCGCCGTTCTCGAGAACATCAGGCGCGAGCTCGTCGGGAAGGTGCGCTGCGTAGTCTACGGGGCCGCGGTGAAGCGAGGCGTCTTCGAGGACGCGCTGAAGAAGGTCGTCGGGTTTTTGCCGCGGTCTTGGGATGGTGCGGGGATTGCGTACTTGGATGAGGAGGAGGACGATATGGATGTGATGATGATGATGATGGAAATGGGTGATGACGATGAAGGTGAGGATGATTACGATGGGATGATGGCTATGGGAATGGGAATGAACATGGGGATGGCGATGGGGAGAGGGATGGGGATAGGCCAAGGGGCAGAAGAGGATATGAGTGCGAGGGTATTGAGTCCCCAAGGGAATTGATGATTAATAAACAAAAAAAAAAAAAAAAAGTTTTCCCCGTGGATGATCAACATATGAGAAAACGAGAAGGATCATCCACGCCCATCTCATTAGTCTACTACTACAACTACATGGTAAGATATAGTATCAGGAAAATATAAAAGAAGCATCGGTAGGATAGAATAGTGAGGTACAAATCTAGCCATTATGGGTAATCTAGCATACTTGTACTATGTTTCTACTTTCGTAACGTACAGGTAAGGTAGTAAGTATACCATTGTTGTATAGCTTTTTTGCTTGTTTAGTTGATAATTCTAAAGGAGTCCTTTGGCTAATGTTATACATTGACACTGAGTCACCCAAGCCCATAACGCCTTACAATGCCTTAACGATGCTTTTGTCATCAAACAGGTCCTTGAGGAGACTCTCTATGCACGCCCCAACATCCAGCGCGCCCATAGCGTACGTGGATTCGTAGGCATAAATGCTAAGCTGGCCAAAGAAGGGCCGCAAAATCTTAACAATAAGCTCATCCCTCCTGTCGACCGTGAGTTCATCGTTGATCCCACCCGGTCCTAAGAGAGGTCGCCGCTGTCCCGAGCCACCCGAGGCGATCATCGCGGCAGACTCCTGAGGCAACCCTGAGCTGGCGAGGGTGTTTCCTAGCTCTTCCGATATTTCATCCACTAACGCGATTGGTTGGTAGGTAGCCGAGCGGTATATGGCATCTATGGTATCTGTGATAAATAGCCATTCATGCAGCTGAAAATCATCAGGCGCTGCAGCAACCAAGACATCTAGCAGCTTGCATGCATGGAGAATGGACACATTACTATACGTATCCGAAGAAGAACTATTGTCAGGGGCCACGACAGACGAGATAGCAGCATGCAGCTCCGAGTTGACAATCGGCCAGATAGGGGCTAAGTGGACGGTTGATGTCCGTAGCACCATAGCGCGGAGTACCATATAGATGTCAGCTCTCGTGGTCGACGAGGGTGAAGACGTCGCAGTTGCCGCCAAAAGTTCAACAAGACGGTCCAGAATTGCTGATAGATCTGGTACGAATGTGTCCGTCTCACACGCTAGGATTAAAGTTGCGATACGACGAAGATTCAGCTGAGTTTTGCGGTCGGCCTCAAGCCTTGCGGAAGTTGCACCAACCCCAAAAACGATTCCTGCTGTTGTAGGGGATGAGATGCGACTTAAAATTTCAGTCATACGATCTTTGTCCGTAACCGTCCAAAGCTTCAGGAGTGGTAGCCAGTCAGTCTGTACAAGAGCAGCAGGCGAGGCGAAAAATCTAGGATCATTGAACGCATCGCTTACATCCTTCTTCCAGGTTTTCTGGTTGCTCGGAAGCCTCGTAAGTTCCCGGAGAAGGGTTAATGTGGTTCTTGTAACAGTATCCGGGAAACTTTTTGAGCGAATAGCTGGCCCGATAAGACTAGTAGATATTGCCTGTGCGGCGCTCAAGACACGGTCCGATTCCACTAGGATCTTCGGAAGATTCGGTACGATTCTAGACAGAATACCAACAACGTCATCTGCTCTTTCAGAGGGAGTCCTGTTTTTGTTTTCTACGTCTACGTCGGGGCCTGACAGCCCATCAGCGAAAGACGAAGGTCTTGTTGTAAAAAGAGCTGTCAAGAGTCTGAGGAAGAGGTCCTAATCGCTGTTAGTAAGGCTCTAGAACACTAAAGAAAGACAGATAACTTACCCCGAGTTCTCGCCTCATCTTACGCTGCTCCCCAAAGTTTGTGTTGTCTACTTTCTCGCCTAGTATGGCGGCGAATTCTAGCAGACTAGGTAGTGTTTGCCTGTGTGGAAAAGGATTGCCAAGGAGATCTTTTAAGAAAACCATGCAGTCTTGCCAGATTTCGTCCATCGCATCATCCTCAAGTGATCGTGCGTAATCGACCAAAAATATGACCAAATCCGTGTCTTGCAATGACACAGTCATGGTCGATTTCCTTGAGGGCTCCAATGCACTAGGGTTCGTGCGGCTATATATCGCATTAAAGATAGCTGGGATCGTATGCTGGGGACGAGAACCGTCCAGTGCAGGAAGGAGGTTGAAAACTTCTTCGGATTGCTTCGCAATACTTGATGTCTCTAATACTGAGCGCCAGATATCAATTACTGTCTCGAGGCATTCCAAAGCCTCAGCGGTGAAGGCGTGTTCAAGTAAACGTCTTGCGCGGTTACGCATCCGGAGAGATGTATATTTAAATGAAGATGTTGAGTCAGTGTCAATGTGATTTGCCTCGCGGCCTTGACCCCAGGACCAAATTTTGAAACACATTCGAACAGCATCTTGGAACGCAAGGAGTACGGTGAGTCTATCATTTGCAGTGGCACTGCGGGACTGCGGTGCGTCCGAATTGAAAACACCGGACACCATGTTCCCGAAGAAGCCTTGTGGATGATCGGGGCTCTTAACTACCTGAGCTCTAGACTCTTCCATGAGTAGTTGGTCATGGGCTTTGGCTAGTACTTGTTCGAGCGCGTTTAATAGCGATATGAGCGTAGATTCGGGGGCACTCGTGCTAGAAGGGCTTCCGCTCTGGTTGAACATCCTTTGGAGGCCATCGAAAGTCTGATCAATCTGACCACATAGAGTCTCGACCAGAGGAATTAGTACCTGAAATATGGTATTTGAATAAAGTGGTAGACTTTCGGTCAAAAATCCCACCCAGCTATCTAGGACAGAACGGCTATTTGACGAACTGAGCCCCGCTTGTATGCATTTAAGAAGTGAAGGCGGCGGCGATGAATGCTCCGCAATGCGTTCTATCGAGGCAGGAGGTCCTCGCATACTGCCTGACGGATAAGTTAACGCACGCTTTTCTCCGGTCGGGGAACTTGGTTTCTCTGCTGGCGATGCGTCCCGGAGTCTGAGGGAGGCAAAAACCACATCCAATAGAAGAACTTGTATGTATGGATCAGGAAGCTCTAGTGACTGACTAAGTCGATCGATTAGGCCTGTCTCTAGTTTAAGGGAGGAAAGCACTTCAGCATAAGGGTTTAGGAGGATTTGGTGCAGTAGTGTAAGGGCACTGCGGTGAAGCTGGGCTGCACGAATCTGCGTTCCTTTATCCTCAGGAATTTTATTCCCCGCCACGCAACGCAGGCAAACGTGCACGAAAAACTCTTGAAGTGAGGCATCACCTTCAGAGCCGACTGTGAATCGTTAGTTCAGCTGCATGATTTCTATTTCAGCAAAGAGCTCACTGATGTCTGGTAGACGCTGCCCGGGCGCGTCGATGATCCTAGTGGCCAAGACACCCCAAAGGGCGTCTGGTGCCCATCGAAGAACATTAGATAATGCACGGATATAGTACAAGCCGAGGTCAAGTTCGTCTTCGGTGGAAAAGCTGGTTGACGAATTCGATGCGGCATGACTCATAGTCTTCGGAAGGTTATGAAGAAACTGAAGTTCCGAAAATTTCGTTACAAAGACTAAAAAGAGTCTAGCAGAACGTTAGCAAACCCGTGAGACTCTAGGTGTGAGCATTTTTACGAACTTTTCAATGCCAATTACGTTATTAAGCCAGTGTTTTATCACCATGAATAGCTGGGTTTTCTCATCGAGTAGGGCGTCGAGCATAAGAAATAGGGGTCTCGTCAGGATGAGCTCGTAGTAATCCATACCAGATAATCGAGGAGGATTTGGGAACTCTCCCATTGGCGTTTTAGGAGCTCTTCGGTCGGAATACGAGGCATTGTCTTGTAAGGTGTGAGACCACAGAAGACAAAAGGTTCGACCTGGGTCAGCTGCACGAGCTGCAAGCATCCCAGCCGTATCGTTCTCTAGCATGATGTTTGCTATTGCTGCTTCAATATCACGATTGGAAACGGAAAGGGCTGTTTGGAGTTGCCACAAACACCTCACAGCTTCGACATGATATTTTGGCTCTGCAACTGATAAAAAGCGCCATGCGTGACGTACTAAAGGGTCTACTAACTCGGATAATGCGTGCATTGGGATCAGGTCGCTATAGTAAAGTTGTGTTGAAAGCGATAGAACAGATTTAAAGGAGACAAAAGGTATTGGAGAATGTGCAAGTTGAGCTTGCATTGAAGCGAGCAACCTTTCTGTGTCGAGAACATTTTTGGGCGATGTCTTTGATAGCAATAGGACCAGTAGACGGCTTCGTATAGACACATCAGCCAGATGATTTGGGGATGTAAAGCTGCTGCAGACTAAGCTACAAGCTTTCTGTACTAGGAGATCCCCTATTCTTGGTGCTGAGAGTGGAATAGAACCAGCCTCCACATTTCCTTGCTCAGATACATAGAATCGTCTGATCTTCTGTATCAATTCACCGTTTGATATGGGAGCTAGAATGGGAGTTTCACTCAATATGTGTGAGTTTTGGTGTGAGGTAACTGAAAAAGTGCGCTCTGGGACAAGTTGAATCATGTTCATAACAATTTCGAGTGCCTGGGATATGATAGGACTGATCTCGCTCTCCAGGGGGGACTGTGACTCTTCACGTTGTCCGCTAACATCTACAATTGCAAGGCCGAATAACGCAACGAGAGGAGCATGAAGGGTGACCATTTCCTCTTCTCGTATGTTGAAGTGAGTCATGATGAATTGAACAAGCGTCAATTTTTCGATACGCTCCGATACCAAAAGATTCCCTGGACCTATAGCTTGAGCTATGAGCTCTGCAAGTTCGCCATATATCAGGCCACTCTCTACACCATCAAAAAATACGCTGGCGCTACGAAGAACTTCGTTGAAGGCGGCCTTATCTGTAGTCTTCGATCCGAAATCGCGCACGCTCATAATGACAGGGAGGAATATTTCGGGTACAACAAGACCACCGATCTCCCATCTGTCCATTAGAGATAGACAAATTCGATACGGTTTTGCTTTTTCTGCAACATCACTATTAGACGAACTTTTGATCATGGACATTAAGGCGTCTATCAGCAGTTGAAGCCCGAATTCTTCAAAGTAGCTTGTTCTTGAAGCTAAGTATCCATGGTAGTTCTCGGCTGGGGATGTAGGCGACTCTGGACCATTTTCTTGGTCTTGAGGAGGTTGCTCGGGCCCAAGGAACCAGGCCCAGAGTCTCCGATTTAGGCTCATGTCTCGCCTCGTAACAACCCCCGCAGCCGCGCGAAGAAGCAGCTCTAAGTCGCCCGGCTTCACACGTTTTTGAAGCACTTTGGAATGCAAGGGTAAATTGGCTACGAGAAGATCAAGAAAGCCTCGTTGAATCAAGAGTTGCTCATCCCTAAGGCCTGCAGCAAAACATCTCAAGAGTAAACCAGGCTCCGGAGAAGTTACCATACTCGACAGTGCGGCTGTCAAATTGAGGCTCTCCGTTTCTTCACTATTCTTAGATGAAAGTCCAGGCTCGGAATTTAGCGGTTGTCCAAGTTGGGGCAAATTTCGGGTTAGGTATGCTAGCGCACCTGGACGCCGGCTTCCGCTCGTTATTGCAGCCAGAAAGAAACACTGCCAGAAAAAGTCGTCACCGGTCGAGTGTTTTTCTGTAAGAGGACGACTGTTAGGTGGCCGAATAACAGCCTTAAAGCTCTCGACTAGATGCAAAGTGCGATCGAAATCTTCACTTGTTTCATCCTCCAGACCCGGAAGAAGTGCCATTATAATAGATTTCAGGGCTGGGCGCAAGGCTAACGGCTCAACCTGGAGAAGGTGTTTCTCAAGTAAATCCAGGAACCGAGTTCGAACCGCCAAGGAAGCAAACGAAAGGGTCGGGGCCAAGCCCGAGAGGTATAACGGCAGATCTCTCGATAGTCCATGATCACCAATAACGGAAAAGATATATGCATATACTTCGATGGCCTTTTGGTGAACACCGGACGGGAGGGACGGGTTGAGACACTGAGAAAGACGCTTTGCGACTAGTGCTTTCGAAGGTATAGTTGTAATATTCGCTTGTCGGGCTTGCAGGGCCTAAAGAACGAGAGGTGTCAGTGCCCCGTCGACAGGCTCGCAAGGCGATGTAACAGGATAGAGCACCAACTTTGAGGAGCCTACTCAAGAAAGAAATGTAATCTGCCCATTCTTCCAAAGCCGTATCGAACAGCGCCAGGGCTCGCTCAACACCTGAAGCATATTTTCGGTAATGCTTGTCTTTGGGGAGGTCATCATCTAAGGAGCCGAACATCAGTATATGAACACTAACTGCAGTCAGCTTGCGGTCATCCCGTACCTGCACTGAGTTGATTCCGCCATTGTCGTAGGGTGGGAGTATTGCGCCCAGAGCTGTTGGGAGACATGGAACGTCGAGGACCGGGCTCGAGCGCCATATCTGGCTCAGGTATCAAGGTGGTACGGGTCGAAGAAACATGGAGTCGTGCTGGCAGCTGAAGAATAGGTCAAGGCGCATCGCTTTTTCCTTTCGCAAATGCGTCCTACGCAAGTTGTCTCGCGGCTCTCAAGGTGTCAAGGCTGAGAGACGAAACGCAACAGGGGACATACGTGTAAGTAACTACCTACCTACTGGGTACATACCTACAGTAGGTACCCTGGTGAAGATACATAAGTAGAAGGAGGATCGAGGCGCTAGACCGCGTAGCCGGTACCGCGTACTTAAGGAACCCCATTCACTGTAGATACCCACCTAGGTAAGTCGGTAGACTTTAGCCTACCTACATACCGTATGTGCCTAGCGAGGCGGTCTGATAAAAAACTGTCAGACTCAGCCCCCCCCCCCCACACCACCTATTCAACCACCCATTCAACCACCTGTTCAACCACCTGTTCAACCACCTGTTCAACCACCTACTCAACTACTAATTTAAAGCTATTTCCAATATAACTCGCCCGTCTATTCCTCCGCAAAGCTAATTAAAATATATAGATATACCTAAAAAAACGGAACTATTAACCTTAAAGAAGTTCCGTAATATAAATAACCTTCTATATATAAATAAAGCCCTATTTAAATATATTAAGGTTAACCCCTATATGGGCTATCATATATTTAAAGACCATCTATAACAATTTCACAATAATCCATTCTGTAAAGAAATTTATAGCCATTAGCCAGCCTTAATAAATAATTAGGTTAATTAATTAATTACATTTTTAAAAGCTAAAGGATATAAAGGGCGTATATTACCTTAGGTTAACCTTTATAATACCGCTAGCTTTAAATTTCCAATGCAAAAGGGACTACTAATAGCTTAAACAATTTAAAAATACTTAAATAAACGTAGTTAAAAGAAATGTACTATATATAACAAACATATCAGATATATACTGTGCCGGAATACTGTACGCACTATGGAGGGACATTATAAAGATATGTAAAATATGTGCCGATAAGGTTATATAACCTATAATAGCTGTTAGCCCATATATATCCCTACGTATATATATATTTTAATTTCATCTTTCCTTCCTTTCTTCTTTAGCTTAAAATCTTTATCTATAGCATTAATATAGCTATACCTTAAAACCCTAATTGTAATACTATTTTAAGCTCCTTCTTTTTATTAATAAATATTATATAAATATATTACCTATATTTAATTATTATTATTTATAATTTATAAATTAAACCTTTCTTTATTATTATATTCCGTATTTAATAATAAACGAATATAACTTTATAATAAACCTAATTGATAAAATTAAACCCTATACCCCTTAAAACTAAAAAAACCTTAATTAAAATAAATAACCTAAAATAATTTTAATAATTATTATTATATACCGCATTTAACATTCCTACAATTAATAAATAATTAACTTAAAACCCTATCCTTTTTATTAAAAAAAAAAACTAATATTAAATTTAAAAATAGCTTTTAAAACTTTTTAAACCTTAAACTAAAAGATATAACGCTTTTATTATTAAACCTTAATTTAAATAAAGGATTAATAAAACTACCCTAATTAATAAATAAAATAAATGCTATTAATTAAGCTACCTTAATATAATAATTATAAAATTAAATTATTGCTCTTTAAGCTTAAATAAAAAAAGATAGCTTAACCTTAACGTTATAAAAAGATATAGTTAAAAGTACCTTTAGTAAAATTAACTTTAAGCTAATTAATATAGTTATATAAACTATTTTTAAAATAATTAGCCCGGTAGGTAACCTTATAAGCCTAAACTTAAAATATATAAAAAAGGTTAAAACCTATAAAATTAATCCGGGTACCTTTTTTAAAAATAAGGATTTATTTAATAATTAATTAGGAAAGTTAACTAATAAACTTAAAAAAAACGTAATAATATACTATATTAAAAAAAGCTAAATATATTATATTATATTCCTCTTAAAGAAGGATGTTAAAAAAGCAGTTAAAACTTATTTCTATTTTATTATCCAACTATATAGCAATTTAACCAAAGTGGTATAAACGTTAAAAACTGCTTATTATAACCTAAATTAAGCTACCTAGGTATAAAACGCCTTAAATAAATTCTACTTTAAGCTGGGCTCCAATATTTACCAATTTATTTTTCGATTTAATAATTTAACATTAAAGTTAAAATTATTTAAATCTAAATAGTTTTAATTTTTATAGAAATATATAAGCCTTAACCTTAAAACTAAAGTATTTAAAGCTAATATTAACCTATTAATACTATATAAACACTTTTATAATAAAGTAATAAAAGTAATATATAACTATAATTATTATTATAATTATTAAAAGAAAAAATAAACTATTAACTCCATTAATTATAACTTTAATAATAAAAAGAATATAAATAAAGGAAATATTATAATAAAGCTTAAAGAAATAAAGCTTTTAAAGGAAAAGAAGAAGACTTATTAGGAAAATAATACCTACTTTAACTATAGTAAAATAAAATACTATATTATAAACTATTTTAAAAAGAGTAAAAATATAGCTTAAATATAAAACAAAGAAAGTAAAGAAAAGCTTATTAACTTCTTTTTTATTAAATTTAAATCGGAAAATTAGCTAAATTGCTAAAAGATTCCTTAATAATTTATAAACTATCCTTAACCTATATAAAAAGTAATCGAAATATTATTCGATTTATATACTTCGTTTAAATATAAATAAATAATTTTAAAATAAAAGCTATTATATTATATAATATTAAAGCTTAAATGTATTTAATAATTAATTATAAATTAGCTTATTATATTAACTATTAATTAAAAGCTAGGTTAACTACCTTAAAATGATTATAATAATTAAATAATTATTAAGGATAACCTATTAATATAATTAACTAATACCTTATTACTACTTTAAAAGTAAATAAATAAAGGTTTAAAGATTAAACCTTTTAAATTATTAATATAGGATATAACGTTATAATTAATTTAAAATAGCTAATTAAAAATAAGGTTACCTTAAATTATACCTATTATATATTATATTAATTAAAAGATTTATTCCCCTTTGCTTTATTTTTACCTATAATTAAAATTGTATAAAAGTCCCTTAACAATTAATAAGTTAACCCTATTATTTAATAGGATACTAATTAAAAGGATACCGCTTTAAAAAAGAAATATATTATATTAAAGTAATTAGCTATACATTTTTAAAAAAACACCTAACCTAAAAACCTAAAGATAAAGCAATCTTAAAATAAAAGGATTATTTAATAACTTATTAAAAAAACTGAGTAAAACCCTAAATAGAAATAATAAAAGAAAAGGGTACTTCTAAATAAACTAATACTTATTAAATTTATTAAAGCGGCCTTAAAAGTAGCTATAATAATATTAAAAAAGACTTAAAAGACCTTTAATAATAAGTATATTCCCTTCCTATAAAATAAAAATTCTAAATATATTAAGTTAATTTATTACTTAATCCTTAAGGAGCTAACCTATTTAAAAAGGTTCTTTTTAAAAGTGGAAATTAATAAATTACCCTTATTATAATTAAAATATAATATAATCCTTAAAACTATTATTAATAACCCTTTAAATAGCCCCCTTTAATATTAAATTCTAATTTAATACCTATTATTAAAAAAAGAAGTAATAGATAAATTATTAACTTATAGCTTTATTAAACCTTATATAAAAGTAAATACCTCCTTTATCCTTTTTACCTTTAAATTAAATTTAATTAAAAAATAGTTTTATATTAATTATTAATAAAGGAATAAATATTTAAAGAATTATATTATTTTAATATTAAACTTAAATAGCATTATATATAATAGTTAAAAAGTTAAACGTTATATTAAGCTTAATATTATTAAAGCTTTTTATAAATTAAGGATAGCTTTAAAATCCTAACATTTAATAACATTTTAAACCTAATAAAAAATGTTCTAATAATTAATTTTACCCTTTAAATTAAAGATTAACCCCGCCTAATAATAAAACTTCATTAATTCCTAACTATATAAATTATTTAACCTTTTTATTAATACTTATATTAATAATGTTTTAATATTTATAAATAATAAAAAAGAATATTAGAAATAATATAAGGAGGTAATATATTGCTTTTATAATATTAAGCTTTAAGAAAATATAAAAAAATCCTACTTTAATATAACCTTTATAGATTATTTAGGTATAATTTTAAAAGCTAAATAGGATATCTAAATAAACCTTAAAAAGATAAATGCTATTATTAATTAGAAATTTAAAGATTTAACTAATATTTAAGCTATTTATTTATTTTTAAAGCTATATAACTTTGTTTAAATATTTATATATTATATTAATAATATAGCAAAACCTTTAAACTATTTATTTAAAAAGGGTATACTATTCGAAATAAGTAATAAATAATAAAAAGCTTTCGAATTAATAAAGAAGCTAACTTATAAAGCATTAATATTAACCTTCTTTTAACTTAGCTAACCTATTAAAATTAAAACCAATACCTTTTAAAATATTATTAATAAAGCTATTTAATAATAATAAAAAGATAGTATTTAAAAGCTTATAAAATACTTTTTAAAAACTATATTACTAATTAAGCAAATTTATTTTATATAGAATAAAGAACTATTAATTATAATTTAAACTATAAAGTATAATTGCTTAAAGCTATTAAATATAAAGTTTTTTATAATAATTAACCATTAAGCCTTATTATATTTTATTATTAAAAAAGTCCTTTTTATAAAATAAGTAAAATAGGTAAACTTTTTATTTAACTTTAACATTATCTTTTAATATTAGTTTAATTAAAAGAATATAATAGTTAATATATTATCCTATAAAACAATTAATTTATTAATTGTTAAAGCTTATAAAGCTAAAGAACGGAATATAACCTTAATCCTATTTAAAGCTTTAAAAGGGCTGGTAATAGCTATAGAAAAGGAAGCAATAGTACTATATAGCTCCAACCTAATAGATTTAATCTAATAAAAAAACGAAAAATAAGGTCTAGGATATAAAAACTATCGGTTAATCATTTTAAAATAAACCTTTAACCTAAAGATTTATCTTTAGATAACCCTAATTAAAAAAGCCTACTATTTAATAATTGCTATTTACCCTAAATAAAATAAATGCATTAAAATAATTAAATAGGATTATTATTAACCCTTATTAAAATAAGATATTTAAATATATATTTATAATTATTATAATTATTAGCGGAATAAAGTTCCTTAAAATAAAATACTTAAACTATTATACTTATTATTAATCCTTATAGCTATTTAACGCTATATTATAATTAATAGGAAAAATATACCTTTAAATAAATATAGCTACAATTATATATAAGTATTTATTAATAAATTTAACTACTTATTAATTATAATACTTAATAAAAAAACAATATAGTAGAAAATATAATATATTAATATTATAAATATACCTATTATTTTTTAAATTTCTTAAAGGTATAAATTTTAAATAATATAGAACCTTTTATTTTATACTTTTTAATAAAGATTAATAAATTAACCTATATTAAATATTGGTATAAAAGTACCCTTTACCCTTAAATATAAAAAGTTATAAAGTTTATAAATTAAAAGCTAAACTAACAGTTATACTTTTATATTAATAAATATTAAAATAATTAAAGCCTTTATTTATCTATATTAAATTTTATATATAATACTTCTTAATATTTAATTATTAATATAGTACTATTAAAGGTCCTAATAAGAACTAATATAAGGAACCCTTTATTATTACTCTTATTAGATATTATTAAAAAAATAACACCTAAAAAGCTAACCTAACAATTAATATAATAAACCTATAAAGTATAAAAGGTAGCTTATAAAATAGTAAAAGCTATATAAAAAAGATAAGAAGTATAAATAAATAAAAAGCAATGCTTAATAGACTTTAATATAAAAGATAAGGTCTTCCTAAAGAAAAAGAGCTTTATAATTAATAGCTTAACTATTTAATTAAACTTTTAATAGGTTAAACCTTTTAAAATATTTAAAAAAAAAGAATATAGCTATATATTAAACCTTTTAAAGTTAATAAAAATAATTAACCTTTTTTATATAAATTGATTATATAAAGCGAATAAAAACCTATTACTTTAATAAACCTAACTGCCGTTAAAGCTTAAAAATATTAAAAAAGAACTAAAATAAAAAGTTAAATAGCTATTTAGGTTATAAATAATAGGGTATAATAAAATGCTATAATATTAAATTACTTAAAAAGGTTATAACCTTAATAATACTTAATACTTAATAAAGAATTTTAAAAATTTATTAATTAAAATATAAAAGTTTTATAAAAGATAACCTAATATATTAAAACTGCTTAAATAGTTAAACAAATAGATAAAAGCTATAGCAGCTAATAAATTTACTATTAACTACCCTAATAATAATGTTGCTGTATAAAATAGTACTATAATTAAACCTAAATGCTATAAATAATTCCTTAACCTATTTTACGCCCATATTTTAATTTTAATAAAGGAAAGTATAATAAACATATTAAATATATATTATACCGGAATATTATATATATTATAAAAGGATATTATAAAGATATATAAAATATATATTAATAAGGTTATATAACTTATAATAGCTGTTAGCTTATATATATTCCTATATATATATATATTTTAATTTTATTTTTCCTTCTTTTTTTCTTTAACTTAAAATCTTTATTTATAGCATTAATATAGCTATACCCTAAAACCCCAATTGTAATATTATATATAATAAATTTTAAGTCAACTATAATATAGCTTTACTTTATAAAGCCTTTACCTATAAGGCTTTAATAAATTATAGGTTAAATTTTATATATTAATACTATATTTATTATTTTAATAAAGTCCATTTCAAATTTAAACCTAAAGGTAAAGTTAATATAATTTAATAATATAATAAATAATATTATATAAATTATATTTACTATTATTAATAGCTTATAAAAAATAAAAACCATTAAGTTTACCTTTTAACTTAAGTTATAATTAGTTAAAATTTTAAAAGTTAATTTATTTAATATATAATTAATAATAATAATACTATTACCCTATAAGCTTACCAGGATTAAATTTTAAAACTTATAATTAAAAAATAGATTAAATAAGGTTATAACTTTATTTTAAAAAAAGATAATACTTTTAATTATAATAGGAACTTTAATAATAATATTATATAGTAATGGAAAGAAAAAAATAGCTTAAAATACTTCTTTAACTATTTTAAAGCCCCTAATTTAGCCCCTATTAAAAACGCCTAACGTATATTAAAAGGTTAAGTTAAATAATATATAATTTAAGACGTAAAGGCCTTTTATATAGCTGTAAAAAAAAGTTAAGTAAAGTTATCATAAAATATAATAAATAATTAAGTTAAAAATAAACCTAAACGTATATTCAATATAATTAACATAAAAGGACAATATATAGGCGCATGAATAGCTTTAAAAATAAGGGGTTGAATAGGTGGTTAAATAGGTGGTGTGGGGGGGGGGCTGAGTCTGACAGTTTTTTATCAGACCGCCTCGCCTGGTTGCCGGTCTTGTTCCTAAGACTTAGAAGCGCAAAGGTGCAAGGGGAATTGTACCACCTGCCTATGTATGTACCTTACCCACTTCAAGTAAGTACCTACCTAGGTACTGTGTAAGTACCATGTACTTGTATCTCACGCGGGTAATGACGTGGGGGCAGGGATCTTCGGCTCGTCCCAACCTTACCTGACTCTATGCACATCTCGCAACATGTGGTTGTGCTGAGTTCGAGCATGGTTTCAAGCTCTACCCACCAGTAACATAAGACAGCCTCACCGCCGCCTGCCTCGATCTCAACGGCACCTCTGTTCGAGCGGACGAGAGAGATAAAGACACGATGCATGCGCTTGGAAGTACATCTTAACGCGGGCGCAACGCGGGATACGGCTGGCGCAAATACATATCTAACGATCGTTAAACTGCTTCGAATGATGATAGGAGCTCATCTTGATCCCAAAATATGACGGGCAATGAAGACGCTGGCTTACCGTCCGGCGCCAGCACGGCGCATGATGAGGAGCGCCCACCACCTTTGCCTCCAAGGCATTCTCAACCATCGACGCCAAATGACAGGCCTCGTTTGGCGTCGAAACCAACGACCGCCTTATCGTCCATGAACATCCAGACACTGTCATTTCCCGACGGTTCTCGCGGTACGTTTTCAACAGCTGTCGATAGCTCGGCAGCTGACGATAGCACGGTCCACCCTACAGATGGCTTTGATGTCTCTGCCATGGGGTTTCGTTCCATCGGTAGTACAAGAAAGCAGGATACAGACGAGTCTATGAGTGTCATGAGTATGGCTCCTACATTACGGCCGCCTGGAGACCTTGAGAGTCTGCTTGTCGGAGACATGGCCAAGAAAAGCCCGGCCTGGATGCTTCTACGTTCACAGTCCGCCGCCGTACAGCCATTTGAAACAACCCCACCAGAGCAGACGTCCACGTTCGCTAGCTTTGAGCAAGAATTTGAGGGTATCCCAGACGAATTGGACAGAGATTGGAACGACGGGGACCGCCTCCAACTCTGGAAATCTAAATTAAAACACTACATGATACTGTCGTCAGCAGGTAAACCTATTTACAGTAGACATGGTGACTTAGGATTGATCAACTCCTCAATGGGAGTGGTTCAGACTATTATATCATTCTATGAGGGTGCTAAGAGCCCGCTTCTAGGGTTTACTGCCGGCGATGCGCGCTTCGTCATTGTCACAGAAGGTCCCCTCTATTTCGTAGCTATTAGTAGACTCGGCGAGAGCGATTCACAACTAAGAGCCCAGCTTAACGCACTATATATGCAAATTTTGTCCACACTGACGCTTCCTGTGTTAACTAACATCTTTGCCAACCGACCCTCTACCGATCTGCGACGGCCTTTGCAAGGAACAGAAACACTACTGTCCTCACTAGCTGATAGCTTCACAAGAGGTTCGCCATCGATTCTGTTGGGAGCCTTGGAATGTCTTCGGCTGCGGAAGTCCCATCGACATTCCATTAATAACGCTTTCCTGAAAGCTAGAGCTGAGCCTCTTCTTTATGGCTTGATAGTAGCCGGTGGAAGACTTGTCAGCGTTATCCGCCCTCGCAGGCATTCCCTCCATCCGAGCGACCTGCAGCTTATTTTTAACATGTTATTCGAATCGGGTGGAATCAAAGCTGCAGGTGGAGAGAATTGGATACCATTATGTCTACCAGCCTTCAACAATCGAGGCTATCTCTATATGTACGTCAGCTTCCTGGACGATCGCCCAGAAGAATCTACACCTACAATAGATACGCCAAGCGTGGACGAGACAATTGCCATCATTCTCATCAGCCCCGATAAAGAAAGCTTCTTCGCCCTCCAGAAAATGCGGGATGATGTCGTAACTGAGCTGAAGAAAAAGGGACACTTGGACCTTATCAAAGTAACAGCACTGAAAGGTCGCCCCTCGGCAGCAGAGATCGCCCCCAACACACACATCAGCCATTTCTTGTTCAAATCAAGAGCCAATGTTCAGTTTTGCATGCCGGCGCTGCAGCCCACCTTTAGCAGCCTGGTTTCGCATCGAAGGCTCATCTCATTATATTCCCAGCTGCACACAAACATGCATGCCAGACATTCACATCTGAAGGTGCTTCATTGTGTCAGTGATGAGGCCACATCACTCGCTTGGGTTACCCCTATATTCGAGTTCTATTGTGTTGCTGGGCCCAACACCTCTCGGGCTGTTCTGACACAAGGGGCTAACAAGGTGATGCAGTGGGCAAAACGCGAAGAGGAGCGACTCTTCATCATTGGCGGAGGGGTCTTCTGAGATCAAGTTGTTCCCAACGTTACTACAAGCTCCAAGCTTTATTTGCTAGATATAGCAATACCAAGTTCTACTGTCAAAGGCTTCTCCCAGTGCCGCCATGTTTACAGGATGTAAAAGCATGCCCTACAGGCAAGGCCCAACATCTTTTCCCCAACATATCACTCCATTTATCGCGACTACTTGGCCCAAATTCTTTCCCCGGCCATTTGAGGGATATGGGGGAGATTGGGGCTTGGAGGTCGTGCTGGACTCGCCTTAGCTCTTTGTTGGTGCCATTTTAACTACAGTCGTCCGACGTTAGTTTCTTCGGCAGTAGTTTATGCACCATCCCGTCAAACTCACAGCCTCGACCCTGTGGCCATACCAGCGTCCTGCTACTGCTTTTCCTGGAAGATCCTAGACATATGTCAAATTTTTTCTGAATTTTCCAGTATGCATGACGACTCTGAGAATGCCGCTCACACAACGCACCATCGTGACAACGATGGTACTGAAGCAACCGTTCTGTGGACAATAACGACACCGGGATCTTTTTTCCAAGACGACGCCCTAAAATGACTTCATTCCAGCTAGCACAGATCAAAGTGGGCTTGACGAATGCAGTCCGTCAATGTATATCGTCACATAGACTCTAGGGGTGGCTATCTTGGACTTTGGACATATACATATTCATACGTACACCTTTGGTTATATAAGAGCTCCAAGAACAGAGTCAACTACTATATAGAATCTTAACCAGTTTCTGCCCCTCTGCCTGACTGCAATAAGCCAATTCTAACATGATGGAAAGCTGTAATTGCACAAACACTGAAGTGTGCATACGTGGATGGCTGCTCTTTATATTTTTTTAAAGATGAAACCCCAGCTAGACCAACAGATGGCGCAAATATCTGTCTTCACTCCATTCAGCTAATCAGTCTGGACTCAATCACCAGTTATCTTGCTTCCAATGCGCTTCTGCTCAAGGCATCAGTCTCTTGGCTCAGATGTCACTGCGTTCTCTTCTTGTAAACAGCTCCGGCCCATATATCATTTGCATCAATTATACAAACTAATTAGTTCTTTGCCTGCCAAACGTAGAATTACTGTAGAGAAATTCCCAATGATCCTCCAGTAGATACCCAGATACTAATCAAAGCACGCCATCCGATTGAACCGATATTTACAACAAACCAGTACGGATTAATTACCTACGGGCCGCAACAGTGGCCAACTGGCTTTGAGAACGAATTGCAGGTGTGGTAAGTTCTACAAAGTGCGAAAGAATGATGCGCATATTAAACGTAAAGAGGGTGCCACTTCTCAAGGTAACAGAATGGTAACATGTATATTGGATATGGTAAGTAAGTTATCTAGAGAATGAATCGCTTTCGATCACTTGCCAAACTTCCGTTACCCTGGGTTTGAAAGCCTTCCGTACCATTCTCGGCCTATACCAAGGTCACAGCCAACCGATTTGCTAAAAAGGGAGCGAAGACAAGGCAAACATGTTAGTATAGCTCAGCCTTGGAGAGTGCTGGTCCAAAAGGGTTCCAAAATCAGATAATGAAGGACTCCTGAACGGCCTCCGATCGAATCCAATAATGTTGGGATTCTTGTAAAACAAAACATTAAAAAACCATCATATCATACGTGGGTTATATTACCCCCCTCCTTGCTGTCCTGTTTGTGGTGGTTATAGGTATTTCTCCCATACTTTCGCATTGCGGCTTTAGCACCTTTAACCCATCTATTCAACTTTGCTCGGATGCGTTGACGTACTCGTAATTGACCTGCTTCTGTCGCCGTGGACTCAGTCGTCGACACAGATTTCTCAACGTTGATATCAGAGCTTGCTAAGGTATTAGCCGTGACTTTAGTGAGTTTTGAGCCATCAAGCTCTTGTGTTTGACGTATAGACAAGGTAGAAGAAGAAGACAGAAGTGTACGAAGGTTAGATAAGCGTTTGATCAATCCACGGCAAGGAATCGAGCTGGTGAGCCCCTCGCTACCCATTCGAGGCAACTCATTGGTACAATTCGGCATAGCTAAGGGTATTCGATAGCGGATCGATTCAATTCCTCTATCCATTGAAGTAGAGTCCGAGACATTGATTTTATTGACTCCGTATGAATATACTAGGTGGGACAAGGGCTTCCTACGTTCCTGTAACAGCATTGTCTCCGCGTTCAGAGGTCCACCAAAGAGATCTTGGGATTTTTGTCTCATGAGTTCTGCTACAACTTCAGATGCTTCAACTCTTGGGTTGTGCCGAACAGTGGAATACTGAGAGGAGCTCAAGCCGGAACGATGTCTGGGAGATTTGACTTTAAACCTGTTTCTGTCTTGATTTCGTCCTTGCATTTCGTTAGATCCATCGATAGTCTCTACACCTGACATATGATCCAGGCGAGGGATTCCTCTATTTGTGGTTGATCGTACATTATGTTCCAACGAATTTGAAGCTTCAGACAGCCCAGATGTCTTGATTTTCAGCTTGAACTTGGGACTTTCTTTTTGTGGGGTTAGGATCGCCTCATCTCGCATCATATGCACAGGATTGGGAGCTTGCGGCTTATTAAGCTGCAAGGGCTCATCTGATCCGTGAAAGCTAAATGGGACGAGAATCTCTGCGAAATCGTCTTCATCCACAATTTCTGTGGCAGGTGAAGGCAGACCGTATCCTAGAACGCCTGGCAAAGGAGGTAGGGCTTTCATAAGCTGAGGAATGCTATTCTTAACTTTGAGTTGACGAGCAGGGGAAATTGGCTTTGGAGAGACGAGAGGTACCATAGAACATGTCGGCGTGATGTGCGGATGGCCCTCGTTATCTTTCCGGGGTATACCTGTGGTACTAATCCTCAACGCAGCATGGTTTCTTCTGTGACGGCGAAACTGATTAGGACAGCTAATCTCAACTCCATTATTGTCTGGCGATTTTTTAGTCTCTTCTTTTCTCGTTTCTTCTGGTTCTGCTACTGCATCTCCCGCCAACGGACATGCAGATCCACAGGATCCATGCGGATCTAAGCCAACACTAGGAGACATGTTTTCGGTGTGGCTAGACGAAAAAAGGGTACCCTGCGGCCCGTTCGCGGTTGAAGCTTCGGGAACACCTGCGACGTGGTGATAAGAAACATCACTACTCTCGTGTAGCTCATCCGGTTCACCCGTCCCAGTCTCAGCACAAAGCTGATGGCTTTCTGGGGCTATTTTGTCAATTGTTTCGTAATGTGTATCATCCCGAAGAATTACCCCTTGTTCACTTCGGATTGTGGGAGCCCGGCCTCCAAACACCTGCACACGTCTTTCGGGTGACTTTTTCTGAGTCTTCGGGGCTGTGTGTGCGTGATAAGTGACACACTTATACGATAGTGGTAGATCCCTGGATTCGAGGTCAAGGCTCGGGTTAAATGTATCAATTGATTCTCGCCCAATTTGTGATGGGAGTAAATCAATATCACTGCTTCTTGCGTTTCTGCCACCAAGTTCCGAGGCGTCAAGCTCAATTGTGCTGTTTTGGGATATTGCGGAGTCCGGGCGATGGGATATTGATCCTTCTATTGACTCGGCGCGACTCTGACTTCGGCTCGGAATTGTCGTTAAAACAGGGGGAACGTCTTGCTCATCAACTACTTGGCTTTCGCAATCAAAGAAAGCCGAATCTCCTTCACCAAAAACAGCAGCAAGATGGCGTGTAGCAAGATAGTCGTCATCATCTCGACACATTGTTGACCGAGGATATCTGACCATCTGAGCACGCAATGGTGTGAATGTGTGTGTCAATGGAGTTAATTGAGAATCTTTATCCTCAAAATCCTCAGTGTAGTCGTAGTAGCGAGGTGAAGTCTGCGGAGGGTAGTTTTGGCCATCTCTGAGCATAGGCGGCACCCGACGGTATATATTTGTCACTGAAGTAAGGCTAGAGGTTCTCATTGCTGTGCTATCCAATCTCTCATGGTAAGGAGGATTCCACGACGCCATTGACGCTGGCGAATGAGTCCTAATAGACCGTGGACGAGGTGGACCACGATTAGGGGGTGGCCCAGGAGGAGCCAGCGATGGAGTTGAGCGATTGATGTCTGCTCTTAGTCCCAGTGGGGGCGGTCTCCTCGCCATAGGCGAGCACACATGCTTGAAGTGGCTGTGAACCGTTCTCTACAAGTTAGAGTTAGCAATTCCGAGTCATTTAAACAAACCGAAAAGAACAGGGGACGCGAGTGCTCACGTAGGAGACTCTATCGATTTCCACCATACGGCTATAATCTATTCGCCCATTTTCTGTAACAGCTGGGGAAGCAGGACGAACCCCTGGGCGCTTCAAGCGCGTTGGGTATGGAAATGGAGAGCGTGGACGTTGGAGCTGACTACTCCCGCTTGCCTGGCTCTGCAGAGTGTTGGTTGATCTGTGGTGGGATAGATGACGAGAGCCGCAAGTTGTCATGGAATAGGAACGCTGGCCCGCGTCTTCAGTCGAGGTGGGAGAAAGGGTGCTTGTCCCTGACTTCAAACTGTCTGACCCATAAACAGAAAAGACTTCGGATGTAGCATCTCGATGAGACGGTGGCCTCATTGTTTGGTTTTGACGGTATAGATTGTCAACTGAACGACGTGGTCTCCAGTGGGGATAGCCGGTTTCTGAGAGAGAATCTCTTGGCAGTAGAGGTGAAGGCGGCACGGGCCTGATGGTGAATATGCCAATGTCTCCAGTTTCAGTTGTCGTTTTGAGCATGCTTTCCAGCGCCCCTGGAGAATGCAAGAGCACAGAATTCTCGTTAACGCTACGAAGCGGCTTATGAAGGGGGCGAAAGGGAGGGAGACCAGGAGCTGGGCCTCCATGGGATGAGTAGCTGCTGCGAAGTGTGCCATGACTAGCACTTCGTCGAGGAAAGTGATGCTGCTCCATTATAAGAGCAACTATTTCGAAGATCGGGAGAGACACAGAAACACCACGTTCAACGGGAGGAGCATAGTATGAAATAAAATAGTATAGAAACGAGTAAGAAAGAAGAGACGAGTAGCCACTGAGACAGAAGCTTTCAAGTGCACTCTACTCGTCTCCAGTGGCTTTATTGACGAGCACTAGAACAGCAGCCCAGCAACGCCAACGAGAGCCGAGAGTGAAGTAGATATTGGCAATGGGTTGGAATAGGAGAGAGAGGTAGAATGAACTGGTGTCACTTTAACAAATAGAGATGCCTTCCAAAGTTTGACTGTGATGGGGTTTTGGTAATTCCAAGGGGGAAAGCACCCTTTTAGACGAAGACAGGTGCTGGAAAGATCGACCTGGGACGGGTAGCGCGATATCTAGAAGTCGCTAATGGCGTGCCGTAGCAGTTGCCGAAAAGCGAACTGATCTCTGTGTAATATGTAATACACTCTCGAAGCCTTATCATCAAGTTGTCACGGGTAGCAACTAACAGCAAGGAGTCTAGAGCTCATGTCAGCTATGTTTCTCCCGTAGCTGTAGCGAAATACTGCAAACCTCATCATCCATAATGCCGACATGTCGCATGATACTACCTACATAGGCATGTCTTCATTGCTTGCTATACGAAAACGACCTCCTGGCCGCTATCTTGGCTGCCCGAGCAGCTCATAGCTATCTAAATGTTTACTTTGTGTATGTACTCACAATATGAAGATGTTCGGAAGCCTCGCTAGCGGCTCTCAGCTTCCCAGATACGCACACTTGGAATATGTGCTGAGAGACTATCTCGAAGGGTATTATATAAATCAATCACCGGTGACTATCCTGGGACGTGATTTGACTGCAAATCTACTCTGTCGTCTTGTAATGGTTGATGAGCTAGCCTTCTAAATGCCAAGCTCACCGGGGTTGCGTCTACAAGAATGAGAAGCTGGTAGATAGTTATGATAAGGCTGCTCGCATGGTCTTGACAAACCATGCAGCATTGTTAGGTCTTTTGTGAACTTTGTATAGTCTTGTAGGGAGTACGCGTTCATGATAGAGTTTGGGCATTCAAACTTTAGCCATACACAGTGTCTTTCAAGCGGCGTCCAAGTTTCTTCGATGAGAACGATACTCAAGATAACATCATGGTAAGAGAATACGTCGTGGCCTTGAACATTTATTAACTGTAAGATCCAATTTTGGGGGAACCAGTCGCCTATTATCTCAATGAGACGTATATACTGTTTGAAGAACCGACTCATACCGACTGTACTACTGTGACCTTTATTGTCTACATAGTATCAAATTATCTTCCTCGCGAAGTATATAGTTCAGTCAATGGGCAGCACCACGTAATTATGGACAGGTAGTAGGTATCTTAGATGTGATTAGTTCTATCTCTAATTATCTTCAATCAAGGTTAAGGGCAAAGGATTGCAGAGAGGCGTAATAAGACATGTGCTAAATTACCTGACGAAGCGTAAGACGGAGGATCAATAGACGCGTAGCCAAAGCTATGCGTCAAGGCAAGAAATAATCCACACCACAAACTGGATATCCATGAGGACGTTGAGACCGATTCTACTAGGTATGTAATTTCCCTTGCTAACTGGTCTCAATTAGGTACTTACACGTACTCTATTTTGAATGACTAAGCATAGGTATACCATACTTGTACCAGTGTGCCAAGGCCAGAACAGGCTTCAAGTTCTGCCCAGGTGGCCAACAAAGTGGCAAGGGGCCCACTAAAGACCTCTAGTGCCATGCAACTGTACCTACATGCATGTATGTATCTACTTAAGGTACCAACATTGAACTTGGAAATTTTGATGTACCATAGCCAGACAGAGCCAGGTACATACTTACCTAGGTACTCAGGTATGGTCTGGTATGATATCCTACCGGCCAAAATAAGTTAGTCAGATATTGGTTTATCTTAGGTATGTACATACCTATCCAGGTACATAGATGCTGCACCTTAGGATATAATGTACTTAGTACCAGGTACCAAGGTATCCAGTAGGTACTGTAGTAGCTGGCTCGACAGAAGGCTGGGCGAGACAGGGGAGGGCGTCTAGCCACTAGCCGCTGGAGGGTACCTAGGAGGCTGGATTTGGCTTGGACACCGCCGCTGATCTACTGCGTAGGCATACCTACCTACCTACTGTACCGGTATGTGTATATCAAAAAGAACACCTGTCATTTGGCTCGGAACTTCAGGGCGCTTGATCCAGGGCAGGCGAGGGCGGGCAGGCTGTCCAGGGTGCTGGTGGACCCGCTGATGGAGCTTAGAAATGGCCCTGATACGCCCCTCCAACACCCCTCCACTCCTCTGCTCCCCCGCCACGGTGGCCTACGTGACACTCTATTGGCTCCGTTGGTGGTGCGACTCAACTCAGCTCTTCTACCTTTTTGCTCTGTAATCCCATGTGGCCAGATTTATATTCGGAGCATCCAGCTTTCTTTCCCCATTGATCCAGGGCGCGCAAAGGGACACATCTCCATTAGCCTTTCAAACGAAGTAGACGTTGCCGAATAAAGTCTTTTGGCCCTGCATTTAATATTGCGTATTGTTTCTTTATATTCTTCATTCTCCGCAACCACCATCTTCTAGTTCCGTTACATTCTCGAAAAAGGTAACCTTGCAACTTGCCTGTGTGTGCTTGCTCGACATTGTTTCCTACCTGTCTACACTCGTTTCCCCTCGGCTTGCTGTCCACTTTTCGAGGACTCGATCCTGCAACGTCGCACAGCAAACCGTGGACAATTACATTCTTCTGTCTCTTTCTTCCGCTGCTCAATTGCTAATTGGCTTTACCATACGCAGCCCGCCACCATGCGTTCGGCACGGAACATCGCCCTCGGCTTGCTCGCGGCTGTTGCCGTCGTATCTGCAGCTGATGCGCCCTCTGATGTCGTTCAACTGAAGAAGGACACTTTTGACGCCTTCATCAAAGAGAACAGCCTCGTTCTAGCAGAATGTAAGCCGTCTAATCTCGGTTCTGGAACTGCTATCTGGGACACCGGTTAACTCATTTGCCTCCAGTCTTTGCCCCGTGGTGTGGCCACTGCAAGGCCCTCGCCCCAGAGTACGAAGAGGCTGCCACAACATTAAAGGAGAAGGATATCAAGCTAGTCAAGGTTGACTGCACAGAGGAGCAGGATCTCTGCCAGACATATGGCGTTGAAGGATACCCGACGCTCAAGATCTTCCGGGGACCCGACAACATCACTCCCTACTCTGGTCAACGGAAATCTGCTGCGTAAGTCTCCGGGAGGTATCATAACGTTATTTCGTGCTAACATTTCTCACAGCATTACCTCCTACATGATCAAGCAATCTCTTCCTGCCGTGTCGGAGTTGAACGCCGAGACCCTCGAGGAGTTCAAGACCGCCGACAAGGTTGTCTTGGTCGCCTACACGGATGCCTCCGATAAGGCATCCAACGAAGTCTATTCCGCTATTGCTGAGAAGCTTCGAGATAACTACCTTTTCGGTGCTACAAACGATGCCGCTCTGGCCGAAGCTGAGGGGGTCACCGCCCCTGCCATCGTTCTATACAAGTCCTTTGATGAGGGCAAGGCTGTGTTCTCAGACAAATTCGACGAGGAGGCTATTGTAAGCTTCACCAAGACTGCCTCAACCCCTTTGGTTGGCGAGGTCGGCCCTGAAACCTACTCCGACTATATGTCTGCTGGCATCCCTCTTGCGTATATCTTCGCCGAGACCCCCGAGGAGCGTAAGGAACTTGGTGATGCTCTCAAGCCCCTCGCCGAGAAGTACCGTGGCAAGATCAACTTCGCCACCATTGACGCCAAAGCCTTCGGCGCTCATGCCGGCAACCTCAATCTCCCCACTGATAAGTTTCCCTCTTTTGCCATCCAGGAGACGGTTAAGAACCAGAAGTTCCCCTTCGATATTGAGAAGGAGATCACCGTCGAGACCATTGGCAGCTTTGTTGAGGACTTCTCAGCTGGTAAGATTGAGCCCGGCGTCAAGTCTGAGCCTATCCCTGAGACACAGGAGGGCCCTGTTACTGTTGTCGTTGGCAAGAGCTACGAAGACATTGTCCTTGATGACACCAAGGATGTCCTGATTGAGTTCTACGCTCCTTGGTGCGGTCACTGCAAGGCTTTGGCCCCCAAGTACGAAGAACTTGCCGCTCTTTACGGTGATGAGTACAAGGACAAGGTTGTTATTGCCAAGGTTGACGCCACTGCCAATGATGTTCCTGATGAGATCCGAGGCTTTCCTACAATCAAGTTGTACCCCGCCGGAGCCAAGAGCGAGCCTGTCACTTACAGTGGCTCTCGCACAGTTGAGGATCTGATTAAGTTTGTCAAGGAGAACGGAAAGTACAAGGCCGAGGTCGTGGAGAAGGCTGCTGAGGAGGAGACCCCTATTGCCCCCGCCGCGACTGAGACAGCAAGCAGCGAGGCTGCCAAGGAGACGGAGCATGACGAACTATAGATTGTATACCTCGGTGATTTTCTTTATGCGGTTATGGTTACGTCTTGGGAAGTTCAATCGACTACCCTTAAGCAACACTCTTACGGGATTATGGTAAAAATTGCCGGCTTCGGTTAGCTAGCATATCTAATGAATTTAACGGTTTTGCATGAACCCCTCGTCCCTTTAATTTTCAGGATACTGTGCGTAGATGATTGAGAGAACATTCAAGATTTTGGAACCAATGAGTGCCTGGACATGTGATGAAACCTGCAAGTAACATGAGGTGAGAGCAGAAATTTCCAATGTAACGTAAAGTATAATCCGGGTGCTGTCATCTAGATATTGGAGGCGAATGAGATACTATAGGGAGAGACGGCCACCCCGTTGTGGGTTTTGCCGACCAATAGCCGTAGAGACCGCCGGGACGTTCCGCTGCCAATTACCTGTCAGCAACGTATGTTGACCTGAACGGACGGTCTTGAGCATATCGCCGCCGGGCAACTTTTAGCCACCCTGTCGACGTCTTCGAGCTCTCTTCTTACCATCACTAGCACTAGTCACACTTCTACTCAAAATCGACCAAACCCAACCACGAAACCAAGATGGTTACGCCGATTGTATCTGCGGGGGCCCGAAGCGTCTTCGCGGCCTCCTCGACTTCCTTGACTATGCGCGCTACTGCCCGCAGCTTCCACGCGACCTCACGAAATCTTGCCGATGCCGCCGCGGCGCTGCCAGTCCGCAAGCCCGTCGGTGCTTTCCGCGGCGGGTGAGTACTAACGAACGACTGATGGAAATGTACAACGATCTAACAATTTGCGACTGAATAGTCTCTTCGGTTTCCTCTTGGGCACGACCCTCGCTGGAGGTGGTGTCTACGGTTATACCTTGTCAGTACAGTCTTCTTTCCCCGATTGCCCGAAGCTCACACACACTATACCCGAAGAAACAGTATTTTGTCGTGGCGTTACTCGAGCTTCCTGTCGATGCCTTGATTTGCCTCTGCCGAACACTCGCTAACTTGAATATCGCGCAGGAGAGACTACAAGGCGTCGAACGAGCTATTGACGGAAGACATCTATGTGCGTTACTGCATTTGATTGATCCGCTTTGTCGTCGCCTGGCCTCTTGAATATGGGAAAGGGAGGACGGGACGGGGACTCGTGACATTCAACTGCTCACGGGTCCCCAATTCTTTGCGTTGTTTTTCAGTGAAGAATCCTTACCTATTCACACCCTACATATGCCCTCATACCTCTGCCATCTCCATTCTCTCCGTAGAATACACTCGCCACCACTACCACAAGCGACCCGTACGATGAGAATTCTTGCTAATGAATGATTATGAAACAGGCACTGCAGGCGGCTTGCCAACGATTGAACGCTTATGTCAAGGAGTTGGAGGATAGGATGGACGCCGCGGAACGGAAACGGAAGTAAATGGGAGGCTTATTGCTTTTATCTTTTCTACACAACCGAGAAACACACATACACTCTGAGCACTCATGCGTACGCGACGTGAGTCTGAAAAGGCACAAATTTCACTAGTTCCATCGTGTCTGCTTGCCGAACAGACAATCAAATACACTAAGAAGGACTGAAGTCATCATGTAGGAAGGAAGAAGGAAAAAAGGAAAAAAGATTGTGTGAGAACTCTACGGAATTTGTTAGCGGGAGTTCTTGGGCATTGTCAGCGATAGAAAACCTGAAAACCAAATCATCGTGTACAAATAGTAGCAGCCGCATTTTCTCGCTTTCGATTCCTGTTAGTCTTACATGAATTGACGCTTGCGCATTTTCTCATGACGTATTGATATTTGTAGTCTTTACAAATATCGACAACTAGCTAGTGGTGTCTAAAAGTGCGAAGACAAAAATTCTGCGTCGATATGGTATTACAGTCTTTCCCATATTAGTCAGACCATTGAAAATGCAAAATCGTCTTATGAATCGGGACTTTTGATTAGACTCTAGGTATAGTACTAAAATGTTACGTTGTGCAAGGGAACCTAATCACTAAATTACCCGATACTAATACAGTTGATCTGAATTATCTCCAAGACGTCAATGAGACATAGTTTCCCCAATAAGATTGGATTGTCATTATTTTGCTGTGAAATTTGGTTGAAGCAATACTGTATTAAGTATACATATTTAGGGCGCAGTCGTACTAGAATCAATAATTTGTTACGGAATGGGCTAAATTATTGACTTTAGTAGTAGGGGTATCTTAGGTGGGAGAGGGTACACTGATCCCATCTGCTATGGGGTCTGCCGTGGTTTGCCAAAACAAAGTGAAAACAAAAATCAAGTGGCCGCCCCTAACTTATGTATGCAAATCTGATTAACCCCGTTTCCCCGTAACGCCGATGCAATCATGACTTCTCGCCTCCGGCAGCATTGGCAATGAATTCAGATATAGCTTCGAAGTATCCGTCCTCCAGAACACTCGAGTTATGATCACCACCGGGCAATGGCTTCCATATTTTAGTTGGGGATGTGGAGACTTCATATAGTCTGCGCATATGAGAAGGACTACGCCAGTTGATTAGTTTGCATCCAATCGAGTCTCGTGGACAAGTCATGCGAGGCATAAAGATGTATAGGAATAGTCAGGAAACATGGTTATAATCCATATCCACGATGGGATTCAGGTTTTGTGGATGGTTGTTTCAAGTCATCATGGGAGCCATATGCTAATTATTGTAGAAATGAGGAAGGGTGACTTACGGAACAATCTCGTCTTGCAAGCCACTCAAGAATAATATCGGGACTTCAGTGATGCTTGGTAATATGGATTCGCTGGGCCATACTTGATGACATAACATGGTCAGGTATTTGGCTGGTGGAATAACGGATGGTATCAAGGCCCGCATAGATATGAATGTGTTCTCTAGGATAAGGCCGACAATGTCGCCAGCCTGCTGATTTTTCGCTACGAGTTTGATGCTGACAGCGCCTCCTAAGCTCTGCCCGTATACTATGAGCTTGTGATTACTTGTCTCAGCTCTGCTCCGAAGATAGTCGAGGGCGGTCTGGGCATCTAATGTGATGCCTTTTTCGTCTGGCTCGCCTGTTGACATGCCGTAGCCTCGATACTCTAGCATGAATACATTGCAGCCAATCGTATTGATCAGCATACGAGCAATTGGGAGACGATGCCCAATGTTGCCTGCATTGCCGTGAAACATCAACACGGTACAATTGGCGAGGCGACCACGCTTTGGCCCACGGATGTAGAACGCGGATAGCTTCTCGCCATCTGTGGTTGGTATTACAAGCTCCTCAAAGTTGTTGAGACCGAACTGCGAAGGTCGAGGTACTTCCGTTCGGGCATTGGCGGGGATATTGGAGGGATAGATCAAAGTCCTACATAGGAGTGAAATAGGACTCGTCAGCTAATTGTTTGTGTTCTATGTCTCGGTGGTACAGATCGTATAGGGCTTGCAAAGGGAGGACCAGGTATATAAACGACGGTACGGCTACTCACTTCTGCTTGAAATATAGGAGCGATGTTAGAATAGCAGCAACACCCTGGGCAACCTCAGTTAGCTCGGCGGCGGCACGGCGACGACTTGCAATGGCAGACTGGGCGCGCTGGTAGGCTCGAGTCAAGGACGAGTGATAGGACGAAGCTGAAGTAGAGACTGTTGACCGAAAGGACGATGAGCGAGGAGGCATACCGAAGTCGCCAACGCCGGTAGGCGCATGTAGCCGGCGACGGAACTGAGCAGGGAGGCGGTCTGCTCGAGATAGGTCGGTTGTGACATTGAGGCTCCCGGAGGAGACATGTCTAGGTTATTGGGTCGCTGACGGGTCTCTCTGGGTTGGGTAAGGGGTCTAACGACCAAGTCGGGGGGAGGAGGACGGGAAGCCTGAAGGAGACAGGAGGAGGCACTTGGCAAGCCCACAGTTCCTACCTACGTGGACTGTCTGTCTCTGGATCGGTGTAGGTATATACACGACGGGCCTGGGTGTGTCTCATGCCTTGCTTACTTGAATTGGGCAAGCTAGCAGAGAAACTTGGTGAGTTATCTCTCTCTGTCCGTCCGCCCAGCAAATGATATTCTATAGAACTTGGAGCTAGACAGCAAACCTTGGCAACCCCAAAAGTTTGGCTATCCCGATTCAGCACCTCGACACGTGTATAACGTTCAATAAGCAACCTTGGAACTCGCTAAGGGTTGCAATTGTCACCGGTCGACTGTATGCCAACTTACCCACTGCTGAGTCTATTGAGACTACTTACCTATACTATTATGCACTCCCTTCAATATTCGGATATTAAGAGCAAACTAATCCATGCCAATGACATGTCTGATAGTAGGTATACAAGTAAGTACCTGCGAGAAGAGTACCTTTGTCTGCATGGAAGTTTTCAGTTGCATGACCTCAGGTGCTTACATGGATATCTAGGTATGTTACGGCATAATGCGATTTATCGGGGGCCTTTGAAGCTTCTACAAATGGAATGTGGTCCGGTTCCAAAGAATCCTAAACAGCCAGTTGGGTACCTGTAACTACCTACGTCCAACTATGTGTACCTAATGAGCAAATCCATGCACACCAAGTAGGTACCTTGAATTGAAGACGGCTACATAGTAGATGAAGTCGAATGTGTGCTCGCTATATGGTCACCTACTGTAATCGAAACACATCGTTAAAGCACTGAAACTTATGATATGGACGGCGTAAATCAGTATACTACTACTAGCCTACATTAGGTAAGTGTGCATACCAATCTAATATTAGCCATTTCTGACATCAGCTGTACCGTACGATTATATAGAAGTATACGGTATAGGCAAAGTCTCAAGCTAGATAGACCTGTTGGTACTGTTCGTAATCGCGCCGGAGGAATATCTACAGAAAAAGAGGATTGTTTCCGAAGTTCAATGTATCTATATTGGGATATAGACTGTATCGCCGAAGACAGGGGTGATCGACATGCCAATTGAGGACACACTTTACATGGCTATGGAGGAGTTAATATAAAATGCATGGCTGCCACTTTGAAAACGAAGAGAGGTTTGCATGTCGATAGTTAGCTACTATGTATTGTATTTTACAAATAAGTAACGCAGGTACATGTAGGCACACCAAGGATTGAATGAAATATATGGATTCATATATATATATATATATATAAATATAAATATATACCTAGTTAGCTGCAGGCGACTCGCGTGCGCGCGACTGGCAGGTTGTTGACTCGCGATTGTTCCGGTGCTAAATTAGAAACAACCGGCATGGCATCTTGATTGGTTCCTTGGCTGCATCCCGTGCTTCAGGTATATGCAGACGCGCGCCTCAACTCGTCTTCCTTCGCGTAGCTCGCAGCTCGCAGCTCATGTATTGTCTACGTAGTGGTCTCCTAACAATACTATGTATCCGTTGTTGCTATGTTGAACTAATGACCGTACGCAGTACTGGTAGCTTGACATAGAGCATGGGCAGGTCTACTCTGTGCTGCTAGATGTTTGCTCGCCTCAATACTCCTAGCAGCGAATTTGCTCTAGGTAGGAGACAAGTAGTAGCGCACTACTTCCTTGGTAGCGTTAGTGTATCAGCTGGAACTTCTAAAGCAATGCAGGGTAGAGGTTCCGATCAACGAAGATGGGACGAAGCTCGACAAAGAACAGAAAAGAATAACAATGTACAAGTTGATATTAGAATACCTAGAACACATGTATGCACTTAGTACGGATCTGTACGGAGTACGCCACAGGAACAACAGCTCGAACAACCCCACTGATTGTCGCCATTCATCATTATGCATGCGTAGGGAGACGGGGAGGATATCTGTCAATAGTCAGTTGACGATATCAAATCAAACAAGAGCTCGCAAGAGGTCATGCGCAGTTGCTGATCCTCCCACCAAGCCAGTCCAATTGAGATATTCATTCCAGGTACATGGTCTAACTGATCACGTCTCAACCTTTCAGGTAAATTCATGGGCTCCCTTGTACTTAGAACATAGCACATAGCACATACCTACAGCAGATTGATGGCTCTCATACAAATACCTACTCCGTACAGTAAGTAGGTAGTAAGACGTCCAAGAGTGTAGGGTGGCATGCTGTGGTCCCATTGACGCGTAACAGACTCATAGCTGGGCAGATCCAGATTCGGTAGTTTCGCCCAGTGTCTGAGGTCTTCAGGGACGTAAGTAGGAGGTGTCAGACGACCCTAGTAGGGGTGTGAAACTATTCGACGAACGATCACGATGTCCATCTCCGTCCATCGCTCTCTGCCAAGCCCGTCGGGCTGTCGAAGGGCCAGTTGCCCTGCCAAACGACTGTATTGGAGTGTCAGACGGTCCGAGGGGATTCTGGGCCGAGCATAACATTGGATATCCCTGTTAATGAATGATCATATGCCCCGTATCTGCCCGTACTACCAATAATGAGCAAGAAAAACAAAGGAAATCAAAAGAAAAAAACTTGCACAAAAACAACGGCACGCCTCACGAACACACGCTAGGTACTCCAGCTGTTACAGATCTTTGTTGCGCTGAGGCTATTCTATTCTGTAGGTACTGTTATACCTTGTAACGTACCCGTGGACCTATACGCTACATTACTATAGGTGGTCGAGGTTCAGAGACTGTGTGCCATTGACTCTGAAATTCTGCTCTATCACATCCATCGCGATCCTCATTCCTCCCACCATTGGACAATCATCCTCTTGTCTTGTTTCCATCCTCCCCGTCTCCCCATCCAGCCCTTTCCTATCTACACCTGCAGAAACAACCCCAGACCTGAACAGGAAAGCTCTTTGCCGAGCCCCTCCACATTGTTCCAAAAACAACCCCCAAGAAGGCTGTGGCCCGGAACCCGACGGCTTGGACTGAACCCAGTCGTGGCGTTTCTCGTGCCGTGCGACGGAGCGTATACTGACTGTAAGTACAGTGAGTGTACCGATACACCACCTCTTCATCTGGGACGTGGGGAGAGATTATACAGGTGCTACTAGGTAGTACTGCTTGCGATCTACGTCAGCTACTTGTTTATCTCGTGCTCCCCTCTGCTCTTCACTTTGCTCTACTTGGCCATCGACGTCTAGTGGTGGCTGCCACACCTTGCTCAAATTTAATAGTCAGTTATCTGTTATAGCCCAATCCCCAGACGCGGGCCGTTTCCAGGAATCCAGTGTCTTGACTCCCTTGGCTTCTTGCTTTGGCATTCTGGACTGCCAGCGTCGGCTTCTACTGTCGTCGTCTTCATACCAAGTTGGCCAATCCAGAGGAGCGCATAAACATCAAATCTATTTATCGCCTAGCCGGTAACGACCTCGGGCAACGCGTCCAAGTACTTGAGGACGCCCTGTCCAATCAGATCCGAACCAGAGTTACAGCAGTCTTAGACCACTCAGGAACAATGGTTTCCTTTTCGTGCGAGGTATGTCAGTCAGTTTAATAAGCCATGTACAGTAACCACAGATGCCTGACATCACATCGCCTCTCTCCCTGTACCCGTCTCTACCCAACGCATTTACCCATCCCTCTCCCTGCGTGATCGCGGAAAAGGAAAACAGGAAAAGACAATAGCTCCGCGTTGTTGTGTTGCTTCTCCCCTCCCTCACGATTCTAGGTGCATCCACGCACACACATACACACCTACACCACATTCCTCTCTTCTTCCTACCATCCTCTCTTGTTCATCGATCGCCATTCGCCCACCCTGGACATTGATCTGCCACTTCGGCCCCTTCCCTGTCTATTCCTTGGAGTCCTTGGGCGCTAAGGCTACTGGGGCAGACACTGGGGCTGCGACCTTGACCCCTGGCCCGCACTGGCCTTCCCTTGTCATCCCATCCCGCCCCAGTCAGAACCCCGTGAAGCAGAGCACCTGGACAGCCGTCATCTCCTGACCTTTTCCACCCCTCCGCCCCTCCAACCCTCCAACTTCGCCAGTTACACTCCCTTAAGTCCAATTGTATACGTCTCCTTCGTCGCATCTGTATAATACTTATTCTTGCCATTCGTTTTTGTGTAATCTAACTGTATTCCCTCCGCCATAGGAGTGTGGTGATGTTTTGACCAAGAAGAAGCTTGACCCACACAGAAATCGTTGTCGAGGCGCAACTTTCACCTGCATCGACTGCATGGTCCATTTTCCTGGCACTGAGTATCGCTCGCATACGGTAGGTTGCATCAGGGTTTAATCATTAAGCCTGCATTGGGTTGTTCCTTTCGTGTCGCTGATGTTCTGAGTAGAGTTGTATAACAGAAGACCAAAAATATCAAGGCGCGCTATACAAGCCCAAAAGGCAAAAGCCCAATCAGACAGAAGCACAAACCAACGACGACGCCATGGCACACAGAGCGTACGTCGAGGACGCGGTGGAGGAATATGAACAATACCAGGTCTACGAAGTCCACGAACCAGCGGATGACTATGGTGACTCGTACAATGGCATGCCAGCAGCCCCTATGCCTCCGCCAGCTGTTCCTGAGGAGGCGAATGTAAATGTCTTCGACTACATGGTAGATGCAACCCCAAATGCCTCAAAAGTCAATTTCCCAGCGCAAACTTTCCAGTCGCAAGAAACCCCAATGGGATACGGAGGAGGCCGTCAACTCATACGATTCGATGACGACTCAAACAACTATATCGATGAATCGGGTTATATGGTCGATGACGGTTCAATGGGTCAATATGGAACAGCCTTCGAAACACCAGCGCCAAAAGCACATAGAAAGAAGACTAAGGATGCCGAACGTGAACTGAAAAAGGACAAAAAACGGAAGCGACTGCATATTGAGACGAGCCCGGCGGCATTAGCGCGTACCGACGAAGTCATGACAGACGCTCCCCCTGTTCTACATTCTGGTTTAACAGGTGGTTTGAACCGCATGATGCGGCCATCACAATTCCCACCATCGCCGGATTATTCTGGAGGTGATGCTGGCGAAACTTCACCAGCACTCTCAATTCAAAAGAAGAAGCACACCAAGCCATCCAAGGCTAGACGAACAGACAGCATTGGTAGCAATCTAAAGGCACTTGTAACTGGAACCTCAAAGTCAAAGGTCTCAAAAAAGAGGAAGCATTCGTCCGAGAGGAAAGAAAAGAAGCGCCGAACACATAGCCATTCCAGCTCCAGCTCTCGGAAGGCTCCGAAGCTCATTGAGTTCAAGGCGAAATCTGGTGACGAGAAAGACGGCGAGAGCGGTGCTCTGGTTGTCTTTAAGCCCCGATCAGATCTCTTCCTAAGCCTCTGTAATAAGGGCCCGGAGAGCGACCGTGGATGCAGTGTGAACAAAGCCCTGAAGCGTTACCACCGCGAACGGTCCTCGTCAGGTACTAGTCTCGGCAAGGGCCTGGAGGAGAAGGAATTATGGAGATCTCTGCGCATGCGACGGAACGAGCGTGGCGAGATTGTCCTCTTCTCTCTTGAAGAAGGGCAATAGGAGGAGTATAGATGCATGGGGATCTAGACTTGGACATGGCGTTCTAACAGGCTTGCTTTTGGACTTTTAAGGGGCGGCGGCGGTCGAGGATTACTCGGAAACATCAATGATACCTAAGGAACTACAGTGTACGACACGGGCAAGGCGGAGTCGAGGATGTACGGTTGGCATACCTACACACACTTTCTTTTGTGCGAATGCAACCTTTTCCACTTGGAACACAGCATATCATCGCCACCCTTCTGCTCTTGAAGCTGGACTTGGAGCCCATACTCATAGAGCCGGGATGAAGAGACTTGAAACGGTGTTGCGGAGGGTCAAAGGATTGGAGCATTTGGGGGCAATTGGGGCGAGAGAGAACAGGACGCGCGTCATCTAATCAGGGGGGTTGTTCAGTATTCGGAAACATACGACATGCGGGGGACCAGTCCAACTTCTGCGGCGTTATTCATAGTTTGATGGAAACTGTCATTTGAAGCGTGTCTTGTTTACATTTGCTGTTTTCGCCCATTTCGCTCTGTAATTGATCTAGTCTAGCTGATGCGGAAGAAGCATTTCTTTTCCTTCAATGTTTCAGTTCCTGGGTAGGATAGATATGCGAGGCACATCACATGTACGCACTAACTAATATGTTTGAATTATCAGTTCAAATTGCATGAAACTTGATTCTCAGCATTGTCTTCCCTGCTATGCTTCGCTATGTGACATTGGATGATTATGCTTATCGTGATGGCTTATGGGTAATACGGATACGTGTCATATTAGTGTACATGATATATGCTGGTGTCCCGTGATAGGGATCTAGAACGCTCGTAAGGGCAGGATGTGCTGAACCATGGCCTCCCGCCGACACAGAGGACACTCGGGCTTCTCGCGGACCCAGTCGCCAATACATGCCCAGCAGAAGACGTGTCCGCACTGCGTCGCGGCGGGGTCCTTGAGTTCCTCGAGACATAGCGTGCATTTGCGCTGCTGCACGCCCTTGATCCAGCGCATTGCGTCCTCGTCCGTCAGGTCATAGCGCACGCCGTTCGACGATGGACTCGCGGGCGGCGCCGGCGTGTGCGTCACGGCCGCGATGTCGACGCGCGTGGTCTGGCTGCCGCTCGTGCCCGGCGTGCCCATCTCTGTGAGGAGAACGGCGTTGTTGGCGCTGTATGCGTGCTCGTCTAGCGAGACGTGGACGCTCCCCCCTCCGCCGGCGGCGCTCCGTTCGCGTGATGCAGCTTGTTGCGAAAACGTAGAGAACGAGGAGAGTGTCGACCGGATGTGCAGATATGCCTGCACGCTCATCTGTACGACGAGGAGCACACCCAACACCTCGTATCCGGCGCGGTCCGCCCCGGGCTCCCCCGTGCTCGCGTCCCCTGTCTGGGCACGAGATGTGAAGATGTACCGGAGACCCGTAAGCCGCTTCGCGAGCTCGTAGTACGACCCGCTGAAGTAGAAAAGTGCCAGGCTGAGGGCGTGCACGGGCGCCGGGGATGTAAGTGTCGAGAGATTCGCGAGGAGATATGCTTGGGCCTTGTATCTCCACGTCTGCGTCGGCGGTTTCGAGCCGCCTTTCAGATTACTCGGTTTCGTCGATTGTGCGTGGGCTTCGGCTCGCGCTAGATTCCGCTCGAGTCGCGCCCGGAGACGCGCGCGTATCACGGGGAGAAGCCGGGCGAGCCCGTAAGGGAGGAGGATGCTGCCGGCGATGTACGCGGCGCGGCGCTGGATGGAAGGGAGACGTCGGCCCTGGTCCGGATGTAGGGGAGAGGAAGACGATTCGACTTGGACTAGACCGCAGTACTCTTCTCCTAGCGTGCGGTTCCCTAGGAGCGTCGTGAGACATAGGTATATGAGGTCGGCGAGCGTGCGCGATTCAGTCGACCAGGAGTGTGCGGACCGTGCTCCCAGGAGTCGCCGGTGTAGGTCCGTGAGCTGGTTTGTGAGAAGACCCTGGAAATAAGCATCTTTCTGGTGCGCGCGGATTATGTCTGGCGCGAAGGCATATGGGTATGGCGAGGTGGCGAGGGAGGATGAGGAGGTCGGTGGTGATGATGAGGTTGACGATGTTGCCATGGTCGGCAGTATTATTTATTTATCTCGTCGCCCTGATTCCCGCCCGGCTGGGCATGCCAATTGTGCTAGTGGAGTCCTTGCTCGCTAGATTCTGATTTACGGTGCAGAGAACTTCCGGCACATGTGAATTCTTATCTACGTGAAGGAAATTCGTCGATGTTGTAGCGTGATGTAGATAGTAGCTGAGTCGCATACCGGTATGATGAAGCGAGCGCTTCAAGGCTCAAAGTGCTGAACCTCGGCGCAACAAGCTCCCTGCCGACCACGCCCCCATACCACCAACTTATCCCCACTTAATAGCACTCTATACATACATTAGGTAAGCGCGTCAATGAGCATGGAGAGTCCTCTAGAGAGCCCAATATGTCACAATGTTCACTGTGAAGAAGAATGAGTATCCGGGCATTCCATCCGTATCTCGAAATGATTTTCATCGTTCAATAACACGCGTCTATTCCGAGCTCGATGCCTCGAACAGGACACGGGCTCTTAAAAGGTCTAAATGGAATAGGCACTTGATATACCTCCATGACAGATCCATCAATACTACGGTATATAGTAGTACTTTACCAAAGGTCGCTTTTGGTTTGGACCTCGTCCTTTCTCGGCATCTAGCGCTCGTTCTCAGGTCTTAATACTAACTCATTCATTAATAGAATTACGTTGTTCCCAAGGACACTACTATAGTTGATTTGGCAAAGGTTTATATGGTTCATTTGGATTTATGTCTGACCCTGCTAGCTGACCCTGGCTCGATACCTAGGTATAATTGATGTCTATTGCTAACCTTCAGACTGTTTCTATTGGGCGTATAGAATGGTCAGTGTGTGTAAACAGGATTTCGCCGGAATACGTATTCAAAACAGCTCGAAGACTTTGACGAGACTTACCTACTTAAACAATGTCGTTTACAACTCTGGTACATGTTACAGTACTTTCACGGTCAGACACGGTACTTCCCAGTTCTGTCCTGTTAGTGGGCTGCCCACTGAGGCTGCAGGCTGCCAGGGACGGTGTCGGACGGTTTCCCATTTATTATTAGCGCGACTCGGAGCCGACAGGGATTACGGGTGACGTAGATCTCCCCTAATTTGTACTTTGTGCAGAATTGCACTTGCAATAGGTACCGATTGTATCTTGGCCTTATCATGAATCCACGTTAGTTGACGGCGCAACATTCGTTCAAACCCTTTGTTCCAAACTCTCGCCCTCAGCTGGATCATCGGAATCCTTATTCCTCCGGAACTCGATGCACATTCTGATATAGCCTCGAAACCATGGACGGTGATCCAGCGGTCGAGTCTGAGCTGGACTCTTTCAGCTTGACTTTTCCTTTACCATACCGCGTGGCATTTATTGTCGTTCTAGGTATGGCGCCTCTCCATGTCTCCTCAAGCCGCTTTGATGTAGGAAATGCTGATAGAACGCGATTCTAGCGGTCTGGGGTTGGGGCATCAACCTGCACTGCCTGTACCTTCTCAAGATCGACGTGCCCTCGTTGATTCGATACCCCGGCCGGCCTTCACCGCACCATCCGCCGCATCACTTCTCCGTATACCGACTTGCCAGCGTCCTCTCGTGTATTTTCGGCTTCTCCCTCTTTATCTTCTGGATCTTCACCCAACGCAACCCGCATCTCGTGCTGGCATGGGATTGGCTGCCACTTACATACCTTCTCGTGTTGCTCGCCTTCCTGGCTCTTCCCCTCCCACGCACGACGGGACTTCCGCATGCGGGGCGTGCGCGCCTCCGCGCCACTTTGCGCCGGATAGCCATTGGTGGTATCGCAGAGGCGAGGGATGGAAAGTTCGGCGACATATTGCTCGCCGATGTATTGACCAGCTACGCCAAGGTGCTTGGTGACCTTTACGTCGCACTATGCATGTTTCTTAGGACGAATGGCTCTGCAACAGCGCGACCTGACCGTGGATGTGGCGGCACTATCATCGTGCCTTTGATATTGGCCATCCCATCCATAATCCGGCTGCGCCAGTGTTTGATCGAGTATGGTCGCGTGCGCCGAGGCCCGATCACGGAGTCAGGGGGATGGGGTGGTCAGCATCTCGCTAACGCACTCAAGTATTCTACGGCATTCCCTGTGATCTTGCTCAGCGCGCTCCAGCGCAATTGGGCGCCTGGGTCGGTGACGATATACCGTCTCTGGGTCCTGGCCTGTACCATCAACAGCTTCTACAGCTTCTACTGGGACGTGACCAAAGATTGGGATCTCACTCTATTAGACGGCGCGCGCGCAAGAAATAACCCAGAGCACGCCTTCGGACTGCGGCGGATGCTGCGCCTCGGACCCCCAGGGCTATACTACGGCGTCATCGCGCTCGACCTCGTTTTGCGCTGTACGTGGAGTCTTAAGCTCAGTCCGCATCTCGACCGTGTGGCAGATTTCGAGAGCTCCATCTTCATCGTTGAGCTCCTCGAGGTCATGCGCCGCTGGATCTGGATCTTCTTCCGTGTCGAGACAGAGTGGATTCGCAACAATAGCCAGCCTATCGGCCTCGGCATAGAAGACATCATGCTTAGTGATTACCAGGGCAAGTACCAGGACGAGGATTAGAGATTACCTCGTCCCGTGGTCCGCGGTATCAAGATGGTGTGATGGTGAATTTTGATTTTGGCCTAGTTATTAAACCCAAGGCGTAACGACTAGTGGTTGATGTTAATGCATATCATGAGGGTACGCAGGGCTTTTCAAATGACCAATACCGGCGTTTGTGATGCATTTACTTGGGGCGTTGGCATAGACGTGATCCATCACGGTTTGGGCTTGTTATCTAATACCATGCTGATTTACCAGTTTCGAGTATGTATACATAGCTTCACTGTATTCTTTAGAACCAATCTGATCATTTTAATGTTCTCTTTATTAAGAGGCACGTATTCGAGCACACTGAAGCTTACTTGAGTGTTTCATGGATGCTGACTAAGGGCAACCTTTGTTGTCTAACCTAGTAACTGAGTCAAATCTGTCTATTGCTCGTCATGATATAGGTATAGGTACATGGTATTGCTTTCGTGAATGCTTAGAATTATGCTTGCCCTTTTCCTAGGAAGCTGCTTGTAGTTTGATCATACCATTTGGTAGCATACGCTTGCCGAATCTCAATATCATTGACCCAACTTGGGTGAGCATGGCTTCATGGCTGTTCGTCTTCAGGATGATGGTCGAGGGAGGCTAGCTCGTATTTTCATCGTTGGCCTCTAATATATTGATCTTTATCAACCGTCATCCAAGGCTGTATTAATGAATCTGCTCCAGAATAGCCCCTCCCCTACGATATACGCAGGTTCATCTCGTAGAAGATAGCCAAATAATTATCATCATCTTACTTTCGATCTAGAGGAAATAATATCCTCACGAAAACCATCCCTTCTTAGGGCTGCTTGGTTGCTTGAGCCTATCGAGACAATAAGATTGGAAATTGCGTCCCGTTTTACCGTCACATTCGCATCGACACCCAATCCCGCCTGCAGACTCGGGCGACCACGGCTTGTTCTTCACCAGCGACGGGGAGTCGGGTAGCTGGCCATCAAGCGCATTGGCCGGACATTGATAGAACTTCGCATGCCGATATCCGATATCTTCGAAATGATGCACCTGCTGAGGGTCGGCCAGCATGCCGATGGCCAGCGAATGCACAGCGGCGTCGCCCCACTATTCACAGAATATTGTCAGTACTTTACTGTGCTGTGCTGTGCTGTGCTTTCGTGTAAAAATGAATCGCCAAGAAGGCCAAGGGTGGGGGAGAACGGTGGAGGCTGGAGTAGATTTATATTGTGCATGAACACATACCCGCTCTTGATAAAAACCGCCTTTCTTGTCCAAATACTCGAAGTAGTCTTGGTACGCCCTTGAGCGGAAAAAGTCCATGTCGGCAATCTCAAAATTACTCCAGAAATGGCACAGGCTCCATACGTCGCCAGCAGCATCGCGGTGAGGCAGCCAGCTGAGAAAGCTGCGAAAAGGGAAGGGCATCCACGACGCTTCCATCATGGCGCTCCATAAACTGCTCGAGGGTATGCCTTTTAATGATTTCCAGGCCGTGGTTGCGTGGAAGAGACCAGGGCACGACTTCCCGACTTCCCATAGCGCGATCGTATAACCGTACACTTTCTTATGCTTGGCCATCTGCACGAAAGGGTCATACGTGATGGCGCATGTGAAATCAACGTCTGGCTCTAGTCGCCAGTACCATTTATACTTGCTGAGAGCCTCCAGCTGATAGAATTTGCTAGAATTGGGGATGAGCGGGCTACATCTTTGCGCTCCATCAAACACAGTTGAACTCACCCCGAATAGAATCGACACATGTGGTGATACCCTTCTTTTCCTGCGTGTGGCGCACCAGCATGGCCCTGCGCTTCTATGCTCTTCTTCGCCGAATCCTGGTCCAACCAATCTGGAAAAGTCCACTGGTTTTTGGGGATAACCTCAAAAATGCCCCTGCCCCCGGCGGTCTTGTTCAGCTCAGCTATGAAGCGGGCGTCCCAAGGTTCGTCGTTGAGGAACAGGATGGGGTACTCGAACCACTGGTTGAAATGTGCCTCGATAGACCGGACCGTCCTCTTCGCCTTTTGGCGCTCCGAGTTGCGCGCCAGCATGACAAGCACGGCGTTCTCTCGCTCGGCAGCGACGTCAGGCTCCTGGCAAGTCGTAAAGAAGGGCGCGTCGAGGTCCCTGGCGGGGCGCGGGACCTGCGACCTCCATACGTGGATTATGGCCTCAAGAATAAAAGGCGCGGCCGTGACAAGCAGGAGAAAGAATGGTAGCCTGCGCGCTGCGCGGCTGATTCGCCTCAGCAGCATGATGTTTGGTATATATTCAAAGTCAGAAGGGCATCGCTTGGCATAGTTCCTTTTGCTATATAGATAGATAGTCACGATTGATATCGGCAATAGCAGTAACGTGTCGCACGATACGCAAGTGTTCTGTTATCGTGAATGCTTATGCTCGATCAAGAGAATGCCGATCAGTCGTATCATGAATGAACGCAGGTCTAGTAGGAGGATATGATGCTGTCTAGTCGGCAAAAGAGAGTCGCAAACAGGCAGACAAATAATGCAAAGCTGCCGGGGTTCCACATTGCCATACCTACTATGACACCCCGGGCTCTCAAGCTATCCAGACCTGGAGCCGTATTGAATGGACGAAGAGAAGTACGGCGCAATTGTCATGGCAGACAGCTATGAGGTACTGTTCACAGAGATGAAGATGCAGGAGCGGCATTTCCAAATACCTAGTCAGGTAGGTAGTAGGTATCTAACCGTAGGGGCTACGGTAACCTGGCTGATCATCTTAAGGGGTGTCAAGTTTCAATTGCCGACTTAGCGTGCATCTTAATATCTTAAAAGGGACCGCGCTGCTAGATCGAACCTCGTTAATAAGGCATTGTTTCAATCAACTCTCGTTTCCTTCTAGCAGATGTGTTTGAAGACGATAATAGGCCGACTTTCAAAACAGCTTAGTTAGTAGAATTTGATTGAAAGAACAAGACCTTATTGACGTAATGGTTCATGTCTACTACGTACATACCTACACAGTAAGGTAGGTAGGTGATAATAGAACGATTATATAACGCTTAGACCACCCAAGCTTACCACCAGCTTTGTGCCCAGGTCCGGCCACCCCAGTTCTTCGGACTGGCGTGATCGGAAAGCCCGGACAGCCCGGAAACTGACCCAACCCAACAACCCACTGTCATCGGAAACATCTCTCGCGCCTATCGCTTAGACATCGTTGTTACGCGGTGCGACCAGAAGACATTCTTCTACCTCGAAGCTATAGACATTTTGCTCGACTACGCCGATATGGATTACGTCCAGGAGCGCATGGTCCAAGAGGCCACCCGAGACACGGCCGAGCTCTAGTTCGTAGTGCCCCTCCTCATTCTCGTCGATTCCCTATAGCTTCTACTACGGACCGGCCCGACTAACAGACACTGGCAACTTTAGCACGGGGCTCGTGACGCCTCTCAACCTCATCCTCGTCGCCATCACCCTCTACACGACCTATCTGCTCTACAAGCCCGCGCCACCAGCCACACTCCCGCGCGAGCCACCCGCCGTCGTCTTCCGCACCTTCACCCCACACGTCCTGCTACCCTACAACGGCACCAACGGCATGCCCGTGTACATGGCCGTCCGGGGCCGTGTTTTCGACGTCACTAGCGGCCGCAATTTCTACGGGCCGGGCGGGCCATACGAGAACTTCGCTGGTCGCGACGCCAGCCGTGGTCTCGCGTGCCACAGCTTCGACGAGGAGATGTTAACTAAGGACCTCGATGGCCCGCTTGATACACTCGAAGGCCTCGGCGCCGAGGAGATGGAGAGCTTGCAGGGCTGGGAGGAGAGGTTTCTCAGCAAGTACCTTGTTGTTGGCAAGCTGGTCGCCCAGGGCGAGAAATGAGCAAGTGCTTTGCTTTCTCCAAACGAACGCTCCTATATCTTATTTCATCGCCCGTCGAGAGACACGATATTGGCAGTTAGCTCGGAATGACATATGAATTTAAGATATGATTGATCTTGGTTCCTAGAGTCAAGTCAGTATGCCCAACCGTCGGAATCCACGTGCCCTGAAGCCCTGCTTCGGCCACATCCCAGGACATGGCAGCGATGTAGTTGTATGCCACTGAGTATGTATACTACTAGGTGAGTGCTAAGTTTGTGAAACTAGACGATATTACTAGACACGCCTGTCGCCGTACCCTAAAGCTGCAACATCTCTATCTCATGGCTATATTTTGCATAGTTTGTCTTCGTACTCTCTGGTATTAGTGAATGACGCAAGTTACTATGCAAGCGTATGTGCCATTTACGAAATCTCTTGAATGTGACCCGAGTTAATGCTGTTGGAGACGGTATTTAAAGGCATTCAAGACGGTCACATATTATTTCGATGAATTTCATTAAGGGATTCTGGACAAGTCTCACTCGAAGCGTCATGCGAGACTCTTCAGAGAGTTGCTACATGACTCATATTTGCAAATTGAATTCAAGAGTGAGTCCTATGGCACAGAATCATGAAGCCATATGATACACAATTGAATAGTGTGATCCCGAATATAACAAGGGCGGAGATATAGGCTTAGAACTTAATACTATCCACAATACAACAGTCTAGCAAGGTTATAAAAGCCCTTATCTAATTAATTCCTCCTTAGCTTTAATAATTTAAATTTAACTTTAGTTATAACTAACGTTAGTTATATTGTAAACAGTATTAACACCAACAGATTATTATGCATAAATATACCAGTAAATGTAGGGTTCGTTTAGCTAATCTTTCCGTAAACCCGTGATTACTTCTTGATTCAATAGACTAGAGGATAATTACATGTTCAAAAAACTCCTTTCTATATAGCATTTCAGCGAGGAACTTCTTAGCCCCCTCCTCATCTTTTTTATCAAGACATTTTTCTATCTTGTTAAGCAGTTCCAACCGGGTTCTCCAATCGGGCCGATTTTGAACCATGAGACCTTGCATCTTGAGAGCAGTTTTGAGAAGACGTGGCTCGTTGAAGTTTTGTCTGGCTTTTTCCGCTATCGCTTCCCACCATTCATTGCTTCCATTCCCTATAAATAAATTGTTTAGAAGTTGCCCGTTATAACCAAGTGAGCCTTATAATTGAGGGTTTGAAAAGAAAAAAAGAAAAGAAAAGAAAGAGAGGGGGGAGGGGGGCTTACGTATAAATTCGTTGCGGCGTACTTCAAACCGGGCTTCGGTTACGGTAATTCGTGCCCAATTTTGTTTGTACTCATCGACAACCTTATGGTCGCGTAGTCGTAAGTCCAATCTCGCCCCTCTTTGCCGTGTGTCCTGATTTGCAATCCTATTGGCATCACGCAACCACTGAGACAGCATTCTCCTGCCCTCCTTTAATTTGGTAGGCCGCTTGTATCCGGGATGTAGATAACCTCCGAATTTGTTACAGAACTGCTCAGCTTCGATTGCTCCATTGACTGGTGGCCAGGTCCCCAGTAGTGCGTTGAGTTCGTACGAGTACGTAACTGCCCGTATAGCATGTCCACAGAACTCAAAAGCAAAAATATTGCCCATGATCCTAAGATAATCCGCCCATGTATGGGCAATAGCAAAGCACGGGACGCAATTTTGGGCTAGAGCATATCTGGTCACTACGGCGAATCAAATTAGCTAGCTGGGGTGCATCGAGAGCTACGATAGTCAAAGGCGAGAAGGGTTCATAGTAGTTTCAAAATTGTCGTAGGCAAAAAGTAAAGGAGAAAAACATAGATGGTATTGTAAGTTCGACTTACTGATATTTACCCTTTCTCCTATTCTTGCATAGATCCTGTTGCCCACACCTATGCCCTGCAGCGGAAGAAAATCGACCAACGCTTCACTAAGACGGCGGACAGTTGCGGTCTTTAGGTCTTTTACATGCTGTCTTGAGAGCTCTACTGAGTCCTCCCACAACAGCCAGGCAACACAAGTCGCCGGGTGCATGTGGTTTTTTTCTTGCGCCAGCCAGTCCAAGAGTGGGGATTGGTGCATTGCTGCACTATTTACACGCTGGAGTCAGTAATAACCAGAAAGATCAAAAGCACTACTCATGTTTCGGCAGCATTGTAGGAGCAATGAAGCGCAAAGCCTGCCTAAGGGGAAGGAGGGGAGGGGAGGGGGGATAAATGACTCCAGGGAACTAACTCGGCGGTAAACCAGACACTTGGCCCCTGTTGGATAGGCGCGATGGCAGGATATAATACTGTCCTGAACCACTCAATGTCAGTACTTAATTGCTTCAATTATCATTCTGTGTTCACGGGGGTGCACGCACTCCTTCAGACGGTCGAATCCCCCCTCTCTAAGCATGGTTGCGATTCGGGATAGAGCGCCGCCGGTCCCGTTCGGCTGCTGCTCTGCCATATATTCCAAGGTCTCACGGTTCCAACAGGCTGGATCGTTGGTTTCGTACCACTCCATATTGGCTTCTTGCATCCATTGAAGCTCTTGTTTGAAGAATTGTACAGCGGCTTGAAGCGCTAGTCCCAGCGCCGTCAGCTCGTTCATGGTTCATTATGCATAGCTACTTTAATAACCATCTTTTGAAACAACTTACATAAATCTGCCATGCTCATTTCAGTTGGATCGTCTATGGCTTTCTGCCATATTTTGGCCACCATTTCCCGCCAGTAGGTTATTTCCTGGAGACAAATAACCAAGTCCAGCGTACTCCACGCACCCCCGCCGTTATCGACGACGGAAGACGGCGATCCAGTTACTGATATGGGTGGAGATCCAGGCACAGGTGCAGGCGGAGTTACAGGTTGAGGAGGTGTAACAGGCCTAGGTACCGGTGGCCGTCGAGGCGGTGTAACGGGTGTAACAGGCGTAGGTGCAGTTGCCGTCGAAGTTATGGCCAAAGTTCGGAACGAGCGCGAGAGTGAAGGAGAAGATGACGAAGATCCAGCCGCGGATCCAGCCAAGGGTCTAGGTGGTGATGCAGCCACAGACTGGCGATCTTCAACTCCAGGAACACTCAACGGTGATCTCAGTAGATGAACCATCGATTCAAGCGCCTCGATCCACTAGAACCGCTGGAGTCAGTAATACTCTTCCAAGGTAAAAGTTTCGGGGAGTAACTAGAACAGGAAGAAAATGACTCCAGTGGTTTTACATACATGCTGATGCGACCTCTCGGCTTCAGTATCAGGGTCCCATAACAGTACTATAAGACATCCATTAGGAACCACCACTAAGGCTTACAATGACATATTACTGCAGAGTTTGTTGAAGGAGAACTGGGTGTGATGCAACATTCTTCAGGCTAACAACTACGTACTGGCTTCTTTTCGTAGTTCTCCTGATTCCTCTAGCTCTTTCGCTGTCATCTCTCGGAACTCCTCCGAATATTTGTTTAGTTCCACTCTTAGCATGTTATATATGCCTCTCACCGTCCATCTGGCGCGATCCGGAAAGCCAGGGAATAAGCCGAGGAAAGCTAACCGCTCTTTTTCCTTGTATTTGACCTGTAGCTGATATCTACGCCTCTCACGTGGGGTCAGTGACGACATGATGACTCTTCGCCAATTTATTGAGGGAGGGTATAGCCAACTGCTTCTGCCCTATTGTCGGAAACAATGATATCGTGCTTGCCTATCCCTAGCTCCACAGATACTTGCCAGAAATAGGGGTGTCAGAAAAGAGCTAAGCGTTGACAAACTGGGTGGTAGGAATGATGTTGTATATAGGGAGGTGAGTATGTTGATGGCTAACATAGATCTTTCCCTCTTCATACTTGGTGAATAAGGCGTGAAGTATACGAGTCGTACGAGAAGGATGTTTGCATCAAAAACGAGATTTAACAAGTAGTTTTTTGGATCGTTGAATGTTGTCGCATTATGAACCACCCTGGATGGTCTTTGTCGTAGCGTTCCTCGGGTGAATTGGGTAGAAGTTTGGAGCTCACCTCTCACACGGAACCAGCTATTAGATCGTTAGTTGCTATCATTTACATGAACTTACATGTTTCCTTGTGGCAATATCTCCGCTTTGTGTCGTATCCTGGTTGCGGCAAGTTTCCTTGTCCGCGTCCAACTGAATGTTAAGTGTATTCATGATGTTGGCTTTGTCCCTATCCGCTTTGTCTATGGAAATTGTTTCCATAACCATGTCAGCCCGGTTATCGTCTCCAAAGGAAATCCCAGGCATCAGTGGATAGTTCGTATATCTTTTGTCGCAATCATTCAACTTTCCTCTTACCCAGTCCAGAAAATCATCACAAATTTCCCTAATCCACAGCTCAAGCACTATCCTATACCGGATTCATCGCATACCACTCTATCATGGCTAAATCCTTGGCATCCCAGTCCGACTGGCCTGAAGGCCACACAATTTTATCACCGTATTTTCTCAAAGTTCAACAGGAGCGTCTCCCCCTCCTCCGCTCCAAGTTCAGAAGCTTTATACTAAATTTGGATCCCAATGTAGGGTTCGACATGGATTGGTTGATCTGCGAGGTTTGTGAAGATGCCTACTTGGTAATTCTACTCATTGCCGAGGAAGAGCCTCCGGTCGACCCAGTGGACCCAACACTTGTTGCTGAAGTGAGAGCCTTGGATTCCCAGTTGCAGGCTATTAATGGAGATCACAAACCACTTGACCTTTCGTTACTAATCCCTGCCTTACCACATCCTGGGTGGGATTTCATATTTCGGGGATATTGTGAATTGCTAGCTTCTTGTGTGGACGCATATATCTATGGCGATAGTCCGATCTTCACGGCCATCTACCGTGAAGATTCTTCGCCGGACCTCGTATTTCGGGTCTTGCGTGGCCTGATTGCTGAATTCAACAACTTTCCATTTCTTCGGCCCTATGTTGACAGACTATTGCGAAAGTTAGACGCTACGAGAACTGGCGTTGCCTTGAACAAATATTCGACAGAGCATGCCAAGCCAAAATCTGGTCTTAGACCAAAGCGGAAGATAGGCACGCCTGATTTAGATGGTATGGCACAATTATCTTTGGAATCGCCCAGGAGTAAAAAACCCAAATTCGATAACTCGGGCCCTCCTACGCCTCCCCAGGAGATCAGACAATCCTTCTGGGATTAGTAGGCGGTGCATATTCTGGATACTTGGCGAAAATGTACAAAGTTGAACTATTATTGGTTATCGGGTAATATTTGGGCTATGATTCCTGGACAAAGGGCCGTCGTGTGTATAACAAGGGCAGGATTACTGGGCTTGGAATTTAGGCAATTCAGATTATAATGAACAACTAGGGCTGCATAAGTCCTTGACCAACCAACTCCTTCTCGGCTGTTGGTGGCTTGACTTGACTCTATATACAATTGGTCTGCCAGCCCAGACCGCCTGGGTCTCTGGGGTCTGTTTCAAGAAGCGAAGTCTGTATAACCTCACTTTCCAATATTGCCCAATGTTGCCTGCATGTCTTGAAAGATCATGAACAGCCTGCAAAAATCCTTCGTACGGCCGAAGTGCAAGGCGAACTGCATATTCAGCTAATACAGAGGTTGCACGTGTAACAGTGTGAAACACGGCCAGTACATGGAGGGTAATCAGCAATAATTAGCTCTAACTCTCAGGGCTTAAATTTACGGAATCTTCAACCGCATTTTTCTTCCGCAATTGTCTACTAAGATGGCTGAGTCACTACTTGATCGTCAAGTACCCCTAAGAAATTAGCAATAAGTCGTTGCAGGAGTCAAGATAGGTACCAATATCTGCGCACGGGGACAACTAGGGGACAACGAATTTTTCTGCTACATACCAAGATAACTTATCACCCTACTCAATAGCTCAATAAATTGTCAGTTTGGTGTGCCATAATCCATTCTCTGAATCTTTCGTAATTCTTCGTAGCGCATAACAATTTGATCGATCTCAAATGCAAGCGGGATGTCACACGACTGAGACTGCCAAGACCCTTTAGGCCATCCGCAGCCAACCATATCCTCTGCGAGAGTGAAGCTATAAGCGATTAGATATATAGAGTTACAATGTCTTTATTTTCTAGTATGAAGCCTTACTGGGGATGTGCTCAGCATTGTCAGACAAAAGAGGAGTACCGATCGGTCATTGCGCAGCATCGAAATCTGCCATAGATTTAGTACAAGTATCTTGAAGCAAGTTCCTACTGTAAGCGCCCGTTAAAATACACTGCACTAGTCAAGGAATGTATGTATGCAAGTAATTATACTTTTGACAGTAACAAAAGCAAATCTGGGCCTCCTGTTGAGGCTAATATCAGGCACACTAAGGCAGAAATTACCGGTTTCAATCAACATTCACAGGTTGGGAGACGCCCGCCATTATGATGTTGCACTGGTAAGTCGCTCGGAGTCAAAACGCCATCTCAAAGCAACGCAACATTACAACCAAGCGATTCACGTCTTACCATCTTTTCTTTTATCATAGTCAAACCTTGCCCTATGTTATCATTGTGTTGCTCTAGAAAAGGGTAAATAATGCCAAATAGGACATAATTCTCAGACATCATTTCACAGTCACTTAAGAGCGTTAAGCGCTCTTATAGCTAGTCCTTCCAAAATAGAACAGCTCGTCAAGTGCTTTATACAGTAAAAAGAAAGTCAGCATAGCTTGATCATTGTGGGACTAGGTGTAGCATGTGAGACTGATCTAAGAGCGTTGAACTGTGCTCCAATGTGGTGAGGGTCTTCTTTCCATGTTGGGACCTCTAATAACTTCTACTGTTGCGCAAGGGTCCCTCCAACCTTCTTGGGGGAAAAGCTGAAGCTACATATAGGAAGGATTTCTTTGTTGCCTTACAGCCTTGTAGCTGCCTTGTAGCCTTGTGACAGACCTGAAGAAGTTTGGGATGAAAGTGACCCAGCCCAGCCAGTTACTAGTACTAATGGTGGCTATGCAATCATAAATGACGCACGCCTTCATAGCAACCATACCCAAATATCGACGCTCTTTATTTTGAAAAGTTGAGTAGCCATTATTGAATTCGTAGTTGTAGTTTGCTGGCTAACACAGGGCCTTATTTAGAATATCAAATTCATCGAAACTACATGTTAGAGCGTCCACTGGAGCTCAAACATTAAGATTAATCACATAAATGAACGCCTGTAAATATCACCCACGTGGTCTGAATCTGGGACACAAGATAATTATTTACTTTGCTGCCAAGGTGCAGTGGCGATCAAATGTGGGCCAAATTGGCTGCCAACTGATCCTCGCAAATGTCAGTCAGGTTGTTTACCTAATACCTAATTAGGTAATTCACCTGTAGGGTATTAGTCATCTGGGTATGAGTCATAGATTCGAACCTTCCAATGGGTTCGATAGGGAACCCTTCAGGGCACCCTTCAGGGCAGCGGCTAGGTCTATATACAGCGGGTTATCCCCGCGGTCAGGAAGACCGTATTCTATATTCCTATTTATATAACTCTCCTTCTATATTAGATAATTAAATAACTTATCTATTTACCCTATTTATTAGTTATCTTTTGAACTGCTTATTAAGATATATATACAATTACTTAAGTTAACCCGAATAGCCTCCGAGAGGTTATAAGCCCGGTATAATTGCGTATATATTCACCGGAAATGAAGACCCCTTTCGACCCTTTCGAACTACCCTTTCGAAACCCCTAAGCTACCTTTCACAACCCCTATTAAGTGAACTAAGCTATAATCGAATTAACTAAGCTATACTTAAGCTATAACCGAAACGTTTTCGATCGAAATCGCAAAACCTTTACTTTTTCCACGAAAAAGCTACACTTTTACACCCCTTTACCCCTATAACCCTATATATCTAAACGCACTATACGCTATATAAGGATAAATATATTTCAATTAAATATTTATAAAGTAGTAAAGTTTATAGGCTCCATTAATTACCTTATTTAAAAAATGAAAGTAAAGGTAACCTTAAAAAAGGATAACTACTATTCTGCTATTATAAATAGGAATACTAGCCTACATAAAAAAGAAAAAGCATTTAATATTATTTAACTATTATATAAGGATGCCCCTTTTATATATTTATACGGCATTAATAACCCGATTAAAGTATAAAATAAGCTGGAAAATCTATATAACTTAAAAGGCTTTACAATTAAATTCCTTACCTTTAAAGAACTATTTAATACTTTTTTATTTTATTTCACTTTTATAAAAGTATATTTAAATAAAGTTAAAGAATTAAATAATAACTTAAATTAAAAGGGTATTAAATTACTTAAAAAGGTAATAATATCCTAAGTATTATATTATTTAAATGGTAATTATAAAGGATTAATTAATAATATTATTTAAAACCTATAAAAGGACCCTAACGTTTATACCTTTGATATGCTTTTTTTAATATTAATTAATACATTTAAATTAAAGAATTATAATAATAAGGTTATAAATACAATAAATAAAGCTAAAAATGCTAAAAAAGCAAATAAAAACAAATAATATTCCTATTGTAAGCTTAAAGGTTATATTAAAAAGGAATGCTATTTTTTATACTTAAATAAGGCGTTAAAAATTTAGAAAAATAAGTAAAAGATAAAGAAAAAGAAGGATAATATTAAATTTAAACGGGAAAAATATAAATAGAAGTAGTTAGCTTTAATTGCCGCGTTAAAGAAGCAGAATAAACAGTTAAAGAAATTAAAAAATTTTAAAAAAGTTAACTAAATTAAAAACCTTATAAACTTAAGCAATATATTCAACGATAAAGATATAATTACCAAGGATATTAATTTCGACCTTTAAGTTAAAACCCCGGTAGGTAAACCGGATTATAAAAATGAAGAAGAAGGGGATACAGAGGTAAATAACCCCCCTATGCCTTTTATAAATTCTATAATTAATAACTTTAAAATAGATAACTTAAATAAAGGAATTAGTAAGGATATTTGCTTTAACAATTAATCTATTAATATAATTAAAAGAAAAACTAATAGAAAATTAAATAAAAATTTAAAAACCTATAAAAAATCGAATTTTTATAATAAAATAATTCCGTTTGGAATAAATAGTACTGCTATAGTTTACGTAATTTGTAATAAGGATATTCTTTATAATTATAAACTAGTTAATAGGTCTATTAAGTGGGGAGAAGTTAAAACTATATGTATAATTGGAATAGGTAAATTAAAAGGTTATTTTTAAAATATTGGAAAATCTTTTAAATTTTATAAGGTTTATTATATTCCCCAATTAAAAATAAATCTAATAAGCGTAAAAAGACTTAATTATACTATTACTATTATTAATAATCTAATAATTAAAATAATAAATAAAAGAAATAACAAGTTATTAATTTAAGGAAAGGAGAATAAAGGTCTTTTCTATATTAAATTATATACGTTTATTAAAATAGTTAATTTAATAGAAAAGGTTACTAATATAGCTAATAAGATTATTCAGAATAACCCTATAAGGCTAGGAGAAAGAGTAAATACTTAATTAGTAAAAACTCCTTTATTTAATAATAAGTTTTATAAATAGTATGTTTGTTTAGGCCATATAAGCGAAAAGCCTTTATTACGCTTATTAAAGAATTTAAAGATATAAATATTATATAAAGCTATAAAAGAAGCTTATTTAACTAAATGTAAAACCTGCTTTTAAGCTAAAATGCGGAAAAAGATTTATAAGAAATTTAATAATAAAAATTAATATATAAAGTTGGAATGGATATATAGCAATTTAGGTGGACCTTTTCCGTTAACCTATAATAAATATTGCTATTATATAACCTTTATTAATAAGAAAACTTAATATTTAGAAGTTAAGCTATTAAAAGATAAGGATTTAATATTCCTTACTTTTAAAAAATATAAAGAATAAGTGGAAAATAGTATTAATAATAGTGAAAAAATAAAGGAGTTTTTCTTTAATAATAGCGGTAAATTTATAAATAACCGCTTTATAGTCTATTTTAGATAATATGGGATAAAATACCTTAAAAGCCCTTTGTATAATAAGGAGTATAATGGTTTTATTAAAAGGATAAACCTAACTTTAATAAATAAGGTTAGATTATTATTATATATAGTTAATCTTCCGTTTTATCTTTAGGGGGAAGCTTTATTATAAGTTGTTTATTTATATAATATTATTCTTTATATAGCTTTAAAGTTAAAAACCCCTTATAAAGCTTATAATAGAAAAGCACTTTATATAAATAATTTAAAAGCTTTTAGTTTTTTATATTATTATAACAATAATAAAAAGAAGAATAAGCTATTTCTAAAAGGTAATAAAGCTATATATTTATTTTAGCTATATAAGAGTAATATATATAAAGTATATAATATTTTATTGAAAAGATTTAAATATGTTAAAAATATTCGTATATTAGAAAATATATATTTTACTAATTTGAAAAATATCGAATTATTCAACCTTTTTTATAATGAAAATATAGAAAAGATAAATTAAGAAATAGAAAAACGAAATAAAAGGAATAAAAGTAACGCTAATAAACCTATTATTTTTAAAGACCCCTATAAAAAAGAGGAAGAAATCCGTAATATTATAGTAATTAATATAGATAACCTATATAGTATAAAAGATACTTTATTATTAGATTTTATAATAGTATTAAATAATATTAAAAATTAAAAAGATAATAAAGAAATAAGGAATTTTATATTAATTATAGCTATAGCTAAACTAAAAAATTAAAAAGAAGCTATAGAATTTAATAATAAAAAGGAGTAATATTTAGCTTCTTTAATAAAAATAAAAGAACTTTAAGATTAAGGAATTTTTAATATAATTAATTTACTTAAGGGTAAAAAAGCACTTTTAAACTATTGGGTTTATAAGGAAAAGGTGATAAATAATCCTAATTTAATAAAGGATAAATATATATTAAATAAAAATAAAAATATTTAATTTAAGGCTTAATATTATATTTAAAGCTTTAATTAAAAACTAGGTATTGATTTCCTAAAAACCTTTTTAACAACCTATCGCCTAGAATTCTAGCACTTACTATTAATAATAGCAGTAAATAAAGGCTATATAATTATATAATACAACGTTAAAAACGCGTTCTACTATGTTGGAATTAATATCGAAATATATATTAAATTACCTTAAGGCTTTTTTAATAAAGAAAAAGCTAATAATAAAGTAGGGCTTTTAAATAAAGCTTTATATGGTTTAAAACAATTACTTCGTTTATGGTATAAATTCCTATATAACTATTTATATAAAATAGGATTTATTATATTACTTTAAAACGAAGGGGTATTTATAAATAAAGCGTTAAAAACTGCTTTAATCTATTATATAAATGATATACTTTTAATAGCCCCGTTATATAAAGAAGTGGAAATAATTAAAAACTAGTTAAATAAATTTATAAAATTGGAAAATTTTGGCCTAATATTTTTCTTTTTAGGAAATAATATTAATATAAATTATAATATTAAAGAATTATTTATAAATTAGAACCGCTATATAGAAAAGCTATTAAATAAGTTTAATATAATGAATAACCTTTTATATAGGCCGAAGGACCTATTTAAAACTTTAGAACTTAAGTTCGAGAAAAATAACTTAACTATAAGCCTTAAAGACGTTAATAGCTATTAAAAGCAAATAGGCAGTTTATTATACCTAGCTTTAAAAATTAAAATAAATATTGCTTTTATAATAATATACTATTTTTATTTTATAAGTAACCTTAATACGGAGCATTTTAATGCTTTAAATTATATATAGTATTATTTATTAAAATATAAAGAAGTTGGTATTAAATATAACTGTATTAATAATAATTTAACCCTTAAAGGTTATATAGATAATAATTAGGCTAATAAAATTAATATTAGAAAATCTATAAGTGGTTATGCCTTTTCCTATTTAGGTAATTTAAATAATAATAATATAATTAGCTAAGCTTTATAATTATAAAGAACCGTTACTTTAAATATATATAAGGCAGAATATATAGCTTTAAAGGAAGCAATTAAAGAAGCTATTTGTTTATTTAGTATAACTATATTTTTAAACGTTAACCTTTAGTTTGGTTATAAGGATAATATTCCTATTATATTAATAGATAATTAGTCCGCTATTAAATTAATTAAAAATTAAGAATTTTATAAAAAATCCAAGCATATTTTTATTATTTACTACTTTTTAAAAGATGCGGTAAATAATAAATAAGTTTAATTAATATATACCCCCTTTAAAGACAATTTAGCTAATTTTCTGGTTAAAATATTAGCTAAACTAGGGTTTAATGCATTTAAGGCATTAACGGGTATATATACGTAAAAGCTTTTTCCTTATATATAAAGGTTTACTTTTAATGTAATTTTTTATCTATTATATAGTTTTTTTAAATAAGATAACTTTTTTTTATATAATGTATAGTTTTTTCATTAAATATATTTATTTATATTTATTATAATTGCGCGCTATAAGTTTAAATAACTAATAATAATTAATAAACGAGGTTTTTATATATTAACTATTATGCTTTTTTCCTCACCTTAAGGTATTTACTACCTTATATATATATATATAAAGGGTTTTTTCACTTTTCCCTTAAAATTCTTATAAAGGTTTTACTTTTTTCCTTTATTTATTAATTTAATAGATTTTATCTATTTTTTCTAGAATTGGATTACTAATTCTATAAGTTGTATTCAGCTTATAAAATTAAAGGGGGATATTAATTAGGTTGTTTACCTAATACCTAATTAGGTAATTTACCTGTAGGGTATTAGTTATCTGGGTATGAGTCATAGATTCGAACCTTCCAATGGGTTCGATAGGGAACCCTTTAGGGTACCCTTCAGGGCACCTTCAGGGCAGCGGCTAGGTCTATATACAGCGGGTTATCCCCGCAATCAGGAAAACCATATTCTATATTCCTATTCATACAACTCTCCTTCCATACTGGATAACTAAATGACTCATCCATTTACCCTACTTATTAGTCATCTTCTGAACTGCTTATTAAGATATATATGCAATTACCTAAGCTGACCCGAATAGCCTCCGAGAGCAAACTCCGCGGGCCTGCAGAGACACCGTCAAAGACATCGTCCTGTGACGCCATCGCAGACACCGGTCAGCCTAAAGGACGAAAGCAAAGATACCAGCTAAGCCCTCCTTGATCTATCAATGCATCATTGACGTTCGCCACGGGTTCTCACTGATCGAAGATAGCTATTCACCCCCATCAACCCAATCATTCTTCGATGGTTTATGGAGAAATATACTCAACGTCTACCTCAATATGCCGAGCATTCTCCCAACCATCTCCCTTACCCAGGAAACGACAGAACAGCAACACCCCTATTCCCCTCCTTACTCCTCGCCCTAACGCCAAACACGACATTATCCTTACTCAGGTCCAGCGTAACCCGATTCACCAATCCAACATCAATCACATCCGTCCACTACAACCGCTGGCGTCAGTAATTACTCTTTCAGGTAAAGTTTTCAGAAGCTCTTCATACTCCCAAGACACACTTGTGCCCCCCAATAGTCAACTATGGCCACCGGGAGTAACTAGAACGGGAAGAAAATGACCCCAGTGATTACATACAGCAGGTGCAGCCGTCGATCTCCAAACAACTTCATACGCAGCAACGTTCTCCTCACCACTCAGCGGTGGATCCCAAAACAGTGTGCTCTCATTCCCCAGAGCCTCCGTATCAATCCGCACATTCGTCGGCGCACCCGGTGAATTCGCAAGACTCCAAAGCGTGGCCCCGTTAACGCGTGCCACGCGCGCGATGAATTCGAAGTCGCAGAACTGCGGCAGATCCCCGTATTGCACGGGGTTGCCAGTGGAATTATCCACACGCACGTTTTGATGTTGGTGCGCGAAGTTCTCGCGGGGTTCCGTGAACCTGATCGCGGGATACCCGGCTTCGACTGTCCACTGGAGTCAGTAATTGCCCTTTCAGGTAAAATATCTCGGGTTCTGTGTAATCCTGAGACACACACTTGTGCCCCTATTAGGCGATTATGGCCTCCGGGAGTAACTGGAACAAGAAGAAAATGACTCCAGTGGTTACATACGGAACGGGCGGTGGTCGCCTGAGCGCAGATACCTATCTAGCCGGTATATGACCGAGACGTTCATCCCCGTGGCGTGGTTCTCTGCGACTTCTTTGACGAAGCGCGCGAGGTTGCGCGCGGGCGTGTCGTTCTCGCCGCCGATTTGCAGCCGCGATTCCCGTTTTGTGGAGTTTTCTACGGTCAGGGGGGGAAGGCCTTGTGCGAAGAGCCGGATCACGTGGGGATCTGCTTCGTTGGGGGACCCGACGATGTCGTTATTTAACATTCCTTCTACCTGCGGGTGTGTGAGTAAGTTATCCACAGTTGATATATGAGTATCACGCGAGATAGAGAGCCGGTAGGTTATTAAGTAGGGGAAGAGAGTTTGCAAATATACAGAGAGGAAGACATCATGATTCGATGGATATGTGGTAGCAGGCAGACAAAAAAAAGGTAGGAATGGTCAAGAGTCTAGTTGCCAGCTGCAACAAATCCATGTGGGAAGCCCAATGTGTCCCAGACCAGCTTATCCAGCCCAAAGAAGAAACGGCAACATACATTCACTCTCGGCGTACTGTTCGCATATGTCTGTGCAAGGAACTGCGAGCCATATAACCCCTGTTCCTCACCCGCTACAGCGGCAAACGCAATACTCGCCTTCGGCACAGGATACTTTGGGTTCGACATGACCCTTGCCAACTCCAGCGAGACCGCAACGCCAGAGGCATCATCATCAGCGCCAGGCGCATCTCCTTCATAATCCAGGACATTCGTGTTCCGCGTGTCGTAATGGCCCGAGATGACATAGAGCCGGTTCTCATCTGTACCTTTGAGCGTAGCCACGATGTCGCTAATCCTCGTCGCAAATGTGACCCGATTTCCATCGGGTTCTTGTACATAACCTACCGTCTTAACGCTTAGCCGTCCATCACTCATGTCTGCGTACCGCTGAAACTCAGCATGGATCCAATCGCGCGCGGCTCCGATGCCCCTTGTCTTAGACGTCTGACTCGAGAGCGTGTGACGCGTACCGAAGGACACTAGTTTCTCGATTGTCGCTTGGATACGCGCTGGGTCTACAGCCGCGAGGATCGCGGTCAAATCCTCCGAGGGCTGTTGTGGCTCGTTGGCCTTGCCGATGGTGTTCGGCGGCCAGCTCGACGCCGAGCAAGCGAAGACCGGAGCCGCAGCGGCGATGGTGCTTGCACGATCATACAGGACGTTGGCTGGATTCCTCGATATAAGAGGTGTAGCGACGGCTAGAACCGCCTGAAACACAATTGCAAATCTAGACCACATTGCGCGACCTCGGTCTCGGCTTATATGTATTTTTGACGGTGAAAGTGTTAAGACTCTGCTCACGGGCGAGGTCCATTCTGAAGCAAGCTTCTAATAGTCGCCGGCTATCAAATCCCTGTTTCCGAATTGCTGGGTTCTCCTCGTTGCGAAGCCGGTTACATGGCTCGGAAGGGCAGCCAAGTATTCCTTTCGTTACATTGTCGCGAGCCCATTACCCAATAAGATCGACGCCCACTAGATGCATGGCGATAAGCGATTGACAAGAATATGGTACAATCACACAAAATTTGTCTTGCTGCTATTCTGTATATGGAAGCTCAAACCACATTGAAGAGGGGTCAATTGGGGATTTTGTTGAGAAAACCGAAAGATCGTCAACCATATCTCTTGAAGGCCTAGGACATAGGCGACGTCTAGCCACGTGATGGTCGTGCGCTTGGCGTGGTCAGTGTAGGTTGTGGCATCACGGACTATACTGTCGAAGGGCCTCGGAAGACCATTTTTCCCTTTGAAAATTACTATAGAAAACGAAACTTAGATATGCTACCTGTCACATAATGTGGTGGGGCTCAATAGGAACTTACCGACCGACATACGCTTGACACCATTTCGAAGACCTGAAGCGACAGGGCCATACTCTGTATGAGGTTTGGTGGTTAAACAAATCCCAAGGTCAGGAAAAGAGTCTTGCGGGCAGTTTTTCATGATTTTTGTCATTCACTCATGATTACGTAGATAAGGGCTATTTTACACTGGGGATTCGCGTTCTTCGCGGGATGTCGTGGGGTATAACCTCAATTCTGTTCCCCTAGAGAAGAGAAGACTAGCACTTGGCCGCCCGAGTTGGAATGAAGAAGGGAAGAGATAAGCGAGAGAGTCGAAATAAATTACGAACTATAAGGCACTACAATATGTAGCTGACAATGGGTCGTGTGCAGAGGCGCTAGGAATCGTAGAAGATGAAGCTCGCTCCCTTGATGAAACCAGACCAAGGCAAAGGAGGAGGAGGGAGGAGGAGGAGGGGGTTGAAGACATAAGTATACTGTGAGTAGTAGGTGTCCTGTACGTCTATACAGGAGAAGAAGCGTGGGCGTGAAGATAGTGTAAAGTGTTTCGAAAGATGCAGCGCTGACCTGCATATGAAGCTCAGTGGGAACGAAGAGTCAAACTGGAATCTCCAGTGCGGAATCCGTTGCTGCTTCACGGCGCGATGATATAAGTTTCAGGGCTTCCTAAAACATTGCCCAAGTTTTGTTAGAAGAATTGCGGGCCATGGTTAGACTCGTTCATCAAGCTCAGGCCATGTAGTCATAAATCAACGCCAGCACCGGGCTGTGGTGAAAGCCTGGGCTTGCCAAGTGTTAGCTGACCCAAAGAAATAGCCCTAGCCGCTCTCTTTCTGGACCCATCGTCAGCTTCATCTGGGACGTCATCGCCGAACAGGCCGTAATCATGAACTGGCTGTTCTTCGTGAGGGGTTTTGAACGCTTCCGAGTCGTCATCTATGCTCGCGCTGGGGGGGCCCATATCGTCATCATCATCATCATCATCATCATGGTCGAAAACTGATATGTTCATGGGTGCGGGCGGATTGGCACCAAGCTTGTCCATTGCCAGGGACATCATGTCAATAGTATGAGATAATTTGGTAACGCGTAATTCCAGTGCATGTCGTGCGGCGCGTTCAGTATCAAGCATCACCTGTAGCGTGTTGGCATACTCTGGAGTAAATGCACCAGATGGATCCCTCACGAGACTGGCTGCACCTCTTACCGTAACATTTGATATGGGTCGAGGGGCTTCTCTGGTAGAAGGGTGCACAGAGCCAATGAAGGTTTGCTCATCCTCAAAAGATACGTTTGACTGCTCTGACACACTGTAGCCGGAAGGAATGGGTCCAGCATCGGGGGGCAAATTATGATGACTAGAGGTTTGCACAGCAGTAGAACTCGTCCGATGGTGGCTGGCAAATGGCGCCGTAGGGGAGAGAGCCTCAGAATCGATACCTGATACTACATGAAAGAGTTGGGAAACAAGCTTTTCAAGCTTCTGGTTCTGTACTTCTAGGGTGGCTACGCGATCCTCCAGGCTGGCGGCTTGCGTGATCTTCATGGTATGAAGAGGACCGAAGTTAAAAGGTTGCGGTGGAGTGCGGATCGGTTGGGCCACCTCCTCATTTGTTTCCGTAGTTGGCTCAGTTGCATCGGTTGTCTCGGGATCCTCATTTTGTGACACTGATAGATCTGGGGACAAAAGCCCAATACTGCTCGCTCGCCAATACCGAATTTCCTCACTTCGTTTCCGGACAAGCCCATGCTCTTCTGAGACGTCCTGCAGCTGTGACAGACTCCTCGATCTCCGCCGGGCCGGGAATATATCGACTGAAACAGCACGACCAATTGACTCAGGATCATGCTCATGACCCATATCATTACCATGAGTGCTCGCCGGTCTTGGGGTTAGACCCAGGATGTCCATGCCATCATCGCGTAGCCGAGAGCTGATTGGTCCACCGGAAGTTGTCACAGCTCTCCTCCTCAAAAATGCCGAATCCGACTGTAAGGAGTTGCGGGCACTGTGAATTGCAATATAATCGTCCGGACCAATAGAATGCGACCTCAGGGCCTTATTGAACTCCGTGATAGGTAAAGATGCCGAACGTTTTGGTTCGCTTTCTGGATCACTCAAGCTTCGCTTCCGAGCAACAGGGCTCTATTTATAAAGCTTAGTCATTTTCGACGACGCATAAAGAAAGCAAGGAAACAGGCAGTACTCACACTATGATGGGGATCGTGAGATGGGCGTAGCTGGGCTTCAGAGTCGGATTGCGAACGACTGTTCCGTTTCCTGTTACGCTTCCCAAAAAGTTTGCTGATGGCCAACCTAAAACTTGACTTCTTCCTCGAAGGCGATGCACTGTCTGTGGCTTCACTGAGGTGCGAGTATCTCACGACACTAGACCGATTAGTGCGCCGCTGTATGGGGTTCGATGTCATCGAGGCCTGGCTAGGCCCAGATTGAGCAATTGAGTCAGTCTTTTCCTCGCGAGTGGCATTGGAACCTGTGTTCGTCGACTCGGCCCCAGAGTCGCGTAGGGCTGGAGCCGCTGGTTCAACATGCTCCGGTACCGCCTCCTCGGCTACAGGCGGGTCAGAAGTCCTCAATGGGAACTCGTCATCAGGTATGGGAATCGGCCCACTAATCTTGCCGCGGATGTTGGAGCGCGGTTGCGGCCGGCCAGGTCGGTCTCGACCGGCGTTGGAGGCGGACTTGAATAGATTCATTGTGCGTAAAGTGTTATGTGAGTGCTCTGAATGGTCGACTTGGCAAGACCTTTACGCAAGGTGAACGACGAGGGGTAGAGGAGTTGTAGTTGAGACCGATTCATGGTATACTAAGATGCCACGATCTCTCTGTCTCTCTCCTTTTTTCTCCCTCTACTTCATATTTGTAAGAGGTGATGGTCCAGCAGTCCTCTGTGTGTACGCATCGCTAGCAATGCGAGGAATCGAGACACAGTCGTCGGATTTCGAATCAGAAGTGGGGGAAATGTCAGTAGCTATAGGGGCCACTCCATAGCAATCGGAGAAACGAAGGCAGGCTGGCGGGCGGAGGGGGGGGGGGGGGGGGAGGAAGGGAGGGATGGATGGAAGCTTCCTCCAGCCCATTTATGAGAGCGAGTGAAGACCAAAGGGAGGCAACAAGATTCGGGCCGTGTGCAGTGACAGAATTGGGACAAAATTGGCAGCGCAGCGCGGCGCGTTGCAACGGAGCTCCTGCAACGGCCATGCATCAAGCAGCGTCTGAACCCAGGTCTGCCCAGGCAAACCCCAGACCCTATTACATACTTACTAGGTCCTGTAGGCAGCACGCCAGATTTTATTTTGATCTGGCAGGGCCGTCTACTTACCACTTAGTGGCTTTATGAAACATGCAGCCCAGCGCCGTTGGCCGGAAAAGACCAATCTAAGACAGCCGACAGGGGAGGCAGCCAGAGGACACCGGGGCAGAAACCGGGGGTTGAAGGTGGGATGACGAAGGGACCAGAAAGGGACCAGGATGATGATACCTGAAGGGCCTTCGCTCGGAGGTACAGTAGAGAGATTGAGATGATGGTAGGTAGGTACTGCGATGGCTCAGCCCTTGCTCGGACCTGCATTGGCCACACATGCCACAACACTGCACTACGCCAAATGCATCACATACATGATCCTGGCTACACGATCCTACAGGGCAAGAGAGAAAAGAGAGAGAGGCAGAGAGGCGGTCCGTGGTCTCGTCACTGGCTGGCCATTACCTGGATTCCGGGATTCGGACCAACTGACGATTGATTGGCCTGCGGATACGCAAGCAAGATGGGCAGGAAACAGAAACCATGCGAATGATAGCGAGACGATGCGCAATGAGATGTCCGATACAACAAGAGATAATCGTAGAAGATCAAGATCGGTCAGCACTTTAGTCTACCTAATGTACCTACCTAGGTACGTACATATGTAGGTACCTACCCGAGCCTACACGTACCTGGTACCTAGCTAAGTTTAATGTACTGGTTGCAATGATCGAGCGCCCGAGCAGAGAGATCGTGGAAAATTGAAAGGTGTTGGAAGGCCGATAACCAGCAGGCAGTACGAAGTAGGTACTTTATCCACCCCACATCGACCCCTATTACCGTACCATCTTAGCAAGTTACAAAGCAAGTTACAAGGGGTTTTCTCTCTACTTAGTTACCTACATGCCAGCACCTTGTTACAGTAACAACACACCAGTAACTACCAGCCAGTCCTCCTTCGTTCTCCCTGCTTATCCTGCACTTAAGTACATACCTACGGTATGTAGCTCTGTTTATTCATCTACCGTACTATATCTAGGCATTCTAGTTTGCGTGTTTTAGTCAGGGTTCCCATGCATCACAAGCCAAGAAAAAGGGTGGAGTTGATAAACAGGTTATTTTCACCACCACCACCACCACCACCACACCCCGACCCGACCCCTCCTCATGGTCCCCGTAGACTGGTACGCTATCTCGGTCTATAGAGAGCTATTATAAGTCTGTCTGAGACTCTGACTCGGGAAACAGATGGTAAGGCATGTCGCTAGCAAACGGGGTCAGCTTGTCGATGACGAAATGTCTTCACTCTATTACATGTAAACGCGATCTGTCTCGGCAGAAGTTTGTTTTCACCTATGAATGAAGGGTATGCAAATACTATGTATGTAATCAGATGCCCCCTATTTCTCCAACCGTACCTGTAGCCGTGTTACATATACTGTAAGCGCTGCAGTGGTTACATTCTGAAAATCCTCCGGACACTACTACAGTACCTATTTACTTCGGCACCCCTTCTTCCCATTCCTTCTGCTACTTAGTACATACCATAGTAGCTGCAACTGTACTAGGTATACTAAGTAGCCCAGATCTCACCGAAAACCCTCCCCTCACGCTCCCCAAGGTGGGGATTTATTTACTTTTCAGGGTTGCAGCACGTTAGAGACAAACTAGCTACAGTAGTCTCCCCGTAGTATATGCTGCATATGCAAGTAAGTCAATTTTGACAGTGCGCCGAGGCAAGCAAGCCTAAGCTTATTACTTAAGGTCCACGTCGAATGTTGCGCTTTGCATGCCGCAACATCAACTCTGCAAACTACCTTATGTACCTAATGTAAGGGGGACAAGTATTCAAGTGTCACGGCCTTCCCCAGCTTCAGACGTGACTGAAATGGCAGGTCTGCCCCATGCGGCCGCGACGTCTTCGCCTGTTAGATGTGATATGTCGGGGACATAGCTAATTCGAGCAGTGCACCTAGTCCGTAGAAAAAATACGGACACGGGCATGATATCGCTCAGCCTAGCGGCACATCATTACGAGGAATATTGTATGTAACTCCTGACAAGTCCTAGCATACCAGGGCAATCCGGTGTAGTGTCTCAGCAGCGTAGTACCTAGGTATGTGCATAAGTATGTATGGGCACGGAAACCTACCGAACATCCTCCTTAGCGGACGTCTTCCGGAGGCGTTAAAAGAGAGAGAGGGAGGGAGGGAGAAAGGTCATGCGCATCATCGCACAAGGCTATGTGACTCTGAGGGTAGGTAGGTGGGTATGTTGGTAGGGTATTATCACCGTACTGTATCACAAATCCAACACTGCATGTTTAAAAATACCACCTCCTTAGGATATTCATGGGTTGGGGGCTTCTCTCTTTCTCTCTGTCTCTCCATGTGTGTGTCTGTGTGCGTGTATGGGCCTCGTTCTCTCTACACGGACGCTGCCTCTACATATCACTTCTCTGTCCCTCTTTCTGTGTAATCTAGATACGTAACGGTATGCGTGTGAATCAGTAGGTATATGTTTAACCATGCATGTCTCGTCACTGCGCGGACGTCAAGTTGCACATATAATGAAATAAAAGCCGTGCGAGTGTTACCTACTATTCCGTGTTGCTAATACGTGTTACCTCTCCACATACCTAATGCAACAAATAGGTCACAAGGCGCATTCTCTCTCTTCCCTCCTCCCTCTCCTGCGTGCGTACACACGTGCCCTTTTTAATTTATCTCATCATTCGATTTATATCCGAAAACAGACATCTTTTGCTGCGCGGAGGTACGCTCGCCAAGGAGGCCCCTGGTCTCATACCTATTCTGGAAAGCAGCTTGGCTCGGCCGATGCCTCCGCCAGCCCATTCGCTTGTCTCGCTTGTCTCGCTCCTCTTTGCCCCCCATCCCCTTTTACCTTCTCATCCTATCGGCAGCTTGTGACCTACTATACATTTGCGGGCGTACAGCTGCAAGGTTAGTAGGTAGACTACTTCGTAGGCTGTGTGAGTGTGTGGGGGTAAGTATGCGAGCTGCGTAGACCTTCCTGTGCCGGATGTCGCTGCGTCTACTGACACTGCAGTCAGTCTACGAAGTACTACGAAGTAAGTGTGTAAGCTATGCTAACGCCAAAACCTCCCCAGCCAATGCCAGCGATTTGTGTAGACCTATCACAACTGCTGTTTTCTTTCTTGCAGAATATATAAATCATGCATTGTCTGAGGCAGCGAATGGCCGTCGGGGAATAAGCGAGTTCCGCGCCTTGGCTGAGCTCTGTTTGCGCGTCTACGCGCATGTAGATACATATGTGTCGACGTTTGTAGTAAAGTAGGTAAGTGGAACAGTATGTATGCATGTAGGTACCTATATATGTAAGTATGTAAGCCTGGCCGTACGTCAAGCGGTGCGGCTCGGACAATCTATATTCCCTAACCTACCATAACGTGCCAGCGATGACAAGTGGGCTTTCTGTTGACGTCCTGCCACGTGTTCGAGGGCGTTTTTCGAACTAGCCTGGATGAGATGCGATGTGGTAGTACAGTCACGCACGTAAATAAGTATGAGATTTGTGCTGGGTAGGTACAAAAGAATGCAATACCTATCGGTCTGCTAGGCACGTCTTGAGCGTGAGTCGCCGACAGTGGAATGCCGCATGACTGTACACTCGCTTTCACACGTCTGAAGAGTTTACTACCGCACAGAACCTGTATAATCAGACTGCCGGCATTTTGCTGTAGCGCATTGATAACTTAGGTAATACCACCTTGGTGTTGAGCCCCACGACCAACAATCTGAAACGACCAATGGCGGGCATAGCAGCGCCGACATCCATCGTCTGATCTTCATGGTCAGGCCCAGTTCCGCTGAACCTCTCAAACACGAATAGAGTAACCCACGCACGCTGCAGCTACGGCAGATTCGGAAACTGCATCTTAAGTTTCAACTATCGACCAGGGGTCTCCCCTTTATTCCTCTCTGGTTCACACACATACCTAGTATGCTAAGACGCCACTATGCTCTCACAACAATGTAAAGATGCGTCAGCGTAACCGGTAGGTTGGGATCGGCCGCCAATCGCAACAGTTATATAGACTGGTAATTGTACGCTATTCATTCAGGCTGAAGGCCCAGGCTTCGACAACATTCGACTCCAGAGTTCGTTGCATGAAAGCCGGTGGCGGCAAGGCTGCTTTGGGTAATCGGTCATGAGCGAATGGTTCTTTCCCGTCGTTTACGACAAGAGCTAAATTAAGATGGAGGCCCAAGCATTATGCCGTCTCGATCGACGACGCATCGACATAGCGGAGATCCGCGTTATTCTCGAGCCAGTCCATCCAGCTACTAAGAAACTTGCTCCCTCTATCTCGGGGGCAAGGGTGTGAAAGATACGAGTTAGAAAAATCCAGATTTTGAAGCTTGAGAACGTGCGTGACAAATATGGAAACAGCTGCCAATGGAAATGTACCCAGTTCTGTGCAACGGAAAGACTGAATCAAATGAAGAATGCTTACCTCTTAACGGTCTCCGAATCGCCTACTACTACCAGTGACCGCTTCGGCCGGGTCATGGCCACTGCGATTGGTCAGTACCCATATCTCCGGTGCTCACGGACATCTGCCCTCGTAGCTCAAGTAGGCGCCACGTGTATAAACAGTAAGTGACTCACCATTCAACCGGCGTTTCTCGCTTAGGAAGCCCACGTCGCCTTCGGCATTGCTCCGAACCAGACTTACGATGACAGCCTCCTTTTCACGGCCCTGGAACCCGTCCACAGATCCGAGCTCGATGCCGGGGAAGGCTTCCTTGAGCGGCGCCAAGAGCCCGAGCTATTTATCACACAAGAGAACGGATCAGGTCAATGCCGAAACAACAAACAAACGAGCGAACTAAGGAACTGCATCCCTGACCCCACACTCACCTGCGCATTATAAGGCGTAACAACCGCAATGTCCGTGGGCTTCACACCGGCATTGACGAGTTTCCCAACATGCTGTCTCACCAGGGCCGCTTCCATTTCGTTGCTTTTACTCTCCCCGTAAAGTGACCTGATGCTCCCTTTCCTTCCCGCGTGCTCTTCCTCCTCGTTTTTCTCTGGGTAGTCACCGCCCTGAGTATCGATGAAGATCACGGGCTCATTAGTATCTTCAGTGTCCTCAATATCATAAGGCAGATCTCTGAGCAATCGACCCTTGACAGCTTCTGCAGCAATCAGCTTAGACTCGTATAACTGGTCCGATGGGAACCGCATGATGGCCTCGTGCATGCGATACTGCGTTGTGAGCATCCTCTTGATGGATGAGCCATGCATTGACAAAAGCCTATCAAAGAGCGTTGTTTCTAGGCTCACGCCTTTGATTATGCTCTCTCCTTCCTTCGGTTTCAACTTGATTTTCGAATTGGTTGACTTTACAGTAGGGGGTAATTGGAGATGGTCACCCGCACACACGGCCTTCTTGGCTGCGAGAAGTGGTACCCAACATTGGGCTTCTAGCGCCTGACTTGCTTCGTCGATTATGATGACATCAAATTCTTCGTTTTTAAGTTGGTACCCACCAGCGCCATGCAATGTAGCGAGAACGACCTTGCTGCCCTTGACTAGCGTGTCGACACACCTTCGCTCCCTCTCCCTATACTCCTTTCGCAGCTCTTTGAGCTCGCCGTAGATAGCCTTGCGTTCTCTACCGCTTTTCGTCTTCTTTATAGATGCCTGCTTAGAGTCCATCTCGGAGCGCACGTCGCGGACGATTAAGCCGGCTTCTGATGTCTGCGTGAGTACATCTAGGGAGTGGTCAAGAACAGAGGGAAGTAATCTAGCGGGATGTCCAAGCCGTAGAATTGGTATTTTATGCGGTGATAGGCGCTCGACGATGTTGTCGACAGAGATGTTCGATGGTCCACATACGAGGACTCTCAGGTCTCGCTTCACCATTTGTAGAATCAATTCAATGAGAGTATGAGTCTTGCCTGTTCCCGGTGGTCCATGGATCAAGGCAACTTCGCGTGACGCGAGGGCGAACCTGATAGCATCTTTCTGTGAATTGTTGAGCGTTGGGTCTAGCCATTCTATCTTACCATACTCCGGACCAGAGCTAAGATCACGAGGCACCGGCGATGGACTGCTCATCCCGAAGAGTACACGCATGAAGCTACTGTATTCAGATTCAGTCATCTTCTGCATCTTCTCCATAGTCAAGTTCATGCGGCGATAAGTGACATCGTCAGCAAGTTTGACCAGCCAGATGCGGCCAGACAGTGACAGGGCATCTTCCTTGTCCTCATCAACCGCAATGGCAACGGCGTCTTTCTTGATCTTCGTGACCACACCTCGCGCGCCTTTCTTCTCTAGGTCTTTGATCTCTCGCTTCTTGGCGCTCCCGGCAGGCTGTTCAGACACCAGCACGATGTCGCCGGTTCGGACGCCATGTTCAGGGAGCTCGCCACCAGCCCCTGCTGTGGCGCTGTCCGGACTCAGCTCGAGGACGGTCCTTCCACCTAGGCCGGTGCGCTGCGAGGAGACGACCAGATTTGTAATGGCGAGACCAGCACGCTGCAGCGAGGTGGGACTAGTATTGGAGATGAGGCTGCTCGTCTCCTGCAGCTCACTCTGCAGCTCTGCGTCTAGCAAAGCCAGCTGTGTGCTCGCAAAGGCGGGGATGTCGACCGATTCCGTGAGGAGCGACATTCTTGTTGTCTTTATCGTTTTTCAGAATGGCTCATCTTACAATTTAACATAGTTTACCCGGCCCCGGAAATTATTTATTTTATGGCCGTGGCGGGGAAGTTCTCTTGCTACAGGAAATCGAGTGGTTTCGGTCCGTTCCGGGGTTGTGTAGTGGAAGCTGGCTGGCTAGCAGCTCAGTGGAGTACTAGCGAATCCGCAACAGTGCAGAAGTCCGGCTTCTGGAGTCTGCCTGGAGCTGTTGGAAGAAGGAAGATGATCTACCTATTGGTAATAGTACGTCAGAACCTGGACAGCTGAACTTTTGAGCTGAAGTCTGCAGGCTTAACTACAGCATGCAACTCTAGATAGGTAGAGCTAGACCAGTATATCAACACATGGCAGTATTACCGATTAGATGCTGCATTAACACTATACATTATGATTTGTGCAAATTGTTGCGAGCCAAGCCTCTGCAGCCCGTCACACAGAGAGGCTGTGCTCCCCCATGTCCGGCGGCTGTACGATGATAACTACAACGAGACTGGCAAGCATAAGAGCAAATGATACAAGAGATATTAGGATGATAGGCCCTCTAGATGCTGGGAATTTCCCCTTTAAAAGCCATTGCTGGGGCTGATAAAACCTCTGGTACCCCAATAACAATACCAGTATCGATATACCGATGAAGGTTATGCCGAGCGGCTTTCCCAGGCGTCTAAAATGCTGATTGGCTGCCTCATTGGCCAGAGAAGAGTTGAGCCGGAACAGTTGGGTGATGGCTATGCCGATCGAGGCGAATGCGAGGGAAGTCCGCATCCAAGCGAGGAATGTTCGTTCTGTTGTTGCACCCTCCATGTCAGTACTACGATTCCTCGCTAGCTATGAGAAATCGTCATGTCATACCCACGGCCAGATGATCCCTGGCAACACTGCCCTTGTTCTCCAGCTCGATCGACCAGAAGCCGTCCAAGGCGTCCCATAACCAGTGTTTCTTTTCGGCATCATGAACTGCTGTGCTCCCACTCTGACTCGCAGGATTCGCCTCAGACCGGGAGGATGGTTGACGTATACGTAGGCTCGACGTCGTCTGTGTGGCCTGGTAGTTCATGGTGTTCCTAGCCGCACCGAAGCTCGTTGTCTCGTCGGGTCCATCGACCTGGTCGGACATGGGAGGCTCATTGTCAAAAGGCATGCTGGGGCTCGATTTCGGAGAAAGGTCACGAAGGTTCATGGAGCTGGCGCGCCGTATGCCGACCTGGAGACGATTGGGAAATGGTCAGTCAGATCTCCCAAACTCTTCAGGGTCGGGTCTAGTGCATTTAGAGATGATTCCATCTTAGGCATAATCACATCAGACGAATGTGTGGATCGCAGCGGCGGGGCTAGAAGCTTAATTGCAGCTGAATTGCAGCTTGGCTTTTTCGCTAAACACTGATAGTGGCAGCGAGGGGAGACGAACCTCGAGAATGTCGTTGAGTCTGTCGTGGGTCGACTGGCGTGACGGCGACGTGCCGAAGCTTGTCGCACGCGGTAGTGAAGTCGGTATTTGCTGTCCCTGTAGCACGGGCTGCGCAGAGACGGTCCTCCGGGTCGGCGTGGACGGCTTGGCCGGACTGGAAGGTTCACCAGAAGCCATTGTCGTTAATGGAATGGCCAGCCTAGAATAAGGTTGTCGGTAACAGTGGCATGCGCATCCAGATTTGGCTTATCTCGTTCAACGTGGTCGAGTCTCAATCCGGCGCGTGCTGTGTCCCCGTCGCCCGATCGATGCACCAAGGTCGAAGCGCCTGCAGCAAGGTCCCCACAAGTGTGCTGCTCATCGGAACCAAAGACTCGATCTAGCCCAGGATCGACTTGACAAAGGCCGGCCGTTGAGGCAGGGTGGCTGACCGGCAAACGGTAATCTTGACTTAGCTAAGGTGTGGTGACACGGAATGATTCAACAATAGCACGAGATAGGTAACGTGCTTCGGGATTCAAGCATGAGTGCAGCCCAATGGCCACTTGCTCGGCACAGAATCAAACGAGAGTAGTCAAATATCTACAGATACAAGCCCGAATGCAGTGCCCGGTCGATAACTAGCCAAGCTGATCGCATGATCCCTTATTCTCATGCGAGCACGGAGTAAGCAGGTCCAAGCTAAGCTACGGGGTCTGCTAGGGAGTCTAGGAGGCTACCGTAGGCTGTGTCTATCAGCAAGGTACCTACCTCACTAAAGCTCGGCAGAAGGCAACCGCCAACCAGTAACAAAGTAGAAGCCCTGTAAGGGTTCACCAATGAGAGAGAGCGGGATTCTACGCCGCATTAGGTACCGATAGGTCTGTCTCTCGGTACTCGGTAGCGATCGCATCATACTTACTTCAAGTACATGCGTCTGCTCAAGCCATCCCGAGTCGCCATACCTAGGTAGGTACCGTATACAAAAGGCATCGGACACTATGACTGTGTCTAGCATCTGTTTCACCCTGGATTCTCGTCGGCTGTTAGGAATATGCTCTCCTGTCCTTCCTTAAGGTATCGGACAAACCACGCTCAATTTTCCGAGTTTACACCCCTAGGCAATGCTCAGCACCGCTGTTGCGGCGTAATAGTAGTTGATGGCTGCAATGATGACTGGGGGCTAGACGACAAGACATAGAAAAACCCGTTGTACGAAGTAATTTCTAAGCAGTGAAACCCCAATATAATACACGAAGTAATACGGCATATCAAGAATGGGGCTAAGTCTAATCGAAGATCAAGTACTTAAAAAGAAAAAGAAAGAAAAAAGTTGTTAGCCGCCGAGTTGTATGCCTTGCCTCGGTCTTAATACAACGTAAGCTATAACAAGGGCAGATAACTAGGCTTGGAACTTGATGCTATCCAGATTACTACAATGATCAATTAGGGCTACATGAGTCCTGACCAACCAACTTCTTCTCAGCTGTTGGTGGCTTGACTCGACTCTATACAACTACTCTACCAGCCCGGACCCGCCTAGGTCTCATGGATCTGTTTCAAAAAGCGAAATCTATATAACCTCACTTTCCAATATTGCCTGCATATCTTTGAATGATCATGAACAGCCTGCAATGGCCTTTTGTACAGCCGAAGTGCAAGGCGAACATTCTGCAAAAGGTTCGGGAGGAGACCCAAGTAACATATAATCATCGGTGACCCAGCGCAAAGACTACAAAAACAGCCTTACTACTTGGGAGTTAACAAGCAGTGCCATAACAATCACAGCGTGAAGAATCCACGAGGAGAGAGTTGGATTGCAGTCACAAACCAGCCCGCTGCTACCCCAGGCCCCACCTCGGCAGACCAGGACGGACCCTAGCCGGTAGTTCGACAGCAACAACCCAACACGAACACCTCTTCATTTGAAAGAAACAGAGGCCACGAGAGTGTGAGATAGGATCCGAAGCTACTAAGAGCTAACCCTTTATTTACATCATCATACCAAATCACAAATTGACTTCCCTTCGCCTAATCCACACAAACAATGATAACCCTCAACCCTACCCCCCTCAAGCCACAATCCCTCCCCTCAAAACTCATCTTAATCACCGCAGCAGCACTATGCATAACCATAAGCGCAGAACTCCTCATCCGCCCGGTCTTTAAATCTAGACATAACTCTCGATCGTCTCCACCACCATATATCCCATCTCCGGTTAAAACCCTCTCAAAGGCCGCTCTCAAGAAAGCGCCGTACCCGCCCGAGGACGCACTCCCGGGAGCCCGCGACGTCTCGACGCCGTACGGCTCGATCCGCGTGTACGAGTGGGGCCCCGAGGACGGAGAGTGCGTGCTCTTCGTGCACGGCATTAGCACTCCCGTTGTTGCGCTCGGAGAACTTGGACATGAGCTGGTGAAGAGAGGGTATAGGGTTATGCTGTTTGGTATGTTTGGCTTCGTCTCATGCCATAAACATAAAAATCACCCCTTTTCTTTACTTTTTTTTGGAACCTATTTTCTATTTATTTCTCTTTCGAAATATTCACTCTCCATCTATGTCACATCTCTCATTGTCAAGATTAACTCCTTTCCCGCTTGTAAAGATTAGGGTGGGGGGAAATCAGAATAGCAAATATCCATTGACGCCGAATAGAGTTTCCCGCGCGCAGTTCCTAATCAGTAAAAAACCACAGATCTCTTCGGCCGCGGGTACTCCGACGCCCCGTCCGACCTAACGTACGACGCGCGTCTCTACACAACACAAATCCTCCTGGTACTCGCTTCTTCCAAGCTTCCCTGGTCAAATTTCCATCTCGTAGGATACTCCCTCGGTGGCGGCCTCAGTGTCGCATTCACACGGTACTTCCCGCGTCTCCTACGCTCTCTGATCCTCATCGCTCCCTGCGGTTTCATCCGCGACAAACACGTGGGCTGGCGCAGTTGGCTGTATTACAATTCCGGGATATTACCCGAGTTTCTCGTAAAATACCTCGTGAGACGACGGATCCGTCCTGTTGTAGCGAAAAAGCCCACAGCAGCGGGAGCTGAGGATATCTTAGCTGCTGAAGGAGGTGAGAAACAAGGGCATAAGCGGAACGTCCGGGGGGACGGGGATTCTACCGGCGGCGCGGGGTGGGACAGCGCGCCGATCTCGAAGGCAAGGCCGGATGTGACAGTTTCGGACGTGGTGGCCTGGCAAGTAGATAGTCACGAGGGGTTCGTGATGGCGTTTCTAAGCACGATCCGCAATGCCCCTATTTACGCGCCCCAGGAGGATTGGCAAGCATTAGCGAGGATACTCCAGATTAGGCGGTGTACACGAAGTACTGGCATTCGCGCTGACGACGACGAAACGGAGTTTGAGGCCGGACTGAAAGGGGGCAAGATCTGCCTTGTGCTAGGGAAGGATGATGGCGTGATCGTCCCGGACGAGATGATCGAGGACACAACATCGGTGTTGGGTCGCGACGCATTTGAGTTTGTGGCCCTTGAGGGAGGACACGAGTTACCTTTTACATCAAGTGGCAGGGTCGCAGAGTCCATCGAAGGCTTCTGGAAAATTATATAGAGACATCGGGGCTTGATAAACTTTGAGATGGGTGGGAACAGGTACCAAGCGACAGGGAATATTTTGAAGCGTACACGTCAAGAAAGCAATAATTACCCTAGATTTGTAGCCGATGATTACCCTACGTGGAACGTGGTAATATAATTAAATTTATATCAGTTCGCGAGCCATATCTGACGGATGACAGAATAATTCATTAAATGGACGTTGCCGGGATAGTACGCTTATAAGAATAACTGCAATGGATTCATATATCAAAGATCTACTTCGACTAACACAGCATTGCTTGCGATAACATAAACGGTGAGAAAACTGGTGACACGCTGCTTTCGTACCTGTCGGATTTGAAATATACATGTACGTAAACCATATGCTCGTGTCACTATCAGTGGAGTTGACTTTACCTAAACTTGTAAAAAGTCGGGGTTGACAAAGATCGGCAGAAGTAGCCGAAGTATATTGCGCTCGCTCCTTACGCAAGACAGCGTTGTTATACCACTAAAGCGCGCACGATTCCTGCAAGATGCGCCTCATTTCATGGTAGAAGACGGCAGCAAATATGTCGTGAAGAAGTAAAATGTATGCTCGATGATATAATACCATTTTCGATTCAAGGGACAACCATGTGGAATGAAGCGCACGCAACCCAGTCTTATTGAAATCGAGTGAGTCAGGATGTACAGAGGGTCTTCGTAGAACATTGGTGTTGGTAACAATAAGACGCTGTACCGGGATAGCCGAAGTATATCCTAAACATGGAATCCCCCTACTTTGGTGCCGGGCTGCGATGTGATGCCTTAGACACTTTCAAACCTACCATGACGGTTTCTGAACACTGACCAACTATTGTATTCTGCGTGCTGTCGAGACTGCAGTAAATCGAAGAGCGGGCTCGACGTTCTTCAAATTCCAAGAGAGAATACAAATAATCTCATACTAGGCCGCTTTCAAGTCGGTTGGAGTATCTTTCGATGATCAACCGCTAAGTTATGCAGTAAGATACTAGTCAGTGTGGTATCAAGCGGTTAAAGAGTTCTTATATGATAGATGCCTGAGCATGATCCAGGGTACCCATCTTATGGGGCTCCGTTTCACGAGACGATGATGAGATGCATGCTGTGCTAGTGGGAAGTAGGCAACGGAAAGAAAGGCATACTTATTGCCACCAGCTCTTTGTATGCATACAAACAGCATGGCCAGATACAAGCAGTTAAGATAACTTCGTCATAGTACGACCTATCTAACATGCGTATCTACGCAATCAGGTCGTATCCAAGGAAATTGGATGGACATTACCTAATATGTGTTCTCTTCATACTGGGTGGTCACCCCCGTATAGCAGCGTGCTATGCCAACTAGGCCCTGGCATTTTCATGCCTAAATCTGTCCGACATACATTAGCAGAGGAGCGAAATAGATGGTGATGGTGGTGTGGGTATGGGGAAACCCCGTCCACTTTGTTCAACTAGTCACTTGGCGCAAACTTACTGTGGAATCGAGAAGACCAGTCAGAACCAGTCAAAAATACCCTACACGTACTCTGTGACGGTAAGCTTGACTCGACTTAAACTGGAGGCGGTCGAGGATACATGTAAGGCTACGGACGTGGTTAAGAGCTATGCGAACTACAGTATGTGGAGTCGTGAGAGTTGAATTGGTTGGACGATACTGGACAATACATAGATGGGTTGGAGTCTAGGGTGCATATGCCATCATTAGGTACATGGTATGCCAACCCCTGCTCAGACCTGCTGCTCCTAGGTATCCCTCTTTGATCGGCGGATTCTCTGAGTAAGGACCAAGACTGCGTGGCCGAGCCACGGATGCGCCGTCGACGGTACCGAATTACGTAGATCATAGGCTACATGAGAAGTGTAGATGGGATTGACAGAACGGAGAGGCTTCCGTCAACAGTTGACACTACTACAAGCCAACTCCTCACTCTACTGGGGCGATGACTGAGCATTGAATGGAAAGGGCACTTGGATGGGTAGAGAGTGAGATGGAGGTGAGCCACTCCTCGTCATCCCAGTCTGATCCCCAGAGAGTGGGCAATGGATCTACATATCCATGATGGATGTTTTCAAGGAGATACTCACTCTGCTCACTCTTCTGTTCAGCACTGGCTATTCATTTCTATAACGGTAGATAGATAGTCTGTTGTTGCCACCGTCGATATTGCTCTATTGGCTGCTCAGTCCAGTAACAACTGACGTCTTTCCCCCTTACATCCCTCGGCTTAGGTCCAGTGAATCGTAATTGAGACGGCCATGATCGCAAGCAACACAACGTAGGGAGACAGCCATAACGTAGGTAGACAGACGCAACTGATTGGAGAAAGAGAGGGCTGATTGAAAGTCTGATTGGAGATGAAAGGAGGGGCACCGTGGTAGCAAATCAGGCGAAGCAGAATGAGGCAGGGATTGGCTCCAAAACACTCCAAACGCCCCTCTACAGTAAGGGACCCCCTGCCGACAGCGCTAGCGTGCTGCAGTCTACCGAGTTCTATGAAGTACCTACCTAGGTAGCTACAGACAGACTACAGACTAGCTACCAGAGTGGGTGCTGCACCTACCCCGCAAATCTATCGAGGGTCTGGATGACATGTGACGTCGACGAGCTGTAGCAGGAGTGCTCGCCATGTACCTACTGTACATCACTGATATAAATCATTGAACCTTACCCGGTTGCTCCCCGGTTCCCTACTTTTCTGTCTTTGTCTTTGTCTTTGGGGGCAGTAGGGGTTGTGGTAGGAGCTTCCAGCGTGGTCGAGTACCCCGGGTACAGAGGCAGGTACTTATGTATGTATCTTATGTATGTATGTATTGGACATGATAGATACCTACCTACCGTCTATGTATGTAGGTAGTTGCTGTCTACAGTAAAGTGTGCAGGTCTGACCGGTCGTGCTTTGCACCACCGGCTTCGGCCGATGTACCTAGGTAAGTATGTATGTACCATGTAACACTACCTCTCACCTGATATGATGACTCCCTACCCCTTTCGAATGGCCGTTTCATCAGATATTGAAAATCAGCATTTCATCCAGATAGACAAGTAGGTAGATACCTACTCTAAGTATGTAGGTATCCACTAGAGGATGCTATTAAGTAGTAGTAGGTAGGCTGGAGATGGAGGCAGGAGATGGGGGCAAGGATACCCCTTGCGCCATGTTGAGATGCATCCACCATCTATCTGGGCAGCATCTGGGTAGGCACATGTTTTCGTGGCAGGCAATCGGACGAGGCATCGAACGACTATATCATGTCTCCTACCTACGTGGACCGCGTCAATGCTACAGTGCATTACCACTTTCTCTCTCTCTTTCTCTCTCTCTCTCTATCTCTTAATCGCCTTTTTATGACTTCCAACTTCATATCATTTCATATCATTTCATATCTACTCATATCTACTTTGATTCTATCGAGCAGATCTAATCCAACCCAACTCAACCCAACCCAATCCAATCCTTGATCAACCCCCACACAAGCTCTATCATCACGATCCCCCCTTTCAAACAACCATCATCTCAGCCTACTGCCTATCTAGTCTTCCACACCTCAGCTAGAAGCAGCTAAAAGAAGCTTAAGTAATTGGTTCGAATTGTACTGGAGGGCTCTCTTTTCCCTGTAGTACCTTCCCGTTAGCCATCGAGCTATAGCAACCTTTAGCCTAAGGCTCAGCCAAAGTCCAAGATAAGGACCTTGCCGACAACACCTTTCTAGACCCCCTTAACATTCCTTCTTTGCCTCTCTGGCTGCTCCAGTCTACCCTTCAAAGGCTTGAGCTTAGGTACTCGTCCACCCATCCCTAGTACGACTAGTACGACTAGCCCATTTTACCCCGCTCGCCTTGTCCCAGACCCCATCATCCCAGCGCCAAACGCCGCCGTCGGATTCCAGCTAGCCTCTCCTTAGGTGTTGAACACCAACTTCATTTCTCCCTGCATTCGAGTCAGCAACGCACACCCTGCTCCTGTCACGAAGCGTACGGCTTTAGACGAACAGACAGACAAGGTTTGGCAGGTTTCTGATCAGGTTTCCATGCTCCTGTATCCCGCAAGTCAAAGCAAAGTGCCGGCTGTCGCATCTGGCGTCACAACGTCACACGGTTTGCCTGGGCCTTCGTACGATACATGATTCCATGCAGCCAGACAAAGGACCATCTCTTCCGATCGACTGTTTCACGACCCCAACTTACCTGTCGACTGCCTCGACACCACCGGACCGCCTGCCTTACACATAAACCTTGCACATAAACCACGCTCTCCCCATCTCTCTCCTCTTCTTTCATCATCGTCCACTGCCACAAACGTGTCGCGTGCCTGTACTACCACCCCAACTTGAACAACCACGTTAACAATCACCACTACCACCTACAACCATCGCATCACCATTGACTACTACCACTACTTCTTGTTCTTGATCAATCAATACAAAAGTCATTGGCCCTTTTTAATTGTGCAACTTCGGCCGGCTCGAACTCTTGTCGGAACTACTTCAGCCTGAACTTCGGTTCACCCTCTGTATCACTATGTCGAACGACAACTCAAGCAACGGACAATCCCACGAGCGTCGTGGCTCTGTCACCTCTGCTGCCTTCTCCAACCTATTCCACCGTAGTAACTCGGTTTCAGCCTCTGGGAATGGAAGTGGTGGTCGTGAGTCCGTGTCAGCTGCTGCCGCGCGGGATCAACGTCGACGACTCTCTGTAACCACGCTGGGCCTGTCAGGTTCCTCACCGTCGTCAGCAACCACTCCCTTTGGTATTCGCCGGGGCAGCATCTCCACCAACTACTCAGATTCCATCGACGAAAATGCAATTGATGACGATGAGCCGGCTAAGATGCCAACCACCTCCCCCTTTGCTCGTCGCACAAGCTTTGGTGCTCAGGCCATGCGCAACATGCGAACTGGCCAAACAAGTCCCGGTTCTGGTAGGCCAACCCAACGGGCTAGACGAACCTCCTTTGCAGCCCCACGCCCATCACCACCTTCCAGTACTTCATCCTTCGCTTCCAGGAGGATGAGCGTCTCTCAGGCAAGCAACACACTATCCGCAAGAACAGCTTCTGACATGCTTTCCGCTCGCTCAGACAACGGTTACAATTGGACTGAGCAGCTTAGATCTCGTGCTGAAAGCAGCGTTACCGGCCACCGTCCTGCTTTTGGTCCCACAGCCATACCTGGCTCGCCCCCGCGTCCTACACCTCATGACCGTGCCAAGTCAGTCTCTGACATGCCAACACCGCCGAGACAGCCTGAGGTTATGAAGTCCAGACAACCCGAGCGGCCAAAGCCAGACTATATGCAGGAGCGTATCCTCAAGGGCGATTTCTACATGGATTGATAACCGGTGGCTAGAGGTCCTAGATGAATCTACGAAATGAAATCATATTTCAGTTTGCCCATGGTGGTAGACATGGACTGCTCTACCATTCCAGTTTACATCACTTACAGCAATCCCCTTTCATTGCTCCATTTTTCGGAGCTTGTTGCTTCTCTCCATTGGCCGCGTTGATGTGTAAGCTGAAAACTGTTACGGAAACAAGATTTGCCCAACTCACACTAGCGTTCAAAGATGAAAACATCAAGGGTACTTCACCTGTACCTATCTATGAAAGTTGAACTCGGCCAACCCGGCGAATTATGTGCTCAAGCGCTTCAAGGCGCAATTGGCTGTTTCACAATTTGTGCTCAAAATTTGGCTTGGGATTGAAATGATGGATGGAGTACGGTAACGGCACTATGCCCAAGAGCTTTATTTTCTTCCCCATTTTCCAAGGGACAGGACGGACAGGCGTCGCGGTATGAAATGTTCAATGTACCTACATGTACAATATGAAATGGACGAGGGACGAGGGACGAGGATGCCGATTGACGGGATTATTCATCCACACTTTTGGTAGGCATAAATTGCCGGACAATGCGCCAGATGAAACCTAGGCTGCATTATGTATGAACGAAACGAAACGAAATATCTGCAGATATGTTTCATTACGGGTAGCTAACAACAAGATTGAGATGATTCAACTTCAAAAACTCTTATGATGATTGTGTTGGGACTTATATTCGCCCATGTCGTATTGATTTATTTTCGTTGATTACCGAGTATCAATGTCAATATCTTGCCCCGCTATCCTATTCCATCGTCTTCTATACAAGTTTCACGCACGTCAAGAATCACAAGCGCTAGAAAAGCACTCACTCAAGGCAAAGAGATGCACAATCGAGCAGTGTAATCGGCATTCATCCTATTTGAGTAGAAATCCTGTTTATAAAAAAGCACGCCAGCCCTCAGGCTGACTATCTCGCTATCTATTTAACTACTCATGATAATAACCACAGGAATCCTTCAACCAGACCAGACAATCCCCAAGTCCCTAGTACGCCAAATATGAATATTTTGAGTATACACACTTGCTCCGGCGCGGTGAAGATTATGCTAACAATATTAAGCGATGATGATGAATGAGTTCCAATCTCTTAACTCCCGCACTCCCGCTAATATTATTAAAGCCCAGATCTTGAAATGAGGATAGAAACAGATGTTATACAGTACGGGGACGCAATAAACACGATCGCTGACAAATGCAGTGACAAACCAAAAGCGTCACCTTGCCTCGGAAGAAACACGGAAAAGAACATTTCTGCCGTAGGGGTACAATGTAAATAGCCGAGCGCTGGAAAAGGCCGTGAGAGGGTGGTTGTTGGAACGAGGAAAGTTATGAGGTAGTTGTCTCTAAGGATTTGGAAATAAGTAATAGCTCCTATCCCACTATAAAACGACAATGCCCAGAAGGAAGCAGCGCGGGAGGGTGTGCAACGGGCTAGTACCCCGGGAATTCATCCCTGCTGTTCGCAGAGAAATCATCCGGGAGGGGAGCCATTAAATTAGTGTCGTTCTGCGCCATCATGCGCCAGCTGTTCTCATAGTTGGCCCAGTCGCTGGGACTATTGCCGCCAAATCCTGTCAGCGTGAGGTCCATAGCTTGCTCGAAGCCGTCGCCCATACTCAGGTAGTTCATGTCGCCTCCGAAGGGTCCGGCCATCCAGGGCATGTTGCTGAGCGGCTGGCCCGTTGATCCTACTGTTGCAGGCGCTGATGTCGGCAGACCCGAGTTCGGACCATACATGTACGGCAATTGGGACCCGGGACCCATCCAGTTCGAATAGTTCGAGGTGTTGTTCGGGTTAGAAGCTGATTGTGTTCTGTTGTAGTGAGAAGAATTTCGGGTAGGACCGTTCCCTGTGGCTATTTCGGAAAGCAATTGAAGCGGGGTGTTAGCCGAGTTGTACTCGGGCTGGGTCTTGACATGTGGCTGTTGATAGTGAGATGTGTTGGGGCTGGACTCGCTGTCCTGAGAATTGGGCCGCTGATTTGCGACAGAGTTACTTCGAGAAGCTTGCGTCTTCAAGGCATTATCTAAGTTTTTATCACCGTTCTGGCGGCCTTGTTGACCCTTATGAAACCAATTGCGCACCGTGTCTAGAACCATGAGGAACTTGCTCGCAGGACGAGATTTATCTGAGGCTGCCGTATCCCGAAACTTGCCGTAGAGGCTATCGAGATATTCCGCAACCTTCATGTTATCCTTGTTAATTACTTTCCCAAGCTCGGAATTAGGTGAGGTGGCACTGAAGTAGATCTTGATAAGCACGACTACTGCGTACGAAACCCGGACTAGATTGAATATAGGCAAGCAGCGAATAGTTGACTCATCGAGGGCTAGAAAGGTCTCGAAAATTCCGTCTATCGCCGTGAGACAGGAAGACAGCGCACTAATGTGGGCGGGGGTGAGACTGTCATTTAGGCCAGGAATTGGGTCGCGTAGTGCTTCGGCGCTGGATGGTGCCGTTCTTTCTTCGTTGGTCTGCAGCGCGATCTCGTGCATATACAGACTCATGACGCTGAAGCTGAGGAGAAGTGACGCTGGGGTTGGTTAGCGAAGTCATGATATGGCTGGGTAGCAACACGCTTACGTTGTTTGTCTTCCTCTCGTATGCTCTCGCTGTACTTCACCAGGTCTCTCTCGAATCCTCGCAGCGCATATTGCACTTTCTGTTCCGTAATATTGATAAAAACGCTAGGGTCGTCCATTGAAAACTGAATGCCTACTTCTTCAGCCAGGCGGTGAGTCCACACTAAATGACAAAGATATTTGTCACTAGGCGCCGCTTCAGGCGATGACTCGAGAATATCCATGCACTCCGTCATGAATGACTGCCACCTAATTAGATTTGGACGATGCAAGGCCATGGCGACGTTGGAGGCTAGAAAATACACGGCCAACCATGTTCGGCGTGATTCAATGGAGGAGGAATCCGGGAGAGGGTGTTTCCGGAAGGGGTGATCTCGCCAAGTATAGGGGATTAAGCTAGACTTGGGACTATTCTTCCTCCTTCCCAGGCCCATGTCTAGGGCCATAACAGCAGCAAGGTGAACCATCTGGTAGAACTTGAGCTCCTCAAAATGCTCCGGTGGAAAGTACCACACTACGCTCACTATAATAGCCTGTACTAATTCTAGGCTCTTGTTGCCGCGCATGATAATCTTGTCGGCAAAGATTTGCATCAGCTCCTTGACTAGCTGGCGTTGCATGTTAGGCGTTTCCGAAGAAGCGACCGACATGATGGAGAGGAAAAGTATGGGTCTTGTCATCCGGATCTCAGCTGCAGTGGTGCCGGACGGGAAGACAACAGCTGGGAGGTGAATAGCCATAGAGTCAGTATATCTTTTAAAGAGAGCGGCCATTTGGTCAATGGTGATGATTCCCCGATCCACAATATCGGACCAAGACTGCTCCTCGCCAGAAGCTAAGGTCCGCTTCGCGCCCAGGTTCTTCTGCTCATCCGATTCGATATCCTTGGTGGCATCGAATTTCCGTTTTTGAGCGGCCAGCCCTGGTTGGGGCGGCGAGGGCTTCCGACCGTCTCTGACATGGTCCATGGGAGGAAACATGGGCGGACCCCACTCTCGCGCGATTCTTGTATTTTCGTCTTCTACGGCAGAGTGATTAGGAGGAGGATGCGTTGTTGACGTCGGTTGTGATTGTGCCCCTCCTGCGTTGCTCCTACTGGCGTGCAGACTCGCCGTCAAAGCGTCGATCTTCTTCTCCAGCTCAGCGACACGACTGTCAGTCTTCTTCTGCCTTTTCCGCGTTGGTTGTGTGACTAGACATTCCCGCCCGGCTTTCGCACATCGCTTGCAAGGACCGTCTGGGTTGAGCGGGTCAGGCTCACATTTGACTTTCAGACCGCGACAAGCTTCACAAGCACGGGGGCGCTTGGGATCGTTGGGATCGTGTGGGGTCGCCGAGGCGGTAGTGGGAGTAGGAGCAATGGCGACGGTATTAGTTGGTGTGTTGAGAGGGTGCGGATAGGTACTGTGGGACGGAGTGTGAGGCGGAACGTTGGGAGTTGTAGTCGTGTTTAGAGGCGGCAGCTGTTGCTGCGGCGATGAAGCATCTAGGGATGCATCTTCACTATCGGTGGCTGTGGTCGCATTGGAGGCGGCAACAGTGGTGATGTTATTGCTCGGGTCTTTAGCTGGATCGTTCACAACGACTGAAATGGAATCCTCGCGTGACTCGCGAAGACGGGAGTCCAAAGAAGTAGACTCCATGGCCGGCGCGGGCGGAGTAAGTGGACTCGATTAGCACCACGGCTCCAGCTCAGGTGTTGGGTGGATTTGGCCGCTGGCTAGGTCCACGGCAGAGAGAGGCGCCGATAGACGAATCTCACGGAGTCTAGAGAACCGGACGCCGACGGGGACGGGGCGAGAAAGGGAGGGAATGGAGAGTGGAGGGCAGCCATCCTACCCGTCCATTCCATCAGTCACAGTCACCCATGATCCATGATGGGAGTTTGGCTGCTGTTACTTGCTATGTGTTACCTGAATCTTGTTACCTCTTCCTACAATGTGTTGTTTGTTACTGGTACAGCTGCGGTGGAGCTTGACACTTCTCCCGACCTACAGTACCTACCGTACTGTATGTACAGTAGCGCTTGCATACGACGGTCACGAATAAAATGTTACCCAATGTTACGGTATGTTACCTGCTCCAGTGCCACGCGTTTTGTTTCATCTCGTACCGTGAATGGCGTGGCTGGAACCGGGGTGTCGGTTATGATACCCTGCTTCATCCTTCCCGTCGGCTAGTCTTGCCGGAATTTCGCCAAGGAGTGCGGCCTGTAGATCTACCGACAGACAATGATGATTTGGACCAAGTGGAGTGGCCTCTATTTGCATGTTTCACAGCATCAAGTCATCCCATGCAAAGGAAACGTAACACAGACGACGACGACGACGACGTCTGAGAAGTCGTGCACACTCTGTGGATTGAAATAGCCTTCATTGACTGATAACACTGGCCACAGACGAACCGTTTCACTATCTCACGAATAAGCCCATACAGATGTCAAACGGCCTGCCTACCTTGTGTTGTTTGGGCCTTTTCTGTCTTAGAAAATGGCGATTGCGTTGGGCGGCGAACCGATCAGACCTGGGATATTCAACGGCGCCGAAGAGAGCAGGAAACTGTACCGTCCAGACGCTTTGCAATGGGCTGAGAGAGCTTTAAGATCCCACAGCTCACCAATTGGCATGCCGAACATGGCGAGCAACCAAGGATGGAGTACTAACAGTTGGAATATCACGTCAGCAATCTATACGCTGTGCAATGGGGGCGTCGTCTACGAGGGCATGTCTGCCTCTCCGGCTTTGATACGTGATGTGCGTTGCTTCGAGGCTTACCCAAATCCGTGTGTGTTGCCACCGAGCCGTCTTCCTTCACCGGAGGGAGCGATTCGAATGCCCATGCGTCTCCAGCCACAGCAGCGAAATGCTTATTCCAGAGCCATTTGGCAGTTTCAACGGTCCCATGTACTGACGAGCTACAGTTAGTTTGCCATTCACTAGTAGCGCGAACAACAAGAAATAGAAAGAATCGTGTGGGTTCTGGATAGGATAATGCAACTCACCGCCTGCTATCTTCGCACCCTGCAATTTTGCAAATAATTCTGGCGTCGGGGCCTGGAGATATTCTGTCAAACCAGTACGGACGATGAGAACGTCACCGTGCCGGAACTCAACACCCTGATCCTTGGCTATTGTTTCTATATCCTCCACCGTAATACGATGACCGTCGAGTGGATGGGCGATAGCATCATCGCCTGTCTTCCCCTCGGCCCGTGCCTTTTCCTCTGCCCATTCCTTGAAATCGATCAGAACACCTCGAGCGACGAGCCCGCCGGCAGCATGCCAGTGATCCAGTGTTGGCGTCGTGTTTGAGGCTGTGTTCGATGCTGCTAGTCCCTCCTTGGTCACCTTGATGCCGTTATATGCGAGACCGGAAGGTTGGTGGTGCCAGTGCACCAGACTGTCCCATTGACTGCTGAGTTGCGTGTTGAAATGGATCTCATCATCCCACCCTGCACCTTCGGATAAGCCTATTTCCTTCAAGGTCACCTGTTTGTGAACGGGTTGCATCCTCCCCGGCAGGGGAAAGCCCATGGCATTGAGTGGCCAGCTGCAGGCAACGCATTAATAAAAAGTAAGTTGGACCAGAAACCGAGAGATGAGCTCTTGAAACTCACTTAAGAGATATTGAGACCCCATCTCTGGCCTCAAAGCATGCCGCTTTGACGACATCTGTGGTCAGGAGATTTAGAGTTCCTAGCAAATCCTTTTTACCGTCTTTGTCGAAGACACCCCATGCACAGCCTTGAGGCATTCCCTTCACTTCGGGAAGGTCATCGAAGTCTGGAACTTCCGGGGTACCCATCTTCCAATTTGTTCAATTTTGGAATTCGAAGGTACTAGTTGTAGGTGGACGTCTACACATAATACTTTCTGGGTCGGCTATGGGTATACTTAAGTAAGACTAGGTAGCACCCCCTACCCATCACCACTCCTGGCAGCTACTTTCTGACACCCCCGTTACCGCATGACCAATCTATCTGTGCCTCGTTATACCATGCACACTATTATGCAGGCTGTATACCTGCATACTAAAATAATTGCTGTTAGCTAGATCAAACATCCATCGTCGTACCGCGGGCTCGCTTAGAGGTGCGGGGCAGGCGGTCTAGGTTCACCCTACTTAATTCATACGATACTAGGTACCTCGACTACTACTGTACACATGATACCCCAACAATACTTCCCATCGTGGCCAGGGCGTGAAGAACAACACATGTTCTTGGCAAATTCCTGAATAACTACACGCCATATTGATATTGATGAGCACATCGCCTTCCTCCCATGGGCTGTGCACCGAAGCGTTTGAAGACCAAAACATTTACCCTTGCCTCGGTCGTGTAGAGACTGTTTCATTGGCCGAACCGCGCTGCCATAAACCGAATACGCGCTGAAGGGAGAAGGGGTAGCAAGGGGTGGCTGAAGTCTTATTGCTTGCACGCGGGGTCAAGCAACGAACTCCATGCACATATGCATGTGAACTCGTGGATGTTGAGGCGGTGAAAGAAAAAAGTGAGGGACTCTGCACTGAGTACAGAGGTGTTGAGTCTCTCACTTTTTTCTTTCACCGCCTCGGATGTCACTCTCCGGGAGTACAGTTACCGAGGAGCGAGTTATGCAATCTGAGCAGATATGGAATGAATTCGCCACATCACTCGTTTCCCAATGTCATTCTTGCGAGTCATCCCCGCAAGCCGGGGCTACGCTAGTTCCAAGGGTACTGGACAGTCTTTATGATTGTCGTTTCTGGAAGACTCTTAGCACCTTGTCGATACACTAAAGCAACAAGTTGCTGCCATATGTAAGTGGATAACACACTACGGACAGGGGTAGAGCGGTTAACCTAGACTAGGTAGGTAGTTAAGGATCATCGGTCGCCTTACAGTAGGCCTGACATCGCACCAGGGAAGACACTTGTCCAAAGACTTGCCAGGCCATCCTTGGCGCACAAGCTTGGGTAGTTCTCACCGAGATTTGTATAATTTATGATAAGCATAACTCTATACGCGGAATGCCCAGAAGACAGCGTCTAACGCAAGAGATAGATAGAATAGTAAGGCCGGACACCTACAGTATAAAGCAATCAGGATGGGGCTTGATCACAATTTCCAATTTATGCGTACTACCGTAAGACTGGTGATGGTGCTACCGGTCTTGTGGATCCAGGGTATCCGGTTGGACTCCACAACACCTGGCGTATTCGGGTGAGAAGGATTGGAGATATATTCAGCCGTAGTCCTCTCAGTTACCGCTGAGAGCGACCCCGATTCGTCTGGAGCAAGTATACAGCTCTCTTTGTCACCGCCACCATGGCCGCTGAATTCGGCCAAGTTCAACAGAAATACGCCGAGGAAGCACAGAAGCGTGTGAAGGAAGAAGGCCTTGCGCAGTTTCAAGTATTGAAAAAGAGCGACAATGATCGTCTGCGTCACCTTGTCGACGATATCTGGGCCGACCACGCGGCTCTTGACGCGCAAACTCCTGCTCTCAAAACGGGCGATTCCCCCAAGTTCCTGATCGCTGGTGGCGGTCTTGGCGGCATCACATCAGCTGTTCGGCTTATTCAGCAAGGGTTTACGCCTGATCAGATACGGCTCGTTGAGACCGCCGGCGGAGTTGGCGGCACAGTATGTATCCACTGGAGTCATTTTCTCCCTATTCTAGTTACTCCCAGAGGCCATAGTTGCCTATCAAAGGGCACAAGTGTGACTCAAGAGTACGCAGAACTTCCGAAACTTTTACCTAAAAGAGTAATTACTGACTCCAGCGGTTGTAGTGGTATTGGAACCGATATCCAGGTTTGCACTGCGATGTTGAGTCGTATATATACTTGCCTCTCTTAGAAGAAATGGGCTTCATGCCCTCGCACAAGTATGCCGCTGGGGCCGAAATCCGGCATTACTTCGAAGATGTGGTCAAAAAGTACGATCTAGCGGACAAGATTCTCTTCCGAGCGCAAGTGGACAAGATCGAGTGGGACGATGAAGCCCGTCAATACAAGGTTGAGTTGACCGCTCGGCGAGGACCAAAGGGGGATGAGAAGAGTTCCCTCTCGGTTACTGCTGAGTACGTCTACATGACAGCTGGCCTACTAACGACGCCACAAATACCCAAAGTCGGTGGTGTCGGCTTTGAGGGATTCCAGGGAGATATATTCCACACGTCGTTGTGGAACTACGATGTCACAGGCGGCTCGTCGGAAGAGCCTTTTCCAGAACTGTCCAAGCTAGCCGGTAAACGAGTCGGAATCGTCGGTACAGGCGCGACAGCCATCCAGGTGGTACCATTCCTCGCAAAATATGTCAAGGAACTTTACGTCTTCCAGCGCACGCCAAGCTCCGTCTTCTCGCGCGGTCAGAAGCCGACGGACCCCAATGAGTGGGCTACTTCTATAGCTAATGGGAAGGGATGGTCCCAGAAACGCATCCGCAACTTTGTACAGGCGATGGCAGATGGCTTACCGGAAGGAGTCCCCAATCTCGTTGATGACGAGTGGACGCATCTTGGCTCTTACCGTGCGCTTACAGGCGACAGAGAATTTGGTGCTATTGCGCCAGAGAAGGCTTCCGAAGTGGTCGGCCACTTCCTGCAGGTCGATACCCCAACTACTGCGCGGGTACGCCAGCGCGTCAAGGACATTGTAAAGGACCCGGAGACGGCTGAGAAGCTGACACCGTGGTATCCTACGTGGTGCAAACGACCAACCTACAGCGACATGTACCTCCAAGCCTACAACGAACCGCACGTGCATCTCGTGGATACGGACGGTAAGGGTGTGGACAGCATTACAACCTCCGGGATCGTCGCCAACGGCACCGAAATCCCACTCGATATCATTGTCTTGAGCACGGGCTACGTCACGCCTGCCATCGACGGCGGCGACCCGTCTGTCCGCGCCGGGATCAAGGTGCTGGGCCGAAACGGGCGGGATCTCTCCGAGAAGTTCTTCACGGAGGGCGTGTCGACGCTCTACGGCGTCGCGTCCAATGGATTCCCGAACCTGTTCTGGCTGGGTCCCTCGCAGGGCCCCATCAGCGCGAATCACGCCGCGGCGCTAGACACGTTGGCCAAACTAGCGGCATACATGGTCGGTGAGAGCCATGCCAAAGTCGGCGACAAGTCGAAGACGCAGAGACGTGTCACTACTGAGATCGACGCCGCCGCCGAGATGAACTGGGGCTACCGCATAATGCAGGGCGCAGCGCGGTTCGCTACCATCTCCGTCTGCACGCCGAGCTATCTGACTGCCGAGACTGGGCCCGGAGATTCCACCAAGGGGAAGAGCATGGAGGAACTCGTTAAGCTGGCAAAGAGATCGCCCTGGAGCAGTGGCTTCCCTGCGTTTCTGGACATGTTGGACGATTTTTATAAAAAGGGTGAGCTGGAGGGTGTGATTGCCAGTGTCGCCTAGGTATTTAATGCAATTTTCAGTTGAGTTCGCTAATTGAATATCCGTTGAGGCTGCACAAGACCATAACTCAAGATATGCGGACGTTGTGACAAGGGCTCTTGTAGAGGGCTTGGAACTTAGTCATATTCATTAATAATCGACTAGGGGTCTCTAGGGCCTTGGTTTCTCTCTCCCTCTCCTGGAGTGGGAGATTCCTTAGCTATTTATGCTTATTCAAGCTTTATACAATTTATAACTCCCTTTTGTTTATTAGGTATTCATGCCTTAACTATTGGTCTTCTTATAGCTAATAAATTATTCTTATTTAATTGCTTATAGCTTTACTTTCTTTTAAAAGTAATATCGGTTATCTTTAGTTTTAAAGTTTTAATTATATAATACTATTTTCTTCCTTTTTAATGCTTAACTTTAAATATAATTCAACCTTTTAAATAGATTATAAGTTTAAAGTTATAATAGTTTAAGGATCCATTAATTTATTTAAGTTTTATTAATAGAATTATTTAATAAAAGCTTTTATATTAATATTATTTATATATTTATATAGTTTTTAAATCTAATATTTTTTAATTAATTAACCTTTTTATTTAATTAAGTACTTTATATTCCTTTAAATTTTTAAAAAGTTCTTAATTTTTTTTATTTAATAGTTTTTAAACTTTATTAAAAGTACTTTTTATAAAACTTAATTAAAGTTAAATAATACTTAATTATTAATATAATAAAGCTTAATAAATAAAATATAAAATAAATTATAGATTTTTTATCTTTTAAATAATATAAGTTTAATAATAATAAGTAAAATTACCTTATAAATTTTAAAGGAATTAAATATCTTTTTATTTAACTTTTTAATAGGTTTTTTTATTTTAATATTCTTTATGTTTAATATTATTAATTAATCTTTAATATATTAAAGTAAAGCCCTTTATTTTTTATTTATTTATTCCTTTATATATTATTAAGCCTTTTTTAATTATTCCTTAACTTCTTTATATATTTATATTATTTAATAAATATATAATTTATTAAATAAGTTATAGGGTTATATTATAAAAAGGTTATATATAATTAAATAATAGCTATAATTTATATAAAAGGGAAATATATATATTAAAATTAATATAGTATTATTATATATAAATTTAATAATTAATAAAAGGTTTTCCTAATTGAATATTTTATAATTAATAAATGCTTAAAGGTAAATTTTAAAAATTTAATTAAACTATTTTATTTATTTATTAATTTAAAAATAAAAGGCTATACTTATATAGGGTTTAATATTAATAAGCTTTAAAAAATCCTTTTATAAATAGTTTATAAACTTAAAGTCTTTATTAAAAATTATATTAAAAGGTATATTATATAATTTTTAATAATACTTAATAAAGATTTTAATAAAATCTTTAATCTTCTTTTTTTTAACCTTTAAAGGTATAAAATATTTTATTTTTATAAAGGGATTTATTATTATTTAAATAAAGTTATAACTATTAAATAAGGGTAGGTTAATAATAAAGTTTATTATAATTAATTATTATAAAGTATAATATAATTTTAAAGGTTAAAATAATTTATAAGGGGTATATTATAAAGCTTTATTTTATTAATAAACGTAATAGCTTTATATAAAGTTCTTTATAATTACTTTAATATTAAGCTATTAAAAGTTTTTTATAATAAGTTTTAATATTTTATTTATTTTTATATATTTAACTATTTATATATTATACTTTATTTTTATTACTTTTTATTATATAGCTATAAATATTTATAAATATCGCTTTTTATATAATAGATTATTTATAAATTTTATATTTTAAAAGGGTTTATTTTTTTATAAATAGTACTTTAAGTTATCCTTTATTACTTTTTTAATAAATTTAATAAACTTTAATAGCTATTTAAATATAAAAAGGTTATAAAATTATTTAAAGATTAATAATATAAATATTATTAAATTAAATATTAATCCTTTAATATATAAAAAATATTTATTTTATAAAATTAATTTAATTAATTAATCTTTACTCCTTCCTTTTTTAAAGCAATATTAAATTAGTTTTAATATAATATTAACTTTATCGTTTAATTTATTAAGTTATTATTATTATTATATACCCGTTATACTGCTTATACGGTACGGTACTTTTACCTATATAGCTATAAGTAAAACTATATAATAGCTGGATAAAAACCCTATATAACTTCTAGCTATTGCTTTGCTATTTTTTAACCCTATATAAGCTAATATATATTATCCAACTATATAGTAGGAAAAGGGAAAGTAAAAAAGTTCGAACTTTTTTACTTTCTTTATACTTTTTAGTTATTTAAAAAGAAAAGGAAGGCTTTCTTCCTTTCTTTAAGAACCTTTAAGGGGGCCCTTTTAGCCTTCCTATTTAAGTTCTTTTTCTTTTATATTTCCCCTTTTTTAATCTTCCTAATCCCCTTAACCTTATTATATATAGTTATTCTTTTAATACTTAATAACTACTTTATAATTACTTTTATCTTTATTAAGTCCTTTATTATTATTTATAGGTTTTTATTAATCTATAATTATTTTTTAATTAGTTTTTTAATTAAAGTTTTCCTTTTATTTTTTAATAGCTTATATTATAAAATTATATATTATAAAGTTTCTTTACCCTTTATATATTTATAAAGGGAGGTTAAAAACTTTAAAACCTTCCTTTTATATAAAAAAGCTTTAAATTTTATTTTTCCGATTTATATTTATATAATTAAAGCTGCTTTATACTTTAAAAGTTTATAAAACTTTTATAATACCCTTTTCCTATTAAGCTTTTACTTTATTATTATAAGATAGTTATATTTTATTTTAATATAGCTTTATTTTTTTTTTTTTACTTTTTAATTAGGGTATCATTTAATTTTTTCCCCTTTATTTATTTATTTTATTAATAATTTAGATTTATAATTAGGTTGCTTTATAATTAATTCCTTATATTACTTATAGGTTTCCCTTTAATCTACTTTTTAGCTTATTATTTTTAAAATGCTTATATAAGTTAATTAACCTTTATTATAACTTTTATTAATACTTTATAATATATTAAGTTTTTTAATTAACTTTTGCTTATTATTATTTTATTGCTTAAATATAGGTTAATAAAAGGTATATTTAATTCCGTTTTAAATTAATACATTAATATAGCTTTAAAAGCTTTTACAATATATTTAATATAAGTATTTTAAATACCTTTAAAAAAGCTAGCTATACTTTTTAATTTATTTCCCTTAGGTTATTTATATTATATAACTGCTTTATATATTAAAATGCTTTATATTATTATAAAATAAACCTATTTAACTTTTATTATATTATTATTTTATATTAAGTTTTATAGTTTAATTATTATATATATTTAAATATTTAACTTTTAATGTCCTTGTTAAAGTTTATAACGACTGTGTTATTAATTATTAAATGAAACTGCTAGGTCTTGCAGACTTTGCTGATCCTGTTTTGTAGAACCGGGGAGTAAATAAACAACTATCTTCCTATATGTGCAGGCAATGTAGGTAGTTTCTATCTATAAAAGAAAATAGTTACCTAAAAGAACTGGGAGAGGTAGAGTAGAGAATATGAGCTTCTTTTCTGTTCATTATTTCCATCCAATATAGCCACAATTTAACCAGATGCTAACACATGTGACGACTTAATACTGCCCGAGATCAGTAGTCTCTACAGCGTATGCACCTAGATTTGTGCCACTTCTATATCTAAGCGCTCAATAAGAGCGCGGCTCGTTTCCCAACTGGGCGAACAGGTAATACGGCATAGAATAATCTTTCCATGACTCGGGGGCGGCACAGGTCAGCACAGCAAACGTCTGCAGCACGCTTAGCCAATCGCCGAGTTTCGCTTAGAAGCAGCAGACAGCTGGCCTAGCGCAATCCTACCCATCTTAAGAGATGGGATCTAATCTAAAATCACCCTACATCAGCAGGGTAACAAAATCTCAAATCTGAAAGTAACACATGTCAGAATAGGCGAGCCAGTTGATTGGAGGTTCAGAAGTATATCTATTGTTGTTAAGCAAAATCTGCTTTACCCTTAAGGCGTATATTAATAATTTTATAGGGTGGATCCCCGGAGTTAGAGCTATTTTAGCTTACCCCTTATATTGTATTATTTATTAATATATCCTTTATTTTAATATACCCCTTTAAGGCCAATTGCCCTATAATTTACTTTAAAGCTATCCTTTAAATTACTTTTATAGTATTTAAATTTTTACTTTTCCTTTAAATAGTTTATCTTTAAAGATATTAAGGTTTTCCTAAATAATCTTTCTTTACTTTCGTTTTAAAATATATACTTTTATATCTTTTAACCTTAATTAAATTATAAATTTAATTTATTTAATTATTAAAAGTACCTTTATAAGTTTATTTATAATTATATTACTTATAGGAATATAGGTAATATTTAAAGTTTTTCCTTAAACCTTTTATTATAGCTAATAATTATATATATTTATATATTAAAGTTTAATTTTTAATATAAATATTTCCTTTTTTAAAAGTTTAATAATTTATTAATTATTATATTAAAAAATAATCCATTAATTATTTAAGGTAACTTTAAATTCCTTAATTAATTAATTAATAAATATAGCTTCTTTCTTAATTTATATTAAAATTAAAAGTTTAGCTTTAATAGTTAATATAATTATAATATTTTATTTATTTACCTTTTAATTAATAATTCCTTTAAATAGCTTTATAATATAAGTTTATAAACTTTTATAATTAATAGTATTATTAATAAATAAAGAATTATTTATAATAATAAGGTTATTATTTTTTTTTAAATTTAAAGGTATAATATTATATTTAAAAAAGGTAATTTAAGGTTTAATTAACTTTATAATAGTATTTTAAATTAGGATTTAAATTAAATCGGAAAAGTTTTAATATAAAAAATATAATATTTAAGTATATAATTATTATAATATATATAATAA